ATTAATTTCTTTTTATTTCTTAAAAAGTATTATTTTTTTTTAAAAGTAATTTATAATTTATTCTCTTTTATTTATAAATATAATCTCTTATTTTTTATTAATTTCTTTATTTTTAATTAATAATATTATAATAGCTTATTTTTAATATTAATATTTATTCTTTTTTTAATTTATTATTATTTTAGGGATTTTTTTATATAGTTTTTATTATTATTTTTTATCTTATTATATTAAGTATTAATTATTTTATATATAAATAATTTAAATACTTTTAATTATTATATTATTTAATATATCTTTTATAATTATAAGCTATTTAATCTTCTTAGGTTTTCTATTTATATTATAGCTTAATCTTATTTCCTTTATAAATCTTATATTATTATTTTTAATATAATTTAATTAATACTTCCTTAAATTTATATTCCTTTAAATATTATTTTAAATCTTTCTTAAAGATAAAATATTAATTAATATTAAATAATTTATTTATAAAATAAAGTATTTATTTATTAATATATTTAAAAAGTATTTTTCTATTTAGTTAAAAAAAAGTATTATTTTTTAGTTTTTATTATTAATAAATTATATAAAATATATTATAATATATTATTTATAATTCTATATAATATTTAATTCTTAATATATTCTTTTAATAACTTAATAATTTAAAAAAGCTATTAAAGTAATAAATAATATTAATTATTCTTTACTTATAAATTATTAATACTTATATAATAGCTAAATCTTATATTTTAATCTTTAATTAATAATATATATAAACTTCTTTATATTTTATTTATATTATATTTTTTACTTATATATAATATCTTCTTTCTTTTAATATATATTTTATAAACTTATTATAATATTAAAATATTATTTTATACTTTATTAAAAGATTATATTTTAAATTAATTTCTTTTTTTTTATACTTTCTTTTTATATCTTAAAATATTTCCTTAATTTATTATTAATTTTCTTTACTATATTAACTTCTTATTATTCCTAGCTTCTTAATATTTTAATAAAAATAAAAATAAATAATATAGAAAATTTAAAAGTTATTATATTTATAATAATTTCTTTTTTAAGTTCTTTTTTAAATTACTTTTAAAGTTTTATTTTTAGTTTTCTTAATTATTTTTAATTATTTTTTACTTTCTTTAATAAGCTTTTAATTATATTACTTTTTAGGTTTTAAGTATTAAGGAGAGATATATCCTATTTCTTTATAATTATAATATTTCCTTTTTTTTATAATCTCTAGCTCTATAAGGCCTATATATATCTTAAATTTAATAAATAGTAAAAGAGTTTATTATATTCCTTAATTAAGTTTATTTATAAATTTAATATAATTTTAATTATTATACTTATTCCTTTTTTATTACTTTTATTTATATAAATAATTATTAATCTTTATTATATTTACTATATACTTAAATAAATTATTTAATTCCTTAAGTTTATAAAGTTAATCTTTTACTTTTTCTTTTAGCTTATTATAAAATATTACTTTAAAAGGTCTATTATTTTAATTTAATTAAGTTATAACTTCCTTAAACTTAATAATATATCTTAATATAAGTCCTACTTACTTAAGATCTTTAAGATCTTTAATAACTTATTATTCCTTATTTATTATATTAAATATAAAAGTAATTATTATAATAAAGTTAATATAATTAATAAAAATATTAATAATTTCTTAATCTTTATTCTTTAACTTAACTTTATTATTATATTAATCCTTTAAATAAATTTAAAATTATTATTTTATAATATTAATAAAATATATTCCTATATACTTAACTTATTCTTTTTTACCTTTAAATCTTATTAAAAAGAACTTAAAGTAAGCTTAAAGCTAGAGTTTAAATCTCTTTAACTCTTTAATATCTTTAAAGAAAGGTCTTAAGAGAGTTAATTAAATAATCTCTTCTTAGTCTTTCTTTTTCCCTTTCTTAAATTAATTAATTTAAAGTATAAGATTTTATATTATCTTTTAGATAATTAGTTTTATTAAAGTATTATTAATAAATATAGTAAAAGCTATAATATTTTCTTTATTATTATATAGTAATTAAGATAAAGTAATTAGTTAAATAAGAGTTATTAATATATAATAGTTAATTAATTTATATTAAATAAGGTTTAAAATAAGTTAAGGTTAAATTAATTAAAGTATTACTTTAAGTAATATAATTAAATTATTTAAGTACTATATAAATTATTATTAATATATAAATATTAAAGAGCTAGTTTTAATAAAAGTAATAGTAATAATATTAATAATTATTTAAGAAAGTATTTTCTATTTAAGAAATAAGTATATATATATATTAAATAGCTTATATAAGCTTATTAGTAATTTAAAGTAAGTTTATCCCTAGATTATAAAGGCTTATTAATAATTTAGAGTAATTTACTCTTAATTAACTAAGATAGGAGAAAAAGTAAGATATAATATATAACTCTTTATAGTATATATTAATCTATAATAAAATTATAAATAGCTAAATTAATAAGAGCTAATAGAGTTATCTAAAATAGAAGAGAATTCTAAATAGCTAGGTTAATAAAAGCTAATAGAGCTATTTAATATAAGAGAGGATTTTAAATATTTAGATTAATTAAAGCTAATAAAGCTATTTAGAAAAGAAGGAGATTATAGATAGCTAGGTTAACTAAAGCTAAAGAGGCTATTTAAGAGGGAAAGAGAAGTTAAATAAGCTTTTTATATAAAAGTAATAAAGCTACCTAAGGAGAGAAGAGAAGTTAAATAAGCTTTTTATATAAAAGTACTTAAACTATCTAATTATAGAAGTAATAGTTAATAAGCTAAGTTAATTAAACTAGCTTTAGTAACTATAAAAGGTTTATAATAACTATTATAATAAATATAACTAGATAGATAGCTAGGTTATTTAGCTATAGCTTTAAGAGGTATATTTTATTAAATCGCTTATAGTAGCTTTATCTAGTTATATTTACTAGTTAACTAGCTAGGTTAACTACTAAGAGTCTTTAGAATCTATAGTTAAAGAAAATAACTAACTAATTAAGCTAGCTATTACTTAATAAGCTTAGTTATTTATATTATAAGAGGTTAACTTAAATAGATATATAATTTTTAAGTCTATAATCTAGCTATTTTAAGAAGCTAGCTTAAATAAATAAGCTTTTTATAGATTAATAATATAGTTATTTATTATTTATTTTCTCTTATTATAAATAAAGGTTATTTAGTCTTAAGATTAAGCTATATATATAACTATTATATATAGTTTTTAAAATATAATTTATAGCTTATACTTAAACCTTTAATATTATAAAAACTTAAATATTTATATATTTAGCTTAAATATAAATATTAATATCTTATTAAAAACTTTAATAAAAGCTAATTAATATATAAGTTAATTATAGCCTTAAAAGGGGATACTTATTACTATTAACTATAATTACTTTCCTATATAGTAATAATAATAGTAATAATAATAATAAGATATTATTATTTAATACTTATATTTCTATTAGTAAAGGCTTAATTATTAAACTAAATAATAAGCTTTTAAAAGATATACTACTTTTAATTATAAATAACCTAAAAGAGCTATACTTAATATATATAAAATCCTTAAGCCTATATTTAATTAAAGAGCTTCTTATAATAATAAAGCTATTAATAATAAAGTAAATTTAATAACTATATTTATTAAGTTTATCTCTATATTATAATAACTAAGTAAATAAAGTATTTAATAAAGTATTTAATAAAGTACTTTTTAGTAATATAGAAAATCTATATAATATACTTAGCTTTATTAATAATTACCTTATTATATATACTTATTATAACTTAATATTTAACTATTAGTTTTAATATATTATATACTATATTAAATTAATTTAAGTAAAGATAGTTTTTATTTAAGTTTTAATTTAATAAATTAATTTAAATTTAAGCTTACTTAATATAATATAATAGAAAAGCTTCTAGGAAAAGTTATTATATTTAAGGTTTATAATATTTACTAGAAAAGTTAAATCTATAAGGTTAAATTAATTAATTATATTTATAAGTATAATATAGTATTTATTATAATAAAATCTTTATTATTAATATATAGCTTAATTAATTCCTAATACTTAGTAATTTATATAGTTATATATTATATAGTAACTTTTTATATTATATATATATAATACTAAATTTAGTATTAAAAAAGCTTTATCTCTCTAGAACTACTATCTAGGTCCTAGGCACTTTATAGCTAAGTCTATTAATAGTAAATAGTTTAAGTAAATAGATAATAATAATTATTATATTTATAGCTAGCTAAGAGGGTTTAAAAAACCCTTATTTAACCTATTTATAAGTTATATAATAAGGATCTCTAATAAGCTTATAAAAGTAATACTAACCTATTTAAATATATATATTAATTCTCTAATATATAAAAAAGATATAAGATAGTAAGATATATATATTATACTTATTTAATAAAGATAATTAAAAACTATTTAAATTTAATTTAATAACTATAATTATTTCTTTAATAAATAAAGAAAAATATAAAATATAAATAATAAAAGGTTTAGATTTAGCTCTAATAAATAATTTTAAATATTTAATTATATCATCTAGACTTAATAATTAAATATTATGCTTCTAGTGTTTATGAGGATTTAATAAGCTTACCTAAACAAGAGTTTCCACTAGCCGGGTTAGAACCTCGCCTGTTTTCTGGCTCATTGCAGCTTACTTCTTCCCAATGGCTCGCCGAACTCGCTGCATTGAACTCGGCCAATTCAAATCTTGCTGTTTACTTCTTCTGTTGTAATTGTCTGCCCCCTCTTTGGGCTGCCCCTGGGGTCTCGTGCCCCGTCGCGTCAAGAGATAAGACCCATCAGAATTATTTTTCAAGAATTACTTCACGCTCATCACATGCCCCTTAGGCCTGTCTCGAATTTACCGGCTTGCCATTGAAAATATGAGTAACCGGGCCAAAGTTGCGACATGCGTCAACTGTCGACAAATGAAAGTAAGTCCTTCCGCTTTCCGTGTCTATGACAGAAGTTGCCTTGGCAATTGTTCTAGAGCACAACCAGGACAGAACAATGATCGCAAATTATGGTTAGGGCTAATATGAACCTAGGTGAGATGCGACGCGAAAGTACTTTTCCCCGCCGCGTGTTCAAGATGTGGCAAAAAAGGCTTGAGATGCTTCATTGACCCTTCGTTTCAAAGGACTGCCAAACGAAAGTAAGTCTCGAATTTATCAGAATCGGTCAAGCGATGTAGTCCTGTTCTTACACTTAATCAAAGGCGGGCAGAGGAATTGGAGAAGGAGCTGAGAGAGATCAAGGTTACTTCGTTCGCTTCCAATTCGAAAACCACTGCAGCACCAGAAGATAATCTTCCAGGATCTCCCACTGAACAACCACGAGCCGCTCTAGTCTCCAGCTCAGCGTACCCGGAATATAGTTCTGCTGTTCCAAGTTCAGCGTTTGCGGCTCAAAGAATTGGCGAGATAGAAGTGTCGCCAGCCGAAATAGCAGAGATAATTAGCGCGTAAGTGGTTTGATCAGAAACAAGCTTTAGGTATCTAATGATTTTATTAGATACTTTTCTTTTTGCCATGAAGGCTTTCCGATCCTACCTGATCTGCTGTACTTTGTTCGAGGATACAACCGATGCAAATTCCTCTTCTGGGTCGTTATCGCTATCGGCTCGAAGAGTACTGAGAATCACGAGCAGCTGTACACCCAATTGCGCCCTCATATCCGTCTTCTTGCTAGTGACTTGGATGGGGCGGTTGAACATGCCTTGGGGACTGTGCAGGCTCTTTTACTCCTTTGCTGGTGGCCTTTTCCATTCCAGGCAACCCGGAATGATCCATCCTGGAGTTATTCTGGACTTGCGGTACATCTTGCGTTGAGATCCGGGATACACCGCCCTCATCACTTCTCAGACTTCATGTATAACGACCGTCTAGATGATGCTGGAATCCAGGCGTTTCGAAAAGCTTGGATTGGCTGTTTCATCGTGAACCAACTGTAAGTGCATCTCATTCCATCGATAAGCATCCGGTCGTGCTGTTGACGAGCTTAATATGATAGGCTTGCAAGTGAGTTGGGTGTCCCATCCACTGTCCCTGTAGACAATACAATTGTTTCTGCGTTGGACGGTCGGGCATCGAGCAGGTTACCCAAGCCACTCGAACACCATCTGAGAATTGCTTATCATAGCTACAACATCTGCAACACATTAGGAAACAGCGATGCCACAACTTCGGGACTAGTCCACGGTAGCATCGGAATTATTAAAATTCTTGAAAAGGGGCTTCAGGAGCTAGAGATTCAACTCGCGCCGGATATGACGGCGCATGCAGAAATTGCCTTGCTCAGGGTCAAACTTCAACTGCAGTCATTTGTGTTTACGGATGACCCAATGGTAGAAGTGATCTCCGTATCGAGAATAGAGCGGCTGATCATCTATCCAAGGTTGAAACATACTCCACAAAGATAATAGACCTGGCAGCCCAAGCCGCCCCCGTTCGATCAACACCTCGTATTTGGACTATAATACTTAGGACGTCTGTCGTATATGCCGCACATATACTGCTTAGGCTTCTCGCGTATTCCGAGAACCTGGACGGTGGCCTTATCCAAAACTCCATTGGTCAGGCTTGGATGCTCTTCAACTCCCAGTCGGAACTGGAAAATGACAGCTGGGCGCGTCTCCGTGAGATCATTACCTACCTGAGTCGCATAGGTACCAGTCAGAACACTCCTGGCGCTTCGTCCGTGAGGGCTAGGATGTCGGCAAACATTGCCATTGAGACTGTCTGGCGAGCTCGCGGGCGCTTCAGCGAGGAGGTTCTCCGTGAGAAGCCCAGTGACTACACCGAAGCCGAAGCTATGAGAGATCTGATGCGATTTGGGCTTGATCTAATCATTGGAGATGACCCGTTTGAGGAAACTGACCCTACGCTACTTCAGGGGTCTCTACTCCCAGTGGATGAGGATTTTGAGGGGGTCATAAGTACAGAACCGTCGGTCTGAGCAAGTCATATGGACACAAATGCCGGTGGCAGTTGTCGAGTATCGAGGACGTGAATTAAGTGAATTATTCTGGTAGAAGCAAAATATCCAAACCTTTCCTATTCATTGTGTTGAGTTGTCGGGCTCTGGCAGCTTCCATTGCTGTGGAACTTTATTCTCTTTCTCTTACGTATCCAAACCTTTCCTTACAGTACAGCGCAGCATGGCTATATCAACCTAGACTATAGAATGAGGCTACCTAGTACTACAGGAGTATAGTACAAAAGGAGAAAAAGACCTGGTACTTGTGGTTGAACCCAACAAAATACGGGTCACGTCAAAACCTTCATTTTCTTTTTTACAAATTCTGTGTAAAATAGGACGAGCCCCCACACTGATATCATCATCGAGGAAGAGCTGACGGTCTTATATAAACTTCCAACTAATCGTAAAAGGTTCTATGACTGCTGAACTACTCCGAGGAATCAGGGTTGGAGATGAGAAATCTTCTCCTTTTGGTTGCTAGGCGTAATTACGCTTATCAACCCACCTGGGAGAAATACCCCATAAGCTTTTCTGCGAATCTCCGCAGTGAACAAGTTAGTTGGCTGCAGGTGTCAAGGGGCAGAAAGTTCGATGGGGGCATCGACCCGTTTTCGCTTCCTGGAGCGATATCGCCTTTGCATAGCCGAAAGCGCACCGAAAAGCGATATCGCCGTTACTGGTGGGTCGTCATCAGACAGCATCCATGAAAGTGTTGGGCAGCGTCGAATCCATCCATTTTCAGCTGCCCATTATAATTATTTTCCTTTTCGTGCACCATCGATTGGCCATCTAAGTTAATTGCGTTGCAGTGTCACATCTTTTCTCGGCTTTTTTCTGCGCGGAAAGGTTTATAACTTCGGCCACCCAAAATTACTCTACTGGCTTTGTCTTCGCCTCCGCGCATATGCAGGCATAGAAGGACGCTTCCAAGCAAAAAAGGACTCAAGCTGATCATAGATCTTGAAGCTTTTTCTATCGAGAGACATCATTAACATTCAGTCACGATGAACACATCTGCTGTTGGATCCAGCGCCCCTGCCGCGCCACTGTGCCAGATCGTTACGCCAGTGGGCATGATGGGCTATGGCTTCCCAGAGGATCAAGTTGAGGCGGCATTGGAGGTTTTCAGTCACTATAATACTCCGACCGCCATCATTCTTGATGCCGGTTCGACTGATTCCGGCCCCTCAAAGCTTGCAATTGGCACCACTACTTGCCCCCGATCATCTTATGTCCGCGATTTTCGCAAACTACTCACTTTTTCTATCAAGTATTCGGTCCCTCTGCTCTTATCATCTGCTGGTGGCGATGGAAGCGATGATCATGTCGACTTATTCCTTGAAATTATCCGAGAAATCACTCAAGAGCCTGGTCATGAGTTAGTCCCCCTCACCAACCACACTGGCGTTGTTCATTAATGCTAATAAATCACCCACAGGGGTTGGAAACTGAAGACTCTTGCCATTTATTCTGAGGTTCCAAAGACTGTGGTTGTGGAGAGATTGAATGCCGGCACAATCACAGGCTGTGGGGAGGCCGTCCCCGAGCTGACTATCGACACTGTTGAACAGACACCAAGGATCGTTGCCCAAATGGGCCCTGAGCCACTGCTCGATGCAATCAACGCCCATCCTGATTTTAATGTCTTGATTGCGGGCCGATCATACGACTTGGCCCCTTTTGTAGCCTTTACTGCCTACCATACCCTCAAGGCTAGAGGCTTGAAGGAGTACACTGACCTAAGCCCGGGCGAGCTCGGAGTGATTTCGCACATGGGCAAGATCCTCGAATGTGGCGGCCTCTGTGCCACGCCCAAGGGCACGAGCGCTCAGGGCATCATGAACAGCGACATGAGCTTTGACATCAAGCCGCTGAACCCTGCCGCTCGCTGCACACCACTGAGTGTTGCTGCGCATACTCTCTATGAAAAGAGTCGACCAGATAAATTGTTTGGTCCCGGGGGGTACATCGACCTTAATGAGTCTACCTTCATTCAACTTGAAGATGATAGATCCGTCCGTGTTCGAGGATCAGTATTCCACGGTAATCGCCGAGAAAACACTACTTATTCTACCAAGCTCGAGGGAGCCCGCGTCACTGGATATCGTACTCTAACCATGGGCTCCTTCCGAGACCCGATTCTCATCTCGCAGCTTGATTGGTTTCTGCAATCCGTCAAAGACTTTGCCGGGAGTCAACATTCCCACGTTAAAGAGAAGTGGAATATTGGCTTCCATACGTACGGTTTCAATGAATATGACCCCGAGTACGTGCCAAGTGAGGTTTTCATTGTCGCTGAGGTAATTGCGGAATCTCAAGAAGTTGCAACTAGTCTGGCTTCAACTGTCAGAGTGCATTGCACACATGGGTCCTATCCCAAACAAAAGGCTACTTCGGGCAATTTCGCTATGGGTATCGGCGGCAAGTTCGAGTTGGAGACGAAGGAGTGCGCCGAGTTCTCCATCTACCATCTGATGCCGCTTTTCAGTGAGGAGGAAGGCGCTCGCCACAATTCCCTTCCTCGGGCAGATATCGAGGGGCAGCGGGGTTTGTTCCGTTGGCAGGAGTACACGTTGGGAAAGGGTGACACATACGCTAAGGTTGGGGTTCAGGCTGCTTCGAGTGAATCACCCTTCGTGGCTCAGAGCGCTGGCACCGTATCTTCGAACCCCCCAACTCAACCCAAGCCTTCGTTCGAGCAGACTCCCAAGACTCTCGTTGATGTGGCCAAGGTGATACGATCCAAAAACTCTGGTCCATATGAGATCACCGTGGATGTCATGTTCGACAACAAGGATGTCTACAATATCGTCAAAGAGTCCAACTTGCTGAACAAAGCGGTGATCGCTGAACTCTTCCGCCTAGACCAGACCGAGGTCTTTTGGGCAGGCTTTTTCGATGTTGCAATGGCTTTCAAGGCTACCATGCCCAGAAAACGAAGGGGGGAGCCTTCCTGCTCTGGCGGTTATATGGAGGACGATGTTCATGGCTCCCAACAGTACATTCCCTTGGTCAGACTAGCCCTCTCGGAGGAACTTCAAAATAGACTCTTGGCACTTGCAGAGCAGAGTGAATAAAGATTCATCATCCTACTATAATGGAAATCATGAAGTAAATCGAGAAAGAGATACTCCTAGGAGGAAATGCGTGAAAACCATGGAGCACATCAATTTTTTTTTGGTTGAATTGTCTGTACCATCAGCTCCGGAATGTGGTTCTGCAAAATAGTTAACATAGTGGCAGAGGGTACGCCCGTCGTTCATGCTGCCCTGCGGAATACTGCCGATCCCGAGGAGAGAGCGCGGTTTGCGACCAGCGCTTTTTTGCAGGGCACTTATGAAAAGCTAGATGAGGCTGATTTTTCTGGTATTTACATATTTATTTACTAAGTGACTTGGTTAAGTTAAATTCGAACTAATCTGCAATGTAATCACAAATATCACATGGTAAAATCACGATTCATCAGAGTCGATACTCCACTTGAACGCTGCAATCTCTCGTTTTCGGTTTCGCATTGATAGAAAGGTTGGACCTGACAAGTACTTCCGAAACGTTTATCACCTCCACGGTTCCCAAACTTCTGGTCGATAGACATTCATGCGGCCCAACGCTGAGAAGCAAGACCTGCCACCACGCCGCCGTCCACGAGAAAGTCGGCGCCGGTAATGTATCTGCTCTCTGGCCCTACGAGGAACGCGACCATATTCGCAATGTCCTCCGCGGTCCCTTCTTTTCCTACAGCGGATGCAGCCAGCATGTGCCTCATCTGATCTCCTCCTGGGCCCTCGAACTCCTGCTTGCCCATTGCCGTAGCTATAATTCCCGGGCTGATGGTGTTGACTCTCGCGCCTTTGTTTCCCCATAGCTTCGCCGCCGCTTGAACTCGTAGAATGTTTCCCTTCTTGGCGATTGCATAGCTCATGGGCGTCTTGTTATCAATCTCGGGGTGCTCTAGCAGCTTGTCTGTTGGTGCAGTAGCAAGATGGCGTTCCAACTCCTGGGTCATACCCGTGCCTAAGTGGCCAGCCATGCTGGCGATGCAGACCACGGCCAAGCCCGGCGCAGCGATTTCGTAGAAGGAATCCAGAACATTCGCTGTGCCAACAAGGTCGACCTCAAGAACTTGTTGCGGGGAAGCTTGAACGGGTGACACACCAGCAGTATGGACCACGGCGTCGACTTGGCCTAGGTTCACAGCTGTCTTGGCGAGCTCTCGCACAGCATCGAGCTTTGTAACATCGACAGTGTGAGTCACAATATCGTACCCATTGTCACGTAGGTCTTTTGCTGCCACTTCAAGGGCCGATGTAGAGTAATCTGCTAGGACCAGTCGACGTCCATTGGTAATGCGCCGGGCTATAGCAAGGCCCATGCCTCCTGCACCGATAATGACGACAACATGGCTAGACATATTATTTCGCTCTCGCAATCTTGGGGGTTATTAGGGAAGTTTCTCCTTGAGGATCATTCAATTCATCAGCAGTGGTCAGGATTTATAGAAAATTGCGCATGTCGTTTCATCGCTCACTTTCCGAAGTTGGATACGAATCCGAGCGGCATCACGGGGCTTGGGAGTCCCCGAACAAGTTAACAAGGATTGGGTGTGCGGAGAAGCATAATTTCCCGCCTACTGTTGATATTCGGGGAAAGGTGGGAAAGGATTCGAATCCGGTTTCGAATACTATTTTTCACGGGTTGTATCACTATAACTTGGTGTCTACGAGAGGTATGAAAACATAAGATGAAACAGACCCCTCCCTTCCTGGTCTTTTATCATTCAAAGCACTACATACGTATGATGAAAGGTGGAAATTCATGCAAGGAATCATTTAATTATTCATGGATTTGAAAGCGGGTATATCCACGGATCACCCTTACAACCATCATAAAGTGCCATTAGGGAAGTTTCTTGCTTCGCCAGACAGTCTGGGAGTTTGTGAAACCCTTGATACCACTCAAGCCCCATTCAATACCAATGCCACTCTCCTTGTGACCTCCGAAGGGAGAAATTGGGGCAAGAGCGAAATGGGTGTTGACCCAGACAGTTCCGACCTGGAGCTCCCGACCAAGGCGTTCTGCCTTCTCCACATCCTTTGACCAGACAGAGCCACCAAGACCAACATTCGTGTCATTGGCACGCTCGATAACCTCTTCTTCTGTCTTCCAAGAGAGAATAGGGACGATTGGTCCGAAAGGTTCTTCGACGACGAGACGAGAGTTCTCGGGAGGTCGGTCAATCAGAGTGGGAGGGATGAAATAGCCTTTTGAGGGCTGGACTTCGCCACCGACAGCAACGTTCCACCCTTCGTTCTTGATATCACTGAAGAAGGTTTTCACACGCTCGTACTGCATTGCATTCTGAAGGGGGCCGTGAGTGGTTTTGGGGTCGGCGCCGTCACCGACCACGTAGGTCTTGACATGCTTTACGACCGCATCTCTGAACTCATCAAAGATGGACTCGTGAACATAGATACGCTTGATGTTGAGGCAGATCTGGCCAGTATTGAGGAAAGCGTAGAAAGCAACCTAGGAAGGGTTAGCCGATGCCCTTACAAAGATCTTTGCAAAAACTAGAGTATAGCTACCTCCTTGGCGGTGGCGTCTATGTCAACGTCAGGAAGAACGATAGCCGGGTCGTTCCCACCTCTAAAAATCGGTATTAGCACACAGAGATGTCGTATCCAGCGCAGAGCAGGGATAAGGATAACTCACAGCTCAAGAGTGACTCGTTTAAGTGTTTTGCTAGCACTTGAGTGAACCAGCTTTCCAGTGTTGGTTGAGCCAGTGAAGCTGATCTTGTCAATACCCGGATGGCTTGTGATCCAAGGTCCCAGCTCATCACCTCCGCTCAAAGATTGAACAACGCCGGGAGGGAAGAATTGCTGCGCCAGTTCAACGAGCTTCAATCCACAGTAAGGTGTGAAAGGTCTATGGTGATGGTTAATTCTTTCCTACTCGGGTGCAGATGACGGGTTGCTTACGATGGCTTGATGATAATGACGTTGCCCGTGAGAAGAGCTGGTGCAAGCTTGGCGGTAAGCAGCATAGCAGGGAAGTTCCAGGGAACAATCGCTCCTACTACGCCGATCGGTGTGAGCCGCTGAACAATCGAACGCTCTTCGTTCTCCTCAATAATCGTCTCTTCTTCGACAGGGATGTCGATGATTCCGCGAATCCATTGAATAGCGAATGTAATCTCGCCTGCCGCTGGATCCAACTTTGGTGTAATCGGTCAGTTCTTGCAACCTGAGAGTATGACGAGTCTAACATACCGGCTTTCCACCTTCCGCCACGAGAAGGTCGCGGAATTCGTCCTTCACATTTTCGATCGCATCTGCGTAGGCGTGAAGAGCTTTCCGGCGTTCTTCAAGAGGCACTTTGGACCAAGATTTGAAGGCTCTCTTTCCGGCGAGCACTGCACGATCAAGGTCATCCGATGTCGCAACGGGTACTTTGGGAAGAGCTTGAAGATTGGCGGGGTTAATGCCATTTCGTGTGGCCTCGGTGGGGGAGGCCTTGCCATCAATGATCTGGACATAGGCGCCCGTCAGGTCCAGCTTGGCTTTGACCGCCATCGTAGTGTATTGCTTGCTTGGTTTATTTAGCTGATAAAAGCTCAACAAGGGCACTTTAATATTGTCAACAGGTCAAGAAAAATTCTGTGCGACACGTCTTCTCGTTGAGCACTTATATAAGGGCTCGGGTTCCCATCCCGATTCTGTTGAGGGGGTGTCTCGGAACGAGCTTGATGCATCGGGACAGAGAATAGATATGTGACAGGTACAAGCGAACGACAACTCTAAGTGGCCGACTGATGGCTGCGCTCCACAGACACAAGCACACCGCATTATGGAATGGCGATTCGCAATACATACTCAATCAGGGTAAGTATTGAGACGTAGCTGAGTCACTCGCTGAGGCCAACTGGCCGATACTGGTGATTTGAATGACCGAAGACTAAGTTGGATAGTAGTATGGGAGACATAATAAGCTTAAAACGGGCAACGTCGAGTCTGTGTGGTTGCAATGATAAAGCGGAGATGACCCTCGGGCCAACTTATAATTGATATAGGCTACCTAGGTACTTTACATAGGATGCCCGATAACTTCATATCCATCATAGAGATGTTTTGAAATTCCAAATCACCCCATCTCAATAACTCGGGTTATGAGTCTCTACTTGATCCATTACTGATTATTGTCAATCTCGCTCTAACTGTAGGGCAGCTAATAGACAGTGAAGATGGCTAGCGAAAGAAACAGATGCCTTGTGCTAAGGTCTGATAGGACCCATTGAACTAAAGTAGGAGGGGTGAATGAATATAATTATTCTTAGATAATAAAAGTCCTACTGTAGGAGAGTTCGAGTAGAAAGTAGAAAGCAGCAATCGAAGAGGCAAGACCCAACATCTCAAGACAATGACTAGGAGGATAAGATATAAGTGGGTGTAGTTAACGATGGGGATGTGTAGTAAATACGAAATGCTGGTGAGCTCTTCACATGGAAGTCGACATGTTATCCATGACCGCTACACGGCGTCAAATCAGCTTCACGGGTAAACTTCTCTCAAGTTGTAGCCCGGCATCCAATGACTGATATTATAGTCACAGCCGCGTACTTACATAATTTATGCAAACCTGCAGTAGAGTCGCATCACAGCCCTTTAGCCGAAGGTAATACGGGATGTTTCCATGGATCCGCGGCCGAGTATCTCCGCCTGTCAGCGATGACTAAAGAATCCAGGTTTTCCATCACACTGAAATGTCACCGCCTGGTTGCGACTATTCTGGATGAGGAAGTTACTTTCGTGTCATTCATGTCAAATGTAAATCCCGCCAATTGGTAATCGTGACGGGAAGCTTGCTTATCTCCGCGAGGATCTCCGCGCCAAGCAGAGGGGTATGAAATGATGCAACCGGCCGTTGAATGGATTATTTAAATATCAGTCTAGACTGTCCTCGGGCCTACATTAGAGAGGATTCTTAACCTGACAGCTTCAGCCTTGAATCCACTTCCGCCAACATGAAGCAATCTCTTTTTCTTGCTGCGACAATTGCCGTCTCGTGTGTGGCAGGAAAATGCCTGCCGCCAGTGGCACACGAAGGGACCCCTGTTGGCAAGGAAATCAAGAACGATGACAGTATGGAACCTCCTCGCATTGGTGATGTTTTATGTCACAGCACATGCTAAGAGAACTGATAGTCACTCTTTATGTCACGGGCAAAAAGTCCGACACGGCCGTCTTGTACCTGACCGACGTTTTTGGGATCCAGCTGCCCCAGAACAAACTGTAAGTCTATATGCTGCGAAGAGCTAAAATGCCCAATCTTACATGAAATAGTCTGGCGGACAGCTTTGCTCGCGCGGGATATCTCACCATCGCGCCAGATCTGTTTAACGGAACTCCCGCCCCGGAGGATATCAATGGCACGCCGTCATTCAACCTGACTGAATTTCTGTACAACCACCGCCCAGAGATTATTGATCCAGTTCTTTCTTCGGTGATAAAGTATATCCGCAGCATTCCCACGGTCAAGAAAGTAGTGGCAACTGGGTACTGTTTCGGCGGACGATATGCATTCCGCACCCTCTCAGAAGGTCAAGGCATCGACGCGGGTTTTGCTGCTCATCCCAGTCTTCTCGAGGACGGTGAGATTGAAGCAATCACAGGCCCAGTATCAATTGCTGCCGCAGGTCAGTATTCTTCACGGTATTATCGCCTTTGGTTACAGTCATAGATGCTAATTGAGGAGGGAGCAGAAACTGACAGCATGCTCACGCCGGAAAGACGTGCTGCAATCGAAGCTTTGCTGCAAGGGACAGGTCGTCCGTATTCGGTAGCTCTTTATAGCGGCACAAACCATGGGTTTGGTGTGCGAGGGAACATCTCGAACCCGGAGGAGAAACACGGAAAGGAGCAGGCGTTTTATCAAGCAGTGAGTTGGTTTGATGCTTGGGCTTAGTGCGGAGTGGCAGTAAGTAGCTCTCGAGAAGCAGTTTGTCTCTAGCCAGCTTGAAGGTTCGTCCTGGTCAGCAAGATCCTCTATCAAATCAGGATGCGGTAAAATATAAGACCAGGTCGCACGGGTTTAGCTTACCGAAATTCCCTGTTACTCATCCCCGTGTAAAGAATCCAGCCCTCAAATCCGTTCGCCTGCCTCTCTTTTGGCAGCCTTTCTCAGTCTCGGGTCGGTGCTAAATCAAGTTTATCACCGATCCCCCCGTATTATAGATTCAGGTAGACTTCAGGTCTGGGGCATTATGTTGTTGTTGTTGTTGTTGTTGTTGTTGTTGTTGTTGTTATTGTTTAACGTCGGTGAATCCCTCGATGGGGCAAAGGACGTCTATCTACTGCTATTTTAGACTAAATTACATGTAGATAGAGAGATGTGGTCGGGGGTCCTAGTTGTGGAAGGGGCGTAGACATCCTCCTTGCCACTGATTCTCTCTCGCTGGGTGGTCTTGGTCCCAGCCTTTTCTCTCTTGGGGCATTATGTTGATCGCGTAAATAGAAGTCTTTATATATGTCTATAATCCCATCGCGGACTTCCGTGTGCTAGACGACACGCTCAGCTCAACTTCTTTCAGAATTCCGCCCATGGAGCTGGTGCTCCGCGGCAACATGGCCTCTTCGTCTGTAGAGTTCTTCCCACTTCCCGGTTCACTAAAAATCGTAGCCTTGGTTTGCGATATCCCCCAGTTTTCGGACCTGTCATCCAAAGCCATGCTTCCTGGTTGCGGGCCAGTTCTCTTGCCATACTTCGGTGTCCGGGATTTGTTTGTAGAGATGAGGGATCCGAGGAATGGACGGAGCTTCTCTCTTATCCAGCCCCACGTCATTGGCAGGTTTGTCGTCGTGATTGCGACGAAGGATTCCCGGCAAGCCCAGGCAGCTCCTTCTTTGGGTCCCGTAGCATCGCTCTAATTTGTTTCGCTAGTTAGTACGCGAACAAAGGGGTATTGAACTTCAACCCTGGTTTGACAAACCTTGAGGATGGCGATGCCTCTGAGGAATCCGAAGATCATGGTCAAAAGACCACCGGAGAATAAAACGACTAGCCCAATCTTTTTCGCCTTGGGAAGTTGAGCTGTCCAGAGCATGGGGATAGGTATGAGAAAGAGATACATGTCGGTGAGGAAATTAAGGTACATAGACAGGTGGATCGTGAGTTTATTCACTGCTGGCTCGCAAAAATCTAAAACATCAAATATCAGCATCGTAGATCTGCTCCAAGCAAAGTAGGATGTACACTTACTGCCAGGGTACGGATTAATTTGCCAGAACCTGTGAAATGGCTGGCAGCTCAATAGTACCGAGCACATGCATATAATGTATGAGACAACGATGCTCACGAAGCCAATGTAAACACGCTTCCTGTAACCGGGAAGACCGGACTACACCTCTTATCAGCATAAGACGTTTATGCAGTATACTTGGTGTCTGAAACATACCGTCAGGCGTAAATAAAATGAGCACATTGATGCCTTGAGCATCCAAATGAGTGTCATGTACATTGACCATCCTCCAATAATGGCCTTTGAGCCGCCCACTCTGAGAATGAATTGTTAGTCGGCAAGGGTATTTTCAATTGATCGATCCTCGTCTCTGCCAATTCGATTCGTACCTCAACGCATACTCGTGGCTGTCGGGTGAGAGTGACTCGCGTTCCTCGTCCGTCATGTCGCTGTTCGTGAGACCATGGAAAGTCTCGCCCACTTTGTACGCTATCGTGGTCTCGGCTATAAATGGTAGAATGCTGATGATCATGAGATAGTCCTCCGGGCCCAGAGCGCTGACGCCTCCTTGCCTCATCCGACAATATGTTCGAAAGGCGATGAGAAGAATGCAAAAGGCGAGATAGGTCAATGCCTCGATGATGTAGGGGTCCATCCCTTGGTGAGCCGGGGCGTCTGAAGCCATGGCGCAATACTGGCTGCGTCAAGGACAGCCCCAACGATGAGCAAAGCGCGGGGACGTTTCCTTATCGCGAGTATTTAAAAGAGAGGCGGCGGCGGCATGCCGGGATACATGTATGACTGACAACAAGTTGACGTGCTACGCGCGAAGCCCGGCATGGTTCCCCTGGAGTAATATATCTATCGGCATCTAGATCGTAAGCTAGCGCTTGTCGGCAGTCCCGCCTCAGCTCAGCAACAGCCCTGCCCTGTCCTGCTTGGCCTCAGTAATGTCAGCTCGTTTCCCTTGCATGAAAGGATTGGCTGTTTCACTCGCTTCACAGACTAGCCACGCACCGTCACGGGTCCACTGCCGTTTGTGATGTGAAGTGGTGTGCAGGGGGCAGCACGGGGAAAGATCTGCGTGCTTCGGTTCCGGGCTGCCAATGTCTTCCCGTCCCGCGCGGTGGCGATGCTACATCGTGCGTCCTAATCACTGTTCATCTAGAGAGAGCGCTCACACATGTGCCTAACTTTACGCGATGGCTCAGCAGATCGGACCACTGAAGTGAGCAAAAGGTGTTGTTCTATTAGGATGCCCGCGGTATATCAACCGTAAAATTACATCCTAAGCTATACAAAGCATACGAATAATAGTAAGAGGGCGGCTTCTAGGTAGTCCATTTCAAGTCCGCGCAGTCATTTGGCTCAGTGGCGACGTACAATCTAAAAGTCGGATCCTGAGCGCATTGCAACATCAACTGCGGGGGCCATATTACAGGACAGCTGCTGGATTCGCCTGGCGGGAAGAAGGACAATACTTCCTTCCCTAATTGAAGCCCTTGAGCCAGCTATCCTACTATTGATCGGGCAGAGACACGTTTTGGTACTGGTTGGAATCCTGCCACGTCGACCTTCCTGAAAGAGACGGACCCCAATCCTCCGACGGTCCTGTGTCTAAGCCCCGGCTGCCTATTGGACGAGCGTTTTCCGTTGAAGATCTACACTGCTAAAGGGCGGTGTTTTGGTTATCAGCGCCGCTACTATTCGATGTCTATGTACGAATGTGTCGGAGTGTGAGTACAACTGGAACGTCATTATAGGCTTCATGATATATACTCGACGGCCCTTCTTCGCCATACCTTCGCAGCTCGCAAGTGACCCCCCAAGCCCCCTAACTACTCCGTGGACTGATCGGCATTGCCCCCATCCCCGCTGATGACATTTGATGCGACGTTAGCGTCGGCACATCTCGACTTTGTCTTATTTTTAGTCTTTTAGTGGTTTTGGATCGCCAAAGATCAATTATGCGGTGCTCTGGAACACGATACCTCCCACCGGAACTTACCTGAGTAGTGAGCTGAAGCTACTGCTTCTTGGTGGGGGTCTTGATTTATTTAGGTGTCAATAATCCGGTGAGTGATTTCCGTGAAACTGGCGGAAAATGAACCCCACGGGGGCGCACATAAGCGCCCAACATTTACCAAATGCCACTCACACCTTACTCATCATCCGCTGCGAGGATACATCATCTAAATTGGTGGCTACGCCGAGGAGAGCAGCACGAATAGGGGAAGCTTGGTGCTTTGATCGGTGACCGTACAGCCTATCTCTCTCGCGCTGTCCATATCTACCTGCCGATTCCGAATTGCGGGCAGATAGATATGCTTCATTGTTTAGTTTTTTTTGCCGTAAACAAGGGTTATCTAGTCGTAAGATCAGGCTACACACGTGACTATTATACACAGTTTTTAAAAACAAAATTTACGACCCATACCCGAACCTTCAAGACCATAAAAACTTAGATAGTTACACTTTCAGCCTAGGCACAGGCATCAACATCTACGAAAACTCTAACAAGGGCCAGCCAATATATAAGTCGGCTATGGCCCCGAGAGGGGACGCTCATCACCACCAACCACAACCACAACCACATAACAGCAATAACAACAGCAAAATATCAGTATCTAGTACTCACATCCCTACCAGTAAGGGCTCGGTCGTCAAAGCAGATAAAGAGCTCCTGGAAGATATGCTGGTTTTAATCACGAACAACCCGATGGAGCTCTACCTAACGCACATAAAATTCTCAAGCCTGCATTCAATCAGATGGAGCTCTTCCTAACGCACATAAAATTCTAGCCCTCTGATTGAACGCAGGCTTGAGAATTTTATGTGCGTTAGGTAGAGCTCCATCGGGTTGTTCGTGATTAAAACCAGCATATCTTCCAGGAGCTCGTCATCTTCATATGCTTCATAGACGATACCGAGTGCAATCTAAAGAAATGCCTCGGCTCTCTTTGAAGCCTTGGTTTGATTGGTGCAGCCCCAATCCTGGTCCTGACGGCGAACAAGGGATCAGCCCTTGCCTCTTTGCAGGGCTGGTGCAGGGCAGCCGAACTCTTGTAGACTAATGATTCGTTCTGTCTACCCGAGTGAGCAATTTACAAGTAAATAGTTGCACCATGTCGAAACTATATCATGTTGGGAGGGGGAAGATCAAATAACTTGATTCTTTGATCTAACACTTCACTTCGGCGCACAATTTAATCCATATATGGAGTGGAACCATCTCGCAATGCGTTAAGAATATACAAAAGGCTGTTCATTATTTGTTCATGTTTTTAATAATTAAAATTTTATGGTTCATCCTACGACATATGTCATATTAACCATGGGGAGAAGGAATTTCTGTAATTTCATGACCTCGTTATCTTCCATTCGGCATCAAATATTCTGAATTGATTCTCACGCACATGGCGAGCATCGTCTTGGATCATTGCATGTAAGCGGCCGTATTAGGTAGGCGTGGTAGTGATTTTGCTTATGAGAAGTGAAAGGTGTAGGTAATGAATGTATAATTGATTTGACATCCGAGGCACCGCATGTGACTGCTGAATTGGAACTGTTTGGAAACATATGAGTCGGTTGGCCGTAACAACACACGCAATCAAACAAGCAAACTACATGACAAGGGCCGCGGAAGAAGCAGGAGTGAAAAGTGACATGACACCAACATTGTGGTGCCTTAACATTTGCGTGTTGTTCTCACTTGTTCGAGTCGTCTTTTCACGGCCCACAATAATCAGGCAGCCAACCAAGTGAACTTTTTCACGATGTGGAAAACGAGCCTCACGCACGTTTATATACTTCACCTATCCCGTGCAGCAAGGCCTAATTGCAACGTTTTTCAGTCTAGAACTGTCACTTTCTTGTCTCCTTATTTTGCAAAATTTATTTCACCCAAAACAACGCATTCTTAGCCCAACATGGCGGCACCATCAGAAATCTTGGGAATGATATTCAGCCATTTCGTCGAGCCGTTTGGGCAGCGATCAGATGCTTCCGAGGCAACAATTCAAGAGGATGTTCTTAACCGTGGGACCTTGGCATCACTTTGCCGTGTCTCCAAGTCATACAGTGATGTGGCGACTGGCTTGTTATACAGCCAAGTACGATTATTCGACGGCGACATTCGTTCTTTCACTCGCACAATCCTGCAGGACCAGTCTAAGACAAAGGGAAAGCTGGTTAAACGACTAAGCCTCGAGTTTGAACTAGCCGGCAGGTGGGAACCGGAGACTATTGACCCAGAAAGGCGCGCCCATGTGCCCGCAGCCCGAGAAGAACAGTGGGATTATGCCCGTTGCAGGGACGAGGCACTTTCTGTTGTCGGACTAGAAAATGCGGTGACATCTGCGACCTATGGTTGGGATTGTGATGCCTCTGCGTTGGAGAAACTTGATCTTGAGGACAAGTTCGAAGAGGACCTGGCAGCAGTTCTGCTGTTTCTTTTACCAGAGCTTCAATCTTTGCGAATCAAACTCGATCCTATGACTGGGGATTCGGATGACCAACAGGCTGCTGGGTACTGGAGATGCGCTATGTTACTGCAGACTCTAAGGCTGCCTTATTGGTATTACTATATGAATTCTGGACAGCACTCTGGTGATCATGGGACTGAGAAACATGTCAAAGATCTGGTTCCGGCGTCGCTCTTGAACCTCGAGCAACTCATCATGTGTAATCCATATGAAGAGCCCGGTACCATCAAATCCTCATATCCACCTATATTATGGTGCTATCTCGAACAGCTTCACCCGTTGTGGGCGCTCCCAAATTTGAAATCTTTGACACTCGAACGCGCCTCGTGGGGTTACGAGCCTGCCTCGCTCGACCAACCGATATCCTCCCAGGAATATTTTACAAAGTCCACTTCATTGGAACACCTCGAGATCCTGGACACGGCAATTGCACCGAAAATACTGCCAAGCCTTCTAGAATGCTTCTCTTCGCTTCGTTCTATTACGTATGAGCTAGCAGACCGATACAGCCTATTGAGTCCAGACGTTGGCGAAAGACTAATGACAGCTGATATGCGCGATTCGCACGGGATACGGCAAACTATCAGACGTTGCAAACCCAACTTGGCGAGTATTCACGTCAAAGCGGTCAATAAAAAGGGATGATCTTGATGAAGAAGATCTGTCCACGCTGGAAGGCATAGACGAAGAGGAAGAAACGGATGATGAATAGGAAACTTGTTGAAGTGGTTGGCTCTGTTAGTAAACACTATCATGCAAGGTAATCACACCAACGTCTGCTTTCATTCTTGAGAGTGATCAATAATACCTAATCTGAGGCTAGACTAAGCTAGGGCTGATACAATGGCAGCAAGCTCTGCCAGCTTTGGTTGGGGGACACCAGACGGGTAGGAAGCCCACTGAGAAGGGATCATGGGTCAAATAAACAGATATTCCGTATGAACAAAGCCGAATTAAAGACAATCAGATATGGCTTGCAGATTTTTGGATCCTTGCTAATGGATTTAGTGAAGAATGAAAGCGCGAAATTGCTGCCTGCTATTAAATTGTTATGATCCCTTGCATGCAGCAGACCGGTTGCTATCACAAATACCATCCTGAAAGAATATAACGCAGATTGCGTGGTTGAGTTTGGCTTGAAAACACAAACACTCATCTAAATTGTATTCAACTACCTTTACAAAAATAAAAACCACAACATTGCACTACTTTGCTTCACTAGGGGAGGCTACAGGGTGACAGAATAGCTCAATCTTCACCCATAAGTCATGATGTAGATGAGTTTTAAGCCACTTTGCGTGCTCAGGATGCTCTCTTAGGAATATGATGTTCTCTTCGCAAAGGGGATCGCCGAGTCGAAGCGATGCTTGGATATCCTCGCGATGGAATATCGGATCAAGTTTCCCATCTGATCCTCTAGGCGGCTGAGGTATCCGATGAAACTTTCTTCCTTCCCATGTGAATGGCCATTTCCTTAGTTCCTTCGTATATTTTGAAGGAAGATCCTTATTGATACGAACACTAAGTGGGAGATCGGTTAGCTAAAGCTTGATGGATGCAAAACCAGCTACGTGAGATGATCCGACATACAGAGATTGGCCTGTCCATTTCATCCAAACGAACACCGGTGGGTTTTCCTCTTGAGTAATGTGATCATGACCATGGTGATCAAGCAGAAAAAAACACCTCACATTGTTGAGGCCAAAGTCGGCATGAAATGGAAACAGGCGTTCTTGGGCGTGATCAAAATCCCGCTTTAGAAAATGTTGACAAAGCGTATTTCGTATAAATGTGATTCTATCACCATACACATCGCCAGGTACAAGGTGCGTAATCGTCTGCAGCAAGACACGCATCTTGGGCGTAGAATTCGCCGCGGGCTGCTGGGGCTGCTGCGCCATGACGCTCATGATAATGACCGTGATAGCTTGCGTCTGTGTCGTTGGGTATAGCTAACTTGGGTGCCGGTAGTTTGTGCGATAAGGTAGGGATTAGCTCAGTCTCTGAGCAGACCGCGGGCATCAGGGCTCTTAAGTAGGCATTCATTGTCTTCGATTGAGTTCATTTTACGGCAAGTGAGTCACGGCAGCGAGTTAAGGTTAGGTCGTGAATCTTCTAAGCTCTCAAGATGACTATTAAGTTTTTTTTTGAAGAAAAACTTGACAAACTTATTTTCATGTGGCTGCATCACATGTGGCCTGGAAATCTTGGTGACAAAATTCTTTTCATTTCTTCTTCAAGGGAAAACCTTGTTTGTACTGAATACAGGTTTTTTTCTTGCCGTTTAACTTCGAGACCCTAGAGAGGAACCTAAGCAATCTGAAGGATAAATCAAACTCAAAAAGAGCGCGGATTGACTCCCCTAGTCTATTAGCTGCCTTTCCTACCCTACGGTGAGAGTCCAGTGAGTTATTGACACTCATTGCAATTGTTAGCAAGACCAACAACTGAAAAAAGCCATGGCCATTAGGGTGCCTCATCGAAAATGTCGCCTTATGTGCATACCACGAAGAAGAGTCAATGAGACGTCAGTATTAGCTTCAAGATTCAAGGTGCATTCTTAGCTGTGTGGCAAATTATCGTGGCTGGCTCTCCTGATAATCACTGTGCCATAGCTATCGCTGAGTCGTTAGGCGACTACATTACAGGAAGGAGAATTCATCCATTATCGCACTTAATAATACCCGCGACAAGTGCACTTGAATCGCACGTTCCTGGTCACTGGAGCGGTGGAAAAGCCCGTATCGTTGCAAGCCATGCAAGGGCATAGGCGACGCCCGCAGACTCTAAACACTTCACCACAATACGCTGTATGGCTGCGTTGCAGGTTGCAATGATTATGGATCGCTCCACAAGCCATCTGTTCCACAGTGGTCACCGGTCTGGTATAAAACCCACGTCCTTGACATATCTCGCACGATTGATCAGGCAATCGATGCGCTTCAGGGCTCCCTCCGAAAGAGCCTGATGCAGAGCCAGGTGAGCTTGACCACATTGCGCGAACACCTTTGTTCACCTTTGGTTGCTGTGATAAGTTAGCTTCGTTATTACTGTCACGTTTAGAATTTCAATTGATTACTTGCTGAAGAAAGGAATGGTTCTGGTCGTATTGTCCTCAAGTAGACAAATGCTTGGGGATGAGTCAAATTTGAAGAATCTGTCGTGAACCAAAATCTTAGTTCGTCTTGTAATGTTAAGTTATCAACATGGAACTTTATGAGATTACTTACCGCAAAAACGGCCCCAATGGTATCGTTTCAAAATAGTTAAGAGAGATGTATTGATGAAAAGCTGTGGGAACTTCATCGGAACCAGGGAAACACATTTATATCTCAATGCCCAGTTATGAATGAGCCTTGTTATTCTTGCAGTGATTAACGGTTATGGTGAGCTTAACACAAAAGCGTGGTGATTGATTGTAAAGGTTCGGTGAATCAAACACCAACGAGCTCAAAAGTAACATAATCACCAATGCGCAAGCCCATGGTAGATCTCAACATTATGCATTTTCAGGGTTAAGTCATCTCGTACAGGGCTGTACATATGTCTTTACGTCGTTGAATCGAGTGATGGCCTTCTCTTCTCTTGATGTACATTTATGCGTAATCGTGCAACTTAATCATGATTAATTTAATCCATTTCACTCATTTATAATTAAGGCGTCTTCTTTCCATAATATCCCTTTCATGGGACAGCCCATTCATAGAACAGCCCCTTTATGACAGAATTTAATATGCTAGCGCTTCCAATGGGACAGTAAATATTATGCCAGCTCTTTTATTGCGAGCTCATGGTCTAGTGCCGGGAATAGGATCACGATTGTGCCGAAGTTCTTGGACTACAACTGAGCTGTGCGTGGCTGAGCGAAGCCCTGAGCGTCCCTGAGCTGAAGTTGAGCTGGCAGCAGTTTGCTGATGTAATGCGACAAACTAGATTAATAATTATCGACCCTGATACGAAAGACGCGCAAGGTCGGCCGCGGATCGCTGTCTATGTCAAATAGGATCTGCCCATGCCTGATGAGAGAGGAAGGCGATATCCCCCGTGGCATGCAGATATGCCGGGCGAGGAATGCGATGCTTTTTTCCTGAGAGAGGAGAGGGAAAGGGAGCGAGTAATGGGCAAGGAGAAGCGTTACTGTAGGGGTCTCGAATATCTCACGATCTCTTGTTACTGCTAATTGTGTGTTAGACCTTGATACAGTCGCGACTCATCCAGATTACCAAAGACGAGGGGCAGGCTCGATGCTGCTGCAATGGGGCTGCGATTTTGCGAACCAGGATAAGGTTTCTGCCTATGCCGATGCCACCAAGGACGCAGCGCGTTTATATGAAAGGTTTGGCTTTGTGGATGAGCCAACCCGACTCGGGTGAAGTAGCCTCTATGGCGCGGCGGCAACAGTAAGGTGTTGACTCGATGCAAGCCATCTTGTCTCTTCCCTAGATGTTGTTATCGGACTCACTTTACAAGACCCTGAACCAATAAACACAAGGTGATATGATCGTTTGAAATGGTCAATTGTCACGTTAAACATTGATAATTGAATAGAAAAGTGTCAACTTTTGGTTGATACAGCAAGATACATATACAAGAATGCGCAACTTTCTTCAATCACTAACAGCGTGTCAAAGACTTCTCTCACTCGTCCACGCACTGAGATCCAACAGCAGAGCTTCTTCAACTTAGTATGGCTTCTCTCCGATGCTATCGCGTTGTTAGTTTACCATCGTTGGTATTATATTGAGGAGAGATACTCACTAGTTTCCAGGTGGTGAGTAGCGGGCAACAACATAAACCGAGCCATCGCTTCCTGCGGCCTTGGCCATGCCGACTTTGGTAGTGCTCTTCCAAATAACCTGGGCTTCAAAGAGGTGAGCAATGTGAAAGCGTTAGAAAGGGAAGAAATTTGGATGTCCATGCTTACTATAATGGCCAAAGGTCAAGTAGTTGGACGAGTCGATTGCTTCTCCATTGTAGCTGCTCTTCTCAGAAACGAACGCATTAACAGCATCTGTGTATGGCGTTGAGCCCGTGTATGTCTGGAAGAGACATTCTCCCTGATCCGAGACGCTGGAGTGCTCAAGGCTACCGAGGGTAACGAGATGATCGGCCCACTCCTGGGCATCGGCGACAAGATCGGTATCCCACACGAGATTAGAGTTGCCAACTTCAGCTCGGGCGTCGTTGTGTGCGTCGAGGGCGGCCTGCTCATCGTCTGTAAGAGTGGAGGAGCCTGGAGAAGAAGCGGCAGATGAAGTGGCCGCAGGAACTGAGGAGGTGGTAGTAACGGCAACCGAGGAGACAATGGTCTGAAGTGTTGTTGGTTGGGCGGCCGGCGTGGATACCGAGGTGGGGATTTCGATGATATCCGTTGGCCACTGAACAGAACCGGGAGGAGTAAACTGGCTTGACTGGCGGGTTGGCTGAGAAATGGGAGTTGGGCTGGAAGGTGTGTTCGTTACTGCACTTGATGGCCGTCGAGAGTGGTGGTTTGAAACTGGAGTGTGCGAGATTTGGGGGACAGATCTAGTCTGCCCGCCTTGTCCACTTTCAGAACAAGGCTTGCCTCGTGCGGCAATGGCATTGCTCGCCAGCAAAGCAACGGAGAGGATTGAGAAGCGCATTTTGGGCTTTGTGTATATGAGCAACGTCACCAGGACGGACTGTTGGTTAAAAAAAAAAAGGAGAGTGATGGACCGGAATCAACCAGGTCGCGATGCTGTAAGAAAGGAGTGACTGGAAGGATGACTTTGATCCTGAAGATCAAAAAGATTTCGTGACACATTCCGGACCACAGCGATCTTTAATATACCATTGTGTTGGTGTTGGTAGTGGATGAGGAGTCTTGGCCATATTTGCAGCGGAGGCTCGGCTCCGTGTTTCACCAGACTGTCCCAGATCCGCGGACGCACATTATTGAGAAATCATGATACATGACACATTGGGAAAGAAATCAACTATTTTACGCGAGCCAATGCCAGCTGGGTTAGGCAATTTGGGCTCACATGGCATGCCTGAGAACCCTGTTTTGCGTTACCACAAAACTTACCGACGACGATCAACGGATGAGGAAAAGTAAGGAGTAAGGAGAGCAGAATGGAAACAGCTTTTCTTGCAAAATAATTTTTGAATTACGAGAAAACATCGAGCAAAGGCGCAGGCTCTAGCGACAACCACGTATTGGCATGCTTGGTTTACACTTACCTACCTACTAGATAGCGTTCTTGTGTTGGATCTGCCACGCGTTTCTCGGTGATGAGACCTGCTGGGACAAGCTTTGAGAGCTAATATCCTCAGTGAGGTCCGTGGCGACATCGAGCAATTTTGAATGCTCTGTAATTTGATGACTAGAGGGGATAGTTTTTCGGATGATCATAGTACTTCGTTTGAGGGCTGGTTTCATACCCTTGGCTCCCGCGTCGCAATCCCAGCATTCTGGAGCTGATGCCAGGGTCGAGGCCGAGCAGCATCCGATTTAGCCGCTTCATTTCCTCACAATCGCATGACAGCATGCAGGAGTTTGGAGACTCTTTGATTGATTAATCTAGAAAATTGTTTGAGACTGGCGCTGAAGTCTGACACACGACGATAGCCGATTGCGACATGACGAGTTCTTCGGGAAGCGCCACGTTGTCAGGTTCGCGTTCAGCGAATATCAAACAGTAAACGTTTAAGTTTTCCAATGGGCGCTTATAGATGTCTCAGTGAAATGCCAAGATGGCAGTGGCCATCACATATCTGGAATATTATTTACCAACAAAGCAACCCATCGTTAGACTCTTAGTCCCAAGAAGTTGGCTATGAATGAAGGACCCGGTTGTCTCACAGGGTGACCAGGTTTAGCCCTAAATCTAGACCAGGCCCTGTGGAAACTCGGGGAGGTACGCGCGGCAGGGGACTGCCAGGAGTGAATTTAATCACCGGTCCGGATTAACACACGCACCTCGTGCAGAATCGTTTACTTGCCTCTCGGCTCGTATAACTGTGCATTGGCCTAATCTCGGATCACGGGATGTCTTTGGAGAGCACCCGCTCCATATAAGCCCGGAAGCGTGTAGCTTGTTTTATTCTCATCTGGTCTGTTCAACGCTGCTTTCTTTGAAGAACTGTATCTCAAGGTTTTGCCCAGCAGCCTTTACCAGAATCTACCCTCCTACAATATGTACCTTCTCTGGCTGAGATATTAGGAGACATTCATGGGCATAATTGATTCAAGTCAGCTGGTGCTAGTATCTGCCTTCAACCGCATTCTCAGGTTTGTTGTCCGCACTGATATCCGAGAGCGTCATTGAAAAAATATTTTTAAATATATCACTATAGAATGAGCATAACTCAGCCCATCCCTCGTTTACCGCAAGTATTCCCTGATTCTCTTGCGCTCACTGAAGACTGCCAATAATTGCTTATACATTGAGATAATACCAGGTAACAATGAATAATGGCAAAGCAGAAAATGGCGGGCAACCTCTACAATGGCGCCACCTGATGACATTCGATGATGTGTTAGGCTTGGGCAGAATGGGGTAACTGACTCATGTGCTCTGTTTTCTTCATCCTCTCGTTGGTCCCTCGCACTCCTCGATTTTCGTGCCGACGTCTAGAACTAATGGTTTCAATACTTGCTAGATTACTCATGATGTAGCCTTTGATCATCCCATAAGCTCACGGGGGGGAAACCGATGGATTGCCCTTGGTGATAACGAACAATTTATACTAGCAGTCACTGTTCCGCGGGTTGCGTCCCACCAGTGGGCTGTAGATAACGCCATGAGTCAGGATTCTAGGCCCGGCATTGCACCCAAGCGTTAGCTAGAGACCAATAAAGAGGGCGCTTTGCAATGCCGGTACCTGTTAGCACTTCACGTGTGCCCTTCGGAATATTTGGTTCGTCGGCCAGATCACCCAGCAGGGACATCGCCTCGGTCATCTTTCCTATTCGCCGGGATCAGCGACGTTCCATTCTAGCGCGGGCTGGCCTGGAGGAAGGGCAGAATATTTTCCCCACAGTCATTACCCCAGAGCGCTTCCCCGCAAGCCGGAGTCTTCCCCCTCAATTCGTATAGATATGGCCTTGGCCTGGATCACATCTGTCTAGATTATAAAAATCCCCAGGACAGTTCAAGTATAGTTGAACCGTCTCATCCAACCAACATTCTGAAACTTGCTCATCTACTCAACAACATGTCGATTAATCCGGATGCCATTACGAAGGACATGGAGGGTGGCGATGTGAAGCACTTGGAGACGAGCGGTAGGGGAGGGCTCACCCCCGAAGAGATTGACTTTATCGACAACTTCCCCGAGGAAAAGCGCAAAAAGGTGCTCGCCAAGATTGATGTAAGTCTGCCGCGCGGTTGTCTGTTCCAGGATGTTCAACTCTAACCTGTATTGCATAGTGGCGTCTGATGCCTATGCTTACAATCCTCTACCTGGTGGCCTACATCGACAAGGCGAACATTGGCAACGCCAAAATCGAAGGCTTACTCACGGATCTGAAAATGACCGGAGACCAGTACAACATTGCGCTCTCGATCTACTTCATCCCGTATATTCTCGCCGAGGTTCCAAGCAACATGATCCTCAACAAATTCCAGCGACCGTCCCAGTACATGGCCTTGATCATGTTTCTATGGGGTGGGATCGTTGTGAGCACCTCCTTTATCCACAATTTCGGACAGCTCTGTGCCGTTCGTATATTGCTAGGTCTATTTGAGTAAGTTTGCGTTTCATCACTGAACAAGTGAACATATTGCTGACGAAATTTACAGGGCTGGCTTCTTCCCCGGTGCGCTTCTCATTATCTCGAAATGGTATCTTCCCTTCGAGACCCAGACCCGTGTTGCGATTTTATACACATCGGCTGCCACTGGTGGTGCCTTCTCCGGAGTCTTGGCCTTTGCCATCGCCAAACTCGGCGGGCAAGGTGGCTTGGAGTCGTGGAGATGGATTTTCCTCATTGAAGGCCTTTTCACAGTGGTGGCATCGGCCGGCACTTATTTCCTGCTCGTTGATTCTCCACAAGTATCTGGCTGGCTCACCGACGAGGAGAAGCGCTATCTGATTCTCCGTCAAGCGGCCCGCAGCTACGTCAACACAGGAGAGGGCGAACTGAAGGCCTTCGATCGGGCAGCCCTCTTTGACGTCCTCAAGGACTGGAAGGTGTACCTCCTGACAATCATGTCCTGGTCTAATGCCGCACCCAACTATGGTCTGAAGTTCTCTATGCCATCCATCACCCAGGGTATGGGTTTCACATCTGCCAATGCCCAGCTGATGACTATCCCGCCTTATATGTGTGGTGCGATCTCGTCATACGCTCTTTCACGATTTGCCGACAAGTATAAGTGGCGCATGCCATTTATCGTTGGCCCCCAGACCTGTGTATTGGTAGCCTTCTCGATTCTCATGGCCAAGGCGGAGTTCATCAAGCAGAATCTCGGTGTCTGTTATTTCGCCGTCTGCCTTGCTTGCTCTGGCATGTACCCTATCCTACCTGGTGTCACCGCGTGGAATGTCGATAACACTCCCAATGCGGCGAGGCGAGCCATTAGCATCGGATATCTTGCTTGTGCCGGTACAATCGGAGGTGTCTATGGCAGCTACATCTACAAAGACGACGAGAAGCCAAAGTATACCACTGGATACGGTGCTTCACTGGGCTTTGCTGTTGGAGGAATTCTTGCGGCTCTCACCCTGGAGTTTATCCTGTTTACGATCAACAAGAAGAGGGCTCATGTCAGCGAGGCCGAGGTCCGGGCCCGGTATACCGAGGATGAGTTGGAGATCATGGGGGATCGCAGCCCGCTGTTCAAGTATCACTTGTAAGGTGCTCTGGTCTACAGCATTATTCGGAAAATTTGGGGGTTTGGTATGCTGAACCATGGATACACTAGACGAAGGTCTTTCTTCGGGATTTCAGTTTGTAGTATCTTAGTAGTAAGGAATTGAAAGCATATGATTGGGAGAGAAACTCAGAATTAGTCCAATATCAGGCATACATTATGGTGTTTACATGAAAATTACTCCTGCACACACATTCATAAGAGACTAGAAGCTGAATATGGGTGCCTTGACTAACTACTTTCTAGAAATCAGTATCAGTCTTGCCCTGCATTAGGGGCTCTAGATCAGTTATTTTTATGTCTTTCTCAAAGTCTACCTGCGCATAATTTATAACACCATGCTCCTCAGTGTAACTTGAGCTCACTTCCTGTCTTGTACTGGGCCTGTACTTATTCGTGCATTGGGTGCTGGGAGTGTAATATTAACATAGGGTTCATTTTTATTGTTTATCTACCCCTGTTTATCTACCACGTAGTCCATGAACGCTTGCTCTCAACCTCAGCCAGAACCCCCAAAGTCTTGATAGCCCACGCCTTCATCTCCTCACTCACAGGCTGGTACGGCCTCCTCATCTCCCACGTCGCCTCCTGGTCAAGCCCGATGTTGCGGCCGAGGAAATACCAGCCTCCGTACTTGGTTATCGCGATGCCCTTCTTGCAGGCCCACTCGGCATTCGCCACCAGGTCCTGCAGCTTCTTGGCCTGCTCGAGCTTGCCCTCCTTCCAGAGATCATACACTGCGGCGGTGGAGCCGGGGAAGATGTTGCCCATGCCCGTGACGCAGCCGCTTCCGCTGGCGTGCAGCGTCGGCAGGAGATAGTCGCTGCTTCCACCGTAGACGCCAAACTGCTCGGGGTCAAATATGCTCGTTAGCCTCGTGAGTTTGCCCACGTTGCCGCACGTCAGCTTCGTGGCGGAGATGTTGGGGTGCTCCGCCAATGTGGCGAGTTGATCCGAGTCGAGATCAATGCCTCCCGTGACGGCTGGGAAGTTGTAGACAATGATGGGGATTGGGGAGTTGTCCGCGACCTCTTTGAAATACGCTATCAGAGCCGCCGAGGAGAGAGCCTTGGCCCAGTAGCTCGGCGGCAGAAGGAGCGTGAAAGAGGCACCAGCTTCGGCGGCGTCTTTGGCATTGGTAATGGTCTCATAGGTGGACTGTGCAGAGATTCCTGCAACGATGGGGTAATCAGGCTTCCCAAGGTCCTTGACAGCCCGGACAGCCGTTACGAGGATGGCCTTGCGCTCTTCTCGAGTAAGGAGAGCTAATTCTCCGTTGGTGCCGAGGTAGACGAGCCCGTGCATACCGGCCTGCACCAGGGCCTGACATTGCTTATACATGGCATCATGGTCAACTGGTTGGGACTTGTCGCCGGCCTTGTAAAGTGTCACCACGGGGGTATACACGCCCGGGGGCAGGGGTCGTGCTTTGGGTGCCAGGGAAGCTCTCTGCATGATGGATGGATGTTGGTAGAGGATGCGCGCTAAACAAAGTAGGGTGGTAATTGGCTGTGGCGGAAGAGTGCTTGTAGGGTAGAAGATATCCCTGGGGCTAGGAGCAAGAAGAAGTGTAATTAGGCAGTAGATTCTTGAGGAATGCAGTGTGTCAGCCATCGGGGATGTGTCCGAGGCCGGTTTGGGGCTGTTCCCGCACTCGGAGACAAGACCGGCCCATCACGGCTCGCTTCTCCGCACTGCATGTTGAGCTCGCCCCCCTGAGGCCGACCAAGGCCGAGAATTGTTGGAGGAAATGAGGGATCGTGTGGAGCTGAGTCCAATTTATTGTTTACCTCTTGATGACACCTGCATTTGTGCGTCGACTCTTTCTCTTTTAGTCTACAGGGGATGCAAGAGTGAGCTCCGATTCATCGCACCCTTCTGCGTTACTTGCGTCCTGCTCCATACATATCTAAAAACGGCATCATGGCAGCTGAATCAACGCAGATGAAAAAGTTCACGTTGAATGATTTACAGAAACACAGCACACGAGACGATTGTTGGATAGTTGTCCACCAAAAGGTGTGGGATATCACAAGTTTCATAGACGAGCACCCGGGCGGCTCTGCTGGTAAGACTCTTCCCCTTCATGTGTCTGATGAATCCTGAACTCAAGCTTTATTAGTAATACTGAAATACGCTGGGAAAAACGCCACGTCGCTTTACGACGCAGTTCACGCACCAGATATCATCACCGAGGAGCTCCCCAAGGACAAGCTCATGGGTCTGTTAGAAGACGTTTCGCCAGCGGATGGCGACATCCAAGCTGCTCCTGAGCCCAAGCCAGTGCTCAAGCCAGTGGTCAAGCTAGCGGAAGACAACTCCATTGTGGAAGATGATGGCATTCCACCCCTCGGTGGGATATTGAGTTGCAAGGACTTTGAAGAAGCAGCCTCAAAGGCCCTCACCCCCAAAACATGGGCGTTTTACTCGTCAGCCGCCACAGACCTCGTCACTCACCGCCAGAACAAGGAAGTCACGCGTCGAATTATGCTTCGGCCGCGAATTTTGCGCAATGTTTCCAAAGTTGACATGAAGACGACAATGCTGGGCAACCCTGTCTCAGCACCATTCTTCATTTCACCGGCTGCCATGGCGCGACTTGCTCACCCGGATGGTGAGCTAGCGCTCAGCCGAGCTTCGTCCAATCAGGGAATCATCCAAACAATTTCCTCCAACGCTTCTTTCCCCATGCGGACCATCATGGGTGTTGCGCCACCTGAGTATCCTTTCTTCTTTCAGCTCTATGTCAACTCCGACCGGAAGAAAACGGAGGAGATTCTGAAGACGGCGAGGAACCTCGGGGTCAAGGCAATCTTGGTGACGGTAGATGCTCCCGTTCCAGGAAAGCGGGAGGCGGACGAACGAGCTGCGCAAGAGGGAACTGTCCGCTCGGCTATAAGTGGTGGGGAGAGTAGCAAAGACAAAAAGGGTAGTGGCTTCGGGCGATTGATGGCGCAGTACATTGATAAGTCCCTGAACTGGGATGATCTGGCTTGGCTACGCCGTATGTGCGGAGACATGAAGATTGTACTGAAAGGAGTTCAGACAGCAGATGATGTTGAGACGGCTGCGGCATATGGATGCGATGCTGTCGTCTTGAGCAACCATGGTGGAAGATCGCTCGACGGGTAAGATAATGCTGTCCTCATCCTGATTCAAGACCTTTCACTGACCACACGCTCGTGCACATAGATCGCAGCCTAGCATCTTGGTTCTTCTGGAGGTGCGAAGGCGGTTCCCCCAACTTCTGGAGAAGTTGGAAGTATATGTCGATGGCGGCTTTGAGCGCGGCTCCGATATCCTCAAGGCGCTGGCTCTCGGTGCCCGAGCCGTTGGCATAGGACGGCCTTACATGTATTCTTTGGTGTACGGTCAAGAAGGTGCAGAGCATCTTACAGAGAGTAAGTTTTTTCCGTTCACAAACGCCTTGACCTTTCGAGTTGTTCTGACTTCTGTGTACAGTCTTGAAAGATGAACTAGAAACCTCGATGAGACTCGCAGGACTCTCATCCCTCAACGAAATCACTCCACGACTGGTCAACACCAGAGATGTTGATCATCTAGTAGACACGGGCGATGATTCATCGATTGTCCGATCCAAGCTGTAGTATAATGGTCTTTACAGGGATAAACCAGGATAGAGGGCACATACATGTAGATATCATATTGAGCAACTTTTTGGACTTGTTAAGAACATGAACTAAGAGAATAATACTGCTTTGCTACTTTATAAAGTCGACCAAGGTACAATTGCATGTGACCTGACTGAGCAAAGACTACCTCAATCTAAGCCAACCTGATAAAGCTAAAGCTGAAATTCTAGCGGATGAACCCGGTAAAGGAGATGAGATTAACGGGGCCAGACTCGAATCATGTGACAGTCCCCGCGGAAATGGAGGCCTTCCCCGCCTTTTTAGACGGGGAGAAATAAATCAAGCCCTGTCATGATTGCAAATACCACCAATTCTCGTTGGTTGCTCCCAAGCATTTCCCCAACCTCCAACACAGCCTGCTGCCAATCGCTTCTGCCATGTCCAAGCGTCCGCATGAAAGGATCAACGGCTCGTCTCCGACTCTAGTACGTCTCGTCCCTGCCCCCTTTTCTTGGGTCTCACTCCACCGCTCGCTGCGCCTAATCCCCGTTGCCCCTTTCGCACTGATGCTGACAAGGAACCCAAGCATCCATCCAAGAGATATGTGGGAGGGGCCCAGAATTCTCACAACGGACACCCGTTGCCGCAAATATCGCGGAACATCAAAGCATGTACCGTTTGCCGAAAGCACAAGGCAAGTTCAAAAACGCGACACACATATGGCAAGCCAATCATACTGACAGTTGCTCAGATCAAATGCTTGATGTCAGATGCCGGGCCTCCGTGCCAGAGGTGTCACGAGAAGAAGCTGGACTGCGTTGTTAGCAAGAACCTGCAGAGCATTATCGATGAGAAGACACAGCAAGTTTCACCAAAGCTGGGCAAAGTACCTGAAGCTAACCTGGTAATAGATTATCTGAGGCTGTGCTCTCAGATCTCGAGTATCTGTATGCGGCTGTTGGGGAGATGCGAGAGGCTATCGGGATGCCTGGTTTGTTGCCCATGCAGATCACCCAGTTTCAAGATGGGAGAGCCTCTGGCCCTGCGGCACATACGCAATCCCTCGCGATCCCACCGGTTGGGAACGAGGCAATAGGGCCGTCGTGTGACAACTCCCCGAAGCTTTCTCCCAACGACAGTGACCTACCGCACATACCAATCCACTCACTGTATACACTGACCAAGATGCGCGCTCTTCGGTCTCCGGATAGCCAAGAGACCAGGCAGACGGATGCGATCAACGATTTCATTTCTCACGGGAAGCTCGCCCTCAATGATGCAGAACGCCTCTTCACTTATTACCGGGACACTCTGGACGGATTCATGTACTCCATCGGATGTCGGTACCAGTCGTTGGATGAGCTGCGTCGGAAGAGCCCTATTCTCTCCGCCGCAACTTTGACGGTAGCCGCGATGCATGATCCGAGTGCCAACGAGCAATACGGCGTTTGTCGAGCCGAGCTTCGCAAGTTAGTAGAACGGTCTATGCTGGGCAGGCAGGCGGACAAGGACTACTTTCGAGCTCTAAGTATCGCCGCATACTGGCTAAGCGATCTGTCATGGACACTATCGGGACACGCCATCCGTCGAGCCACCGAATGCAACATTCACAACAGCTTCAGCCAGGCTGTGCAAGAACAGAGCCAAGACGCGGTGGATTGTGCGAGAATATGGTCTATACTATACATTTGCGATCAGCACCTGGCCACTTTGTACAGCCGACCAGCCATCATTCAAGATGACGGCTCTACTCAGAATTGGGAAGGGTTTCTAAATGCTCCTTTCGCTACCAAAGAGGACGAGAGACTGATGAGCCAAGTTGAACTCATGGGCATCACTCAAAACATAAGGCAGCTTTTCGGACCTGACAACGGGCAGCCGATTCCGAAAATGTACTTGAACCAGATATCACACTATAACCGACAACTAGGGCAATGGATTGCCAAGTGGAATGTTCGGCTTCCAGGTAAACCCCCGATTCTTCATGAACCCCTGACAATTTAACCCCAAGGTGCTAACCTCTTCATAGCACCTGGCTTTCCACGGAAAGGGGCCCAACTACACATGCATTTCGTGCAGCTCTACCTCTACTCGCACGTCTTTCGTGGCCAGTCCAGCCCGTTGCCTAGCTACTTCTTTGACGCTGCCTGTGTCGCTGTGGCCGCCGCATCCACAATCATGGAGTTCCTCTTGACTGATCCAGACCTCTGCGCCGGCATTGTTGGAATGCCTTCTTACCTGCTCTCCATGATTGCATTTACGGCCATGTTCGCTGTTAAGGTTGCCCACAAGTTCAAAGACGACAACTTGTTAACGATTGAACAAGCTCAGACCCAAATCCTAAGGCTCGTGGCACTCTTCCGGTCATTGAATGTGGGCAAGTGGCATTTGGCAAATCTGATGGTGGAAGGGTTGGAAAAGCTGGCCAAGTTTGTAGAGCCGAGTATGGAGAATGGATTCCATCCCCATGACGGAACAGCTGGTTTTCCGCTCCACACAGCTGATGGCATGGCTGTGTTTGCCCAGACAATGCCGTTCAATCATGTCATGCCCAAGGTTGATGGAATCCCTTGCCCTGCGCTCGATACAACGTTTGGTCTGTCCCCTATCTTTGGCTTCGATCCATCGTGGCTGGAGGATGGGACGCTTGGTGAGCCGATGCCTACGCACGATGATGACAGTCAGCATATAGCGTGAGCAGTTTGTATGTCCTGTATTATATACAATTGAATATATACCAAGCTCTTTACATTCCCTGGATTTTCCGAGGGCGATACTCGCTTTCCAAATACTCCAACTCCTCTTTCGTGAAGTCAACAGCCAATGCCTGGACTGCTTCCTCCACTCTCTTGACCGAATTCAACCCCAGGATCGGGTAGCATTCCTTCTTCAGGACCCAGGCGGTTGACACCAAGGCCATACTGACCCCCTTCTTCTTGGAGATCTCCTCGACTCGATTGACAATTTCCATGTTTGCGTCAGCAAACCATTTATCTGTTTTTGCATCCAGGCCACTGCGCAATGACTTTTCGGTTTGGTCCTCTGCCTTCAGTGGCTTCGCCAGGAGTCCTCTTGCGATTGGGCTCCAGGGAATGACGCCAACTCCCGTTTCTTTGCAATAGGGGATCATCTCTCTCTCTTCTTCGCGGTAGAGGAGGTTATGGAAGGGCTGCATGGAAATGAATTCCGTCCACCCATTAGACTGCGCAATGTACTGCAATCTCTGGAACTCCCAAGTATACATGGACGAGGCTCCGATGTAACGAACTTTGCCAGACTGGACAACCTCATGTAGAGCACGCATGATCTCTTTGGGTGGTGTTTCCCGATCCAGACGATGAATCTGAAGCACATCTACATTTTCACCTATTAGCAAATCGCCACAAGGGCTACATCTTGGCATTTTGCTTTGTTGGGGTTCATACCGATATAATCAGTGCCCAATCTTTTCAGGGATTGATCAACTGCATGGAAAATATGCTTCCGGCTCAACCCCATCTGATTCACCAAGGGGCCATCATTAACCGATGGCGGTCTTGATTCATCATCCATAACCGGGTTGAATATCTTGCTGAGAATAACAACCTTTTGTCTGGGGATGTTGAACTTCTTCAACGCCAGACCGATGATCTCCTCCGACTTGCCGTTGGAGTAGGTGTCGGCCGTGTCCCAGGTGTTGATTCCATTATCGTAAGCTGCCATGAGTAGTTCGAGACCCGCCTCGGTGTCTAGAATCCATGGCGAGCCTTCCCATTTACTGGAGCCGAAGGACATGCATCCCAGGATGACCTTGGAGATCTTGAGGCCCGAATTTCCCAGTCTGCGCACTGTTAGGGAGAGGAGCTTGAGAGGGGTTGGAGGTCTGAACGTGCCTTACGTATTCCATTTTGAGAATAGGATGATTCGCTGATAATTTCTGCTGGGATGAGAGAAAAGCCTATTGATATTTTAGCAGAGTAGGTGTTTGAGTCACGAACATCCTTACCCGAGTCACAGGAATGATTGGCCTTGAGGATTTTCGGTGGATATCCGTAGCTCTCAAACGGGTGCCGGACTTGTTTCCGATGGCGGGGAAGAGAGCGCGTGCGGGGAGAAGACAGAGTGTCGTCACCACTGTGGAGACGACGGGTCAAGAAGCGAGCCGTAGCTGGGGAAGAAGTAATCGGACGCCTTCCGCGGGATGCGGAGATGTTGGGCTTGAGAAGAGGGCACTGGGGACGGGGTAAGTCGCGGGGTACGATCATGGTCGGTTGGATACAGAGGACCGTTTATCAGCATACAAACCAAGCCTAGCAGAAGCGTATACTGGAATAATAAATTAACCAAAACTCTGGAATCAACACATGCAAGTTAACACATACAAGCAAGCGCGCAAGTAGTTGTCTATGGTTTCAAATAGATCATATATTAAAATATCTCCCTATGACTCAACCCAGTTCTCTACGTCGGAGATACGTATGTGTTTAATATACTGCCTATGGAATGTGAACGCGACATGGAGAGTGTCTTTTCCTTCGACAACTTCCAGCCATGTGCTCGGATAGCTTAATTCTCTGTTCTCCTTCCCTGAAGAGCTGTTCGTCATGCAAAATCCGTCTCCGTCCTCAAGAACCTTGGTCTTCCAAGTGAGACCGTTATCGTCAGAAATTCCCAGAGTGAGCTTCTTCCGGGGAATTCCCCAAATGGCTTCACGGCCGCCCTTGGAAGTCTGGTTGGGCCGTTTGTCATCTTCAGGGGTAATGTCATCATAGAGGCCCTGTCGTTTCAGGTCGTCAGGCGAGGCGGCGGAGTCATTGAACACAAGAGCAACTTTTCCCGACGACAGACGAGCAGCGCAGATGCCGCTGTTGGGGTTAGCAAGATCGAGAGGCTTTGGCGTGTCCCAATCAAGACCGTTGGTTGATGTCGCTCGGTATACTCTGTCTGCCCAGCGGCTACGATAGAACGACACCCAGTTGGTCTTATTGGGCTCCGGCTTGATGATGTTCATGTGGACAGCACCAATACCATCAGACAATTGCCTCTCATTCCATGTCTTCCCCTCGTCTCGGGAATAGAAGACCCCAGAAATGTCATCGTTTCCAATCCATCGGCATCCAGGTTCATTTCTGCAGTAGAAAACTGGGAGCACCCACGTATTGTCTTCCAGAACGACAAGGGGCTGTCTAGAGAAAATCCCCTTTTTCTCGCCAAGGGGACGCGTAGGGCTCGACCAAGTCGAACCCCCATCTTCTGATGTGCGGGCTACCATGTAACACTCATCTTGGTTTCCAGCATCTTGAGACGTGTGGAATAGCCAAATGCGGCTTGAAGTTGGGGCCTGGAATAGGACAGGATTCTGGCAGCTCCGACCCTCATCATATGAAATCCTCTTTGGTTTAGTCCACGATGAAGCTCCAGGCTCTAGGCGTGATAACCAGATGCTGACATCTGGAAGGCCTTCTTGCGAGCCTCCAAAGAACACGCATAGGAGAGTTTTGTCAGCTAGTTGAAGAAGGTTTGAAGCGTGACACTGGATTGTTGGTGTTGGGATGGCGAGGCTCTGTGCTTGTGGTGCCATGATGAATTTTGGGTACACAGGTAAGATACTGAACAGAGACAGAGAGTGCTTGAATGTTGGAGTATTCAAAGATGAGTCTGGGTGAAAGATATTACCCCGTAGTTGTTCTATATTCTATTCAGAATTATAGAGCAGACGCTAATGGGTCGCTAAAAATATTGCTCAGTCTCCAAGATTGGAGGTGAAAAACAGCTCGGTCATCTGTCCGAGCCAATCGCTTTGGCCATCAAAGTCTGTCTGCTCCACCGCAGCGACTTCTTGTCACTGACGTGATTGTATTCCGGCTGTAAGTTCCGAAATTGACACAATTAAGCCCAACTCGTTGGACCTTCTTGCTCATTTGACAGATAGACTTATTTCCAACTTGTCAAGGAAAATATGGTACAAATCCATCAAACTCTTCAAATCGCTCCCTTGCACGGAGTCACGGTAGTGGACGAGCTTGCCTGAGATCCGCATATCTCATGTGATCAGCATATTAGAGTCTCAGTCATATGTGGGGGTGGTTAAGGTGTCCCTTTTACATGTCCTTAGAGATAAATCATGATGAATTAGTCTGGGAATTTATGACAATTCTTCTGTTGCAAGGGCATGAATTTTGAAGAAAATAGTTGTCTATCAATTAAAATACGCAGGGCCTTCAATACCATGCTCGCTTCGTTCCACTTGGCATGGGGACGGAAACCTCAGTTATCTCGTAGGCCATTTCGAAACATCATACGGTGTATCCACGACGTCGTTCTCTGGAAACGATTAAAAACAAAACAACTTGAGGCATTTTTAAGTGTAGCCATAGGTGCCTACATAAAGCAATATGGCCGCGCATCTTCTCTGATGACAAACGAAGTCGTCGTCTAATTCTTGTTTTTATGGGCACTTCCGTGAATTTAAGCCACTTTTTGTAAGGTCGAGAGCCAGGTTTCTTCGTCCCTTTTTTCTTGTGATTTCATTTCGTCTCCTTCTTGCTTCGGTTTGGGAGATACTTGGAGGCACAGTATGTTTCAGTTACTACTATAGAATATGTTTCTTGAAAATAGTGATTCTCTACCAAGGGATATTCTTACGACTTGGTAACTATCCGCTCACAAGACCACAACCATCTTGCTGCCACCTCCCCCTGCTTCCATAAAACCATGAGCCTCCTGAATTCGATCCAGCCCGAAAACCTTTATACTAAGTCGAAGTTTTCCCTGCTCGACATCCTTGATTAACTCCTCCAAGGGTACTGTATGAAGGTCTTGAGGACCACCGCCATACGCACAAAGTCGCACGCGATTTGGTAACCCAATGAAAAATGGAGAAAAGTTCTCGAGTATCCATGAACCACCACTTTGATTGCCAACGACGCAAACTGTACCTTTGTCTCTCGCACAAACAATACTGTCGTTAATAGTCGGAGTTCCAATCAGCTCCATAACCCTATCAAATTTCTCATCAAGCTGGAGCGACTGAGAAATCTTTCCATCATCGATGATGACCTTGTCCGCTCCGACCTGTGAGAGTAATTCCTTGCGCCCGGCGTTGCGTGTGGTTGCAGCGACATACGTCGCCCCAAGTTTCCGAGCCAGTTGTATTGCACAAAGACCTATGGAGCTAGTAGCGCCCCGAATCAAAACTCTGTCACCAGGTTGGACATCTAGGCCAGTTGTGAGGGCTCCCCAGGTTGCCTGCAGCATTTCTGGGAGGGCTGATAACTGAGCAACGGTAAGGGTTGTGGTTGGTACCTCTCGCAAGTTTCCGATGGAAGCACAAGTATATTCCGCATAGGAGCCGGGAATCTCTCGACCCAAGCCACCCATACAGGTGAATACGCGCGATCCCACGGGAGGTCGCTGAGCGGTCTCGGCTTCATTGTAGCCCGCGATCGTACCATAACACTCTATTCCCAGAATTTGGGGCAGGGCCATATGTCCTTGGCCTAGTCGAGAAAGCATTTCTACTCGAAAGGAGAAAATAGTTAGCAATACATAACAAGTAAACATTGTACAATGTGGATTGCTTGCCTCCACGGTTGAGACCAAATCCCAAAATCTTGATGAGTGCTTGGCCAATAGCAGGTGAAGGTACTGTGACCTGGTGCTCGACGAGGGTTGAAGGGGACCCAGGGGCCTCGCAAACGATAGCCTTCATGGTCTCTGGTGATGACATGGCTGTGGTGGTTGAAATAAAACTGCGTATGAAGTGAAGTCTTCTGTTAATATCTGAGGAGGTTTGACTGATGATAGAAAGAGAGCCAGTTCAGGTATCAGTTCTTGAACGAGCTTTTATACCCCGTCACAGAATATACTAACTCCTCAATCTCATTATGATCCCTCCCCTTAGACTATGATTATCCATCTTTGGGCTCTAAGTAGACAGGCGGGGATATTATCCCCGTCCATGTCCCTTGAAAGGTGTTGAGGCTCCACACCGCCGACTAAGTTGTCGTCTCCGTGCGGAAATACGACAAACTTCCATTAAAATAGAAGTGCATGAACTAAAATGGTGGAATTAATAAAATCGAGGGAGATACGGTCTCTCGGGCTCTGTGGCGATTGTCATGGTGCTCATTGAGACGCTGATGCATGATGTGGCGATCGGCTACGGCAATTTCTAAGCCATCGGCATTGGACAAATGGTAAAACAATAAACAAGCTCAAGAATCAATCATCAGATATTGGAAATATTCAAACTGAGTGATCACCGTAGAGAGCCGAGGACACGTCCCTGGTATCTTTACTTTTTTAGCCTGCACAGGATTCTCAAGCTACCCTAGACGTTAATCCTCCAGTTCACGAAGGTCAGGGAAATGGTGTCCGTTGTTTTGTGACCGGGCACAGATTTCCATGTTGGTTAATCGATGATCGGTATTCGGCGATGTCAAATGGTAATTCGGTTAACACCCAACATGTTTTCCCTAAAGTGCAATGTTCTTCGAGTGGAAAGCTGCGCCATCCCAAACACATAACATCGTTGGAGCAGAAGTTGGTCAACGATAAATAAGGCCATGGGCATTCCTTCCAGAATAAATTCAAATTCAACATTAAAGGTTTTACCTTCTGAGATCCAGATTGTAGTCCTTTCCGTAGCTCTAACCAGCCTAGCTTGCGAGTTATACGGGCCAACTTATTGGGAAAGCCGAGCGATACCGAGAAGACTTGGGAGGCATCCCGCATGATCCAATGCTTAAGTCGGTCGAATCAAGCTGGGAGCCCAATGTGGAAGTCACTGTTAATCCGGCGAAATGTAATAAGAATTCGGTTTTGTAAATTTCATTTCGTTAAAATCAGGTCCCCCTCTGACTTTTCGCTCTTACATCCAGTCCTTGAGGACAACATAACATAACAAGTCATTAAAATGGCATCTTACTGCGATCCAGCCGAAGCACGAATGAAGGACTGGAACTCATCCATATTACGAGTCTGCACATATACAGAGCCAGGCCCAGTGAATCGGCAGACAAGGCCCTCGCCAGTCTTCAGACTTGTGCTTGCTCCGCCACCAGCTCGCTCAATCTTGTAGTCACAACTCCAGGCTACCAAGTGGCCATTGTCCACAATGTGTTGCTCACCGGGTTGAAGCTATCACAAGAGGTTAGTTCTCATACCACAATTACATACTATAAGGAGGGCGTGACTTACGTCGAGGCGATCAACGGCACCGAAACTCGTCAACCACATAATGCCCTGGCCCTTTACTTGGTAGACAAATAGGTCCTCGCCAGAGAACAGGGCCTTGCCAAGGCCCTGGGACTTTGACTCCTTCGCCACCTCTGCTGTGCAGGCAAGGAAGGCATCCTTGCCGATAATCCAGTTTTGTCTACCGTCAATGTGGAGGGTGATGATGTCTCCAAATAAGGTTGGGCCGAGGGCGACCCTGCCAGGCCCAGTGTAAGTGGACTCGGACATCTCGCCGCCGGTGAAGAGCTTCTTCATTGAGAATTTGACCTTTCCTGTCAGCTTGATGTCGCCGGACATGTGAATCATGGCACCCGGCGCAGAGCGAACGTTGGCTCCCTGCTGGATGGTGACATTCAGCACGGCGTTCGTGTCACGGTGGGTGACGGCATAGCTGCCGCCCGGGAACTGCCCGCTGTCTGTGGGGTGTTGCTGCTGTTGTTGCTGCTGAGGAGGGGCATGGAACTGCTGCTGCTGCTGGGGATGGCCTTGAGCTTGGTGGCCAGGAGGGGCACCAGGCGGGGGAGGGGGGTAGTAACCCTGCTGAGGTCCTTGGTGTGCCATTGTGTTTTGGGTATCTTTGAATGAGAAGCGGAGAGATGAAGAAGGAAGAAATAGGCAAAACCTTATTACACGCTGATGAATATGTGTCCCTATTTATACTCGTCGACAAACCTCACCAGGCCTTATTAACAGAACACAAACACAGCCTACATTAGTTCATTGGTGGGTGAATCAGAGGAGCTACAGGGGCTCAGCATGATGAGACGATCCCGTTTGTCCACTGATTTGCTTGTGATGGTCCCTTGTCATACGGTTAGCATGGGCCCGGCTGGGCCGATGGAACACCTAGGCGCCACGATAATGGACATGCTCCCCCGACACCCAATAGATCTGCGTGCATCAATGCCCGCATTGCCATTGATGGCCCGTGTAATACTGTGAATCTTACCATGCGTGATACACTCGGCGTCTCCATGCACCCCGTGGACCAACAAATGCCATTGTTTCTGGCACCTGTCCTCAGCAACCAACATCCAATGAGGTAATAACCGTAAGCACTGCATTGCTCCATGTGAGACTACGTCATCTGGGTTGTGAAACAAAGAGTACGGCGAATCATCGAAGAGAACCACCAAACCAAGTGGTCCCATCAATTGTCCCGACTGTTCGTGTGGCTGAGCAGCTCTTGGAGGTGGGAGCAAGCCCCAACAACGCGTTCAATGACCAGGATCGGCACATTGGAGGGCATGCCAAGTTGCTTTATTACGCAATCCTGTGGCACACGCACGGCCCCGTCAATTGACCATCCTCCTCCGTCCTAGTTGTGGCGGAGTTTAATCTCGTTGGTGGAAGCTTGTCTGATGGTGGCTGTGCTTACGGAGTCCGGCGATTGTCTAAAAGCGCAATATCACAAGGAGGCCTCAATCACTGAGATGCCATGCAAGGAGCAATGGTGTCGAGGGATGCACATCATACTAAGTCGATTTATGTGCGAAGGTTTGTACACGACAACGGAGACCGCAATTCCGCCCCTATTGAAAAATATGTCCCAATCGGTGCTCAATTGGACCTGCTATCATTATATCATAATAAATTCCGTCTCCTCCCGGCAATGTTCCGCTACTTCTTCTCCATGCATTATGCCGTGAACATATGTCTCTCCTATAAATGAATGATACTCGGCCTTGGTCTGCTTGCGCAACACTAATGGAACGGTGACGCCGTGAAAAATCGAGATGATGTCCCCTTCCTCGACGTCGAGTGGCCCAAGCCCTACATATCCTTTCGCTGTAATAAGCAATGAGCGATTGAAACAGCGTGGCCGGATGCCCGCATAGAATAAGCCACGGTCTGGCCTTGTGGCTAAAGAATTGCTTCTCTTCCCATCGCGTGTCGAGAAACTAGCCCTCGGTTCGATCCATTGTAAAAATTGAGCATGGCAGTCGGCCTTTGTGAGGGTTCCAAGCCGCCCTCCAAGAAGGGCCATGAACATTGCTTCGAGCCGACCACACGTATCTCGGTATGGATCAACCTGGATGCCCCGAAGGCGCCGCTGCCAACTTCTGACTGCATCTTGGAGTTGTTCTTCAAGGGAATTGAAACGTATGCCGTTGATACCGCCCTTGGGAGATAGACCTGTTGGTACAACAATGATGACCTCGTCGAATTGGAATCCTTTTGCTGCCATTAGGATATCGCTGGATAGAGTAGACTTGGGTGACCCTGGCCGGGTAAACAGGACCTCATCACCGGTGCGCTCATAGATAAATCGAATGGATTGTTTGGTGTTTCCGCAGACCTCAAAGTGCTCACTATTTTGTGATACCGACCGCGACGAGCTCAGCGCATTTTGAAACCCCCCGTATTTATCACCGCTGCACCAAGATGGGAGAGTCAACCCTCCAAGTGACTCGAAGGACGGTAGATTGAACCGGAACGTTCTGAAGCCGTAGATCTCAATCAGGTGAATAAACAAGCGGATGAAGACCATATGATCAGAGCCCCAGTAGTCAGCCTGGATATTGAGCTGATCGCGAGCGGAAGCTAGCGATAGAACACCGAAGATGAAATCCCGCAGAATGCTCTGGTTAAAATCCCGAGAGAGTGTCAACCAAACTGGAAGAGGAGCCCTGTGGATCGAGATATCACGTCGATACGTCTTCCACTGCCTCAGTAAATAGTAGAATGGGCATTTGCGGAAGAGCTCCTTGACAAGAACTTGCACATCTCTCGTTACCGAGAGATATTGGGCATGCCAGGTAGCTAGCTCCGCGAACTTGTCCATGGGAACGGATGCCTTCCCAAGAATCACCACAGGTTTTTTGGAGAAGAATGCCTCCTGTATGACCCATCGCCGCCCCCACCAAGGCAGGCTGAGAATACTGCTCAGATGATCCCATTTGGCCAGCCGCGAATCCTTATCGGTCCAGACCCTGCAAAAGCTCCAATCATCGATCGAGGGGGGCAGAATATGAGGAGTTGCCGTAAAGTGTTTCTGGCAGTATTCCTCTAACGCCTTCACCTCCTCATGAAACTTTTTACGAGTCAAGTCGCCAAGGAAGTCCATAGCTAGTTGGGTTAACGACGACCCCTCTCCCAGCCAAATCAAAGTCTGGGATGCTTGCTGATAAATGCGCGACATGAGACTGATTTGCCATGCCTTCTCGTCCAGATCTGTCTGATTGATGCACACTGCATCGACCCATATTCGAACCGTATTTTCATCCTGGCGGATTTGCTCGATGGCAAACCAAAGATTCCGACTCACTTCAAGGCGGACGGAATCTACAAGAAGGTGGCCTGCGCGACGCGTGCCGTCACCATACGACCGTGGGTGATACTGATCCGATTCCCACACGTAGGAAAGAGCGAAATACTCGGCAGGGTCGTCGAGAGACTGTGTAGTCAAGGATGCTGAGATTCCGCTGCCCTCGGGATGCGGCGAGAAGGGTTGTGTGTTTCGGGGATGGATGGTAAGAAGGCGGAACTCATGTCGATCCTGGTCCAGTTTGCAGTACAGAGTGCTTCTCTTGCGTGTTCTTCTCAGATTCTTCAATCGCCGCCTAGCTGGAGTTGCTCCTTTTAGGCTTGATGCTTGGGGAGATGGATGCGCCATGCGTTCGGTGTTGGGTATCGGCTCTGGAGCCATTTTTGCAAGCAGTTGAGTTTGTCCCAGTCAGAAGTGATGATGAAGGAGGGAATTGTGGCGATGCTGATCGATGAGGAGAGAAATGCTGATTTGTTCGTGGCGGAGCAACTCTGTATGCAGCTTATGCAGGGTTGCTGAGCACACCAATCAACGTGCCCGTAGTCGGCGGGGATGAACTTTCGCTTAAGGATGAGTGTAAAGGCATGGCTATAAATCGATTAAGCGTTTTCTTATGGTGGCTAAAGAAATCTAGAAAAGAAGGTGTAATTTCAATGAATGCTAGCCGTGACCGTTGTAGAAAAGGTCATTTGTGTTCCTTTGGTAGATATTCATACTGTTGGCAACACATCAAAGACGACTATCACCCTACGCACCAGACCGAAAGCTTATATGTTGAGGCAAAGCTGCTGAGTAGAGAAAATCTTGAAAGGGTTTGTGGAGAGACTCGATGGTACACACTTGGGAGTGTTGCGGTCCAACCTTGTTGTATTGATAGCTCCTCTAGCTGATGTCTCGTCTCAGAATATAAAATATGTGAAATAAAACTAGATAGCACCCTCAGTAGCTCCCAGTCCTGGAGGGGCAAAGTGCCTTCGAGCATATGTAAACCATAGAGTGATTATCAGAAGACCAATAACACCTAGCACCACAGATATGTAATTCATGGAACCCAGATCAACCGGCAGAGTATAAGGAAAACTGTAGAATACAAGAGCAATTGGTGCCCAGCAAAGAAAGACGATGTTGGCCAAAAGACCCAGTCGAGGGTACCAGAATGGACCGTGCCGCAGATTTTGACGACCAGACTTGGGTAGTAGAATAATCGGAATCGCGTAACTAGCGTACTGCAGCAGGATACCCGCAGACACGAGGGAATTGAAAGCGGTAGTCGAGGCGACATAGAGAAAACCCAAGAGACTTGTGAACGCTGCAGACCCAACCAGGGCCCAGACCGGGGTGTGGAAGGGAGCTCCGTGGACTTTGCTTAGATATCTCGAAAGTGGGAAACCGTCGTTGAGGCCAACTGTCCATGCGAGACGAGACTGCCACACATGAATCCCCCACATGGCACCAACGGTTGAAATGAAGATGGGTATCTGGTAACCAATAGCAGCTGCCTCGCTCTGGCCAAAAATGTCGTACATTGTAGCCATGACGGAGGTTTGGGTGGCAAAATCTGTCATATTGACACACAACGCGAGGACGATGGGCAGGCCGGTGGCAAAGCCAACTATAATAGTCCACATCAGGGCCTTGGGGACATTGACGCTCGGGTTGGGGATCTCTTCCGAGATGTGAACGATTGCATCAAGGCAAGAAAACCCCCAGTTGAGCCCGTTGAGGCCGATCAGAAAAGAAACGCCGTCCGGCCATCCGGAGGCTTGATAGAAGTAAAAGACGACGTCGCTACCTGAACGTCTCTCACGGGCACCAGCAAACAACCCAACAAAAATGGCGATCAGCAGAAGAAATGTAAAAGTCAAGATCCCCTTAGTGATTCGTGGTAAGAGGTTCTCAAACAGGCTCAGAATGAGCGTGATAATGTTCGTAGCCTGGTAGGTGGCGAAATACACCCATCGGCTGGGTTCAAAGCTGGGGTTCAGCAAACTGCCCAACTGAAAAAGCAGCGATGGTCCGACAACACAGACAGATGCGCCTGTACATACTGCGCCAGCCCAGCTGAACAGGGCCGTGGCGTAGGAGAGGAAGCGACGCGGACCCGGGGGAGAGAGCGTGGCAACCCACACATACTGGCCGCCGGCATCTGGAATAGCGGATGCCAGCTCAGACAAGCTGCAAGCGGCTGCGAGTCCTACGCCTGCCATTAAGATGAACCCCCAGAAGAGAGTGACAGTTCCGCCATTGGCTGTGATGCTGCCGATTGTGAGGATGATTCCGATGGCTGTGTTGGTTGTTGATGCGCCCACGGCCATGGCTGAGAGCGTGCTGAATGGCTTCTCCATATGAACGAATTCGCCTACTTCCGTGTCCTGTTGAGGAGACGGGCGAGCTTCGTCTATCGAGGGTTTCTCTTGGGAGGCCATGGTGGGTGGCAATATGGAACAGAACAGGATGTAATTGATGATGGTTGTGAAGCGGCTGAAACGGAGTATGTGGCAGAGACAGCGCAGTACGTCCAATATATGTACTCCAATCCATGAGAGGTGTTGGCTGGGAGTCTTTCAAAATAGATGGTCAAGGGAGAGACATTGTACATTTGCCGCCTAGCCGAGCAAAGGAGAATAATTCGAGTCGAGCAGCTCACCAAAACCAAGTACATAATTAACTCTCAGACACGTAAAGCCCTGCCCCATTCTTCCCCGCACAAGCCCTAGATAGAACTAGATGGAGGGCCCAACGTTATGGTGGCGGAGGTATCTCACAACGCTAGCCTCACTCAAGGGGGGTAACAAGATTTGGAGATAAGGGATGTTTCCGCTTTGGTTCACTAGGCGAGCGTTCCAGTGCAAGGGTCTAGGCTCCTTGAACAAAACACAGCCAAGGGGTATTGGACGCTCACCAGAGCCAAATGAACTTGGTGTTTCCTTGCATGTTCGTCGATCCTTGAACCGCATTCTGATATAGCCCATTCGTTCTCGAATTCTATTCTCTCAAATTCAACCAGTAGCCACTTTGCTTCGACACAACTATTACTGTTATCATCAGAGTTAGTGTGTAGCGTGACAACCTGCCGCAGTAAATAATAATTTCAAATTTGTTTGACCGACACAAGCTTTACTAAATCATCCCTGGGAGTCGGGTAGAGGCTGTCCAACCAATCGCCATGGTGGTATTCAGAAACACCAAGGATGACATCGTCACTTGTGATATTCATTCCGCCGATGATAAAAACTAGTAGCTCTGCACGGTTTCTGGCTCCCAACGAGCAATGAGCCCAGCTTAGAAAGCTCTAGCGCATCCTCTTTGGAACTCTCGCGAAAGCCTAGACAGCTAATTGCACACCTTCTGGTTTCCAACTCCTTCAATCTCATCATCAATGCCAGAAAATGAGCTGATAGAAGCTACTATTGGTACTGACGCGGCATTATGAGGCGAGCCAGCGATTGGGTGTGTATAATACAATTCGGTGCGGTCGTTCTTACGAACGGAACTGTTGGAGCGAAGGCGAGTTGCTGATCCCATCACAAACAGCGTCAATAGGCCATGTCAGTAATGGCAAACATATAAGATATTTCTCTTCTATTCGATAGCATTTTAGGATGACAAAGTTTGAACTTTGTGCTTCTCTGTTTCTCTCTCTGGATTTTACGACAGATTCAACACCCCATTATCAGATGTATACTAATACCGACTGAGCTGATCCGTGACCTCTACGATGGATTTCGGTTTATTTCCGTTTGGGGAAGGTATGCTCTGTGGAGTCCTCTTCCAGCACAGCAAAGCCCTTGTTCGGATGAAACCCGATGCATGACTCGTGCGCGATTCCGGCTTTCGCAGTCATCGGCTGTAAAGATCTAGCCCACGGTGAATGTAATTAGCTAATTTGGAAAGAACCCGAAGCTGATCAGGGGCCAGTTTGTATATTAATTCTGTCACAAGGTGGGACGGGAATAGCGTATCCCGCGTGACTTAATGGACTACTCTGGCCTCGTAATGAACACATCCGATACCTCCGGATTAAAACTACTTGCGGAAAGAATTGTTAAACTTTCAAATAAAATAATTGTATTTGGTATTTATCGATTTTGCCTTTCCCGCTTTCTACGCGACATCAACGTGGGAAACGCCGCTAAGGTCAAAAGCAAGGATCGATATCAAGGGTATTTGGAGAAGCAACCCCTTGATTAGATGAGCAGGTTCCATGCTCTACATTATCCAAATACTTCCGAAGTCACTACCGGGTCATAGAGAGTCGAACATATATCTACCAATTCTCGGCAGCAAGCCAATCTCAGTCGATTTCAAGTCATCATAGCACCACCAAAACTTTCTTTTGGGTTTCTCTATTCATCATCCATACTTCGCGATGTCTACGGTTACAGACCTCCAGGCTCTTGACTTTGACTATGTCATTGTTGGTGGAGGAACAGCTGGTTGTGTGATAGCCAGCCGGCTTGCGGAGGCCCTTCCCGATCACAAGATTTTAATGATCGAAGCAGGACCGAGCGATTTGGATGACAAGCAAATCCTTGACCTGCGAAACATGTACAATCTCATGGGCAGTGAGTTTGATTACAGCTATAAGACAGTTGATCAGACATACGGTGAGTAAACCAGCAAGTGTTTCCATATTTCCGAGCAAGCCCTAACGTTTTGGCCCAGGAAACAGTAACATCCTTCACTCGCGGGCTAAAGTTCTCGGTGGTTGCTCAAGCCACAATGGCAGCTTGGCTGTTCACCCATTCGAGTTCGACATGAAAAAATGGGAAGAAGCGGGCGCTATGGGATGGGATTGGGAGACCATGAAGCGCCTGATCAAGAAGCTACGCACGCCGATTGTGGCTATTCATGATCGTCACCGAAACCCCATCGTCTATGACTTCCTCGAGTCGACCAACAAAGCACTCGATATCCCCGTTGTCGATAGCGTCAATCACGAAATCACTTCTTCACGTGGCCTTGCTGGCGGCGGTGCGTCCTTCTGCTCCCTGACGTATGACCAGAGCACAGGTTACCGTGTCAGCGCCAGTGTCGCCTACATCCATCCCATCCTCAGAGGTCAGGAGAGACGACCCAACCTGACAATTCTTACCCACGCTTGGGTCGATCGCATCACTGTTGTCAACGGCACAGCTACCGGGGCGAGCCTTGGTCTCCAGTCCGGAAGAAAGATCAAGGTCAAAGCGACGAAGGAGACGATCGTATGTGCTGGCACCTTTGACACCCCGCGTCTTATGCTCCTTTCCGGCATTGGTCCGCGGAACGATCTTGAAGACCTGAATATTCCCGTCGTGAATGATCTCCCCGGTGTAGGCGAGAACCTCATGGATCATCCCGAAGCAATCATCACATGGGAGCTCCACGAGCCCCTCGAGGACAAGACTGTCATGTGGGCGGATGCTGCCCTCCTCGCTCGCCGTGAGCCCGCCAATATCAACGGCGACGATGGCATGGTCCCGGACACCATGATGCACATCTACACTATGCCGTTCGACGTCCACCAGGCCGCCCACGGCTTCGACGTACCCAAGAACGTGTTCTCGCTTACGCCCAACATTCCCCGTTCGCGCTCCCGGGGCAAGGTTTCGCTCCAATCCTCCGACCCCAAGGACCCGCCCCTCATCGACTTCCGCTACTACACCGACCCCGAGGGCTACGACGAGAAGACTCTCGTCTGGTCCCTGCGCGCAGCCCGCAAGATCGTCAACCAGGACCCCCTCAAGAAGTGGATCAAGCGAGAGGTGGCCCCGGGTCCCGGCTGCCAGACCGACCAGCAGCTTTCCGAGTACGGCCGGAAGACGGGCAACACGGTTTACCACCCGTGCGGGACTGCGAAGATGGGAGACACCAAGCACGATCCCATGGCCGTTGTGGATCCGGCACTCAAGGTCAAGGGGATCAGGAAGCTGCGTGTGGCGGACGCGAGCGTGTTCCCGCTCATTCCTACGGTCAACCTGATGCTCACGACATTGGCGGTGGGCGAACGCGCGGCTGAGTTGATTATTGAGGATGCCAATAAGAGCTTTGCCAACTTGTAAACATGGTAATATCGATAAGTATTTGTTTAAATAAGAGAAAGTAAAGTTGTTCAAATAGATTTCGCAATGTTCTCCATCGTTCCATACTATCAACATATCCATAAAATTACCGTCATGTAAACATTTCCACGTTCAAACCCCGCGAATTCACCTGAAGAGCCCATCATGCTAGAGGAAGCAACTTCCCCGTCTCAAGAAGTACCACCGCCCATGACGTCTTGATCCCCAGCGGCCTAAGCTCCCAGATCTCCTCCAGCAACGTTATGGCATCCAGCATGACAGGCAGGTGAGTAAGAGAGTAGAGGGCACGGAACCGCGCCTTGACCTCTTCTTGCTGCTTCCGATTATCGGAGGAAATCTCCGAGGCAGCTGAGAGGAGGGGGATAGGCTGGAAGTTGAGGTACGGTGACGTGTGGGGGATCTCCATCAGGTTTTCCATGGCTTCCGCGGCCCACGTCTGTATCTGTCGTTCGTTCTCTAGGTCAGGCTCGCCATTGTTAGGGCCGCATATCCGGCGCAACTGGATCAGACCGTGTTTACGATAGGCTCCGCTCAGAGAAACTAGCAGTGTATCGTTCCCGCCTGGTTTCCAATTCAGCAGCTGCTCTTCGACCGCAGCTTCGTGGGCAAGATCTCGAGGTTCTCCGTCCACAATCCGCCGGCAGTAATGGTTCAGATTGGCAATCAAATAAAAGAGTTCAAGAGAGTATCCTGTAAGAGAATGATACTCCAGCCGGTTGGCCATCACGGCCTTATAGATAGCATCTGTTCCCAGTGGCCTCTGCAACCGGTGATCTAGGTTGAACGAGGCAGCCATCTCCCACCAGATATAGCTACCGAGGATCATCTGCATGTAGGCGCTAGAATAGTCCACATTTGGGTCGTTGAGGAGGATATCGCCTAATGCTCTCGCACCGAGAAGGTGCTCCATGCCCGATGTGCCCTCGATCCATGGTGACGAGATGCCCATGAGGAAGATGGCCAAGAATGTGGACACAGATTGTTTGCGCACATGCCGAAGCTCCTTTTGGATAGACAGCAAGGCCCTCTTTCGCTCAAATAAACACTCACTCGTGGCATCATCAGCAAACCCGTGTTTGTGGGCGGCCGCGATGCTCTGCACGACATGGAGAAGAGCGTCTGATTCTTTCATAAGAGTCAACAGCGGGAATGCCAGCGGATTGTTTTCGGGGTCGAGGACCATGATGTGACACACTCGTTCAAAGTAGTATTGAAGGAGCAGAGACGGCGACGTGCCACCGGGATTGCACGCCTGCTGGATGAGCAGCGGCAGTTCGAGATGCCATCCCGAATGGCGAGGTACCGGAATGCACAGAGTACCCCGGCGTTTGCAGTGCCCACAGACGGGATATGTCTCGTCGCACTTGACACGCCGCGACTTGCATTCATGGCAGGCCAGCTTGCTCTTCGGCCGAGAACGAGCTGGCAAGGGTTTTGCATTGGAGGTCTTGGAGACACACTTGGCGCTGGGGACGACTGGTGGTGTCGGCGTGAGGGCAAATCGCACCCGCCATTGCTTTGAAACCATTCTGAATCGTCTTTGGCTATAGGAGATTGGTCAAAGAAGCAAATTGGAGATGCAGGCTCCTTTCTCGGCACTTCCAAGGGAGATCTTACTTCGCGTGGTGGCGAGTCACTGGCCGCCCTCTCCGCAGATAAGGATGCCACCCTTCCGCTGCGAGTCAGGGATGCAAGATAGGGCTAGGCACGAAATGGTTAGAACAAGGTCATCTTGTCAAGCGGGGTACCCCAGGGACGCCTCTTGCTGGCGAGATTCAGCTATAAGAGCTAGCTATTCTCATATTCTCTTGTGAAGAGATTGCCTATCAATTTTTTCAATTTTCTTAGCGATTCTACTGAAAGACATTATGGGAGCAACAGTCAGAGCCTAGCAATATAGGCATTTAACCTCGAATAAATGCAACTGCCATCCAAGATGTGCTAATAAGTTCGCTAGCCAAGGTTGATGGCTTCCTTTATATGCGTCTCAGACGCGATGAGCTCCAAATCTTGGACTTTTGACGGGATCATTTGACTGAAATTCAAAACGAGCATGCAATTTTTAAAAGGAAGTACGTTGGAGTCTTATTGTAGCCAAATCTTGCTCAACTTCCACTGAGCCCCTGATGGATGGATAGACCGGCGGGATCTGACAGCTCATTGTGCTATGATTCCATACAGATCTTCCAATGGTGTGTTTCTATGGATAAATCAGGTAATGGAAATGATCCGAGTTTCCATCGTTCTGGTCAGCCGTAGGGTAGGGTTCACTCTCGGCGTCTTTGCCGTAATATGGATCATCTCTGATTCATACAGACACCAGTGAGGCTCCACTCCTCGAATATTAGCCGAAATAGGAAAGAATGATTAGGACTTGAGCGCCTAATGCAGCTAGAGTACGTGCCAGTCTGAAATGTGCGGGACTTCTAAAGCTCGGATACGCTCGACTAACCCGGATGTAGCGACTAACATTGCGTGTGATGGGATGCAGGGCCTCCGTACTTTACCCCAAGATGGAATCAATGCCAGGATGCAATGTTGGCCCTTCTAACTGTTGGCGTTCACTAGTTCTAGCCCTTGCCTACCCCTTCCTCTAGTCCCCTGGGTAAAACGTCACGAAGATCAATATGGTCGCAGCTATGTCTACTTTTAGCACACCTCGGCATTCTGATTTCGGTTCAAAGCCTAGATAGGAAAAAGCTAGCGGTGTACACCAAACATGAATAACGAGGATATGTGATGCTGCCTCGTTGAATACATGTAACGTGTATGTTGGTAGGCCCTATTCGGGTTTCTGCTAATTCCAGTTCTGCATTCCACATCGCAGGGGACCATCTAACTGAGGCGTAGGACAAGGAAATGTTGTCCATCGTTGCAAGAGCGAAAGGGTCTCTGCTTCTGAAACCTGAACCGGTATAAAACGTCTCCTTCAACCTCTACAAACCTTGGTTATTCCCTCGGTGTTTAATCGCGAGGTCCTTACACATACTCTCACGATCATGGCTACACAATCGCTCCCTACTGACTGGGCCGAGGGCTATGACTACATAGTCGTCGGTGGCGGGACAGCTGGTTGTGTTGTGGCCAGTCGACTGGCCGAGTATCTTCCAAAAAAGCGCATTCTTCTCGTGGAAGGTGGGCCAACAGATGAAGGTGACAATCGCGTGTTGATACTCAGGGACAGGCTTCAGACAATTGGAACAGACCTTGACTATGGCTACACAAGTGTTCCGCAACCCAATGGCAAGTCCCTCGAATGAATTATTGACGGCGTCTGAGGACCATTTGCGACTGTCCGATAACTAACATGTATCATGCCATAGGAAACAGCCATATCCAACATTCCCGAGCCAAGGTGCTGGGTGGCTGCTCGAGCCACAACGACATGATCTCATATCGAACAACCGAGTACGACTCTTACCTCTGGCAGAAGCTTGGATGCAAAGGGTGGGATTTCAACCTTTTCAACCGACTTCTTGACAGCCTTCGTACCACTATTCGGCTTCCTCATCCTCGGGATCAGAGTGACTTGTGCAAGGACTGGATTACCTCTGCTCGAGCGGCTCTCAATATTGACCAAGTACACGATTTTAATCAGGCGATTGTATCTAAATCCGGTTTGCAAGAAGGCACAGGCTGGTGCAACGTATCGTATGATCCTGATACCGGATACCGCAACAGTGCTAGCATCGCCTACTTACATCCCATCTTCCGGGGCGACGAGCATCGACCGAACCTCACCGTCTTGACGGACGCATGGGTGTCGAAGGTCCACATTGAGGATAACACCGCGACGGCCATTGATGTGGCTCTCAAGTCGGGACATTCGATCACCGTGCGCGCGAAGAAAGAGATCGTTCTGTGTGCTGGAGCCATCGATACCCCTAGACTCCTACTTCTTTCCGGGATTGGGCCTCGCCAACATCTCGAGTCCGTCAATGTCCCGGTTGTATGCGACCTGCCGGGAGTAGGTGAAAACCTCATGGATCATCCCTTGACAACAATGCTCCACGAACTCAACCGACCAGCGCCAACAAATACCGTCATGAATTCGGACGCGTGTTTCTTCCTTCAAGCCAAGCCGTTCAATCACGATGGCGATGATGGACACATCCCCGATGTCATGGTGCACATTTTCACGGTCCCGTTTGTCGACGACTTCAAACGCCTGGGGTATGAGATCCCCGAGCCTGAGCGCGTCTTCCACTTCATGCCTCTAGTCCCCCGCCCGAAATCCATCGGGCGCATCTACCTCAAGTCCAACGACCCGCAGGAGAAACCCGCACTCGACTTTCAATACTTTACAGACACGGACGGCTACGACTCCGCCATCCTCGTTGAGGGTATCAAGGCATGCCGCAAAGTGGCCGAACAAGAACCTTTCAAGAGCTGGATCAAGCGAGAGATTGCACCTGGTCCCCACGTCACAACGGACGAGGAACTAGACCAGTATGCCCGCGATCTATCAGGTACAGTCTACCACCCTGCCTGTACGACCAAGATGGGAGACGTCGAGAAGGATGAAATGGCTGTGGTGGACTCGGAGCTAAAAGTGAGAGGGATCAGGGGGCTACGGATTGCCGATGCGGGTGTCTTCCCGACGATGCTGTCTGTGAACCCGATGCTCACGGTGTTGTGTGTTGGTGAGCGGTGTGCTGAACTGGTCGCACAAGATGCTGGCTGGCAGCGCGATACGCCGAGGTTGTAAATTAGCGGCTGAGACATGACGATCGAGAGTTCAGATCAGCTCGTTAGTCGCTAGCTTATAGACACTGTTCATCGTTGATTCTTCATGGTCGGATGATGGAATCTGGCTTGCCCTAGACCCAGTAGTGGCCAAATTGTTCGTTATCAGGGGCCACACTACTTCATTAACGCTAAAAAGAAGCCTCTGTCACAAGAAGACATGTTCTTGATGCCCGATCCAGTATAAGTTTTTCGGTTCTCTAGCTCCTGGTGGCCTGTCTGCTGGACTGTCAACGAATCAGATGGGGTGTCACAACAACCCCGGTCACTCTAGGCCTCCCGCTAATCGCTCAACTTGTGGTGATCGACGTCATGACCTCGCTTTAGCCTGTTCTCCAAATCCGGCCAGGTCCTACGGGATACGTCATAGGCGCCCTCATGATCATGAATGGGGAGAGAATCCAGCTTCTCCCATCACCGCTAAATCAGGGGCGGAGACGGGATAGAATTCCTCGGCGATCATAAATGTCTCTGCTTTTCCACCCCGGTCACAGTGAAGATCATCTTTTCTTTTGAGACCGACATCAACAGAGAACAGCTCTTGGGGACTTCATGCACCTGCGACCATCCCCTGAACCAAAATTCCAGTGAAACAACGAAGGCATTATTACTACGCGAGCAGTCATGGGCTTCGCCAATCTAGACAAGAGCTATGTGGGCTTCACCGTTGCCCACTGCTGCACCTTCGCCCTCGCTATTGCAGTTTGTGGCGTATACGGGAGCGATATGCAATACGCCAGAGAAACACACAAAGGCGTTGATTCAAAATGGGTAAGAAGCTGCTGCGCGCTACAATACAATTCCATCAGAAATAAATCAACATTTATCTGACAATCTTCTTACAGATTTTCGCCGTGGTGGTCGGCGCATTGTCCGCGTTGACATGCGTCATATACGCCGTGCCCTTTATCTTTGCCAAAGGCAGTTTCTTCATGATCTTCTGGGACGCGATCTTGTTCATCCTATGGATCAGTCTCTTTGGGGTTTTTGGAAAGGCAAGTCCCAGGCATCTGCTCTGTTACTCCATTTTTTTCTTTCGATCTTTCATATTTATGACCGTCCCGCACAAACTTCTCGAGAACTTGTAATAACCGTATGCCTACAGATGTACATTCATGCAGACGCAAATGGTGACCGCGATGTTGAGCGAATGAAGAATACCGTTTGGCTGGATCTGACCAACGCCCTTCTTTGGCTCATCATCACGGTGGCCATAAGTATCTACTGGTTTAAGCACCGCAGCCCGGCTAGGTCAAGGTGGTCAGGCCGTATGAAGGTTTAGGGAGGTAATACGTGGGAGACGTTTGGCCATATCATCAGGGGGAATCAATTGAGAGGGCCGAGCAATTCGGAGTTAACTGGCAGGCGGAGTTCAGTTGCGTTCAAGGAAGAAGACGGGCAATTTACAGCAACGGAGTTTAATTTTCCACAACACCTGAATGAATAATAATAAGCATATTTTCTCACAAGACTGAAATCAGTGAATGTATTCGCCTCCTCTCAAATTCCAAATTCAAAAGGCCCAACAAATAGGCATATATCATTGTTGATTGTGTACTGCCGAGCTGCTGCGTGTCCAAAGTTAAGGCTTCCCCTCTCTCGATACCATACACATATCATTAGTCTTGCCCTTTCTGTGACCCCAGTCGTGAAGAAGACTTTCATTACAGGCTCTACTCGCGGCGGCCTATGCACCACTCCGGTGCCATTGTCAAAAAAAAGTTCAGCCTTGAGTTTGGTGTAACGCCTCCTTTGTTGTTTTTAATGATGCCGACCTTGCAGTTTCCATCCAGAGTGTCCTTGTTTCCAAGTTCAAGAATACTGGCCAGGCATGTGTCTGCGCAAGCCGAATTTACATCAAAGAAAGTATATATGACCGCTTCAGCGAGGGTATTGTACGCGAGGCTCGCAAAGTCCGCCTTGGCAACGGTACAGGGGCGCTGACAACCATGTATCTCTCGAACCCCTGACCAACGGAACTGCGAAAATCGAGAAGTAGATCCGCAATGCCGTAGATAAGCAGGCCAAAGTTCTACTGAGTGGCAATCCTCTTCCCGCCTTGGGTGCAAGTTTACACGAGCCTACTGTTCTGGCAAATGACTGTGATATAGGCCTTGCTTCCTATGTCATGGCACACGATTCCTCTCGTTCATGTCGCGTTTCCGAAAGCCTCGATCGCGGCATGGTCGCCATTGAGACAGGTTCCATTTCTGATGCTGCAACTCCGTAAGTCGGGGCATTTTCAATCTCAAGCGTGATGCCTCATATCTGTGCTAACTTGAGAATTTCTTAATTTCGGCGGTGTGAAGCACTCTGGCTTTGGTCGCAAGGGCAGCAAGTATGGGTGAGACGATCAGATTACCTACAAAACCGACATGACCGGCGTAACGAGCCGCTTGTCGTCTTTGCCCATCACATCAATCGAGGCACAAACCGATAGCCATGTTTTATCCTGGCAAGATTCGCATCATTAAGCAATGGAGGAATACGTAGAACTCGATCGAAGGAAGTCAAAACTCATTTAATTTGATTGCTCACGTGAAGGAGCATGGCGTTCCTATCAATAGAAAACGAGACTATGATGCTCTTAATGATTGCATTTCCATGCTTTTGCGGTCCAGATTGATGAACTAGGTTTCTCTCGCGGCCCACAATCTTTTCAAACAATGTAAAATTTCAGCACAGTCCAGATTCGGACAATGTATCAGACCGATACTCAAGATCGAAGCCGGCCATTACTTCTTGGACACAGCCTTGGCAAGGTCAGCAAGCGCATCGCGGCGCTTGAACTTGGCATCCTCGATAACGCCTTCACACTTCAGTCAGTTCCAAATTCTCAAAAAATGGCAGTGTGGGGTAAACTTGCCGGCATCAGCATCGCTTGAGAAATTGCCACTCCAGGTGACGAAGGTCTGGCCCTTGTGGTCGCCCGAGGTAACGGGGTAGGCTCTCACGGTGCTCACAACGGACGTGTAGCTAAGAGCGGGGGTTGACGAGATGACGCTGTACGTGATGTAGTGGTCGATGGTCTGTTTCAACGTCAGTTCCCGCCTACTGGCCAATCCGAGATGCGTGCAGTCCTTACCGAGTGCTCCTCCTGCTTGACTTCGAGGACGGTTCCATCCTTGAATGTCCACTTGACGATGTCGGTGTCGGGCGACACGCCTTTGACCCATTCGCTCTTCTCGAGAGCAGTGTTGAATTTGGCGAAGTCCTGGAGCTTGATGAGGTGCCAGACGTCGGTGAAGGGCGCCTCGATGACGGCCGACTCGAGGACGGAGGTTGAGGTGGGGATGCGAGACATGTTGAGATTGATGGCAGTGGAATGCAGTGGAATGCAGTGGTTTGATGCGATGAGCGGATTGCTTTTGGATGGTATCTTGGGTGAAATTGTTGCTCTGGCGGTGATTGTTGATGAAGACGAGGATGAGGAGAAGAGGGAGGAGACGGTGGCAAAGGCAAGAGTGATCGTTGCTGGTGATGCTGCATGTCGTCATCAGGCAATTTGCTGATGCAGGCACTAACCGAGACCGCTAAAATGCTACTGTTTCCAGCTAGACGCGCCCAAATGCAGTTCCAGCGGGACAGTCGCTGTAACTCAACCTTATTTCAGCACCCGATCGCTGTCACCAAGAATTGATATAGTAGCCCAGGCTTCGACTTCAAACCATCGATGCAGCAGGGCAGCAGGACAGTCATCATACATGCACACTCCTGGCAAACGATAGCGTCAATCCCGGCATGCTCTGGTCAGCCAATCGTCATTGGCATATGTTTTCATGAGACAATATTGATGGTCATGAGATGCACCGGACTAAAAAGAATTGATGAATTGATACATGATAAATCTACTCGACGTCTATTAGAAATGTAATGTGCATGTCTTGGTGCCGAGCAGACACCTAGAGCAGGGGTATAAGGAGCTCTCGCTACGTCTATAGTCTGAAATGAAACCTTGTCTCTCCCGTCTAAGTCACAAAGTCTATCGATTCTAGGGCTGGCTATAGCGTCTTGTTTATTTGGCGATCTCGACACCGTTGGTGGCACCTGAGAAAGCGTCAGCCAGGATCAAAGGAACAAAGAGAGCAAAATAGCCGCTTACCGAGAGCCTTCTTGATGTCACCGTAGATGGCGAATTGACCAGCAGTAAGTCCACCAACCATGACCAGACGAGTCGGCAGGCCGGCGAATGAGCCACGGACACCGAGCTCGCCAGCGATCTTGACCAGGCGAGAGGCAGTGCTCTCACCAGGGAGACCCTTGGTCTTGTTGATCTTGGACAGCATGGTGTCGGCGGGCTGGGAGATGATGGCGGCGGCGAAACCGGCGAGGAGACCGGATCCCAGGTTCACGGCGGTCTGGGCACCAGATGAGAGGTTGTCCTTGCCGAGCTGACGGAAGAAAGCCTCGGAGATCTTCTCAAAAGCCACGAACTTGGTGACAGTGTAGGGGACCCTGTATATCCATGTCAACTCACGCATTCGAACCAACATCACGTGCTGGCGTCATAGAACATGAACTCACTGCTTGAAGAGGATGGGGCCGAAACCAGAGTAGAAAGCACCAACACCCTCGGTCTTGAGGATCTTGCTGAAGCCGCCAACCAGACCGCTGGCAAAGCCAGGGGTGGAAACGAGACGGATACGGGTAGCCTCAAGAGGGCAGAGGGCCACGGAGGCGAAGAACTCGGCACTGGCAGCAGAGACGGAGTAGACGAGGCCACGGTTCTGGCGGGCCTTCTCGATACCGAGGATATCGATGGACTTCTTCTTGAAGAACTCGTAACCTCCGAACTTGAAGCCACCCTGGATGAAATAACCGGTGACGGTAGGGCCGAGACCGGTCAGGAGAGCACCAGCACCCTCATTCTGGACGACCTGACGGAAAGCAGCGATGGTACCACGGTTGTAGGTAGCCGGGTCCAGCTGGATCTTAGTCTTGACCCTACAATACAGGAGGTTAGTCAACGAGACTATCTCACGGTGGAGAAGGACTGAGGCTGGCTACGAAGGATGACATACACGTCCACCGGTGTGAAAGCACCGTGAGTCACGGAGCAGCCGACAGCACCAGCAAGGGCAAAGCGAGAGTAAAGGTTGATGCCCTGGGGGCCCTCGGAGACAGGAGAAGGAGCCATTGTGACGGTGTTGAAGGCACAAAGCAGGCGGTACCAAGCGGTTTAGAGGGGAGATTGATGAAATGAAGGAGCGAGAAAAAAAGAAAGAAGGGGCCCAAGACTGGTTTACTGGTTCTAAGATTTTAGTCCAAGTGGACCTGATTCATGATACAGGGTTAAACCGGAGCAACTAATGTGACATCTGCACGCACCTCGCCCTATGAGGGCCATCGGATTACGGCAGACACCCTGCTTCATGCTACACCAAGGGTCATCTGTCCGTCAGTCAGACTTATTCTTGCTTTGAAAGTCCTCAGCCGCGACTACATACAGCCGAGGAACCGCTGGAATACCAAAAGACCCGTCGAGCGTCTCACGAAGAATCCGGCCTTAAGCAGCGCTATCACCGGGGTTCCTGAGCAAAGAAGTGGGAATTTCTGCACTAGCCATATTATTGCGCAATTCTGGGCGTAGAACCGTGCTCGGCCGGCAATCCTTCCTTTCACATGCGTTGAGGGAATTCAACCGTTGTGAGAGGAACTGGAGTGCTTATACCTGCCACCTGCATACACGTTCTGCCCGCTGCATTGCAGAGTCACAGATAGGATAAATAGGCGAAGGTGCCGGATCGAGATTTAAATGTTTTAAATCTCGCTTTGATCAATCGAATCTAGCTTGCAGAACGGCGCATGCAGGCCTAGCCGAGCCGAGATTTGCCCCACTGCCACGCCTTTGACACGGAAGAGGCTGGCGGAAAGGGCGGTGTCAGACCGTGTCCCTCCTCTCTGGGATGACATCGATGGACGTCTGGTTGGAGTCATCATGCTGCCTGCAAACACGTCCCGTCCCATCCTGACCCACCTGATCGAACTGGTGGGTAGGGCGGAACTCTCTCCAAGGAACCTACGATGCTCCTTGAACCCTCTGGCAACTGACCTGATTATTATTCTTGGTGTTGTGCGTAACCCATGGTATTTCCAGTGATAGGATAGGGTAGGTTAGCCCTATATACCCTGTTAATGCTACCGTTTCTAAGCAATCAGTGGGATCTCACTCGAAGCTCGTGATGCTTGCGAGCTAATATCCGGGCAATTCCCTAGAGCTCAAGACACCCAGGTGAGCCTCCATTCTTCCAGAGTTCTAGCGAGCGAGGGAAATTAGTGGGCTGCTGTCACAAGACAATGGGACAATCCGGAAGCGGGCCCCGATATCGCCTTAGCACCTTACATCCCCGCACGAACGTCTAGTTATCAATCTCTCCAGATCCGCCCAGACCTCTGCCATGGACGCCCATACGGCGCTAGACTCTCTGCCCTCCGAGGTGGTGGACCGAATATGCAGCTTCGTCGGCCCTCAAGATCTTGTGAGCTTGCGCCTCTGCAGCCGCGCCGCGGCTGCCAAGTCTCTCCATCAGTTCGGCCAAAAATGTTTCGCCTACAACCGATTCCTCCTGACCAGCAAGAACATGGCCATTCTTGAAGCCATAGCCAAGCATGATCATTTCCGCACCGTGGTTCGTGGGGTCTACATTATGCCAGCCCTCTTTGAGGGCATGTACTCCATGGACCAGAGGGCGTTCTGCCAATGGGCCGCTGAGTCGAGACCTAGACGAACGCTCTATCCGTCAGGGGCGCGCCGTGATGATCTTGAGATCCCAGACGACAAGCTGCGTGAATTTTACCCGGCGTATAAGAAAGTCGTGGCTGATCATCTGGACATCGTCTTCTCCGGCAGGTTGAGGGAATTACTTGCATACTGCGCCAGCCGGTTCCCAAACTGGACCTCGGTGGGGTTGTCGCATTACAACGCCGGGCGCCAGGATTCTCTCAACGTCAACCGTCTCCTGGATTGCCCAGAATGGAGAGACTTGGTTAGCAGACTCGGATGCGATCCGGCGAGCGCATGGCACAGCATCTCGCCGTTCCGAGCAGGCGACCCCAACGTGAGGGCGAGTGTTTTCACCGCTCTTCTGAGGACGTTGATTGCTCCCGGCGCGGAAAATCTGGCATTGGAGGAATTGACCACTTGCCAGGCAGCATCAAGATACACCTCGCGCTGCAGTGGGCTCATGCTGGGAGAACTAGACCTGTCCAGCGAGGAGCAGGAGCTGATCCTCGCGCGACTCGAAGCCATGAAGCTGCAAGAGCTTCACATGTGCATCCGAGACTTCCACCGGCAAAAGCACCCTGAGTCTTATTCATTCATGAATAAGATTGTTTCCCGGGTCTCGCCGACACTGACGGATTTCAGATCCACGAGGTCACCCACGCACGAGGGATACGAATATGCAAAGCAACAGATCTCTTGGCTGTCCCACAACACCTCTTTCACTTCACTATGCAGACTTGAGCTTGGGGGCATAAGCACCGATGTGGATGATTTCAAGCGTCTCTTGGCAACGGCAGCCCCAACACTGCGCCAGGTCACCTTCTGGGATATCTACTTGAGGGTGGACAACCCACCAGCTGGATCTGAAGAGTATGCTCGTCTGGGAAGGCAGCAATGGCGGCAGGTGTGGGTTTGGCTCGGAGAGAACTTGGATCCCTCGGGAATTACAATGTCATCCCTTAATGGCCCGGGACATGGAAGTCTACGCATCCGCGACAGACTGCACGGATATAGAGGCAGTCATCCGATCATTAATGCATCCAATGTTGGCCTCTATATCAAGGAGAAGTCACATGTATCTTTCAAGGAATGGATTTCACAGCTGCGGTTTGAGAAGTTGCTCATCAACCCCCCGGAAAGTGGCAGTATTGACTCAGATGAATTATATTCGGAGTGACGGGTCCGCTGGAAAGGTCCACGATCAAAGGTAAATACATTGCGCCACGGTCGACTCTCATTTCTCACATTGCAGGCCGGAAATGGTAGAATAGTCAGCAGGTTAGAGGTCGCATCTGGGGATCTCGAAGTCGGCCACGTGGCATTCACAGCTCAAGGAGGCACTACAGTGCAGAAGAAGTAGGATGAAGACTAAATGATTGACTTAGCCCTATTGTTGAAATAGAACTGCCCAGTACTGAATACTCTAATCACAAGGGGCCTCGGTAGTAAAACCAACACAAGTATGTCCCATCACCCTAAAATAAAGCCTTGAGGATCTTTTCCAACTTGTAGAGGTCGTCTCCAATTTGAGACTTCACCGACTCTTCAGCCTTATCCACCAACATCTCCCAAGACTCCTTGTCACCAGGGTAAGACTTCTTCAAAAAGGCGACGGCACAAGCAGTGGCTAAGATATCCTCCTTTCTCGCGTGCTTGAGCACAGAAGCGGGAAGCTTCATACCGAGGACTCTCTCAGCAGTGATCCCAAGAACCTTCTCGAGGCTGGAGCCCCACAGCCAAGTACCGCTGAATGTCTGGAGAGAAATGAGTGCCTGGAGCTTGTTGGAAGGGTCAATGGTGGCAGTTCGTTTGGTTCTTTTCCTAACAGGTGACTCCAGTCCATCAAAATTCACCCTTTTCTCCGGACTGCCTGCCTCGCTGTCGGCTTGTTCCCCATCATCTTCCCTCGGCGCTGGGGAAGTCGCAATCCTTCTGTGCCTCATCGCTCCACCAACACCCAGCCCCTTTCCTCTTTTCGCTGTAGGAACTGGTGCTGTGGAAGGGGCAGACTTTCTCGCGGCCTTGGATGCAAGCTGCTTGCGGGGACCCCTCACTGGGACCGGCGTAACCGAAGGGGCTGACTTCCTAGCAGCATTTGACGCAAGTTGCTTCCGAGGAGCCATACCCCCTGTGCTCACGCGCATTGGGACCGTAGCTTTAGCGACACCCATGGATGACGAGCTTTGATTGGGGCTGCGGGAAGATTCGGCAACCTCATTTCTCTGGGGTTGCTTCCCTTTTCCTTCTGCTTCATCATTCACTAACCCTTCGACGGCGACAAAGGAGCACCATTTACCGCTAACCTGGAACTGCAGTCCAAGCCTGACAGCCTCTCGCTCGACCATGTCGGAAAATCGACCATCCAGCTTGTTCTTTAGAAGCTCCCCATCGCTGTCCTTGGCCTTGGTAAGCCAGCCACGACCCTCCTCGAGCTCTTTGATCTCTTTGCGGGCGGCAAGCTGATGGATGGTTGTGGACTCCCGGGTCAGATTCACAACCGGGATCTCTAATGTGAGATTCCCCTGTGGGCTTGCTCCGTTCAGAAACACAGACTTGATTTTCCTCTGAGGCGTTGATTCCGACAGCAGGATATAGACATTTGTTCTGGAGAATGGGTAGAGCGGTGGGATCTCAGTCGGTGTTTGGAGGTATCGAGGTGTTTCAATGTGAGGAAGATGCTGATACTTGTCGACGGCTTTATCTCCACTAGCCTCCAAAGTGCGATCGCCTTCATCAAAGTTTGAATCAAACAGAGGCACATTGTCGCGAGGCTCTGTCGGCCACGCCTGAGGGCTGCTTGGCTCACTCGTGTCAATGTGCAGCGAGTCCAGCACATACTCGATCACCTCAAACCCCTCATCCTCATCATCAAGCTGCATGTGATCCTGTTCGCTCTCATACTTGATTTCGAGAGTGTAATCGCTCACATGGGGCAGAAGAGCGCCCTTGAGCATTCGCATCAGCTTCTTGTCCATTTTCTCGCCGTCTTGGATATACTGTGCGAACCCATTCCCTGCGCGGGCAACGCCTTCGATCAAGGAACTACTGGCTCCAGATCCGATCCCGAGGCTGAAAACCCGAGTTTTCCCCTTGGTCTCGGTAACTTGGGTCTCGATGAGCTTGAACAGGCGCTCCTGAGCCCATATGTCTCCATCTGTAAGTAGGAATACCTCCAGATTCATGTCCTTGTACTGGCGTTGAAAAGCGGACTCCATCGGGTTGTATATTTCGGTGCCTCCATAGTTGGCACTAAATGTGTTGATGTGGTCTGTAGCTTCATCCAGAGAGTCTTGATCGTATGTCTTGGATCTTGGCCAGAGGAACGAATACTTTGAGCCAAAACTGGCTATGTTGAACTTAACCCCGACGGGCAAGGACTTGAGGAATATGTGAAGGGCGTTGACAAGACCTTGGATTTTCCCGGTCATGCTTCCGCTGCGGTCGCATATGAACATTACCTCTGGCTTCTCTGATGACAGTCTGAATTTGGGCACAAGTGAAACCATGAGGGCGCGTTGGTCGGGAATGGTTGAGTGCGTCTCCAAGAATGCACTAGGCTCGCCTAGTTTGGTAGCCGCCACCTCAATGATGAAGTCCTTATCTAAAGCAGAGACATCTTGAGTTAAGGTGGCAGATGCCTTGCAGAGAGAGGGCTCAGAACTGCCCTCTAACTCTGTGGATAGCTTGCCGATGTTGATCGAGATAGGATGAGAGGGTGATTGGAGAGACTTGATAGTGGATCCCTCGGCCATTTCGGTGTCAACAGTGATAGACATCCCTTTCTCCTGAACCAAAGAGCCCCGGATAGTAGCGTTGCCATATCGTGGCACGACACGAGTAGGGATAGTAAGACGAACGCCGTCTATTTCAGCATCGTGCTTGAGCTCCCCGAGGTAGGTCATGACGACAGTTACCTCCCCACCTGCAGGTACGTTGCCGACGGAGGTGAAGAAGACATCCGCGGCCTCAAGGGATTGCTCGAAGAGACCGGCTGTTTTCCCAAGAGACTTGGCCTCTTCATATGCTTCTTTAGCCTTTTGCCGTTCTTTGACCACGCCTGTGATGGTGCGGTCTCCAACAGTGCAAGAGGCCGCGGTCACAGAGACGCCATCGAAAAGGGGGAAAATATATTTAACTTCTTCAATGGGCACGTCTTGGGAAGGGTTTATGAAGGTCTGTGTAAGGGTTGTACGGGAGGTGTTGTCAAGGATGGTTGCGTGAACATCAACCATGACGTGGGGGAGATACATGGGCTTGTGATCAACGAGGATGTAACAGCCACATAAGGGGGTCCAAGCCCCTGTGGCCACCATGGCCATTGAGGCACGGGCTGTTTGCTTGGTGCGTGCCATTGATAGAATGTTAGGGACGGATAGATTGAATCAAAGAAAGGTTGGGGGTAGTTGTGGATATAACGGATGATGATGACCACTGAGTGGGCTGAGGGGGGAGATAGGATAGGGGCTATGTAAGAGGAGGGCTTGATGTGACCCTCAGTGTTGTTGATAGGATAGTAGAGAGGGTTGTGATGGGATGGAATGGATAGATAGACAATAAATTTGATGGCTGTTGATGAAAGAAGGAAAGAAAAAGGAGAGAGAGGGGAAGGGGAAGAAGGGGTGTCTGCCTGCTATATATAGGCGGCTGCTTGATGTGTCAGCCACCCACAGTCCTTCTAGGCAACCCAACATCCCATCCTTCGACCTAATACTACTTCTCGATAAAATATTGATTACATCTAAGATTCTGACGGGCTCGTTTCTATTTGAGAGAATGAGTTAAATATCTAACATGTTCATATCCACACCAACATCATACCAAGCTGGAAACCGTTCAGATGATACTGGTGATCATCCAGTCGACTTGAAGTTATATTAAGAGCGTTCTAACATCAAGCTTGATCCTATCTTTGGTTGCATGCCCTTTGTGACATCTGCAATCTCTCAACATGACAGTGACACAGCAACTCGTGATGGTTGATATCGGTCAGTGGGAGTGGAGGATGAGGTTAGGTCCGTGGAGGCACGTGATTCAAAGGCCAACCCCTGCACCTCCTGCTCAACCACTCCTCCTCCCGACGTGAACGGTAATTTCCCCATTTGTCATACACTCGCACTTAGTTTTCCTAAAATTATCTTTCATCCAACCGCGGCGATGGTCCCTTCGAAAAACAGCCTGGCATAGCCTCCCTGTCTTTCTGCTTTAGTCCACTAGATATTAGTAAAGTAACCGAAACTGATTTTGACACTGTTTTTCAAAAGGGAATCGAGCTACAACCACCTTTTTCCTTGTTTCATGGTAAGTATTGATGTTTTCTTGTTTTAGTCGCGTTACCAATCTCCTCTCAATGTATTGAATTATTGACCAGCCTTTCTAAAAGATATGTACTTGTTCCGGCTCTTTGTTAGAAAGAAGACCTTCATGTTCCGAATACGCAACCCCCAGTCTTTCCCAAGCATCATCTCCATCTTCCCTAGGCCCTTTTGGTCCAATAATCAGCAGATAGTAAGCAGGCTTATTTCCCATTTTTTCACCGTTCTTTGTTCTCCCAACCACGACACATTTTTGATACTTCCTTTGTTCGTTCTCTATACAGTCATAAAAAATGCCGGAAAGCTGGGATGCATCGTAATGATATGCCTCGGCAGTTAGTGTCCGTTTTGTAGGAAGATGCTGAACGTCGCCCCAGTCAATTCCCCCAAGGGGGAGATCAAAATAGCCAATGGGGCCTTTGTAAGCTGTCCAAGACCAACTTGGAGGCGGTCTTCGGAAATGTTGGTAATCTATTCGCGTCAGAGACGCTTCTGTAATATCACGACGCCATAAAAGGCTTCGACAGAGCCCAGTCGGGCTAAAAAACAGGCCGACTTCCCCATCTACATTTAGAATCTCAGAAATTCTAAATTCAAGACTTTGAAATGCAAGGGCCCTGTCAGTCTCAAGCTTGAACTTGAGTCGAGAATAACGCTCGTATATTGGCTGGTAAACTTGATGGAGAGGAATTTGTTTAAGTCTTGATCCTGGGTAGGACCAAGGGAAAATCCTTTCACGGTTGATATCCGATGTTGGACTTTTCATACATATTAGATATATTAGCGAAATTCTCCCCACCGCTTTGCCTCTATGTCAGTAATGGAACTTGTAACTCACCAATCTATTTTCGTGAGTGTCTCTGCGCGAGTGTCTCGGTGGCATTGCCAATATATCTGAGTTGAAGTGAAGAATATTGATCGTCGAGCCAAGATCTTCTGTTGGAAAGCCCAAGCTCTGGAACTAAGGAATGAATTCTCAACGTCCTTGTCAAAGTCGTCGATAAATGGGCATACTGAGATTGCACCCCCCTCAGGGAGCGCCAACGTCACAGCCCGCCTGACTGTCCGTGGAGTCAAGAGACCCTCGTCTGCAGTTTTGGCCGAACTCGCAACCAAGACAACATATGCATTGCTAAAGACATCCCCCATTTCAAAGACCCAGCGAGGGGTAGCATGCGCTCCATCCCTTGTGCGAATGCAATACCTCTCGATCCACAAATACCGAATCCCCAAGTTTCGGGTGATGCGAACGGCATCTTGGCAAGTTGCTGGCATTTTTTCGAGCTCTAGTTCTGTCCCATCGGCGTTGTTGCTCAAATCAGAATTGAAATCGAACTCTGAAGCATATGATAGTGCAGCATATTTTCCATCAGTGTTATTGTACGCTGCGCAGATTTGAGTTGATGAGTCCAGATCACCACCGACATCAAGAAGTAGCGCCGGAATGTTCTTAGGTTTAATTTCCGCAGGTATCAGACATTGATGAGAAGAATCACAGCAATATAGCCATTGTTTCATAACCTCAAATGAGACAGGACCAGGAAACCGCTCGATCATTGGGAAACCGTGTTGTACATCGTAAGGGTCGTACTCTATGTGGTTTGTTAGCTGGATTGTCCTTGACCATCTGAAATATTGTACGCTGACCTAAATGCGCAACAAGAGACAAAACGGGCGGCCCCCCCTTCATCAGTTTCATTGTTGAACCATCTCGCAGAAACTGAACGGTACGGCGATTTGCTAGTCCTGCGGACACTGTCACATTGTAGAACAGTTGGCACAGTTCACACTCTGTCTTGCTTAAAAGATAGGCAACGGAGTAGTTCGCTGAAAAGTCTGGCGTATCCAACTTGAGGGATTTGCAGATGTTGCATAGTTGAGGCACATGCTTCGTCTGCGAGTCACCTATCTTCCCATCCATCCCCTTGAGAATCTTTATGGCAAACTCGTTATCCACTGGGTAAAAATATCCCTTTGAAAGATTCTGTGAAACGCGCTCAGTCAAAATCAGTTAAATGGGAATCGAAAACACATTGACTTACGAGCTGCCATTGACAATCGTTAGCAAGCAGAGTCTTATGAGCGTGACCTATGGGATGGAATGGTTGCACTTACTTCTGGAAATCTATATTCTTCAATTGGATTGAATAGCCCAGAGTTATCCACAACATCCTTAGCGTTACGTTCCATACCGAAATAATCAGTTGTCAGCAAGCTTGGGAGCCCAGGACGCTCATCCAGTTTACTAACGTAGCTCGGCAGTCGATAACTCGGCTCATCCTCATATTTCGACAAGATGGATATTAGTTCCTGTCTTACTTCCATGCTGTCCGCTCTACACGGAATTGAGCTCTCGCTGCTGCCATTGGGAGACAGGGCAATAACTAGGAGCTTTGATTTTACCAAGTGTATCAAGTCTCCCAAGGCAGAGTCCTGCCCTTGTGCATCTTCGAGTAGATGACTTATACAATTCTCCACACACTCATGAAGAACTGCCGTGGTTGATCCAAGACGGGTTTCAATGGCATAATAGGCAGCTGAGCCTCCATCTTTGGCAGCAAGCGCTTTGTTGAACTGCCTCAGCCCATCGGGTCCGTAATGAATCCACACCAAAAACTCCAGTATGATGCAACCCATGGACCAAACGTCATAACGTCGAGACACTGGCATATTCTTGGCAGTGATAATCTCAGGTGGCTCGTACCGGATGGTCCCCCATTTTGTATCGGTTGAGTGGTGCCTTTCCTGTGTATGTTCCTCGTGAGACTTTGCAAGTCCCATGTCAGCTAACTTTAGAGTCCCGACAAGTCGCCCATCTTTGGTAAATCCTAATATGTTTTCAGGCTTGAGGTCTCCATGTCTGATGTTCATCTTATGCATATTCCAAAGGCCATCACACAGACCGAGAAGCTGTTCCAAAACTTCTTTGATCAGTTGTTCTGAAAGGGGCCAAATATCATTTTGTACCCAATAGGCTCGCAAATTGCCCCCATCTGCCCATGGGTATAAAATGAAGTGATCATTTCTTCGTTGAACGAATGCCATGGCTGATTGTATATGGGCGTGATGCATAGCATTCATCATCTTCTGGGCCTTAATTTCATCTGCTGGATTGTAAGGAAGCTCTGGATCGTGTAGGCCTTGCACTTTTTTTAGAGCAACTCGATTACTTGACCCAAGTCCCTAAGTTCTCTGTTAACTAAGCTATTTCCCCCCCATTCAGTTTTGGAAGAAGTCTTACCTGTTCAAAATGAAGTAGATTATCTGGATGTATCTCAACCTCCTGAACGAGGCTAAAGTTAGAATGGCTGACGCCCTTTACGTGGGTAATAGGCAAGATACTGTCCGCTTGAAGATGGTAGTCGGAACGGTCGGGTGTAAAAATAGGTGCTAGGAACTTCCACTGTGTCTCATAAAATGTTTCGATTGTGAACAGGCTCCATGGCTCCTCGTGGAAGACACCAAGAGGTGGCGCGTGCCAACATTCGTGATCCGAGTCATCCTCGTCACAGTGATCGATCATTTCAATTGGAATTGGGAGAAGCTTGTCAGTCATGTCGTATCTATACATAGCTTCCAGACAGCCGATTACTTCGTGACCCATGAAAGCCAAAATCGAAAACAAGACTTGAGCATCTCGCTGAACAAACTGTAATATGTTATGGGGATCTTCTCGGCAAGGGCCAAGAGATTCCAAGTCTCTAATACGCAGACTTTCAGTGATCTGTTTGCGTGTTCCAGGGGGGAGAAATAGCTTAGCATCCAGTTCGCTTGAGACAAAGCCTTTTCTTATCAACCGCCTCAACTTCTCTAACGACAAGGGTGATTCAGACTCGGATGAGTCCAAGACGGGTGGGGACTGAGTCCACTCCTGCTCATTATTCGACTCTGCGACATTGGATGCGTTCGTTGAGCTTTGAAGTTCAAAATCATGTGCAGAATGCCGATTTTCGAAAGACAACGACGCAATATTTACTAAATGATCTGCGATGTGATGCTCCATATCGGTTTCAGAGCCACCGCAAAGAGGGCAATGATTGATGTTGCCAGGTAAGGTGAGCGTATTATGCTCGGCCATTGAAGCGACTTTGAGAGAAGGGATATCGTGTATAGTTTTAACGTGATTTTCCAGCTCCAAAGTATTTTTGAAGATTTGATCCTCGTCGTGGTTGATATCGCAGAACCACACGGTGCTGTTACCGAGATCTTGGGTCCATCGGGAGGAATGTTTAACCCCCATGTGTTGCTTCCAGTTGTCGTATCTCGAAAAGGGAGAATCCAGATCATCGCATCCATCCATCAGGCAGATATATGGCCGGATAATATCACTATCAACTTCTCCAGTGAGGTCTTTGAGTCGCTCTCGCCTAGCCTCTATTGATGCTTCGACTACTCTTAGTATAGAGCTTGTAATGTTTGGACACCTGCTTTTGATTTTGCCTCGAACCACGAGTTTCCGGGAGCCATTTTCTTCATTAGTCAGAAACCCGTCTTCCAGGTTCTGTTCTAAATCGCCATGGTCATCCTGTAATATGCCCGTTTTGTCAGGAATGGAGGCGAGCAGATCCTGAAGTCTCTCAATACAGCCTTGCACCCCGTGCAGACAGGCTTGACTTGCTGGTGACAGCTCATTGGGGTCTATTCCTCTTCTGCTGGCAGATATCGAGAAACCAAACACTTTGACAGTGTTCCTTATCCACGAGCCAACTCCTGCCGTCGGTGGGGGTTGGGTAGGCGATTCCAGTTGAAGCACTATTGCTAATTAGCTTTGCTGCAGGTGAGGGATCGCACATGGTTGATAGCTATAATTCATACCTCTTGTCAGATTATCTCTAATCATGTTGAGAAGATCACGAATGAGATGAAGGATGACTGGCTTTGTTTGCAATCGTAACTCTATTGCTTGTCCAGTGGACAGCTGGTCCAACACGTCGGCACGATCCATCCATGCTTGGAAGTGTTGTTGATGATTGAGGATAAGCTGATATTGGTTTCCTGGTCTTTCGAACAAAACGGGCAGAATTTGATCAAACAGAACAGCACAGGTTCGCACAATATTGTGGATATCCTCGTCTTCATCTAACAAAGTATCCATGATGGTCACAGAGCTGCATCTTTTCCACGGAAGTCACAATCGCGTCCACTAGGATAGCTTTTCAAACCCAGGTTGGTGATGCCAAAATTTGGGGAGTAGGAATGATGACTGGCGCTTCGGAGCGGGGTAACGTGCAATTCCTCAGCCGCACACTGCTTCCTACAATGTGCAGTCAGCTTCATGCAGGATATTGGAAGCTGATTGGTGTGCTGATCTTTCAGCTGACATATTCCCCCCCGTCGAGTTCAGTGAGGGGGTAGTGATAGCGCCCACTTCAACTTCGAAGGCCTCAATGATATTCCTTGGTAGATGCCCAATGTAATTACCGCTCATTAGCTGCTTCCCCTCATGCCAAAGTTACCATTCATACCAAATCTCGGCGACAGCGAAGAGTGGCAGCTATTGATGCTCATTCAGCCTCTCTTTGCATTAGAGCTGCCATGGAGCTTCACTCCGACAAAATCCTCCACAGATGCTGAAGCTGCGGCTGAAGCTGCCGACTTCGTTTCAACTATTGGACTATTCAAAAGCGACGTTCGAGCTTTGCCGGGATTCCTGCCGGAAAACTTCCTGTCTCATACAGAATTCGTAAACTGCAGAAAAGCACTTCGGGATTTGCTCGCTTTTTTTGATGGTCTGGTCGATAGCAACGTCCCTGCGATCGACGGAGCGGACGAATTACCGCCTCCATCAGAAGAGGCTCCCTCCACATGGGGAGCTGGATGGTACCAAAACGTTAACGATGTCATAACCTGGATGGGTCCCAAGAGCAAAGACGCTGGTCTGTTGACGTTTTTAACGCGACCGTTTACAGCTATTGCTCAGATTGTCACGAGGAAAGTTGAACAGACGACAGGGAATACCAAAGTGTCCGACGCGGCAAGCGAGGCCCCTAGGTATCACAACCTCAACAGGCTGGCGGCATGGGTTCAACATCACAATCTGGACACGGAATCCTGGGCTCAAGGTCACCAGCATCGAGAGGTCATTACTAAATGTCAAGTGTTCCTCACTTTGAAACATCCTATCATGAGAATCCAAAACGGAGGAGCCATGCTGAGAAGTGTAACGCACAAGCTGAGATCTTCCTCTTTGCGCAAGTCCCATTCTCCTAAAAGACAGATTGCCACCACAAACTGGAAGCATCGCAAGCCTAGAGAGCTTTCTCACCAGCTTTATTGTCTTCTTCAGAAACGAACTTGTCAGGTCAATGGAGCTCACAAGGCCAAACTTCAGCTTGACGGGTTCCTACTAGACAATCTCAAAGAGCCACTAAGATTAGGCGTTTTCCTATCGTCTTGCCCCCCACCGTGCTACAAGGTGTGGCTTCCCGGACAATATTCTTCAGCGAAGGAGACTTTAATAGATTCAGACCACGATGAGCTCGATCTCTGTCGCCTCTTCGGCCAACATCACCGACACACAGATGAGGGAATCCCTATTTTGAGCCTCCTCTTCATTGAAGATTACATGATATTAGACCTTGACAACATCGATTCATCTCCGTCAGTTTTTCAACCCGCCTCTCCGACCATGTCCCTTGCCTCTGTTGTTGAAAGCGGCCTCTTAGGAGGTCCGCATGGAAATGGTCAGTTTACAGATGGAGATAAAGCCATGCTCGCTTTATCGCTCGGCCGATGTCTGCTACATCTTTTCTCCGGGGCATGGATGCAAGAGGTTTGGACTACTGAGTCTATTCACTTTCTATGCCAGTCAGACGAGAATGAAGACAGGATATTCGACATACATCATCCATTTGTCACCTGCTCTCTCGCAAAAGTCAGTCGCGCGGACTATGCGGAACCCATCAGGCTTACGCCAACCACATGTGAGCCATTTGTACGCAATTTTGCCATTATTCTCTTGGAAATCGAAACTGGTAAGAAACTGGACATCCAAGACCCATATTCCCCCGAATTCCAAACAGTGATGGGTGATCACCTTCAAAGACTATGGGCGAGCCCTCGGGGAGCAGAAGTACCATCGTACATTGGCGCTATACTCGGTTGCATCGACTTCGCTGAAGCGCTCCAAAGGGTTAACGAAAACCCAATTACCCGGTTTCGCCGGGACAAGGGGAATCAAGCAGATTATATCTGTAGCCTAGAAGATGTTCGAAACATCATACATCTTCGAGTTGTTAAAAAACTCGAAAGTCATTATGCACAATTTCCGGATAACATCCAAGTTTTTGCAGGTGGATATCTGAGGTCTCCGAGAAGCCCCTGGACAAGAACACAGACGTTTTCGGGACTTGCCAATTCTAAGAGGCCACAGCATAACCCAACGGTCTACAGTTCAAAAACGCCACTTTATCAATTTAACAGCCGTGACATAAGTCCAACTAGCACAGAGTAAGTGCTGACCACTAAGCCTATAATGAAATCTTTCTAACGCGCAAAAATAAGCTTGGTTGGCCATACGAGCGCGTTTTCTAGAGACTTTGAGCAGTTCCACAGACGCTTTATTCGGCCCATCATGAGAAACGGCGATAAGAGGATCCATCGTGTCAAAATTGTATTGCTGGATACAGGCATCTATAAAAGTCAAAGCGACCTGCATGCCTTACGCCAAAAAGTCAAGAAATATAGACAAAGACAGGGTTTCGAACAGGACAAAGACCAAGACCCAATCAAGGAGTGCAAGTCCTTCGTCCAAGACCAAGTCAAGGATAAAACCGGACATGGGACTCATGTAGCTTGCCTTCTTCTTGAATTTGCACCAGACGCTGATATATACATTGGAAAAATTTCGACTACCATGGAATTTGCAGATCATGAACCCGTCAAGAAGGTAGGTCGTCTTTTCCTCCTTTTCTTTTGTTATCAGGCCACTAATCCTCTTACTTCAATCCAGGCTATCGAATGGGCAACGGAAGTTGTGGCTGCAGACATTGTTACCATGTCCTTTGGTACTACAACGCCCAGTAGGATGGTAGAAGAAGCGATCAGCACGGCCCAATCTAGGAGAACGTTCCAGGGCCATGCGCCTGTTTTCTTTGCATCAGCATCAAATCATGGACTTCGCAGGCCCAAGCGCACTTTTCCAGGTTCAGACCCTAACGTGATTTGCGGCTTTGCACTCGACGGGAACGGGGGAGACAATTCCAGCCTGAACCCGGAATATGAAGAAGGGAAAGACCACTTTGGTACTCTAGGAGTAGGCATAAGTGTCATGTGGGAACATCAAGAGGGGAAAGAAGAAACTCGCCTTACGTCAGGGACATCATATGCAACTCCGGTTCTTGCAGCCATTGCGGCTAATTACATGACTTGGCTAGATATGAATGCAGGGAAGCTGGGAGAGCCATTATATATGGCTGCTCGGGAGAAACGGGGCATTGAAACCGTTTTCAGGGATTTGATGAGCCGAAAGAAGAGGAAGGCGGATGAGATTTCATTTATCTCACCGTGGAAGTTCTTCCAATTCATGCATTTAGAGACCAAAGGATCAATTCTTGATCCCATTTTGGATTCAACCGTGTTAAAGATAGATTCCCAAACTGCCGACGATTGTCTTGGATCGATTCGTTCCAAAATTGTGGTACCGGGGCCTTAGTATAATACTTTATAGAAATGTGTTATTTTTCTTTTCGTCGCGCTCCAATGTTTCTGGGTTTAAAGAGAGTCAATTCCCTGCTCAGCCAAGGCAGACAACTTCCCCAGCATCAAGTGCTACGGGCATGAGAATGATTGGGTAAAATGTGCGAAAGAATGAGGGGTTGAGGGGCTGGATATGCCCTAGGTTTGACCTGAATGGTCGCTCTCGAGATACTAAAAGCTCCGCCACCTTGCAGAGTCTGCAAATATATGCAGCATGATCTCACTGCATATCCTAAAGGTTACATACAATGCATACGTACCATACCTGTTTGTTCAACCCGTGGCTCAGCGAGGCGTTCTCTGGATGCCTTGCTGCGGGGTTTTTATATCTGTAAGCGTTCCGCATCTACATTGAGCAACTTAGCATCGAAAATATTTACAATCATATCTACCACTTATTTTATCCTTTGACCTATCTGCATTGCTCATTTGTTTGTTCAAAATGGTTAATACCTACATTATCGCGCCCAACTTTACCACATCTCCACCACCAGTCATCCCATATCCCGAAAGCCCACCCAACGCAAATGGAAGCCCCCCATCAGACCCCTTCTCCATCGCCGCCGGCCGGGTGCAATTAGGTGATGTGCTCGCAGATCCATTTGGAGCAGAGCTTAAAGCCCTCAATCGCGCTGATCGCAAAAAGATCAATGGCCAGTTGGTCGACCGTACCAGCGAGCACGGGGGCCTCAAGGCAACGAGAAGCCAGCTCTTCGATGGGCGGCTGGGTATCTGGGCCAATCTCCTTGCTGCTCTGGGGTTTGGTCCCATTATCAATATCGGCATTCACTGGGAGAGCAAGTCAGATGATGTCATTGAAGCTGAAGCGCTTTGGACCTATTCATTTGATCCTGATGATACATACGTCAAGAGTGTCCTTCAATCAAACTCGGTCAAGACATTTCTTGACAAGTACCCGGAAGCTTCACTCTATATGGTCTCGGGCCTTAAGTGAGTTATTGTCCCCTTCCATATCATACCGTGGACGTGTAGCTCTAACATTGAAAAGAGTGGCTCACGGGGCCAAGGCTTCATCTACCGCAAGTAACAATGTAGATGGAAACACCAGTGCTGAAGCTTCCTCCGGCCTCGCGAATTTGAAACTCTTCAACCTGATCTGGAAGCGATCCAAGCATGTATCTTTCAAGACTGCCACGGACTTTGTGCTAGCGGTGCAGCTGAGACACATCATGCTGGATGGACAGGGCGAGCCGGTACATTCTGTATCAGTGAAGAATACCTCTATGGCAGATGGGACCGCTGACCGTGGAGGATCAGATTGGGCGAAAAGGTACCAAGGCACTGAAGGCGACATCAGGAAAATTGTCGATCGTGAAATTTATGAGGAGAATAACGGGGAAGGAGAGGTTGTGCTGCTGCCGGATGTTGATTCAGAAGACGATGAGTAAACTAACTTATCATGCAATGAGCCAAGTCCCCTGAAACAAGGGTTACAGAGAACTCCTATACCACTTTCATATCTATGAATAAAACTTGCCGCTATGGAAATCAACATCTAAGAACCTGGGAGAAGCTACACTAGGTTCATTGATCCGATCTCCTACAGCCCGTGTGCAAGTACTGTACGAAGTGTTGCCTCTTCAACAGTATCAAACATTTTAGTCTAGTTCCAACGCGCGTCCTTGTTCGTGACTTGATGCCCCAGCGTTGCCGACTACCCGTCTAATTTCAAATAGTAATTAGATTCTGACGGCTTTCCTACAGTGGAGTTCCACAAATGTTTGGCGAGCGTACCAGTGAAAACCCCTGTTTGTTGGATTCGGCTTATGCTCAGCACTTCTAACCAGCGCTAGAGCGTACCAAATGTGGCCGTGCAAAACGTCAAGAGCAGGGGGCATATTCGAAAGAGAGAATGCGAACAGAGTCTCGGGATGGGATCGAGTGGCTATAAAGATAGAGGTCGAAGCTACCCAGAGACCGATTTCTCCTCCATACCACTGAAATCTTCACTACATTCCTTCACCCTATATATTCATCATCTGCACGATGAAGCTCGCCTCGGTCTCTTTGGTGGCCTTTGGCCTCGTGGGTCTATCAGAGGCCACTAGCAAGATTGACTTACGGCCTCGTGAGAAGAATTCCACTGCTATCAATGTCAATCTTTCCAATTGGTGGAATGTGACTGACTATCAAGTAATTACTTCACAAGGCTCTTGTTTTTGATAAATTTTGGGGTGGTTCACAAACTAACACCTGCTCAGTGGTATGGCAAAGTGTCTGTCGGAACTCCTCCGCAAGAATTGTAAGATAATCGGCCTATCAGCCTCGGAATCAAGCACTAACAGACAAAAGCAATGTTCTATTCGACACAGGTTCAAGCGACTTGGTCATTCCAAGAAATGGATGTACAACATGTGGCAACTACACTGTTTTTGACGCCTCCAAGTCCAGTACATTTTCCAAGATACCAGGTTACCCGTATCAGGCAAGCTATGGCACAGGCGGTAACGCGGAGCCATTGACTGAGAGGGCTGTAATGAATGGAACAATCGTGTCCGACATCGTCACTATCAACGGTGTCTCAGTAGAGAACCAAACTTTCCTGCTTGTTGACGATTACCCCAAGGCGCTGGGTGAGAATCCACTTGGCCCCAACATTGATGGCATCTTTGGTCTTGGGCCTCCTGGTGCATCTGTATTCAGCTCAGAATACAACGGCACCTTCACCACGACTTTCTGGAACCTGGTCCAGTCCGGGGAGGTGCCTGAGCCAGTCTTCTCACTTTACCTCAATTCCGGCTCCAGTACTTCTGGCGAGGCCACACTTGGTGGTGTTGACTCGTCCAAGTATGAGGGAGAGCTTACCAAGGTCGATATAAACCAAACCGTCACCGGTGCAATTGGCGAGTGGTTCATCAACACGCCCAAGTTCTACGTCGACGGAAAGACGATTCAAAATTCAAACACAAGCCAAGAGTTCCCCGCAGCCATTTCTCTCATCGACACCGGCACGGCCTTCATCCAGGCCCCCGATTACCAAACAGCCGCAGATGTTTACGCTGCCATCAGCTCCGAGATCAAGCCTCTCGATGATCTAGGTGTTTGGGGGGCTCCGTGCGATGTTATGGAGAAACTCACACCTGAGCTAACGTTCACTATCGGATCGGAGGAGAAGAAAGCCAATGTGACCATGCCCAAGGCAGCGTTCAACCTCGGTCGCCACAAGTCTCACCCCAACATTTGCCAGGCCGTCATTCTGCACGCTACTGAGCCCCTGTCTGAGACTGAGACTGTATGGGTCATTGGAAGTCCGGTGTTGAAAGGTTACTATACTGTCTGGGATGGCAAGAATATGCAACTTGGTCTTGGTAGCCTGAAGGGCACGCCTACTAGCGGCAATAATACGGCCGTCGTTTCCAGCATTCCAAGCCCAACAAGTGGCAGTACCGTATCATTGGTGCCGGGGATTCTGGCCCTGTTCGTCAGTGCCGTGGTGCTGGGGGTTAACTACTAAATAAAGTTGATATTCTATTAGCTTTATCCCCTAGCTCTTGATTCTTCTTTTTCAAGGAATGCGGCAGGGAATCAGGCAATTATAGAAAATGTAATCATAATTAGATATCGGCTTGTGGGGGTTAATACCGGGAGGGAAGTAATAGTGCGAGACTGGCTATGACCTAGAGACAGCTTAGGAAGATAATCCCAACCACATTTCCACGCCATACTGCTACCGTAAAGGGCCTTTTTTGCTTACATTGGCTGGCCAATTTGCATTTTCTCCCCAAATTATTCACCAATTCTCACTTGGGTATCTAATCTTCTTGTCCTGACGATGTCGGCATCTTTGATATCTCGTGTTATTAAGAGTCTTTGAACCTGGCATCGATGCTCTATGAGTATCAATGTTGTCATTCTGAATCTTATTATGTTCAGGCTCAGTCTGCCGCCCACTTACTTCGGTCTTCATCCAGGTTTTGCATCCGGCCGGTGCGTTCGTGAAGGAACTAGGGTGTCTCAAATCCCTGCCTCGCGCGTCTGGCTATTTATAGACACCACAGCAGTCTTACTTCACGTGCTAGAATACCAGCCTCGAGAGTTTACCCTAGATATTATAACACCCTAAAGGCTATAAGCTTTCCAGCTGGTCATTAAATCAAACTCTGCAAATAGAAATAACCTAGGTACTACGAGCTTCCGAGGATACAAATGATTATTCTAATTGGGGGTGGAAGGGAGGGAACCGTGTTGCCGTCATGAATCGCGAACATCGAACCCAAACAAGATGTCAAGGTGAATCAATCCGCAAATCCGTCTTGGAATTTTGGAACCAACCGATTGTTAAAAGAAAAGGAAAAAGAATCGCAGAGGCTGCACCTCTGAACTATTGCGGTTTGTCAATTGAGCGGTTTCGAAGGAGCTACCCTAGAGCATCCTACAGTAGCGACGTGTTTTTAGTATGATATTGATTATCCATAAGCTTCTGAATCAATTCATTTAAATCAAAGATGATTTAGGAATCATGAGAAATTCTCATGGTAAGCCAAACTTGCTTGCTAAAGTGTTTGATAGATTGTGATATATGGCTCAATCATAACTGGAATTTGCACAGCCTAGATTGGCAAGTTATTGAATACATTGCATGTCAGTCCCCGTGTTGTCTTTGCCACTATGCAAAATGTCACTATTGAATAATTCTCCTTTGAGGATAGACAATTATCAATGTGGAAGGATGCAAAATTGAGGCACAAGTTGTGATGCCTCGGCGATCACGATGGCGATTTCCGGATCGGCCAGGTTAAATTACACAGTTGCATTGTCGAGTGGCGAGCATTGACCACAACAGCAGCTGGCAAAGGAAGCAATCGGAATGTGGAAGGTCGCTCTATATTTGAGACAGGAGAAAGATGGACGGGCGCAGTGCTATCGCCTTCTCCTGCAAAAGCACATGTTAAATTTCGGGCGAGTGCGATTCGGTCAATGGGAACAGGCGTATTCGTGATAATTGTTCTTCTTCTTCACGTGTGTATGTGCGCGATTGAGAAGGAATCAGACTACCTATTGTTAGACACGGAGAAAATAGCAGGTCAATTGAGATGATTGCTGACTCTTGTCATGGTACCCCAACCTTGCTACCAGGTTCGATGTCATTGGCCCTGTGGCAGTTGAAGCGACCCTTGTTGTTCTAGCTCGAAGTAGCCTCAAAACTGAAGTCGTCGATTGGCTGGGATACGAGCTCAGGATAAGATACCGGGACTTGACAGAGCTCAGTTCCGTAATCCGGTTAGAATACGCTCTGCCGTTGTAGCGCTGGAATTGCCGGCATCCTGTCTGACAGCGAATGGCATGGGGGAGGACCTGTAACAACGGAGACTCCGACATGAGCCGGCTGTCCCAGGGATTGGCTCCCCTCCGAGATCGTGCCTTGCAGAAGCTGTCGATCGCTTTAATCAATTGAAGAGATCTAGAGAAAGCTTTATTAGTATAAAGACTTCACCTCCGTTCTACTTTGCTTCTCGAAAAACCCCATTCCAAAACCAACACAAATAATTTTCTTTCTTCTTATTCTTCTTAACCCTCTTCTTCCTTTTCCAACTTGTCTAATATCGCCTGGACGCGTCTTATTTTCGCAAAATGAAGTTCACTCTCGCTACTGCCGTCGCGGTGGCCGCATCTGCCGTATCCGCCATCTCGCCCCGCGCAACCACAGACACTGAGATGGGATGGGGAAAAGCTCTCGCTGGAGACTCGAGCGCCTGCGCTGACTTGGGCGTCATCTTTGCTCGTGGAACCTTCGATCCTGGGTTCGTGACGCTTCAATGCCCACTTGTACAAAAATATTTGAAGACTGGACTAGACTAACCACTCTATGTGCAGAAATATCGGTCCTTGGGTCGGTGCCCCTTTCCGCGATGCCTTAGCGGCCAAGACCAAGAGCGTTTCCTTCCAGGGCGTGGACCCTGGCGCGTATCCTGCTGATCTTGCTGGCTACGTCGTTGAGGGAGGTAGTGAGAAGTGCTCCTTGTCCATGGGCGTCGTCGTCGATGCCTACGTCAAGGCCTGCCCCAAGGCCAAGATTGCCATAACTGGCTGGAGGTAAATGCTCATTTCCCCGAACTGTTCACTCTCTGCAAGCTCTAACGCTGGATATTTAGCCAAGGAGCGCTGTGCGCCCGTAAGAGCTTTGGCGTCATGAGCTCTGCGTCTGCCGCCAAGGTCATTGCCTACGTCGCCTTTGGTGATCCTTATCCCGTCTGGGCGTCGGGCATCAAGTTCCCCAGCATCCCATCCAACGCCAAGCAAATCACCTTCTGCGAGTCCGCGCCAACCGATCCTCTCTGCGGCAGCCTCCTCTCCGGCTGGCCCTCCACCGCCACCGGAGTCATCGACCACCTCAAGCAGATTTGGTCCAACGTTGACCAGGCCAAGATGAACTCTGCCCAGAAGAGCGCGCTCGCCACCATGATCCTGGAGCTGCCCAAGCAGGCTACAAAGCAGCTCATCACTCTAGCCAGCGACATCAAGAACGGCCACCTGCAGCGATGGATGCTGTCGCCCCAGCACTTCTGGTATGGCTTGGATGGATCTACCACCAAGGCTGCTGAGCAAGTCGTTGCTGCTTTGAACGGCAGCAAGAAGAAATAGAAAGCGATTCATTGAATTGGTCGGACGAGTTCAATTAGAATTTTACTTCTGGGTATATCATAAATATTTCGATTTTTAGCTTTTGTTTACATTGTCGTTATTGGACAAGGAGTTTAAAAAGGAGGCAGGTCTGGCGTTGTGATAATTAATATCAAGAATATTTTCCCACACATTTGATATTGTTCACTTCAATTTGACGTTTTATCTTGGACATGATGAGTTTATTGGCCGATCCAGCATTCAGTCATTCACACATTCACGCGCCGATCAATCACTCAATCGGCTTGACCGGGCTTGATTGACATGGGGAGACAAATGCACTGTGTAGACTGTGCGATAACAGGCTTGCTGTGCTTATCTTACAGTGCGAATAAATTGATTGCGTGAGAGTGAGTGAGAAACCGCATCTTCAACTTCCTTCTCCGCACTTCGCTTCTACCTCATCGACCGATTCCAGCCCTTCAACCAGCTCTGGTAGTGTCTCAGTCCAACTGCTCTAGATACCGAAACTATGACTACGAAAGTGGCAGTTGGACACTTCCAAACTCTAGAGTACGCCTCTCCAACAAGCCCAGTGCTGATCCGGGACGAAATTCACGGAGACTTCACCGTCACAGAGCCCGTGCTGATCGAGCTCCTCCACTCACCGTGCCTTCGCCGCCTTTCCGGTGTCCTCCAGCACGGCCTGAGTGGTTTTCTCGCCTTCACGCCCCCAATCACCCGCTTCGAGCACTCCGTCGGCGCGTTTCTGATCGTGCGGCGCGCCGGTGCAGAACTCGACGAGCAGATCGCCGCGCTGCTGCACGATGTCAGCCACACCGTCCTGAGCCATGTCATGGACTGGGCGTCGCTGACAAAGCCCGGGGAGAGCTTCCATGAGGTCCACAAGGACCGCTACATTGAGTCGACGCCTCTGCCCGACATCCTTAGAAGGCACGGCTTTGCCGATCTGAAGCCGCTTCAGGAGGAGCTGTACCCGTTGGTCGAGATGCCGTCGCCGCACCTCTGTGCAGACCGGCTGGACTACGGCATCCGTGATACAATTGCGTTTGGGTATATCAAGCTCGAGGAGGGCAGACGGATTCTTGCGTCAATTCAAGCCCACCCGAACGCAACGTCGCCGGACCGGTTGCTTGTCGCATCGGACCAGGATCTGGCGTTAGCCCTGTGCCGTGGGTATCTCGCTGCTGATCGAGATGTGTGGTCAAACCCGGGGCATGTTGAGATTACAAGGGCGATAGGAGACGTGATTGGGAAGGCTGTTCACAGTGGCCGCCTCCTGGAGGAGCAGATGTGGACGTTATCAGAGAATGAATTCTGGGAAGCGCTGAGAGAGGCGACCGACGACGCCGGGCGCGAGGTGATGGATCGTCTCAAATCAACTACCTCTATGCCTCATGAGAACGGTCTTCACAAGGAGGCAAAGGTCCGAACGTTGGATCCGGATGTGGTCAATTCTCCTTCATGGGCAGCCCAGCAGCCAGTGCCGTTGAGTCAAGTGAGTGAGATATGGGCCGAGGAGAAGAGGGCGTATATTCTTGCAAGGCAGAGCCAACGGGTAGCTTAGGTCACACGGATGCGTGGGTATTTCACTTATCTCGAACAAGTCGATAGAAGCCTTTCAACGATCCTGGCAATATTTCATCATGATGATTGCATGTCGAGCCAATCGAAAATCGAAACTTTAAAGATCAATGTGTCAAGACCCGAGCCATGCACCAGGCCAGAAATACTGTGATCATTCTCACCAATTCTCCAATACAATGGCTAGCCACTCTCATTTCAAGCCTTTTGAATGAAGCTCCTAGTTGGTGGCTTGCGATAACTCAGGTTCGGAGCATGGAAATATGTCTCGATTTCTCTCCAAGATAGATGTAATAGGACAGTCCAAAGGTCACCAGACACCACCAAAGTCTGCCTGACTCACATTACTACGGTGATCCTTTGAGGCGTAATGATCAACCAAAAAGAATATTGGGTGAGATTCTGAAAAAGCCAATTGAGCTCGTGAAACCACTTCGCTGACACCTTGTGACCCTTGCTCTTACATCTTGGCGTATATTTTACCACCTTGTTGCTTCAAATTTTCGTTGAATGATTAGTTGGTCAGCGACTCTTTCGCATCGCGCAAATTGACCAGCAAAATGGATTATATTTTGCACCTGGCCTTGTCTCTAATGCAAGTCGCAAACTGGTACATGAGCGACTGAGCTTTAGGACCATGAGGCAGCTAGGACGCCTCAATGGCATTCTTGGCATTCACCCTCGGGAGTGGTCAGATGGATTATCTCGTATTCCCGAAGTCTACACTCTCAGGAGAGTAAAACAGGTCAGGTGATTGATTACATCGCACACGGGCTCGCAAGGCTGGGTTCATGTATGAGGTCTTGAGCATCTTGAAAGGACTTCGGTCGTTAGTCGCCACATAAGCTTAACGTTGTCATGAGAAATGACCGAAATGGGTAGGAGGGTATTCCGGCCGCTACTACGACGAGCGATGCGTTTCATGTAAATTCGGATGTCGGTCCAGACTAGCGGCGACATCTATTTGGGGGCTACCGATCGTGAGGTGGCGAAGAAGCAATAATGTAGCCCATGTGGGATCACAGGGTCCAGCTGCTAGTTTCAGATGGGAACATTCTGTCCATGCCAGGCACAATACAATGTGCACATGGCTACAGCCATCTGGATTATTCAGAGTAGAGAAATGAAGAAAAGGATTCATCCTAGATAGCATTGAGTGGAAAGAAGAGCCTTTTCTCTCTTTCTAACGACAACTGATTGTGGCACAACTGATTCTTGGCGGTATCCTTCCAGCCTCCCTGCCCTGCTCGGCTCTTTCCAGAACGATCGCCCCCTGATATCCGCAAATAGGATCAATGAAGGCTCGGTGCGAGCCACCACCCCCAGATGCACCCCTAAGACAGTATCACCCTCCCTTCTGGCCTGGCTAATTTGCCTCTGGGTTGGATGAGAACTTTGGTTTTACAATTAAGCTAAGCTGTGGTGAGGGCGAGAAAACAATACTGAGCCTTGGCGTGCAGGGATATGTAAGCTGGACAACATTATTGCCATTTAGGATTAAAATGCATACCTCGAGTTTCAGAAGTATATATATTGGCAAGTGCCCCTTAGACCAGACTTCCTTATCCTCACCACCTCAGACTTTAAGGAACTATCACTCGAGTCCTGGTTATTAGCCTATCATTCTTTCAAAACATTCATCATGTTGTTCTCAAAGGCCTACATCCAGTCCCTTCTGCTCTTCTCCGTCCAGTCTGCCCTGGGAAACCCGGTGCCCCAAGATGGCGATGAGAGCTTACGAGTCCGATCTTCAACCGACGAGTTGCCCGAGCTAGCTGGAGCACCCCTTCTGTTCAAGATCGCCGGCGACGAAACCCAAGTGGACCTGCCCGTCGAGATCATCAATGAGATCATCGAAGAGCAAGCTACTCGGGACCTCGAGACCCGAGCCACAGACGGCCAATTGAAGGCTGTGACGCTGCACAACAACGAACGAAAGAAGAAAAACCTGGCCAACCTTGTCTGGGACGCCAAGTTGGGCGCTGATGCTTTTGCTTATGCTCAGAAGCTTGCCAAGCTCGGCAAGCTGGAGCACTCCGCCGGAAGCTCGCGACCCAACCAAGGCGAGAACCTGGCCCGCGTCCCGTATGTTTCGCCAATTCTTACGTACAAATCAGATATGGTGCTGACAGACATTTACAGTGTATCCGGAAATCCTACACCCAGTGTTACATCCACTAACTTGTGGTAAGTTGAGATTCAAATTGTTCCAATTACGCCATCCTCTAACGTCCTCTTAGGCTCAATGAGCGATCCAACTACCACAATGAACTTATCCCCAATGGAAACTTTGGAAGCTACGGCCATTACAGTAAGAAAATGAACCTCGCGTCCCAAGAAATCAAGCTCTTACTGACCATTCCGTTCTTACTTCAGCCCAAGCCATGTGGAAGTCGACCAAGAAGATGGGTATCGCTGCTGCAAGCGACGGTAAGGGCAACTGGTGGGTCGTTGCTCGTTACTCGCCCCCTGGAAATTTCGTCGGCCAGCGCCCCTATTAGTTGTAGTTGGAAGCCATCCCAAGGGCGGTACGAGTTTTTAGTTTCAATTTATGAGTCTTTACAAATGATAGCCATCCAGTATTCGTAATCTTAAAAAACTAGTTGTGCTCGCGTTGTGGCCGCTTCTGAAACTACGTGAAGTATATACGCTCTTTCAAGTGTGCAGTGCAAAGCTGTACACAAAACTCGCCCCAAACACCAGATGTACTTTCTCTTACTGCCTCTTCAAGGCTGGTTCCGTAGCGAGAACTATACGCTGCTGAAACAGCGCCCATGTGCTCCCTGTCCCAGTGACAGCGGACAAGCCGTGATGTGAGCAATTGAGAGCGTGAGTCGGCCACTCTGGATGTTGTTATCGCATTGTATAGTAGTAGGGCGTCACGAACAGGGCGGTTGATGACACCGTTGAGAAGATGCGCAAGGAACTCCCCCTGGTTGGTGTCTGGGTTAGGCGTATTCAGGAAGGGATTTTCGCGGAACACTTACCACTAGGTTCCCGCATTTTTGTAGTATCTCTCGAGCAAGATTTGAACTATACTGATTCCGGTAGAGCTCAAGCAGCTCCTGAAGATAGGTAGCACTCCCTTGCACCAAGATCTCAATCAATCTTGACTCGCCGCCTTTCTCAGATTTAATAGCCCTTCGGAGATCCTCAACGTCTTTCGCAGCTCGTTCATTGTCAATAGGAAGTGGTTGTCCGTTTGAATCAAAGCCCTCCATCTGCCGCTCTTCAAGAACAAGAAGCAGCGCCTTCTTAAACTTGTTTTCCTCGAGTTCCGAGTTTAGACACTTTTGGAGGCTGTTATCATACTTTTTGTCCGAAAATGCATCCTTGATCAATCGAATCTCCTCATTGGTGCGACCCATCAGCGACTCAATCAGAAGCTCACGGCGGATCTCGGTGCTATGATGGTAGATATTGCACCAATATGCCTCGCTTTCCCACTTGCCCAAAGCAACCGCGTAGCAGGATTCCATCAAAGTTGGAGAATCGTTTTTGAGGCGCACACGAATGTGCTTGGCGACATTGACGCCTTTGCGTTCTGGGCCTACTTTGACAAGTGATTTATACTCTTCACGAAGCGACATTATCTCGGCGTGAGTTAAAAGGGCCAAGTCCTGGATAAGAGCGCGTGTATCCACTGCACCCAAGCCTTTGAGAGTTTGTGCTAGTGTCCTAGCTACACTAGTAACATCGATGAGTATATTACCCTCCGGAGTCCCACGAGGTTCCTTGGCCATGGGATCAACATATGGCACAGGTTCGGTAGTCGGGGTGGATTCTGGAATTGATGCAGCTTCCAGAGGCGTGGACTCTGTCACTGCGTTTGCTGGTGATATTTGAGGAAGGGGGGTTGGATCAACACTTTCCTCTGTCAGGTCCGCTGTTTCTCCAGAACTCGTGCCCAATATAGGTGTACCATCTGGAGATTTGGGCAGTGCGGAGGGAAACGGGTCGACAGGCCTAGACTCGCCGAAAGGCTCTGGCGGGTATGCATTTTCTACTCCATCTGCCCTCATCTCTGCTTTACTATCAAAGAGCCCTGATGCTAGCAGTTCTGGCAAGATGTTTTTTCCAATGTGTTGACTCCAAACCAGTTCAGGAGGGTTATGGCTCAACTGGTGTCGCCTACAGTCGAGGGAAAGGATCCATTGTTAGCAAGCTGGGACAGGAGATGTAAGGAAGATTAGTGGGAAGAGGCCAACCTCAGATGCTCGGCTCTATTAAAAATCTGTTTCATTTTCAGCATCATCAGCATCAGATCCAAAAGTCATGGTGAAGAGGAAAGGGAGCGTGTTATATACCTTGCTGGGTTTACACTGGTCACACACATGAAATGGATATCCCTTCTTTGCCCTGCTCACTCTCTCAGCGATGGGTGTGTCTTTGGCCTGATAGTTCTCAAGGCGATCAGCGTCTGAGAAAACTTGAGCGACATTGACTACGCCTGGCGCAGACGGTCCTCCAGTCTCAGTGGATTGGGTCTTCGGGCTGTGATTAACAAGGCTGCGCATGATGTGGTCGTTTTGCAGAGCCTCAGTTGGTTCATCAGTCCGACAAGTGGCAAATCCCCACTCAAAATGCCTATGATCCTTGGTAGGGATTTGCGCAAATATCGTGTTCTCAACGAAATACCTCGATGGGTCGTTGTGCCATAGAAACCGGTCCTCATCTTTCTCGCGATACATAACAGCGAGATGAGGAAATTTCTCGGCCGGGTCGGCTCCCATCTTTAGAGAGCTGGAGTGACGGGATTCGATGTAGCTTTTATACCCTCCCCATGGTTCGTAAACGTTTGGTGCGATTTTCTCGGCGTCTGTTAAGCCCCAACTGATGTCCCCACGGTCGTGAAACACGACACTGACATGTCTCTTAGGATCCTTTTTTATAGTACTTCTGCTTGCCGGCCTGGACGTAGTTGCAGAGCCTGACTCGCTGCCAGAGCCTCCAGATCCATCCTCTTCGTGTGGTGGAAGAGATTTTAGTGCAAGGAACCTCAAGTGGCCTACAATGTGATCCTCCAAGGTATCTGTAGCCTCATCAGTCCCACAAAGTGGACAAACGTTAAACATGGGAACAGTTGGTCGAGAATTCCGCTGCGCTAGAGCGCGAAGCTGTGGTTCCGTCAAAGACCGCGGGTGATCTTGTCTGACATGATCCAGGTACTGATCCTCCGTAAGAAAGGTCAGTGGGCGGTGAGCCTTGGAGTTACAGCTCCACCTCAGTGTATGTTCGCGCATATGACGGAGCCAGTCGCTGCTATGGGAGAAAAGTTTGTCTGGCTTGTCGCATTCATCGAACAGGCACACGTAGGCGTCGAGATCCTTCGTGACGTGAGCTCTATACGATGCTCAGCTGAGATTCATCACTATCCATAGTGAGGGACACATATATTACCTACTTCCATTTCTTATCGTCAGCCACGGACAGGCTTGGAACGGCGTATAGGCAATAAGGGCAGGTCAACTCTCCTATCGCCTCGTTGCATTCAATCCAATCTCGGTGCAGGAGATTATTGATAGTTTCTATCTCCGAGGAGAACAGATCAGGCAGGCCACTCATTACCCATTCCGATTCATCTGTGTGAGGTTCATCCGTTTCAAGAAAAATGATAGGTAGCGTGAATAACGCCTCCCGCCAAAGAGGCGACGACGGGCCTTCTAGGGCGAAATCTAAGCAGGAGCGTAATTTATTGAGGACCACTGTTCGCTGAACAGCTCGACTAGTAGATGTGAAGCTTTTGTCGATTCCAAGCCTTAATTCTTGTTCCCTAAGCTGCGGTATCATTTTCTCTTTAAATTCCTCCCAACGTAACTGCTTAAGTTTCTTGTACCTTTCTTTGACTCGTCCATTTGGAATAGGGGGGAATGCAAGCTCCTCGTGATTCGCCAGCGCAACCGTCTTAGTAGCAGATATAACAGACGGTGTTGAAGTTTTCTTGTAGTCCTCAACTGCCAGTGTAGTCGCGCTTGGTGCTTGAGACTGTATGGAGCTTTGAGGTGCAGTAGTGCCTACAGTTTCGATGCCATCTGCTAGCTCCTCAGAAGGCTCATCTGCATTAGTAGATAGGGTATGGGCTTGCGGAAAATCAATCTTTGGTTGCGAGATGTTCTTGTCGGCTCTGATGGGATTGGTGCCATAACGAGATCTCCTGTATAAGACCATCCTCCTTCGTAATACCATCGAAGCTGCAAGACGTGACCGAAGATTGTTTTCGATGCTGGGAAATTTTCCAAGGATGTAGTGAGAGTACAATTCTTGCAGAAGGGGCTCTATGGTGTTGCCCTCATCATCTCGGATGTGGTATGACTTTGCTGCTTTGATATTTTGCCTCTCTTTACTGGCCCGTCTGATTGTGTTCGTGAGGCGATACAACAAGCTTATCTCTTTTGCCACGGTCTGAACATCTAACTTGAAATCGTCGTTTTGTACATCGAAGGCATTAGAGTCCTCATGTAGATTGCCGGCCAGTTCTAAGCTAGATAAGCCTGCTAGTAGTTAGTAGGAATTATTGCAGAGATCTCGCGAGATATTTTTGAATCCAAAATTATTGTTGCAGGCACCAAGATGCGAATTGCATGTCCTGTAGCAGTAGGTCCACGGAAAGATAAAAGAAATGGAAAACGTACATGCCTGAAGACTGTCCTCCAGGGCCTCCAATAGACTGCAAACAGCCAGTTGTACATCTGGTGCCTCTCTGAGGCGATGGTCCATGGAGGCCCGCGCTTTAGCAAAGACGCCATTCCCGGATGTCCATATTGAGAACCTTGCCAACTGATCCTCGATCAACGCGAGGTAGCGTGGGTGATGAGAATTTGATAGATTAAGGCCTTGCTGAAAAGTGTGGAGGCACAGCTCGGCAAGGTGAGCTACTGTTTGTTGACCCGAGGAGCCATTTATTTGCTCGAGCTCGGCTGAGCTGGCTGAGTCGGCCTCTACCATCTTTGAACAGATTTTCAAGGGGAAGAGGAGGTGTGAGGCTAGGTATCATCTTTCAGTTGACAATCAACTGCCCTTTTGTAGCCATAATCTGGAGTGGATCTAGATACAGGTTATTAAGAGGTCTTGACTCTGATTCAATGACAGTAAGCCACATATGATTGCCTCGTTGCTGCCTTACCCCGCCTGATTGACGTAATTAGCCAATATTCTTTGAGGATGACCGCTGACAAAGCTTTATGCATGCATGCACAAAATCAGCTCGATCATATGAGGGGAATAACATAGAGCGGTACCATCTTGCTCTCCCAACGGCCCAGTAGGCGAAGACACTTGTAAGACTTCAGCAAGCGCATGTATGCGTATTATATTACAAGTACAGCAGTCAGTCGTGTAGGTTTCAAAACCACTCATTCCGCGGCTGGCATGGCGGCGATCCTCGCCAGCGGTGGCGGTTGTGACCTGGTGGATTTAGTACTGGCAACTTCAAAATCCATCTTGCAGATTGCCAAAGTTCTCAGTGGTCGCCAAGCAGAGAGAGAAGTCAAAAAGCTCTTGCGTCACTTCATCGTTCACTGCATGCTGGTGTTTGACCAGGTCCAGCGTATTAGGATTATAATGGTCCCAAAAAATGACCTCCTTCTTCGAGCTCTTGGGTTGTTTGAGTCGCTTATCGCGCTCGATGGCACATCAAATCGTCCTTATGCACGTCAGCAGCGACTCAATGAGCATTGGGATTCCATACGAACCCAGAATGCCGATGCCAAATTTGCCTTTGCCAGCCATTGTTTGGCTTTGGACCAAGCTTCGGCTCTACATGCTTTGGATGAGTCCTTCAATGTATGGGAGGAAGATGTCATGGCAAAATATCCAGACGACGGACTGGACTGGTCATTAGATGACTACAGCCCACCAAAGGAGAGACGACCGGAGCCGTCATACGCTGTACATAGCGCAGCACGGTCGATGTTCAAGGCTCTTGCTCGAAGCACCAGTTGTGAGTGCTGTACCAAGCATGATGCTCGGCTCTGTCTTCGCACATACAGGACGCTTGAAGTTTATCAAGACCATGATAACGAAACCAATGACTTTGAGATGCTCCTTTCATCTCATTATGACTGGCAAGAAACACACATTCACACCATCCGAAAACGGATTGTGCGCTTCATCGTCGACAACGAGACCCAACCATCGCCACCACCGAAGAAACCACTGGGCTACAAGCCTATGCCAGTCAAGAAACTTTGCGATCAGCTAAGAAAGATGGAACAAATGGCCTCAAAAAGACTCGAGTTCAAGGTCGAGAACGGTCGTCTCTTGAAGCTGCGGTCGGAAAAGAGCAAGTTTCGCATCGACAAAAGAAAAGCCCCCATGTCATTACAACAGTTCATCAGAGGAAGCCCCCGATCTCTGACAGAAAAGACGAAACGAATCCTCGCTGTTTTATTAAGCTACACAGTCCTTCATTTGCATGACACCCCATGGCTTCAACCCAGTTGGGATTCTTCAAACATCTTTTTCTTTCAGACATTATCCTCCAATATTCCCTTAAGGCCTTTTATCCAAACTCAACTGACTGTCCAAGATCTGAATGATCAGGGGCAAGATGAGCAAAAGCCGCAATCTAATGCCAACAGCGTTGAGTTCCTTGAGAGAGATCCTGACGATCTGGACCCCGATGACCTCGATCCCGACGACATATTCACGGATCCCGATGATATCGAGCACCCATTTCCAACTCTAGTTACCCTTTCTATTGTGCTCATGGAGCTATATCTAGCGGCGCCGTTCGACATACTCGCCAAGAACCGTGAGTTGTACTTTCCAGACAACGTCGACAGTCGAACAAGATCACTCGATGTAGCATCCGTATTCAACGAATACAAGCGGGAGATTCCTCAAAATTCTCGATTCCATTATGCTTTAGAAAAGTGCCTTGATCCCAGGACCTGGGAAGACGACGGTGGTCGGAAGCTTGATGATCAAGCACTGAGTGTCAGGATTTATGAAGAGGTTGTCCGGCCACTTGAAGATGAGCTTTGCGATGCTTTTGACTTTATCAAAATCGAGGAGCTCGATGCAACCGCTGAGACTTTGGACTTCAGGAGCTGGGGACAGGCCATTTACCAACACGAGGAAGATTCGTCTTCTAGGGGCACACCAGTATCTCTAACAGAGGGAACATTCTCTAGTCAACGCCGTGATTGGGCAAAAGTGAACGACTCTGTTTCGTCCTATCTTCCTAGTCCTAATTTCGAATCGGGCCCTTACTCAGCTACCGGCTCTGAGTACGTGGCCGCGAAGTTCTATGACGATGAAAAGCCTTCCGAGAGCCATTCACGTTTAGAGTAAGTCCTAAACATTTTTCCACTTCTACTTTTAGCCGCTTCTCTCTTTTCTTTATTATTTTCACTTAATTTTGAGGATAAACTATCCAGTGTTTTGACTTCTCATGTGTAGAAAGGAGGATTATATGCAATGGAGATTGAAACATCAAGCAGTCCTTCGGAAGTTTATAGATCCCTTTCTGAAACAACCACTAGAGAATCCCGTCAAAATTGCGGTCCTTGACTCTGGTGTAGACGACACACATTTCTCACTCGACACTGGTCAAATTAAACTTAAGAGAAACTGGACGACAGCAAAGAAGAAAGATGTCACAGATAACGTTGGCCATGGAACCTTTACAGCTAGTCTATTGATAGATTATGCTCCGGATTCGGAATTGTTCATTGCCAAGATTGCTGAAGGGATTCCCTCGCCGCCTGAAGTCGTTTCACAGGTACGTCTAACTCAGTATTAGATATGTCAGTCAAAACTCCTAGGACTCACTATCAATATAGGCAATAAGAACAGCTGTAGATGAGTGGAAGGTCGATATTATCTCCATGTCTTTTGGATATCCCACCAACCAGATGGAAGGCTATGAGCAGCTTGAAAGAGCAATATTATATGCCTATTCCAGGGGGGTTCTTCTTTTTGCAGCTGCCTCAAACAGCGGGGCGAACCTGGACCGAGCCTATCCTGCTCGCGATCCTCACGTCATCTGCGTCCACTCAACAGATTCGAACGGAAACAGGTCGAAATTCAGCCCAACGCCGCTTGCTCGAGAATCCAATCTTGCTACCATCGGGGAAGCGATCGAGTCTGCATGGCCTGTGAAGCTCTGCAACACAGAAACAAACTCACGATGTGTCCAATGGAAGTCGGGAACCTCATTTGCCACACCAATCTTAGTAGGCATTGCAGCATTCCTCTTGCAGTATACCAGAATTCACCTGCCAGACATAGCCCATATGTTGAAGCGTCAAGAGAAGATGAAGAACGTGCTTTTGAAAATATCTGACAAGACTCAGCAATCCATAACCCGTGATGGTTATAGCTACATTGCACTCAATCTGTTTGCGGATAATCTACTTGGGAAAAGCAAAGTTTTTATAGATGAGACCATCGGGGAGTTGTTGAAACGTTAGATCCTAATTTCTTACTGATATCAACCAAATAAGCGCATTTAACCATTGTACTTCGATATGCCATTGATCATTAGCAACATATTCTTTGAATGCCTCATCACAGATATCCCAATCACTCATCGTCGGAGCTCTGATCGGCTGGAAACGCACAAGTCACTACGGCATCGCCCTCCATCAGACTTTCCTCGCCATAGCCCAGCTCCATGGAGGTTGCTTCAACTTGCGACAGAATTGAGAGCTCTGGAATGTACTCTTTGACCTTGAATGCATCATCCCTCTCGAATTTAGCCCCTTTGGTATAATCATCATCGTCTTTCACTCCCTGTGTCTTCCTGCTCACTTGAACCTTGCGAACTCTAAATGCAAAGACAAAGTCGCTGCTTCCATCCCAAGACGTGCTCTTCGTGTTCTCTGTCGCGGCCCCGGCTCCAGGCGCTACGCTACCGCCACCCAAGACGGTTCCATCCACCGCTATCGATGCCTTCCTGTCCTGAGATTGAGACTCGGTCGACTTGGCACTTGCTCCATATACGGTCTTGAGTCCTGTGATGACGTATACTGGCTTTCGATAACGAGATCTTTCCAAAAAGTGTCGCACCGCTGGTGTCTCGATACACTTTTGGATGTACTCGTCTTTAGGGATGAACTGCTTGGTTTCCACCTTTTGAAACCTATAAAGCTCTTCATTACTAATTTCAGTTAGCAGGCTGGACAGAGAAAAGGCGCAGAGAGCATACCTGTGCTCCCAGCTGACAGTGACGTCGACGCTGACGCCGATGAAGTTCAAAAACTTGGTGAATAGAGAGAAGTTTCCGTCCCTGAGCTTCTTTATAGAATGTTCAACGTCTTTCTTCTCTAATGAGAAGACCTCATTCTCGGTTGGAGGGGGCGTTGTCGATAGCGGCTGCTCCGGCCTCTCAACTGAGGTTAAGACGTTTCCCAGCTTGATAGGTCCTTCCGGGGGCCAGTCCCAGGTTGGGGCGTAAAAGAAATACGCGACTTGGTTCGCCATTATGATTCAAATAGCGCAATAAACCAATACGCTAGAATCTCTGACACAGTTCCGTATCTTCCTACAGCTGAGTCGTTTGAGCGGGGTTGATGTAAGATCTGACAACGAGGGTTTATATCGTCCCATGCCCCACTTTGCATCCTTCAACCAATACTCATGCCGGAGGAAAGCATTGAAACTTGCGTACGAAACATTATGGAACGTTGACTATAAAATAGGAAATAGAAATCATACATTCAAATATCCATATATACCCAGCATACTTCCTTAAAATTCTTTACGTTGGTCCGGGTTGTTTTCTTCTCAACTCACATACGTACATTATACTCTCAAGGTGCATTTTTATGTGATGGACTTGTTGAGCACTCATTTCACAGCTAATTGACACTCAATTTAACTAAACCAGTTCATTACTTCTTGCTCTCGAATCTACTAAACACTCGCTCTGACTACAACTATACAACCACCAGCTAAGACAGCCGTCAACTTAACATCGCAGAGCTCCAAAGCAGACCATCGCTTATTAATTGCCTCCGGATCGAGTCCAAGCAATATTCCCTTCACCATGCTTGGCAGCGGTCGGCCTTTACCTTAGAGGCTTCCTCCCTATCTAGGGCAGGGGGTACCTCCTCCTTCCTAGGGTGATATTTGGCCACCCACAGATCAACCAACATGTCCTTGGTAACACCATGCAGGTAGTAGTTGATGGGAACCACGGAAGTGCCATTGGCAGCCTTCTTTCAATAGTCTTCCAGGGCAGTCATCATGCAGTTGATGTCGAGGATCTTATTCGAGCCGTCGTCAATGTCAGGGAGGGCAGAGAGAGTGGTCTTAACGTCGCCCTGCTTCATGGCAATCATTTAACCGCCAGTCCTGGCGGCTGCAGCAGGCTACTGGACACTTCCCTAGTTGGCGTTAGTGGCATTTTGGAAGGAGCTCGGTCTTGGTCATATCAAGACTTCTCCTGGGGGACATGAGGGGGCTTTCATGTGGTCTTGAGCCGCGTCAATCTCCTTCTGTTTTTCAGAGATAGCTTTAACGGTTTTCACAGCCTTCTCGTTGACAACGCTGGCCAGAACCAGACTGGGATCAAATGGGATGGTAGAAGGCATGATGGAAAGTAGAAACAGAGAGAGAAGGTGGATGAAGATTTCAAATGAAGAAGAAAAAGGTATTTTCTGAATGTAGTTGTGTTTGTGAGTGGCTCAAAACCGAGATCTTGGTGAGCAAGCACGGGAGTTTGTATAGTCAAATGAATAGCTTAAACCAGGAATCATAAGTCATAACATTTTCATTAGACCCTAAGCTCTACCTTACGATGAGAAGGTATTGTGGAGTTCCAGGTCATCCAGGGGCCCAAGTGATTGACCAGTTGATCATCTTGGCTAAGCCACCAGCGCGTATTACATTCAGTGTCTCCTCGAATCAGACATTACTTCATGAAGCTACTATTCGATAGACCGGTTCTCGAACAAGCATTGTACTTTTCCATGTGGTGATAGGGCGTCCTCACGTGCAGAGATGCCAAGTTGCCCAGTAATTTGATTGGGCTCAATATTGAGAGTAGTGTCAGCAAAGAAGCCACCTCAGCTGTACATATCAGGAAAGACTAACGCAAACCATGGAACGATTTACCCCACAAGTAGCTGGAAAGGCATAAAAAATTTCCCTTTCAAGTCCGTCTTAGCTTCGAAGACCCGGCCCGAACCGCACATTGGACGATTGGGATGGAGCACACCCTTGGGGATACCCAGCTTAGTGCCCGACGCAGCCCTCCGCACATCCCAGTCTAGCGTAGAATTTGTTCTGGGCGGAAACAAATTTCAGCTGGGAAATCCTGCATTCTGTTATTGCCCTCATGAGCAAGCTAGACCCTGAATAACATAATGTTCCATAGATTACACTGTCATTATCTTTGACCCTGTCTGGGCCTGATGGCGCATACTGACCGGTCGGTGATATGTTGGCCTACCACCGATCATCACTGATTATCTATAAAACAGATACGTGCACGATGTATCTCCCGAGCAGCCTTTGTTGACATCGTTCTTTAGAGGACAGTCGACAATCAACCCAGTTGAACATGGATGCATGGATCAGAACCAAATACTGGCCACTCTGTCTTTCCAATCCCTCTTTTCTTCTCGGACTGATTTCCTTCCTCCTAAGGGGCATGCCAGGGGCAGTGGCAGGGGATCAGATTACTGTGAGAAGAAAACTATACGAGTGGCCGTTGGAACACCGTTGGAGCTAGACTTGCCCTGGTCTAGTTCTAACGGACAGCCGGTGATATTCAACGCCAAGGCCCAATACAGAGAGGCGTCCGCATTAGTGTGCGTTTACCTCCACTGCCCAAGGCAATAACAATATGCAGGCCAGCGCTGGGCCGACCACCCAATACCAGCCACAGATTCGGGAGGAGTATGACTCCTCCCGCAGCTCGGGGGATAATAGCTAGATGGAATAGGAAAAAGACTGGCGGTATAGCCGCCGGTAGGCAAGCTGAGCTGCATTGCGCTGAAGACTGTCACTGCTGAATGCCGGCCCCATTCTCCAGCTCAGCTCGATAGGCCTGTGCTGTTATTGGCCTTCTCGAATGACCGTGGGAATCTTGTGCCCAAATGCGAGATTCAGCTCAGTTCTGGCTGAACCCAAAACTCTTGGCGCTATTCTGAACTCGGCATTGGATGTTGCTCGTCAGGCGACTTCAGAGAAAATGCCCGATTAAGAGCGACATCCACGGTTCAATTGCAATAGGTGAGGAAAGTGGTGTTATCGCCATCTCAGTGTGTCCACCGATGAGGGAAGACTTCTTGTCTAGATCAATTTTCTGTTCAAATTGGGATTACACAGGAAGATCGTGATAGACGTCACGAAATCCAATCTGTCCCTGATGTAATATATAAGGCTTGCGGTCGAACGCCTTCGTAGCTTCTGAATACATGCCATCCCAACACAATTCGCCTGCCAATTATCAGCAGATAATCATTTCCCTCAACTCAAAATCTATCCAACCTACGACTCCCACTCAGTCCACAGCAAGATGTTCATCTATAGCGGCAAGCTACAGTGGTTCAACTATGGTTTAGGCGAGCTACTGGTTGTCGTTCTCCCCAACGGCCCGGTTCGTGTCGGAGATACTGTCTATCTCTCTTCTCAGTGGACCGTTGACGCCTCTGGCTTTAAGAAGCAGAAATGGTTCGCCGCTCGGACGGTCGAAAAAGTGGTCAAGGCTGACAACGGCGACGACACCTTCACTGTAACTGGAGGATACTACGTCTTTGTGATCAGCAGCCAGCAGGGCTACAAGACTATTAACATCACCATGTCCAACCCCGGCGGCTCCAAAGACCATATGACCCTCGAGCGTGTTTATCAGTCCAAGGGCGAGGTCACTGCAGAGTCGGCCCGCATCTGGACAGGGAAGCTCGACTGGCCTCAGAACGCTAGCAATGAGCCTTTCACAGCTATCGCCCCCGAGGGTTTTGGTGCTGGAAAACCGATATTGGCCTTCTGGCAGTGGACCGTCGATGCCCATCTGGATCCCAAGGTTCAGTGTATTGCCCAGGGCACTCAGACGGCTGAGACCCTCGCCGACGACAAAGTCAAGTTCACCTTTTCTGACCATTACAACCTTGCTTGTACGTGGGATGTCAAGACAGAGGAACTAGCCGTTCATATGCAAGACCCTGGCAAGCATGAGCAGGATATTGGACCGTTCAAGTTGGCCGCTCTGATCGAGTTCCATTCTGAGTGAGCTGTCCTATTTGACCCACCGTTATTTCTTCATCCTAATCCTCCCCTTTCCAATGGCTACTAATTACTCGAGATTCGTCTACTAGGGATGTCACTCCGCCCGATATCCCTCTGGAGAAGGAGACATTTGATGTCCGATATCCTCAGGCAGAACCTTCCCTCCCACGGATTCAGACGCCGCTGCCTTTTCCTCGAACTCTGCTCGATACGCTGTCACATACCGCAGCATATGTTGACCAGGCGGGCTACCTAGCTAAATATGCCGTCGGAGTATGTATTGCCTTCCTCCAGTATTCATTTCCCCCCAAGTCATACTTAGAGAGTGCCCGGTCCAATACTGATACTTCAGGTCTATAGAGATATCACGTTCTTGATCAGTCTTACCACTCTTTACTCAAGCAGGTAGATGAGCTGAACGATCAGATTCGCGAGCTACTAGGCAAAGTAGGCGAGCTCACCACTGTCAACGAGGCAGAGGAGCACGAGATCGAGAGCCTTCAAAAGAAACTCTCAGACGCCCTGGACGCCGCGGCGAAGAGGGAGGCCGAGCTGACCCAGGAAATCCAAGATCTGCAGCAGGCCCTGGCGAAGGAGCAGGCCCATGATGCAGAAGACCACCAGGCCTTGGCTGAAGCTCAGAAGCAGCTCCGGGAGGCCAGGTCTTCCATCGCTCTTCTCCAGAAGCGGGTCCTTGCCTTGCAGTGCGCCCTTGCCGAGAGCAACACGACCATCGCTCGGCTGCAGAGCCAGGTGGCCAACCTCGGCAAGACTGTGAGCGAGCTGAGAGGCGAGTTAGAGGTGGAAAAGAAGCACAATGCAGATCTGTCGCGTGAGAATGGCGATCTGAAGAGCAGGGTGGCCTCGGCGGAGAAGGAGACCGCCGCGGTCAAGAAGACCCTGGAGCGCACCACCGAGGATCTGAAGAAGGCGCAGGCCGATAATGATGAAAAGGATAAAATCATCAGTGGTCTTGAGGAGGGCATCGTGGCGATGAAAAAAGATCGCGATGCCAAGAAGGCCGCGTACGATGAGCTAAAGAAGTCCACTGATGCTACCATCAAAGAGCTCCAGGACGAGATAGCCAAGCTCTTGCGCAATGGTGGTCATTCTTGGCCCTCTGATGGATCAATTCCTCCCCCTTTTGTGGACATGCCTCCTCCTTTCAATACTGGATCCAGCCCTATGGATGAAAAGTGGTGGAAGCACACGGGTATTGATGACGACATGGCCCGGAGGCTGGGTTTGGAGATATAAATGCAAGGTGTTTGAGAAGATACATGGGGAAGGACCACTATCAAGAATAGCCAAGTTTTATTCTTCATTGCTCTTCAATGAATGTTTCAATGGGTGTGTCAAGGAAGTAGTAAGCAGTACGCAGTCCATCAATTAAGACATAAGATGAGCTCGAGAGTCCTTGTTTCGTCAAATTATGTCTCTTGTTCCACGCTCGCCTCCTCAACATCATGCAATCGTACTGTTTCATATTTCGAAACAGAATTCATCTCGTATCATACCATCACCAAATTCCAACGCCTAATGCTATCCGAACCCGATGCAAGCTCGTTTATATTCCCCAAATACTCCGTAGCCTGTCCTCCGCAATAAGAAACGACCATGTCATGTGGGCTTCCGCGCCCTGCAGAATTCCCAACAATTTTTCTTGTTCACCACGATCCGTGAAGCGATCGCCGCCTAAGAAATCATGGTCAGCTTCAAGCTTCGGTGTACTAGTCGAGCTGACTTACACATCGCTATCGCCATCCCAGCAACGGTGGCGGCGGGTAGGTATCGGCGGTCACAGAGCACGATCCCGCATATCCTCCGCACAAGCTTTCGGATCAAGTGGTCGACGGAAACGCAGGCTGCGAGACGGTCTAGCCCGAGGATGGGGATATGAGGGTCATGGACAGCCAGGAGAATATGGCAGATATCCGAGTACTGTTGTCCAGACACTGCTCTAAAGTTAGCATACCGATATTGAAGTGAGAACTTGAGTCATGTATGAATGTGCTTACCATGGCAGTCATTAGCAAACCACATCTCAGGGAACCCACCCTCCCCATCACCCGAGCTCCAAATAGCATCAAAGGACGAAGGGCGGTGTTGATCCCAGCTGTCCAGGTACGCCTTCAGCTCGGCCCAGCGCTCCTTTGAGCGAGACTGGGAGCCATAGGCGAACGTGAGCACGTCCTCGGTGTGCGCCACTATGCGCCGCGTCCAGGTGAAGTCGTCGGCCGGGTCGATGGTCCGCGAACCGTCGTCCAGGTATTGGGAGAGGGGCGGCGGCACCTTGCGCGCCTTGAAGCATATGAAGATCTCTTGTCGGATTGCCACGAATAGGGAGGCCTGGCAGAGAGAGTATCCCTTCGCTTCCGGGTTTTGGGAGCGGATGAGGATACCGGTGTCGAGGACATGTCCGCTGGGCGATTCGCCGGCGGGGACTGTAGTGCAATGGATGAAATAAGTAATCGATTTCGCAAGTTCAAATCAAGGATCTGGTGGCTTACCTGTCATCTCGTCGTAGAGCCGCAGTATCAAGGTCACAGCGCAGAGAAAGTCTCCCCCAAGAGCGGGATCACGGTTCGCCAAGGCAGGAATGAAGTGTTGGAGACACTTTGCCTGGTAGTGATCTGCGGCCAATGGATCCCATTTCTTTAAGATTGCAAGATGTCTTGCGGACACAGCCGTGATGGCGTAGAAGATGATACGGTGCTTAGATGCCGCCTGGACAACTTGATTGGCAAAATGCCGAGACTGGTCACAGTAGTCAAACTATGGGAAAGACACTTGATGTAAGCAACAAGTTGGCAATTCAAAAGGGACCGAACGAAGTTAGATTCTGTGTCGGACCATACGTACCCATGTGGACAGTTCGTTTTGGAAATAGCATATCAACATTCCCTCATTTCTGTCATGTAGAGGCCAAAGTCGCGGCAAGGAATCAGGAGACAGTCTAGGTTGAGAAGGTGCGCTCAAAGAGATTGAACCTGGGGATATCAAACCACCAGCATCGTCTCCTGAGCCAGGGCTATGTAACTGAGGGGGGCCTGGGGAGACGGAAGTATCTTGTTGTCCGTGGTCATCTGAATCTTTCTGGGATATGTCTAGTGTGTCTAGTGTTGAGTGTAAGAAGAGGACTACCAACCGTTTCCATTAGCCAACAAATGACGGAGGACGACGGGGAAAAAGCCAGGTGAGTTTACAAGGTCGACCAGGCGGTCTTGCCAACAGGGTTTCGGAGTCAATACAACTTGTTCCTAAATCGCCTTGACTTGATCTAGGTTCCTTCTGAGACTTTGGTGTCGATGCTAGAACAGACGCGGATTTTTTATGTCCATCACGGAAGGTGAAAGGATATTCTACCGGGTTGCACTCGCGGCCGGATCGCTGGCAAGGAGAGCAAGAGGGCTTCCCGCCATCACCTTTATCACTTGTGTTAGATTGTTATAAGAGTATGCCTATTTACTTAATTTATTAGTGGGACATACATACATTTGATGTGTAGACGACGGCAGGGGGCACTATCCTCATGCAACTTGCGTTAGTAATACCCAACCAGTTACAGGTACCAGCAACCAAGCCAAGGCCGGGGTTTGCAACAGCACATAGACGGAGAAGAGAGGAGAAGCGTACCAGGACCGGCGGTTTGACAACCGTTTTGGCGGCATCCGGGTGGATTCATCCAGTCGACTCGGAATGAGCTGACATGGAATCGAGCGAGATGGGACGAGGCGGAACCGGGCGGGATGTTTGATCAGGTTGACACGCAAAAAGAGGGGATGTGATGGGGAAGCCTCTTCTCTCCGAATTTCCGATTATCCCCACACGCTAGGATCAACCATCCGCCAAAGACTACGGAAGGTTCGGTTTACGTGGGGAAGTCTATGTTTCTAGCAAGATTCGGGAGTCAGATACTAGAGAATCAATTCTTCATTCAATGTGAATCTGAACGAGGTTATCTCGAGTTTTCAACCGGTTACCGTGGATGTAGGTGTATTAACTTAAGGGTGGGACTGGCAAATGTTCGTGCACATAAATCCTCATTTCTGCCGCATAAATTTATGGAGTGGTGAATTTTATTTGACTGAGCCTATTAACTTATAGAGGCCCCTATAATTTAGATACTATGTAGGCTTTACACATACTACCTTATATCACTATAATACTTATTGGTGTAGCCGTTATATTATTCGTTCTTGTGGCAATTCCTCGTGGAGTGGATGGTTCGTGAACTGCCACAAGGTCTAGGGTAGCTGAAGATTAGGAGTATCGGAGCGCTTTTTCCGCTTCGGGATACCCTCCATCACGTTGAGCAGTTACCGTCATGATTACATCTAACTTCTTACCTACCTAGGAATGGATACGACTATCTGCATACACTGGGTTGCCTTTCTTACAAATTCCGCGTGCATGCACCACACCGCCGACCGCCATCCACACCGATCTGGGTGAAGGCACAGGCTGCGGATAAATTCAATTGATTCACGTGCATATTCACGTCCAAGGGAAGGTGGTGAGGCAGGTCGCCTTGAACGGAAAGTCGCTTGATGCCTATTACGACCTACCGTCGTAGAAGAGGACTATCAGCGGATAGAGACACGATTCGTGGATTATTCCATCGCTTGACTGATGTCGCTGTCAAGGGAGTACGTGGAGCCAGGGCACGTGATCGATATTGGTTCAGGATGGAAGTACGGAGGAAAGATACAGAAAGGCTCGAAGGGTTATTCCGGAGAGCCCGTCTCTAACGGTGACTTTAAAACAAGCGCTTGGGAAAGATCGGAAGCCAGCAAGAGAAATTCGCTTTCGAGAAAATCAACAGAGAATTCGAGCGACACAAAAGTCCAGGATGCTACCCCTTGATCTGCATGGGTAAAAAGGGACCAGGTACCCCTCAGAGATTCTGAACCCCACTCTCCATCTCGGGAGTCGTATTCGTGTTCGAGATCGGGGCTTGGATCCGAAGTCTGCAGATTGCCGTTGTACAGGGACCATATGTCGGAAACGACGTCTCCAGCGTGGACGCGTCAATCATCATGCGCGAGCATTAAGTGCCATGCCCGGGTTGGAGTCTCGTATATATACCCGTACGCGGCGGCATGACAGAGACAACCAAGGGAGCTGATAAGTGCTGTTCTGTTGGCGGCAGTGGATGCGATGTGGTAGGGGCGGGAGCGAACCCTTGATTACATAAGACGCTTCTTTTCGATGCTAATTTCCGAGACTTTGCTCTTCCTCCGTCATTCGCTGGGGGAACTCTGGTCTAGACAAACAAAACAAACCAAGACACAATTCGCAAACATGGGCATCTGGTGTCTCGTACTCGCCAATCTCATCAATCTGTATCTGTGAATGAGGAGCGAAGGCCTGCCTGGCCGATTCAGACCGCGATCGATTGAGATGGATAAGATCACGCGGTGCAATGGGCGGACGGGTTGCTCTCGGAGCCCGGAAGCACGATATCAATCTTCGTACGATGTTGAGATCATCTTGGCCCAAGGCAGGCTCCATCTGCATTTCGCTAGACTGGGGAGGGGCAGCGCTGGAAGGCTGCTGATTGGCCCTGCGGCGCGCGGGCGGTCAGGGCCCTGTGCCGAATTGGTGAGTTAGATGGCAGCCTTCAGCAGGGTTCCGGCAGGGTTCCAGCAGGGCTCCACAGCGAGGCCCCAAGCTCTGGCCAGTGAACCAGCGGCCAGTACGAGTACGGTGATGGAGGGCGCAATTGGCGAGCGATTGACGAGCCGCAGCGTCCGGCTTCACTGCTCCCGGTGGTACGTGCAGGGCAGCGACAGTGGGCAAGCTATTGCCTGTAGGAGGGAGCCTTCAATTGCAGGTGGGAAGTCCCTGGGCGAACATCCCGGCTGCGGCCCCTCCCCCAAAAACCAAATTTCGCAATCACAAAATAAAAAAACGGCGGGCGCCACTATCTTTTATCCCTCGTATTCGATTCGACATACTACGTAGTGCCATCCAAACCTTCCTGCTTCTGTCTCTTGATCAGACAGCGTCAACCGTCAGGCTTAGCCTCTCCCTCAATTGCCCTGAGCTCGCCTCCCTCTCCTGCCTCATCCTACGCGACGACACTCGATCCTCGACTCTCTTGGCCGTCCAGGTCAAGCCGCGTTCGCCAGCCGCCATGGACGCCCTCCTCGAGATCCTCGACCCCTTGGTGCTCGACAAGGCCTATGCCTACGTCCTCCCCCGAACGACTCCTCTCGCCTCCTCAGAATACTCGAATGCGACCTACCCCGTCTCCTCCCACATCGACCCCGACTCCTTCTTCTACTCCGAGGCCGAGTTTGCCTCAGCCTGGGGCCGTGATCACCTCTACCGACAGGTCTCCTCTTGCCTGATCATTGCCGGTTTCGGCGCTGCTTTCCTCTACACCCTCTTCTCAGCCTTCTCCTACTACCTTATCTACGACCGCCGCCTCGAGTACCACCCGCGATTCCTCAAGAACCAAATCCGACAGGAGATCATCTCCTCCTTCATTGCCATTCCCGTCATTGACGTCCTCACCCTGCCCTTCTTCCTCGGCGAGGTCCGCGGCCACAGCCTGCTGTACAGCAACATTGATGACTATGGCTGGCCATGGCTCATTGTCTCGACCCTCATCTACATGATGTTCAACGATTTGGGCATCTACTGGATTCACCGGCTCGAGCACCACCCCAGCATCTACAAATACATCCACAAGCCTCATCACAAGTGGATCAGTAAGTACTCCCTGCCACTGTCCTCGGGGAGGCCGTTGTCGCCAGAGATCTAACCGCTGCGCTCCTTTAGTTCCTACCCCATGGGCATCGTTTGCTTTCCACCCTCTTGACGGATGGGCCCAGTCTCTCCCATACCAGTAAGCTTCCCAATGAAAACCCCTCGTTCAATCTCAGGTCTTCAATTCCTCTAACAGTGCTTTCCTACAGCGTCTTCGTCTATGTCTGCCCCATGCAGAAGCACCTCTACATGTTCCTCTTCGTTATTGTCCAGCTCTGGACCATCCTTATCCACGATGGCGACATGATCACTGGTCACTGGCTCGAGGATATCATCAACTCTCCCGCCCACCACACCCTCCACCACATGTACTTCACCTGCAACTACGGCCAGTATTTCACATGGGCCGACAACTACTTTGACTCCCACCGTGCCCCCCGGCCCGAGCTCGACCCCATCAACGACGCCCTCAAAGCCATGCGCGAGAAGGGCCTGGTCGACGAGAAGGGCAACCCCATCAAGAAGCCCAAGAAGGAGTAAAGAGGAACTATCTAGGGTTCATGCCCTCGATTTTGAATCTACACCCACGATGCAATATCAGGCGGAGTCTCGGTAAATCAGGGATTGGCCGCAGCTGCGCCTTTTGGCTGGAGTTGACCAAAGGAGAGAGACGAACGACCAGGATCGTTCCCCTTCTTTCCTGGCAACACCATATTACGACATGCACATAGAGAGACCAAGTAAATAGAGCCTAGGATAACCATATTCTAGAATGCTTCCAGGGGCAGAACGACACGACATCAAAAGCAGCATCGGCAGTGGTCACGCGACAGCAAAATCATGGAGGACAGGCATTCGACGCTGCGTCAGGCTAATCGGCCATGGCGACAAGGAGCATAGCCTCGTGTCTATTGCGCACCCTCTCCTCACCTTACTTGCTTTTTTTCAGCTGGCCGCTTGACCACCATTAGGAGTTTTTAATTTTTTCTCATCGCGGAGGACGCATTTCACGAGTATATATATTTTGCATAAATTGTCACGGCCTGCCTAGCACCTATTTAATACAATGAATATCAAGCTTCTGTAATAGCCATGATTGATATATACGGAACGATACACTAAGTAATGAGCTACCTGCCCACCATGATGCCTCCAGCACTAACGTCGGTGTGACTGGCTACGGATGATCGACTGCCGACAAGTGTCTTGAGACAATTACGCGGCAATGTAGCGATCGCTAAGGGCGCCGAGCACGAATCTACATCCCCGCAGGTCTCAACTTATTCTCGGCCCATTGATTAGGGCTCGTATCTGGGCTGGAGGCCAACGACTAGTGTAGGACCGTGCTGAGACATTGACCATGGTTTCTTCGTCGAGGGAGCAGCGCCCCTTTGCCGAGTTCAGCTGCTCCGGCTCTTAGATTAGGGGCTCAGAAGCTGAACAAGCTCTTCAGCTACTTAATCTCGAGGATGGACTTCATTCATCATCCCCAGCTTCTCATGGGACAGCAGCGACGTGGAGGTGTGCCCAAGTGGAGTTTGACGTCAAGAAATATGCGGTTTGATTGTGGATTTCTAGGTCTGTATATCCTGAATGTGGCCAGTCTCTCCCAAATCTGATCGGGATTTGGTCCTCTTCTTCGCCTAGCATGACTCACTCGCTCACCCTGCTTTCCACGCTGAAGCAATACCGAGGCAGAAACATATCGCTAACATCCAACCTATAGGCAAACTGCCTCGACTCTGTCTCCCAGCTCGGACCCGGCACGCCAAGCAGAGAGAGTCGGCTCCCCCGCCCGCGTACCAGCCCATCGATGGCACGGATCCCGAGACGACAACCGACAAGCTGCGCCGGCTCTCCCATGACTTCAGCACGATGACGATGCGGAAGAGGGGCAAGCTCAAGGACAAGATCCTCAAGCCGCAACCGCGCGAGGAGCCCCCGCCCCCCGGCTCGGACGTCACGTACCTCATCCTCATGGACATCGCCCCGCGGGAGGCCGCGCCCGAGTACTACAGGGGGGAGTGGCTGGCGTGCCTCGAGTTCACGACGCGGGACCTCCCGCGGCTGATGGTGGAGGGCTTCTTCTGGGACGCGGGCAACGTCGTGCCGGAGGGGGGAGGGGGCAGCGTCGTCGCGGGGGAGCTGCGGCAGTATGAGCAGCAGTTCGGGTTCCGGCACGCGCGGGTGTACAGGTGTCGGAGCGGAGGGGATGGTGGTCCGGAGTGGACGGGGACGATACGGGTGTCGGCGAGGGAGCTCAGGGTGCTGACCGAGTTTGAGATTGGGATGCTGAGTGTGGATTTGGTGTTTAGGATGGAAGCGAGTTGCGGGTCGGGCGAGAGCCGGCAGAAGGTGTATCAGTATAGCGTGCAGGAGGAGGAGAAGAGCTTTAATGCGTGGTATGATGAGGCGGTTTTGAAGGGTTGGTGGCCGTGGCCCTGAGCTGGGACATCCTACGCGGGATGGGGATGGGGATCCATGGTCTGATACTGACTGGATATGAAGTCTGGGGCTCAATATATGATTTTATGAATGAAAATAGCCCTGTATTTTTGTGATTTGACTTGGATTTGCCACCACTGCCATCCATGGCGTTGAATACCAGGATACGGACGTTGAAGCAAGCGTTCCTGTTCATGTGATCCAACGTGGCTATTAATTGTGTTGAGATGTCGGGTCTGACATCTTCTATTGTTCTCTTTAACTTTATACTCGAACTCTCTTCTGTGATCCAAACGTGGCTTCTTACTAAAAGAATAGAAGTGCGCTCAAGTTGTATAACTGGAACCCTATAGAACAAAAAAGAAAGGCTCATAGTTGCTGCTTTCGACTGGAACTAGCGAGCTTACGGTGAATGTACCATCTATTGGCTTTTTACTGTTCGCCCGCGAGTCCCACGAGATTTAGACAAGTATCTGTCTTGAATGGAGGAGTCAATGATGAAAGCTAGATTCTACTTGCGTCCTTTGCTAAAGATGTCACGAATGAGTCAAGTAGCCGCTTTTACTCATCAACATTTTGACTACTTATGCGTCATATCCGGTTGATTGCGGATTCAATGAAACAATGCTCTGTCATAAACTCACAATTGATTCATTCAAACTGATAGGTAGCCTGTCTTGAGAATAGAACTTAAGACCTCTGGACCGGCCTCAACTAATTGTACACATCTTGTCTACCTTCATAACAAGAGACCTTGAGGAGTGTATCAAATGTGTTAATTGTGGTATCCGAATTACTGGCTATGAATGAGTGGGTTATTGAAATGTTTCGGGGGAGGGGTTCGTTCTGGCGCCAAACATGAGAAGCTGTATGTTTTATGTTTGTATCACTGCAAGGTTCTCCCTCTAGGGCAGGTTGGACCATAAATATCACGAGGAAACGTGTCTCAGAGTAACTAACATCTCATTGTTGAACACTGCTGAAGATTGAATGTGTGCTGCCATGCCCATCATCCATTGAACAAACGTGATAAGGCGCTCAACTACATCGTCTTTGGATAGTAGCCCATAACTATTGCCTTTTTGCAATAGTATAACTCTATAGTAGGTACATAGAGCGGGGTTGGCATCTCGCTATCGCATGGAGCAAGAAGTGGTATTCTCCGGTAGCTCATGGTCCGCATCACCTATTTTTGATACTTTAGACCGGGGTTATTCATGCATCCAGGGCTCACCACCTCTTTCATTCGCCAATGTGGGCGGCGGGTTTCTGTATCTCCGGATTGGTGGGTGTGAAAACCGCATTGTTAAGTGTTTCGAATTGGAGACGCGGAACTACAACACCGATAGCCTGTTTGGTCAGCCTCCGAAACATCTTGATGCATCACTCATATATTCGTAAGGTTTCCCAGGCATCTCTACCGTCTCGCACTGATTTGATATATTGTTGAAGAGAAAGAGAGGAAACAAATCAAGTGCATCTCTGACCAAAGCTTATACCAAAATGGTTGCCTCTATCCTCCAGAGCGCTCTCTGGCTGGGCGGCTTCGTCTCGACCGTCATGTCGCACGGCATGGTCACCAAGTGGACTGCAGACGGAAAATCTCAGCAAGGCTTCATCCTTGACTACTACTATGCGAAGGTAAACGGACAACCAGTGCCTGACATTGCTTCATGGTACACCGAGAACCTGGACAGCGGCTTCGTTGCTCCAGATGCCTACCAGAGCTCGGATATCAACTGCCACAAGAACGCCAGCCCCGGCACCCTCTACGCCACTGTTGCTGCCGGTGGCACGTTGACCTTCACCTGGGCACCAGCCCCGTGGGTTCACCCGTACGGGCCAGTCCTCACCTATGTAGCCAAGTGCAGCGGAGAGTGCACATCAGTTGACAAGTCTACCCTGAAATGGGTCAAGATTGAAGCATCTGGAAGTAAGTTCGACACACCTGATTGAAAATGAGTATCGGGATTTTGTATGCTAATCCTTTTCCTTGTTCTGAAGTCAACTACTCTACCCAGAAATGGGCATCCCAGGTCCTGATTGACAACGGCAGCGTTTGGACCACCAAGGTTCCAGCATCGCTCGCGCCTGGAAACTATGTGTTCAGGCATGAGATCATTGCCCTTCACGGCGCCGGTTCGCTGAATGGGGCACAGAACTACCCGCAGTGTTTCAACGTCAAGGTCACTGGCTCGGGGACGGCGAACCCAAGCGGCGTACTCGGCACTGCGCTGTACAAATCAACGGATCCCGGGATTCACATGAACCCCTACACGACCATTACCAGTTACGCAATGCCCGGCCCAACCCTGTGGACTGGCTGAGTATCAGGCGTGGCTGGTGGCTCGGCGCGTTCACGTGAGTTCAAGCCGTAGGCGCCGGCTTCGATGGAAGTGGCCTGTTTTTGGTTGTTGTTATTATGTGGAAAGGCATATATTGAGCGTTGATTGCATGGGTTCGAGTGACATTTTACATCGATGAATGAGACACGATTGCATAGCTGAAGACCCATGACTACCTGAACAATGCTACTCCAATTCTCGATAAAAAAGATCGGAAAAAAGTTCCACGGCAGAGCACACCCTCCCGTAAGCAGATACAACGCTGGAGGGAAACCTTGTCGAGATCGGCCGAGCCCATACTCCTCGTGCCGGGCCGAGATCCAGCGCTCAGGCAATCGCTGTTTTTCTCCTTCAAACTCTGTTGTGGCCATTATTGGCTTGGGGGGTTGCACCAGCTGCTTCCCGTACGGTGAATCAAATATTCGTCCGGACAGAAGTTCTTGGCGTTGAGCCACGCAACGGATGGGGCGAAGGAAGACGAAGGAGGCCAATGAACATGACTCTGTGCCTTAGAGTCGCATCAATCTGTGCCAAGTCTCTGCAGAGAGTAGCATTCCGGCCAGGCCCGTGCCCTGAGATATTAATTTGCCCCTGTCGCCGTCCCTTATATTGGATGAACTATCCCACGTTACAGTACAACAGTGCCGGGATGTAGCTTATTCTGCCTTTTTTCTAGCCGATAATATCCCCGTATTTGCAGCGGTTTAGGCACTCCTACATGAACTAAGGTTGCCAAGGTGCTGTCTGCCCCCCCTGGTCCAGCATATACGAGGACAGCCGGGTTGGATTTTCAGCCTGTTCAGGGAACTGGCATTGGCATTCTCTGTCGGCATCACGCCAACATGGAGCGATTGCTGCATATATGGGTGGCAGCGCAGGTCCCCAGGCCCCTTGATTGGTTGGTTGATAGGCTCGGGATGCATCTTTTTTTCAGCTCAGCCGTTATCATGTCTGTATATCGGTCTGCATACAACAATCCAGAGAGATACTGAGGTTTCTTCACATGTTGCAATTTCCAAATCGGGTATAGAGAGAGCAAAGAGGCCTCAGGGTCAAGGTCTAGAGCGCGGCTTTCAAAGTTTTTAATTTATCTCTGCATGAAGACTGTCATGATCCATCGCAACACAGCCTTGGCTAAAGTATAAAGAGCTGCGACTCGAACAATTTGTAGATGGATTTTCTCTTCTCATCGCGCACCTTCGCACCTGTTTGCGAAGCCCTATAGTCTCTCTAATAATTCCTATAATACTCTTAACTATCCTAATTCCTTCTTGATTCCCCCAGCATGCAGCGACACGCTCTTCTGTCCCTGCTCGCCGGCGCATTGAGCCAGGCATGCGAACTTCCCACTGAGCCTATCTCGGACACCATTTCTGATGGGTTTGGCATCCGAGTTCAGAACGCAGATTTCCCTGCCGTCAATGGCCGGTACTGGAACCTGTTCGAGGCTGGTGGTGGCGACCAGCATTTGTACCTGAGCCCAACTGGCGCCTACGCCTTTGACCTCACCCTCAATGCTGGAGTTATTTCCAAAGGCATCATCCATGCTGTCATCAACGGAGAGGTGAGCAGTTCAATTAAATGAACCAATGAATGACCTTGAGTCCGTGAGACAATGCTGACGCAAGCAAACACAGTATCTGGCCTCTGACAACACCACCAAGATTTTCATGACCGAACGTGGTGATCCCAGGGCGCTCTTTCAGCCCGTGTATGGTTGCCACCCTGTAACCGATGAGGTCCAAGTTGAGCTCCTGTTCACAGGCCGCGAGGGTGATGAGGTCGGCGGCAACGTCTGCGTCCGCACCGGAGCGTTCACCGACAGCTACGAGTTCCGTTACTCGCCACCCGGAAACACTGGTAAGCTACCACCCCATCAACAGTTCACTGGCCTAATGCTTACTCGTGATTGTAGCCAACGACCCAAGCAGGCCCTGCATCCCCATCACTCTCGCGGTTGATCGCACCGAGCCCCCCGCCCAGCCTACCCCAACCCCCACCAGCTCCATCCCCCCCGGTCCTACCGTCACGCCTGGCCTCTTCGCCGATGTGACCGCCGAGGGCTACGCGTTCGTTGGCTGCGCGCCCGAGGAGGGCAACGCCAACGACAACACCACTGAGCGCACCCTCCCTGCCTCTCTCTACGCCTCTGATGCCCTCACCAACGAGGTCTGCGTCAACTACTGCAAGTCCCTCGGCTTCAAGTACGCCGGCAGCGAGTACAGCCGTGAGTGCTGGTGTGCCAACTCGTACCTGCCCACTCGCCAGCCCGGAACCACCGTCTCCAGCTTGGCCGGCTGCAACATGGCGTGCGGCGGTGACGCCTCCCAGTACTGCGGTGGCGCTGGCTGGCTGAGCCTGTACGCTGCTTGCGAGGAGGGTGCTGCGTGCACCAACGCCGAGTTCTCGGCTCTGAGGTCCATGCGCCCCTTCCGTGCTTGAGATGTGAAGGTGTAATTTGAGGAGGATGGGAGGATAGGGGAATGTGGATTATGTAACTAGGAATAATATTAGTTATTCAATTCCGTATATCGGGGTTCATTCTGAGTCGTAGCTCAGCGTGACCAGGCTATATGGAATTATAAATGCTCTAAAATAGCCTAAGCTCACATTATATCTGTGATTTCCACTATAAAAATGGCCTAGAATTGATTAAGTTGTCTGCGTAGGAGAATGGGATTCTTAAACCAAGTTAAAGAGGCCGAGCACTAAAAGTTAAGACAACGTTTCACTACCATGTATGCTTTCTTTGAATTTATTGATAAATTGTGAAACTTAGACTTCTTCTTTTGTAAATGATGAAAGTCTTCTAATAGGAGGCTGTCGTTTGTAGCTTAGATTCGCACCGTATAAGAAACCTTTGCCGAGTCTCTCACTTATATCGCACTACCAATTAGGATAGCACAGGTGATTGATTGAAAAATACAATGGATCAACGTTGCTTTTTTCTCTGAGATATCTAAGGTTCTTTAGAAAGGATGTGGAGATCAAAGGTAAGCTTGATGTATAAGACGAGATATTTCAAGGGGTGAATATATTGGTTCAGCTGATTTACCGCCATGGCTTATTGGAGTCAATACAGTCTCTCTTTTCCTTCCAGAGAATTACGTCAAAGCACGTCAGATACTCAGTTTCCACGAATTGCAGAGTTGGGTTATTCCATCTCTCACTGCGCCCATACAAGGTCTTAGTCATGTCATATGACCTTGGTATGTTCATTAGGACGTAAAGTTGTAGACTCTGACTCGTGAATGGCATCAAACACTAGGTGACCAGCCACACCTGTGGGTGCTTTCCGCCAGTGAATTGCCAATCAACTTTAGCCCTAGCTTAACCCCGAGCTGCTTCCGTGGTGGTGATTGCACACGTCTGTGCTTATATTGGTTTAGTTCTATTCTTGTACATAGGCTGGGGCAACATTGCATCCTTCACATAGAGGGAAAGGGTGTCAGTGAGAAATGGGTGGTTGTCTGACCACAGAGCGAACCAACTCGTCGCCTGACGAGGCGTATTTCCTACTCGTCATATTCTCCCCCATGGCCCCATCGTAGCCTGATGGTCATTATCGCCTCCCTTGATATATTGGTTAATTCCGTGCAACGATGTCCCGACGCCACATATCTGGGATTTAACTCAATGCCTAGACTATGGAAAGTTGTGTTTTAATCCAAACGCTTAATGTCTGTAGATGTAGGTAGGAGCTATTTATTAACTAAGAGAAAACCTCTCAGAACACATTATATTAATCATCCGGCTGTAAGTAGGGTTGAGAAGGAGGAGTGCTGACATGCAGAAGCGCCTGACCATGGTTGTCCAACCATGGGCGTTTTCAGGGCACCACGCCGGAGCCCCAGAGCATGATAAGCCGTGTAAATGTCCAAAACGAGCAGGTGTCAAGGCTTGCATCGTTTTCTGAGGAAGCGGCTCCATATGTACAAATTACTTTATAAAATTCTCGATGAGTCCGCCGGTAATTGAAACAATAATAATGAGCCCTCTGAGCTATAACATCAGAACTCCCTGGAGTTAAGACGGTAGTTTTACTATCAGCTTTTGGGCTCTTGTTTTCTTGTTCCCGTGATCCTTACTCGCCTTCTGTTATTGACCTTGCTCCAGCGATTGCTGCCTTCGGCTTCGATATGGCTTTTCAACTTTGGCAGTCTGCGACAGTTCCCATACGTAGAACATACACAACTCTACGGAAAGATGTTCTGAATTGGTGGACGATTGAGCTTGTGGCCATGGCTGGGGCCATAGCGACCTACCTGGCCCTGATCTCACACTTGCATTACTGGCATGAAAAACCGACCAAGGAGTGGCCGAGGTATTGGTTCCTTGGGGTTTTCAACACTCTCCAAGCGTCCGTTTCCTTCTTTGCGACTATGTTGAGGGCTCTCATTCTTTTCTTTGTTGCGGCAGCCATCAACCAACTGAGATGGTACTATACGCAGCATTCTACCACCGGCCGGCGCATTGGGTTCCTTCAGGCCCTTGATGATGCTTCTCGAGGTATATTTGGGTCTCTCACACTGTTAATGTCTCGCGAGTTTTTGAACTGGTCGTCCATAGGGTGCATCATTACCATTGCGGCGTTTTTGGTAGGACCTCTGACCCAGAATGCCGTAAAGCAGGAGACCAGAGCAAAAGATCCAGTCAAAGGGGCACATATAAACGTCGCAAAGGTGTACAAATTGGTTCACTCGAATGGGAATCAAAATGAGTTGACTGCCCAAGCAAATATTGAGGCAGCCATCGTTAACGGGTGGGGTCACTATGCGTCACTTCAATTCGAAAAAGACGATTCTCTGATGGAGAAAGTGTTCCCTACGCCTCTCGAATGCCCTGAGAAGAGTAAGGTATTTTGTTCGTGGAAAAATATCAACAACCTTGCAATCGACTATGAGTGCGCAACAAAACCCACTCGATTGCTCGAACTGGACAAGGACTACGAGCTCAATATGACAGCCAGCATGACTAGGCCCGAGAAATCCACCTTGCCTCGGAGGGAGTATCCTCTCATTATCCATGTACGGGCAACTGGAAGACCGCGAGAGAAAGGCGATGACTACGTGGAGCATGCGGAGTGTGCGCTTTACTGGAGAATTCAGCATTTCTCGAAAGCCACTTACAATGGAACTCTTTGGCAGGAAAACACAGCATTCCTTCCTGAACTGCCCGCGGAATATGAGGGCCCGTCGATCAAATGGAACATTTCATCATCTGTGTTCGAGGTCATGAATAATGCAACACAGGGGCTGAGCACTAGCATGAGCTCGTGTTTCAACAGGACTATCCTAAGGAATCCCAACTCCGGAAAGCTAACCTACGATGAAATGGCGACCCGGGTTTTTCGCGACAGCTGGAACAAAAAGGCTGATAAGGACCTCAATACCCTCGCTCTCCAAACAACGCTCAAGAGCTACGTCAAGAACGTGGCGCTCTACACCTCTGCTGCCATCCGTGCCAAGTCTGACCAAACGGCTCCCGGGTACATTCACAGGAGAGAAGAGATTTACGTTATTAAAAAACTGTATCTGATATACCCCCTCGTCGTCCTGATTTTGAGTATTCTTTTCTTCCTAGTGACGATATATTTAACCTGGAACGACGAGGTGTGGAAGAGCAGTCTTCTTCCACTGCTGTATCACGGGTTCGCTGAATCCTTCCCTGATAACCTCAAGACCATGGCCGAGATGACAGATGAGGCCGGAAATAAGGCGTTCGAACTGAAGAGTGATGGCGAGAAGGGTTTAAGGTTTTACGAGAAGGAGCAAGTTGAAAGTCGGATGCCGAGCACTAAAATGGGATATCAATCGATCATACCACTCGAGCCGTATGGTCCAAACAGAAACGACGAATGATCTGAATTGTTCACCTGAGATAGTAGTGAGAATAGATTTTCATGGATATTATCTTGATAAATTTCCCATTGATAAATACTATACCAAGCTTAACATACGACTTTCCTCCCAATTGACCTCAAGAGGGCTCAACCTTGGGAATAGATTTAATCTATTAGTAATTGCAGGGCCCTCGAGCAAACTTTCTAGTTTGTTTTGTTTTGTTCTTAACCACTGTTTATGCTTGAATTTCTGAAATGGGTCAATAGAAGAGCCGCCGGCGAAACTGGTGTCCGGAACTAGCTGGAAATGGTAGAGCCCGGGATTGAACTCCGTACATTCCAACCGGACTTGTTAACAATTGAGGAATAACTACCGAGGCCTAATTACAGTAGCATTCCTGCTTTTGAGTGGTGGCCAAAATGTTGATCTGCTAATCCCGATAGAATGGCCTGGAATCCCGACTGGACGCTTGCGTCTCAATTGAAAAGCTTCTCTCTTCCTGATTTCTACATCTCCCTTGTTTCGAAGTACCACGCGAAGATACCACCGAGAACACAACTACCCACCAATATGCGCTCTCTCGCGACTAAACAGTATGGGAAGCCCGATGGCTTTGAGATCCTCGATTTACCGCAGCCAGAGATCAAGAATCCAGATGATGTTTTGATCAAAGTCAAAGCCACGTCTATCAATCCAATAGACCTCCATGTCGCCAACGGGCTGGGCAAGGGTTATATCCCTGGCAGGTAAGCCCTCCTTCAATGTTTTCATGTTCTTACACATGGGGTCACCTTCTCACGTGAATCACGAAGTCTACCATTCAAGATCGGATACGATGTCTGCGGCACAGTAGTCGCGACCGGCGCCGAAGTGTCGTCAGATATCAAACAGGGGGATGAAGTATGGGCTCGAGTTCCCGAACAGTACCGCGGCACAGTGTCGGAATATGCCATCTCGCCCGCGTATGCCACAGCGCATACACCAAGCTCATTGTCGCATCTCGAGTCCGCATCGATGCCATTAGTTTCCCTCACTGCCCTTCAGGTCCTTGACAAGGCCAATGACATCATAGAGGGGGGCCTCGAGGGTAAAACTCTATACATCCCCGCAGGGCTATCTGGAGTAGGGAGTGCCGCTCTGCAGCTTGCTAAGAGAATATTCAAGGGTGGCAAGGTCATCACTACCCTCTCAACAGGAAAGATAGCCAAGATAGATGGACTCATTGGCGAGGGAGTAGCCGACCAGATTGTGGACTACACCAAAGAAGATCCCGCCAAGGTTATTCCGGCAGGCTCCGTTGATTTCATGTTCGATATTACCGGACAAGCAATGGCCAGCCTGCATCTGATGAAAAAGAACGGCTTGATTCTGACGATTAACGGAGTCCCTTTCGGGGAGAGCGTGAAACAGCGACTCCCTAACCTGCCTCTGATCCCGCGATTGATCTTGAACACATATGGCACTGTCGTTCAATTTAGGGCATCAAGGTACAGCGTGACATATTTTCATGTATTTGTACGGCCAAGCGCGGAAGATCTCACAAGGTTGCGTGGTTGGGTTGAGCAAGGCTTGATCAAGCCAGTTGTTGGAAAGGTTGCCAAATTTGAGGACATTAAGGCTATTCGTGAAGGGTGCCTGGAGATTGCGAGTGGGAAAGGAGGGATTGGAAAGTTTGTCATTGATTTAGAGGCATAATCTTGATGTAATAATAATTTGAATTCGCTGGACCATCGAAGTACCGATACGATCCTGTAGCCTTTCCTTCCTAGGGCCTTGTGACCATATTACTAGATTTCTGCAGAGTAGTCGCCTCTGCTTAAGAAGACCCATACACCTCTTTTAAAGTGTAACATGAGGAGCACAGTATCAGGGATGCTGAGCTCCTTCCTTTCGAAATTCTTTGCTTTCAAATGATGCAGCTTCGTACTTTATGCATTTGACAACCAACAAGCAGTTTTGGTAGTGATAAACCGTTCTCTTCCCTATTTTATGGTTCTGACTGGTGATCCACATTTGTCCGCAATCAGGATCATGGCCCATACAAGTGAATTCTTCATACGGACTCCGTGTTGTCTGGAGGATGGCAGGGATAGGGATGATTAGCGAGATACACACGGGGGCCGAGTGTCAGCCTAAGACTGAGTTGGAATCTGCCTCTTCCCGATCCAGAACGACTGGATTTAACCCGATGCGCGCGGCAGACCTACTTGGCAATTCGGCAGTCGATGATTCCTTGTATAAACATGGAGTGAGAACAGTTAGAGTACCCTAGAGACGTGCCGAGATTGTTTATCCTCAGCCCCCCCCTTGGCGCCATGACAAGTGCGGTTCAACAATACTTGTTGATCTGTACGAAGCGGAGAAAGTGTCAGTACAGAGGAGATCTGAGGAGATGCATTATTGTAAGCTGCGGGCTCTTATATTTTGGAGAACAAACACGTCTGTGTCCTACAAACAAAAAATGGGCTCAGTTTTTGTAGACCACAAGTGTGGCCTCTTAGCAGTGTGATTTGACAGGGTTAGGTTTAACTTCATCAATATATGTTTTTCTGCTTTCTATTTTACTGTTCAATGTGTCACTCCCCAGGAACAATCATTGGAAGGCCTTGTTAGAGAATTGGTGATCATAAAGAGACCGAACTGGCCCACCTCACATCCATGGCATGGACCCATCTCAACACGGGCCGCGCGCTAACACGCATGCTTCATTAAGAATATTACTATATCTTGACCTAATACATAAACAAGTTATGAGGCAGTATGTTGGGGCTAAAAGAGGAGCATTAAGATATGTAGCTAAGTTAACGTGACTCTTTTGAACTCGCCATTGCAATCAAGCTGCTCTTAAATATCGGGTATAATTTCAAGACAACCGATAGCTGATATCGTATTCGTGCCGGACCTGCCTTGGTCTCTTGATTGCTCTTCAGGGGCTCCTTAGGAATGGATAGGTGGCTGAAGTATCGATCACTGACGCATCAAACGTGTCAAGATATTAATAACGCGTAGCCCTATAGAGGCGTGTAGGCTCGCCTCTCGGATCTTTTGCCAGGGGCAAGGGATTCAGTCAAACCATGTTTTGAGTGGAGTGGATGGGGGTGAACTACCAGGTCGAAGGATTCTAAGCACCGCGCGCGGGGGACTGTTTCCGCTATTGATCCGTGACAGGATTCTGATCCAAGTACCTGAGGATTATGCTAATACCGGTCAGTGATATTCCAGGCATTTCCGAGCATCTTATCATGAACGGCAGTTGGAGGTGAGTTTGTAATGGATCACACCACCCCCCATGATACATTGCTAACAAGCATTTTCCAGCGCAGAACCATGAGCTCTCTTGCGGGGAGAAGTGGAGGTGTTTTAATACATGAAGCTTGCCCTTGAACCCTCCACCGGCTTGTCTTTAACAGGCCGTTCATGCTAAGATAGGTTCGGATGTCATGCTGTATTACTATCCGGTTTATGTTTGCCTCAATGATGTGCAGGATGCTAATTTTAGAGAATCTCTAACCGCAAGATCTTTAATCTATGAATAACCAAAGCTGGAAATGTCTATATAAACTCCCAGCTCTCCTCCCTCTGAAGTTTGGCCTTTCTCATCATCAACATAAAAACAAACAAAAATTCATAGTTAGAAGCTTAGTTCTTCTACTTTTCCTTGAGTTTTCTTCTTTTAGAGTCTTTTTTCATTACTGATTTCACATTCGTCAGCACTCTTCTTCAATCACAATTATTTCTTCACTCTTCATTCCAATTTTCAGCATCATTTTTTGAAATCTTCAAAAATGGTCGCCACTAATCAGCTCAGCCTCACTGCCCTTCTCTGGCTAAGCCTTGCCAACCAAGGACTTGCCCTAGGCATTGATGAAGCTACCAACGATCTCACACTCATGGAGAGGAGCCCTGTTCCGAAGCCCCCTATTGCAAAGGCTGTGACGGTTGGGCTCCCAACCAGCGGGCCGATTCATCGCCTAAGGGACGAGGAAGAGGAGCTTGATACCCGTGATGAGGAGCTCGAGGAGCGCGATTACGAGGAGCTTGATGAACGAGATTTCGAGGAGTTGGATGAGCGTGATCTCGACATTGAGACCCGTCAGCTCCATGGTAGTGGACGTCCTGGCCACGGCCCTCGCAAGCATGGAAGAGATCTCCAAGAGTCCGATATTGAGACTCGCTCACCACGCAGGGCTATTCCCGGAGGGAACCGTGCCAGCTGGGGCGGCCAGAATGGTCCTAAGAGGCCACGAGACATCGAAGCCCGCCAGTTCCAGGGTCGCCGCGGAGGATTCGGCGGTGGTGCCCCTCATGGTCGTCACAGGGGTCCTCGGGATGTAGAGGAGCTTGATGAGCGCGATAATGAAGAGCTTTATCTTGAGGCCCGTTCACCAGGCAGGGCTATTCCTGGAGGTAACCGTGCTAGCTGGGGCGGCCAGAGAGGTCCCAAACAGCCAAGAGACATTGAAACCCGTCAGTTCCTCGGCAGTGGACGTCCTGGACACGGCCCTAGCCACGGCCCTCGCAAGCATGGACGTAGCCTCGACGTTCGCAAGGGTGGTTTTGGTAAGACGCGTGGCCCAAGACGTCCCCGAAACCTCGAGCACGAGTGAACGGTTGGGGAGTGGCAGGGAAAGAAGCAATGAGAGGGCTACTCATTTTGATTGGCTGGATGTACTAGATGTTTGATATATCTGCAGTATTTGGTAGCAGCACGGCCTGACGCCATTTTTCTTTCTTCATGGGCTTCTGCTTTTAGTTTAAGAGCAATTGAAAGTTGTATTCATTTGCTAGAGCACATATTGAATTATGGAGCTCAGTGACTCAATGCCTGTGTCAGTTTCTTAGGCTATCCCCGATATATTGATCCTCCTCAGCCTATTGGTCTGTGAATGCCAGGACTAATTCAATTGGATTGTACCTAAATTGAATGCTTAGATTGCGCTTGGACATGAAATATAGCAACCTCTTGAGTCTAGGAGAAGGGGGTGCTGTGAGTATACAGTGATGTCCGGCGGTTTCACCTGGCGGGGAAGAATAATTTGGCGAGTTTAAGCTATCCACTGGAATGACTAGTTTCAAAGTTGTTCTATGCCATATGCTGGGAGAGCCAGTTGAGGACTTGGTCAGGATTCTCCTGGAACCAGGTGTAGCCATCCCAGCGCTTATCGGTCCCATTGATCCAGTAGAGAGTTTTGTCTTCGATAGGGATATTGTCGAAAATTGCCTGGACGTCACTTGGGGATGTCATAAAGTCTGCATAGACTTGATACATGAATGTCGGCATTTTCACGAACTTGGCGCTTGGGATTGGCGTTAGTTGATCAATATGGAAGCTGGTCTTGAGATAGACGCGCTTATCAAGATCGTCTAGGTACGACAAGGGAACACCTCGGCCTTCGAGAGCTCGAGTCATGAATGATTTGGCGGAGAGTGGTTGGACTGCAACCATGCATTTGATGCCCTCAAAAACCTGGGGCTTGAGCCTGATTGCATGGAGGTTGGAATTGGCGCCGTTGCAGCGACTGAAGAGACCGATATTCATGTTCTTAGTATCTTCGCGGTTGCGGATGTAGTTGATGGAACCAATTACATCGCGGGACTCGTAATGGCCCGAGGTGTAGAGCCCATTGTTCCCGTTACCACTCTGTCCGTGGTTGCGCAGATCGTAGGCCAGGACATTATACCCGGCATCGTGGAGGAGCTTGTAGTCAGGGACGAAGTTGACTTCCCAGTCATTGCCTTTCACAAGGGCGCTCCAAGGCTCTACACCTGGCAGGCCCGCCCTGTTAAACCAGCGTGGGTGGTTGGCGATGATGACCTTGTTGGATCCATTCGAAGGAATAAACCAACCCTCAATGGTGACGCCGTCGTCCGCTGGGAAATAGACGTTCTCGTACTCAAGACCTTCTTCGTCTGGCCAGTGCATCAGGGGGGCGATTGGGTATGACCTGAAGCCATCGGCCATACCCTGAAGCATAGCTACGATCTCGGGCTCAGAAGGTTGCGTAGTGTTGGTCTGCGCAGCGGCGAGACCAATGAAATGAAGAACCCGCAGGGCGAGTGAAGATCTCATTTTGTCAACACGGCTGGTTGCTTGTGTTGCAATAGAATGGAGTATGATATCAAAGGCGCTTTGTAACTGGCAAATTCGCTAAGAAGAAGGTTAAAAATCAAGGTTTTTGAGATGAGATCTGGCTCTGGGTAGTCATAATATCTGGCCTTAAAGCAGACTATATATGGGAAAGACTAACCCTGTGATTAATATTTTATCCGGCTCATAAATGAAAGAAAGCCAATACTTATCTCGTTATCGGGCGTGGGCATGGCGAAACGTTGATCAAAGGATGGGGATGCCTACCATTACCAAACGATCCGTGAGTGTGATCCTGCATACCAAGCGATATCTGTATGCGATGTGAGGATTAGGTTTGATCACCTACTAAATAAGGAAATTTTCGGCCTCCGGCGGAGATGGGAATACCTGTTATGGCAAGGTACAGTTACAAGGGGGTTTATTATCTAACAAGTGGCGGAGTCTTATGAACATTGGCTGGGCACCGCGTCCGTCCGTCGGATTTTCCGTCGGGGGTCTAGGCTGGCAAAGATGTAACAGGGCTCTCCTTGGATTCTTTGACATTTCCGGAATATTTGGTGATGCCCTCCCTTGGGCCTTGAACAAATAAAATGAGCTGAGTTTCCATACCCAGCACTCGACAATGGCAATTACTTAGGTTCTAGAGATGAGGAGCGACGAGCTTCAGAAAAGCCGCGAAAGGGCTTTGTGACATAAATCTGGCGCACCCTTTGGAATACTATTGGAATGCTCTATGCCAATGCGAGCGATAAGATCTATGATCTATGTAATTCGAGTCGGGGGTCCACTACTATGAAAATTTGGTTATCCAGTGTCGCCAATATTTGTGTCGAGACCACGAATTGGCTCTAATCTAAGGGATAATATTATAGTGGTATGTTGCATCTAGTACTACTCAAGCAACCAAGTGCGAGGTCCAGCTGAGGAACAGCCAACGGAAATTTAGGGAAATCCGACCAGTAACCGCCCAAGCGAATGCGACTAGAGTGATTATTTTTGTGAGAGCTCGTTAATGCGATAATCCGACGTATTTCTTCATCTCGAGGGCTCTTTGAAGCTGACAAGAAGACGGAGAAGCACCTATTAAACTGGTTACTCTGAGCAAGCCGTTACCATGGAGAGCTACGGTACATTTTGGCCTCCAGCACACTGATAAATATCTCTGTTTACCTATAGATGAATGGCATTGCTTTAACAAAGTGGGCGATACCCGCCAGGCTTAGTGTCTGTGCCTGACCCCATCTACTGGGAACAACCCGAGTTTCATCGATCCCTGTGTACTTATTACTCAAGACTGTTTCTTCAGACAGGAAAGATTTTAATGCTAGGCTAGATACTCAACTCAATGATTATGTTTGTGATGCCGGATCTTGCTTTACTTAAAGCCAGTAGTTTATCCACCGGGTTGGGTTGGTGCTTACACTACCCAAAATCGACCTAGGATTATTTACAACCAAGTTTATTATTAGTAGGGCGCGTTTGTCAAACGATATCGGCCACCAGGCCCACAATTTTGGTCCCGGGGCCGATGACTCGGCATCACGAAAGCTTTGCTTCTCATCCAGACTTGAGCCAAAGAGTCGGGCAACATCACAGTAAATGCACCATACACTTGCCAAGACAAAGCTACCGTAGCGACATCTCGCCGCTTCCAGTGCTCCTTTGATCGGACGTTGGAGCCCTCAAGAAAGCAGGTTACGCGGTAATGGATTGGCTAGGCGACATTGTCGACCTGGAGGAGTTCAACGATGTTGATCCTATTGACCCTAGCGAATGGGCTTCTTTGACGACACTCGAAGATGGTACCCACAGCGAATCTACTAGGGATCATTCGCTGCCGGCCCAGTTTGCACCAGAGGCCAACCCCAAGAGGGTGTCGACAAGGCCACCAGGCAAAATTGGGACACGCTTCTCACAAGACGCTGTGAGGATATTGAGAGCCTGGTTCTCTTCCCATGAGGGGAACCCATACCCCAACGAACAAGAGCGATTGACCCTCGAGTTGCAAACTGGGCTCAATAGCACGCAAGTGTACAATTGGCTAGCCAACGCTCGTCGACGGAGACCAAGGAGCATGTTCCATGAACCACCCAGTCGACAGCAGTCCCCAGCCCCGATCAGTATCCCGCGGAGACCAGGAACACCGATGATCCCTCTTCAGAGATGGATGGATTCGCCACCCGAAGATGAACCTGTGGAAGTGGCATCCATCGTCCGCGCAATGGAAGATAATTCTTGCCGCCTGAATCAAGCCGAGCCTCTCGTCCGCGGTTGGAGCGGAGGGTCAAGTCGATGTTCATCAGCAAGTAGTGTTGACTCTTCCCACTCTGTGAGCAGTTCACTGCGCTCCGCGGCATCCTGGGGGTCCTCGAATTCTACGAAGCGGAGGAGCCGGCGCCAAGCAAGCCGAAGAGGACTGTCTCGAAATTTGGAGCTTGCCAAAAGACCCCTTGTCTCCCCGACCAAGCCATACCAATGCACATTCTGTACAGATTCCTTTGGCAAAAAATATGAGTGGCAGAGGCATGAGAAATCTCTTCATCTTCCCGTGGATACATGGAAGTGCTGTCCCGACCAACCCCGTGTCGTAAATGGACCCGAAAACCAACTCTGTTGCGTGTTTTGCGGCGAAACCAATCCAAGTGCTACACACATGGCGAGCCATAGCCCGACGTCATGTCAGGAGCGCGAGTTCGGTAGGAAAGACCACCTGAAACAGCACCTACGCCTCGTTCACAATGGCACGTTGCTGGACAGCTTCCAAGCGTATTGGAAAGCGGATGCACCGGATATAAGATCACGCTGCGGTTTCTGTAACGAGGCTTTGGATACCTGGACGTCAAGGACCGATCATCTGGCGGATCACTTCAGAGCCGGACAGGATATGGCTGACTGGAAGGGAGATTGGGGTTTTGATGAATTCATCTTGGCCAGGGTTGAGAATGCTATTCCGCCATGTAAGTCGTCAATCAAACTGGATAACCTACGGCTATGGATCAGAACTAATCTGATATGTACAGACTTGATTATGAACGAGAGAGATACGCCCCTTCCCTTCGCGGCCAGTACCCCGCCTGTAGAAGCACCCAGGTGTGCTTATGAGCGCATCAAGATCGATCTGCTATGGTTTTTGCAATCCTTTCAAGACCAATATAGCCTCATCCCAAGTGATGACCAATTCCAATTGGAGGCCTGCCGAATCATCTTCTCCCTCGACTCTCTCACGTCAGAAGAGGCTTTAGGACGGGACAGCGCGGCTTCATGGCTCAGGGACCTGATCACTTCCCATCCCGAGATTGCACGGCGCGCAAAGCTTTGCCCCGTGAGGCGCGAGAATGAGAGTGCGTTCTCCTCACGGTCGATGCTTCCTAGAGCAACCAGTTATTTCGAGGGTTGTCCCTTGGAATATGAGCTTCGGCGCTTCGTTCGTCAAACATGGGCATCGGGCCAGATGGACCTGGCCGACTCAGAATTACAGGACGCAGCGTGCAGAGCAATCTTGGAAGTTGACGCGCGTTTCGCAATGCCTCTATCTACATTTGTGGCAAAGTGGCTGGTGAAGGCCGGCATGTCGTCTACAACATGGCTACACAAATTTAAGGAAAGAATGGAAGCGATGAAACTGAGAGTTCTTGGGGCAATGAGCTCCAGCTTGAGCGAGTCACGGACTAGAAATGACAGAGCAGCCGCCGAGATGGAATTTCTGCCATTCTATGCCCATAGAGAGACTGAATCAGCCCCCTTAACGGCGCGCAGTCTTTCCTTGGATGCAGGATTTGGCGTATGGGATGTTGGAACTGATTACAAGCTGTGTCCTGATTCCAGACCGCCCTTTCTCGCCCTTGACCAACCTAAAACTGGAGATTTGACTAACTCTGCTGTCGAAAATCAGCCAAGCACTGAAAAAGAAGGCCTATTCGACATATCAACACGTCTTTTTTTCCCAGTTGGGGAGGGGTTCGGGGACGGAACGAACAAAACACATCACGGGCCGGAGCATCACCCCGGCTCGTGGATTACCAAAAAGTTCTACTTTCTCAATGATCCCAAGTATCAGCAATTACTCTCTAGAGAGCTGAAAAGATGGGTCAAAGCTACCATTTCGCCCAACAACCCTACGATGCACATACCATCAGATGAGGAGCTACGTCACCAAGCCCGATGTATGATGTATGATGAGTACGTGAAGTTGAACCCCTACTAGAGGCAAGAAGTTTATAAGGCTAACCTGACCAGTGACACATCATGGGACAGGACTCCCGCAGATAGCCCTGAGTGGTTGCGAAGGTTTAGGGAAGATGCTGGTATATAGTGTAGAAGAGGATGAGGCAGGCAATGGCACCAACGAAACCTCGCTACCCAGAGTTGAAGAACTGTGAAGCAGAAATAGGACTGGACTTATTCTCAATATATAACCAAATCTTTAACCACTGTCTCATTAATTCTTTAGGTTTATTCGAAAATTACCAGCCCTGAAAAACCAGCTACCGAGATCGGATACATAGGTAACACAGGGCGTCGAGGGCGCGATTGACAAGTCATGACCCACAAGACGTGACAGGCTTTGCAGCAAGTCTAAAAGTAATGAACCGGATTTTCATGATAAGAGACACGCAAGAATAGAAATTCTCGTTTATTCATCTCGATGTAGTACCCTTCGTTCATCTAGTTAGTGTTAGACCTCTTAAAACGATGACAGTATTCAAGGAAATCGCAACCATGTCGCATTGCCTAGCCACATTCCGGGAACAGAAGTACGCTGTCCGTTCACCGATTATTTCTGTACATGAAATGAAGACCCACTGGGCGTGTTTGACAAGCTCCAAGTTGTGGATTACCCAGACTTACTGCTTCTGTTTATATATATACGGCCTTACTTCAGTTGATTCTGTTGTGAGGCTTGGTCCATTATCCCTCTCAATACCTCAAAGATGTCAATTTCGAATTCTAGTGCGGTCGATATGGCTTCCAGCGAGGGAAAGCGAACTCAGAACCCATGGCTAGGCGTTTTTGGAGCTGCACTTTTCTTGATATCTACCCACGGTTGGTAACCAGTTTAATTACTCTCAGCCACTTTTGCTGATTGGCATCATTAATCGATATTTGAGTAGGATTCATTCAGTCCATTGGAGTGGTGCAGTCCTATTTGGAACTTAACCAGCTACAAAACTACCAAACAAGCGACATTGGTTGGATTATCGGACTCTACTCAATGCTTAGCTTGGTGCTCGGCATTATAGCCGGGCCACTGGTCGACTACTTTGGTGTTAGGCCACTGGCGGCCCCGGCGCTGGTTCTTTCGACGCTCCTGTATTTCGTCATGGCAGAGTGCACCACCTATTGGCATTTCATGCTGTGTCTCGGCCTTCTCGGCGGTGTTGGCGGAGCCATAACCAGCACTCTGGCCATCTCAGCAGCAGGCAAGCTCTTTGTAGAACGGCGAGGAACAGCTATTGGGTTCGCCTTGGCAGGAGCATCGGTGGGAGGCGTTGCTATTCCACTGTTGCTCAACGCCACGTTTCCTCGCTTCGGCTGGGCCTGGTCGATGCGTATATTGGGATTCATTATGCTGGCGTTAAACTTGGTTGGGTCACTCTGCCTCGTTCTCGTTTCGGACCAGATCCCCCTGAATACGGACTTGGGAATCCGCTCAGCGGCGCCTAGCCTGGAAGCCTTTAGATCTGGAACATTTTGCTTTACCACCGTGGGTTTCGCATTGATCGAGCTTGCCATGTTCGGCATCAACGGCCTTCTCCCTACATTTGCGGTGTCTGTCGGGTTCTCATTGCAAGCCGCGTATGTTTTGCTTTCCGTGCTGGCGGGAAGCTCCTTCTTCGGTCGCATAGTTGCCGGCGTGGCAGCAGACTACATTGGAAGTTTTAACGCCTTGGTTATCATGAGCACGTTCTCGGCTGTTGTGACGGGTGCTCTGTATGTCCCCTTTGGAGATACCTCCCCCAAGGCCTTGTTTGCGTTTGCAAGTCTCTGGGGATTCGGCTCCGGATCCTGTCTCTCCCTTGTGCCAGGTTCGTTTTCGACTTTACCAGACTTATGTGCTGAGCTAACCGAAATGTCAAGCGTGCGTTGGAAAGACCTGCGATAGGAAAGATTATGGAAGATATTTTGGTATGTCGGTTCCTTTCCTTGTTTCTTTTTGAACCACCTAACACTCTCAGGCACAATGGTATCAGTGACATCCATTTCTGCCCTCATTTCCATCCCTGCGGGAGGAGAGATGTTGGACCGTTTTGGACCCCGAGCAACCGCGGGATTCTTTCTTGCCACGGCGATTGGCTCGAGTATCTGTTTCACCTTCGCAAGATGGCGCCTTGGGGGCAAGTTTTTGAACCTCACTCAGGCGATCTAGAGGACCCTCGGGGAAGAGAGTAGTTTTCGTTAAGAGGAACCGCTCGGGAACTACGGCACTGATTGATTGCCCTTGCAAGCACTGTGTCAACGTTCTGATATCCTGGCTGCTACCTCGACAATATTTTATATAGAAGCAGTTAGAACGAATAGAATTTGATGTACTCGTATTAGTCTGGACTGCAGCTGTATCTGCATGATGACGCCTACTTCGTCAAGCACTGCATTGTCACTGGCTTGATTGGACTAGCCACCGTTTCTGTCTGAGACATGCTTTAACAATAATCTCGCATGACACACTAACGAAAGCTACCGGTTACTGGCTGGAATGTCGGTGGATGCCGTTTCCCATGTTCGGAATCTTTCTTCTATCTCTCCCTTCATCCAGCATAGTTGAGCCATACCTCCAATAATACACCCACGATTACTCATTAAACCTTCCACCAACACTTGAGTAACGATGCCTCTCCCAGGCAGCGACCTCAGCGCCCAGTCCCTCTACGGGGCTGCATTTAGCGCAGGAGTCCTCGTCCATCTCTCAGTATTTCGGTTGGGCGAATGGGATGGAGTGCCCGGTCGGATTGCCGCGTTCTTTGTTGCGATGTACGCAATCGCCAGCGCCGCATCAATCTATGTTCTCGCTGAAGAGTATGGTGGTGTTTTGGTAGTCTTGATGAATGTGTCCGCAATATTCTTGACGTTCCTTCTTGGGCTATTCGCATCCATGTTGATATACAGAGCTGGATTCCATCGTCTTCGATCATTTCCAGGACCCAATCTTGCCCGTATATCCAGCATTTACGGAGCCCGGATGGCGATGAGGAGGTTTAAATACTTCGATGAGGTCGACCAATTACACAAGGTGTACGGCGATTTCGTCAGAATTGGTACTACAACATCCAATAAGTCGATGAGCAGTGTGAATCGTGCTGACCTCCCTCTTCCTTCACAAGGGCCCAATCACCTATCCGTCGCACATCCCGCAGCTGTGCAAGCAGTTCACTCCAGCTCCTCCCGGTGTCTCAAAGGGCCTTGGTATAACACACAACTCCCTTCGGTATCCCTGCTAACATCTCGAGATCGTCATGAGCATGCACGGCGGCGCAAGATTTGGGACAATGGGCTCTCATTCAAAGGTTAGTCGCCGCGCGTTTATCTTGCTCCCATTATTCATTCAACTATTCAGTTGAGCCATGAGCTAAATACTTGTAGCGATGAGGTCTTACGAACCCAATATCGCTAAATGCACATCGCAGCTCATTAACAATGTTGAGGCAAGCCTTGGCCGCGGGATTGACATGAGCCACCATTTCACGCTTTACACTTTCGATGTGATGGGGACACTTGCATTTGCCAAAGATTTTAAGATGCTGGAATCGAAAGAGCTTCATCCTATCTTCAAGTTCCTGCATGAGTCAATGCTGTCAATTGTGATATTCGGCCATGCGATGTGGTTCCTCACTTTCTTGAAGAACATCCCCGGCTTGGCATCCGCAATCAAGAGGCTAAATGCCTGGGCAAATCAGCAGATTGAAGATCAAATTAGAGTAAGGTAGATTCCATGGAGAGCATGTTTGCACTTGGAGCTGACTATGTCTTTAGGACAAGCCTGACACTCCGAATGTGTTCTCGTGGATGTTGAGGGACTACATGATGCTGCCCAATCCCACCCCACAGGACTGGATGAACCTCCAAGCAGATGCTTCCTTGATAGTTGTGGCTGGAAGGTAAACCTAGAGAAGATTCTGCTAAAAAAAAAACATCTGCTGACAGGTGCAGTGATACGACTGCATCAACATTGACGTGCCTGCTCTTCGAGCTTACGAAACACCCCGATGTGTACCGGAAGCTTCAGAAAGAGGTAGACGCGCATCTATCGGACAAAAAAGAGCTTCAAAACGACTCCATGATCGGGATGGAGTATTTGCAAGCGTGCATTGATGAGTCCATGAGAATGCATCCGATCGTGCCTGGCGGCGTGCAAAGGCATACGCCGCCACAAGGGCTTCAAATCGGGGATACGTTCATTCCTGGAGATGTCATCATCCAGGTTCCTATGCACACCGTTAATTATGGTATGATGTTTACCTTATCCTCTAAAAGTCGATAGTCTCACGTTTCTAACAATGTATTATTAGATGAACGATCGTTCCCTCAGGCCAGTCAGTTCATTCCTGAGCGCTGGACATCGAGATCGGATTTAGTCACGGATGACTCTTGCTTCACACCTTTTTTGGCTGGTAAGAGTCTTCAGAAATCTCTTCGTATTAAATGCCCTCTCACTCAAGATATCTATAGGCAGGTATAGTTGCCCTGGGAAACAGCTGGCTTTGCTAGAGATACGGCATGTCATCTGCGAGATCGCTCGTCGTTACGATGTCAGTTTCTCTGAGCCCCAGACTAAGGCGCGCTTCCCTGAGGACATCATCGACGGCTTCAGCTTGCATTGTCCTAAGCTGGAATTGGTCTTTTCAGCCAGGAACACATACTGACCTTGGTAGTTAAAGGTCAATTCTTGCCGAGTAGCTGCAATTAGTCATCCTGGCCGTGTTGGGTTGAGAGAATGAAGGCTTGAATACGGTTGAATGTTTGGTCTCGGAACATACATGTCGTGGATCGCTATCAAGTAATTAAATACACGATCAATCAAACCTTGTCTGATGTACCCGGAATCTCCCGCCATTAGACATAATCGACCACGTTAATGTCAACTCCCGGCGGCCTATTTACTTGCCTAATAATAAGTCCAAAAAGTCTAATTTCTTATCTAACTCCATGAGATGGACTAAGACCTAGGTTCTTTAGGTCATAGGATGGATCCTTAGGCTAGAGTAGGCAGCTGTGGTTCACACATATGCGAACAGGGATAAGGGAGTTAACCTTTATGAAAGCCACTATGCTTCTTTTCGGTATCTACCGAAAGAAATCCTAGCCTAGGGATCCCTGGACAGTCGCTGACTGCATGGCCTTGATTCTGGATAAACTACCAGGAAGACTGGGAGGGGGCTTTGCACTGAGCTAAGCGCCAGGGGGGAGGGATCTTTGTTATCTGCTTCAGAGAGAGTATGTCGAGACATGCTGCTGCAAAAAGTCTAGATGCTGCTCGTCATGCAGTTAGCCCTGCGTTTATTGGTAGCGAAGGTGCCGTTTCGATGCTTCTGGCAGGTCAGTTGATGCTTGGCTGCATGTGCACGAACCGATTAGGCAGTTCGCGCAAGGCTTTTGCGGTACCTGCTTAGCTCTAAAATCGCGTCTTGCCTGGGGCAAAATGACCTCTTGCAAGTCGTTGAGATGGACAAATCGTATGTAGCTGGTGTGGCCGGGTATATAAGACCATACCCTCTGCTGGCCCGTTGCTCCCCATCCATCCATCTCGCTTCCATTGTGCCTGGTTAGGTCAATTAATATTGGGGACGGACATCATGCGGTATTCTACAATCATTTCCACATTCGCCTTGGTGCCTTACCTAGGCGGTGTTGGAGCCTCGGTAGCGATAAGTCGGCGTGAGGAAGAGGAGGCAACCACAGCCCGGGTAGCCAAGAGCTTCATCATTGAATACGCCTCGGTATGAGTTACCCTCGAGCTATAGATAAAATTAATCGCCATGGCACACTAACAGAAAGACAGAGCACGGCCAAGACTCGCCGCCAGGATCTCTCAGAGAATGATGACATCACGGTGGTGAAGACGTTCGACAGCGAGGTGTTCCATGGGGCCAGCATCGAGACAGAGACTTTGTCGTTTGACGAGCTCGTGAAAGTGCCAGACGTATTGCATGTTTGGCCCAACGAGAATGTTCAACTTCTTCCTACGTTTGATCAAAAGACGGCAGAGGCCAGTGAGGCGTTGGAGTACACAACACACAACGTGACAGGCGTGAACAAGCTTCATGCCCAAGGCCTGTACGGTAAGGGTGTCAAAGTTGGTGTTGTCGACACCGGAATCTGGTACAAGCACAAAGCTGTAAGTGACCTAAATGGGGGAGGGGAAAAGAATAAATCTTAGCTGACATATGAAAAAAGCTTGGTGGAGGTTTTGGTGCTGGCTTCAAGGTTGCAGGGGGGCGTGATTTTGTCGGCAATGGCAGTAAGTTGAGTCCCCTCGACTATGAAGTTCGACCTGGGCTGACAATAAATCGCAGATTGGCCAACTGAAGGACAAAAGGAGCCTGATGAGGACCCTCTTGATCAACGAGGCCATGGATCCCACGTAGCAGGTATCATTGCCGGCCAATCCGAGGGTTGGAAAGGTGTTGCTCCGGAAGCCACTCTCTACGCCTACAAGGTGTTTACTACGGCTGGCAGCACAGATACGAGCACCCTGATCGAAGCTTTCTTGACTGCCTACGATGATGGAGTTGATATCATCACCGCATCCATCGGCGGTGCAAACGGGTTCTCTAACAATGCCTGGGCTGAGGTTGCCTCTAGGCTGGTTACTGAAGGCGTTGTGGTTACCATCAGTGGCGGCAACTCTGGATCTTACGGCCCATTCTACGGAAGCAGTGGCTCCTCGGGCAAGAACGTCGTTGCTGTCGCCTCAATCGCCACGGATATCTTCCCCGCGAGTGCCTTTGAGGTCACTGTTGGTGGCAAGACTGTTCGCGCTGGCTATATTCCCTCGACCGACTATTTCCCAGCGACCGTGTCCGACTGGCCCATCGTATCTCTTTCTCTCGATGCTGAAGCTACAGCGGATGGCTGCCAGACCTATCCCGAGGGAACCCGTAACTTGACCGGCGTCGTGCCAATTGTTAGACGTGGTGGCTGTACCTTCCAGGTCAAGCAGGAGAACCTGGCGGCATTGGGGGCTGAGTATATCCTCATTTACAACAACGATCAGCCCATCCTCTCTCCGTCAACTGAAAACTTGGACAGCTTGATTGGAATGATATCCGCGGAGACAGGGGCGAGCCTTGTGGCTGCCCTTAAAGCAGGCGACGAGGTCACAGCCGACTTCGCTGTGAATCCCGAAATCCCCGTTGGTGTCGATTATAGCATCGGCAACCTGCCCAACACGTTCACTTCCTGGGCGACATTGTACAACCTTGAGCTGAAGCCCGATATCGCGGCTCCTGGAGGCAGCATCTTTAGCACATGGATCGATGGCACGTACAACGTCATCAGCGGCACGTCAATGGCCTGCCCCTACGTCGCCGGTGTTGCGGCTCTCTACATCGGAAAGTACGGCAATCGTGAAACTCTCGGAAAGGGCTTCGCGTACGAACTCACACGCCGCATCATTTCGTCGGGAACAGCTGTTTCGTGGTCGGATGGCACGTCGGCCAACCGCGCCTTCAGCGCCAGCACTGCGCAGGTCGGGAATGGGTTGATTGATGCGTGGAAGGTGCTCCATTACGATACCCAGCTTGAGTTCCAGAAGTTTTCTTTGAACGATACCAGGTATTTCAACCGATATCACGACGTTACTGTTTACAATAAGGGCAAGACTGCGGTGTCGTATGAGTTCTCTCAACAGCCTGGGGCTGGCGTTGACACAATCACCTGGGTCGAGTCTGCAAAGACAAAGAGGATCCGCACGTTTGCCCAACTGTCCCCCAAGGAGTACGTGCCCGGGATCAGTCTCCCTCGTGGATTTACCCTGGAGCCTGGAGCGAGCAAGAAGGTTACTGTCAACTTCGAAAATCCCGATACTCTGGGCTGGAACTCGACGGCGCTGCCTCTATATGGTGGCAAGGTCGTTGTGACGGGCAGCAACGGCGAGGTTCTCTCCGTGCCATACCTTGGTGAGACGATCTCAACCTATATCATAATGATGGGAAACTTGCTAATAATGACCTAGGCCTCGGAGGTGACTTGAAGAACGAGCTTGGGTCTATCGCCGAGACAGGTTATCCCTATTCGGTATCGACAACCAAGAACACCAACTTCAAGGAGAAGTCTACGTGAGTATTCGCATTCGAGATTTGGACTCAAACTGATGTATGACTGACTGGTAAATGCTACAGATACTCCTTCGACCTGTCCACCGGCGCGCAGGACTTCCCCAAGATCTTCCTCAAGCTCATCTGGGGCACGAGTGAGGTCCGCTGGGACATTTACAAGGCAGGCTTTTCGGAGCGCTCATGGAAATACCCCCCCGTGGTTGGTGAGAACGATTACGTTGGCTCGGCCGCATCATGGGTTGGGGCCGGCCAGGTCGACGTCTTCGATCCGTCGCTATACGATCCCAACGAGACGTGGAGCTACCCAGACACCAACGTGTACCGCAGTGTCGCCACCTCAGAGTTCGAGCATTGGTGGTTTGGAAAGCTGGCGAACGGAACCCAGATCGAGCCTGGAAAGTAGACCATTCGCTTCGCGGTGCTGAAGCCTTTCGGCAATCCGTATAATGCCGATAACTGGGATGTTTACAGGCCAGACTCGGGGCTTCCTCAGATCGAAGTTACTGGGAAGTACTAAAGGCTCCCGACGATGAGGAGAGGCCCTTGTATTGCGAGACGTAATTGATAAATCGTAACTAAAATATATTCACATAAACTTACTGCCCGGGAAACTCGTTGCGGAGGGTGCGTGCATTGAAAGCTACCTAGTCGCCTAAAGCATGACATCTAAGCTATCCTTACGTTTGTCCATTCCATCCCCTCACGTCTCGTGATTTCCCCATCCATTACTCCATGAATATATGCCTCTCCTATCAAAGAGTACTCCACCTCAGCCTCGGGCGTCTCATCGCCAGAGGAAGCAATTTCACTCGGCCGCTCCCGCAGGATGAAAGGTGTGCATCCTCCAGCGATAATGTAGACAGCATCTCCTGGGGCCATAGCTGATGGCCCGAGCCCAAGATAACCATCGCTGGTGGTAAACAAGGTCCTCTGTCCAGTTATTGTACTGACGTTCAATGTCGCAGGACTGTCTGTCAAATTCCACGTCATGGCCTTTTCGACATTTGGTGCTGTTTTCCCGATCTTAGCGATATCGAGGAAGAATGGAGTGCGAAACTTTTCCGCCACTCGCTCATCACCAGCTACGATCTCATCAACGAAACGCGAGAGCCAGGATGCAAGGCTCGCAATTTCCTCGGTGGAGACGGGAGACAAGTCTTCTGAAGAATTGGCAAAGCAAGTTCGAAGAAAAGCTTCGGCGGTAGTCATGGATCCCGGGTAGTGAGGCCCCAGACTTTCGGCAAGAAACATGAAGAATGTCATTTTCCCAACGAAGCCGAGATGTGTAGGTGGAGCAGTTGAAACCGCATCGACAGTGCTGCATTTATAAGACAAAACCTCCATGGTATTTGGTTTCTCTTTCCCTGGCCAGGAAACAGAGGCGACAGAGAAGCCGGCAGCCCTGTACGGACGCCCGTGGGATAAACTCACGGGCAAGTTCGACGGGTCTGCGAAGTTGGGCACCCACGATGGCCACGCTGATTTATGGAAGCCGTGCTGCTCATCGCGTTGGTTTAGGACGCAAATGGAGAAATTCTTCTCGTTGGTCAGAACCCATTTTGTGGTATCTATGCAAACATCCATAATAGGCTGCTTGTAATTTGGCTGAATGTCAAAAGCTGGCTCTCGGAGTCCAATCAGACTATATATCTTGTCATGTGGAACAGATGTCTTGAACGCCTTTGTTGCATGTAGGGAGCTGAACAATCTCGCATTCGATCCCATCCTCCAAAAGCTCATGCGAGTTTCGTCCATACCCAGGAGTAGATCGGGTCTAGGCGCAGTATCCATTGTCTCTATTACTCCAGTCAGTGGATTTTCATCATCCACCATTTGCGATTGGTTATTTACCTTTTGTTGGGTCTATAAAAACAGACAAGAACTTGCAAAGAGGGTATACGACGGTCATCAGTTTCGCCCACGAAATCTCATGCCGACCACATTTAATCAGAACCTCTGAGCCCCGTGTGACTTCTTGGACGACCCAGCCTCTCTGGAAAACAGGTCTTCTAAAAATGTCATGGACGGCCCTCCAGCCAACTGAGTCCGCAGAAAGATCTGGTACGTCTGCAAGATCAGGGATGTGGCTCAGTTTTTGCAAGTTTGGTGCCGGTGGTTTCGGAACCTTTGTGAGATAATTCCCGAGGGATCGAATAATTCCGAAGGCAGCATCTGTCGTCGGCTCTTCTTCTCCTACCCATAGCACCACTCTCTGTGATCTACTATAGACGTGGCTCATATATCTCACTTGAATCTCGCGCTCCTTCGTGCTGCCCTGGTCGATACACAGCTGATCTACCCACAACACTCTGCTTTTTGTGGGATGGCGTAGAGCACGCAGTGCATCTCTCAAGCCCGGACTAATGCCGATGAATTTGTCGTCATCAACGAACATCGGTATGCTCCAGTCCCATCTCAGAGTGTTCCGATGGTTCTCATCGTCTTGTGAAGACCATGTGTCTATGGTAGGTCTGTCGCTGGGAGTTCGGTACCAAGTGTACGAAAGGGCCTCGTATTCTGGCGGCTCGTTGAGGTTGATTACCCTGATGGCGCACTTTAACCTGTCCTGTCCAGTGCCTGGGGCCAGGTCTATGACACGGGTTGCGGGTTGCCCGGCTTCAAGTAGCGCATAAAATTGAGGATTCGTACTGTAGTTGTACTTCTCTGGCGCGATAAGGCCGTCCGGGGTCAGGAAATCGTGGAGAATCACGCCTTTCTCTGGTTCTTCTTGTCCTTCGATCTTAGCGGTACCAGGCGGATGAATGGGACGGAGATGCTTCTCAACAACACCACCCTCCTTGATCACATACTCTGCAATAGATGGTCCCGACGGGATCTCTCCGATAGTTTGAATTTGGGAAGGGCCTGTAGAAGAGGGCTCATTGTCAACTCCTTCCTCATTTTCCGATTGTTCATGCAGCTGAGATTGTATATCGTCTGCCGTGATGGTATGAAAGGTCGCGGCTGGCAAAGCTTCCTTGATTTTGGCATGATCCTCCTTCCGCGCAAATACAGATACCGTAGCACAACGTAGCAGAGGATGGGATCGGTCGTGTTTGTTGTCTTCATTATTGAAACAGTTTTCGCAAAAGTCAGCGTTTTCGCATGTAGCACATTTGTACCGGATACCCTTGATGTCGGATTGACCAGAGGGACATTTGGGGCCATCGCAATAGACACCCGAGTGAACGGTCGGTTTCTCTGGATCATGCTTAGGTTGGTTAGGTAATACGATGATGGGATTTGACTCCATCTTCCGCCCTTGGTTTTGAATAGGAGAGTGGAATATCAGTAACACCCGGATTGGGATAGATAGACGCCAGCTGTTAAAGTATATTTGAATGAGAGACGGTTGGACCTAAGCTTATATGACGTGATATCCAGTGTAATAGAACTTCTGGCGTTCTGTGACGTGGCAGACTTAGGTAGGTAGGCATCCAGGCCAATGCAATGGGGGTGGCTAAGCATTTATATGATGTGCCGATCCTGCAGCTCGAGGTGGCTTAGCCGGTAAGGCGTCTAGATGCCTCATTGACCTTGACGAAGTTCATATCCTGTTCCCGAGATGCGAATCGGAAGAAGGCGATTGTCACGTCCCAGCGAAACCGAAAACCATCAATCGACGTGCGTTCAAGCGCAATCCCCTTTTTTATTATTCTTTCCTTTACTTGGTGCATCATTTTACTCTCGTTTGTCGCTGTATCATCTTTTAAGCCCGTCCTCATTGAGCGACATGTGCATCCCTTGACGCGGTGCAGACCATATCACTCTATCTGCTCGGCACCGAACATTAACTGTCGTAGTGCAATATTTTATCCATGGCTTTGTAAATCTTCTCGTCTGCTGTCGTCGTGTCCTCCCTTGATGTCGCCCAACTAAAACTGGGGGCTGTCAGGTGGACTCCCGCAAGCAGACGTCAAGCCGTGGCCACTCGGGTTTTGAGTTGACTGGGGCCATTTGGCGCCTGCTTACAGTACAAGAAAAAACAGGGAGGGGCCAATATAAGCTTTCAAGACCCTTACGTGGGACGTAGATATGCTCACTTTGTTTCGTCTTCATTGATCTTCTGCTCCGCTCCGGATCAGTCGGGAACTGGCTGTAATGCTTAAATCATGGCTGTGCCGGTGATGTTATCGCTATTAATGTAATCCTAGAGGCCACGAGGGCGAATACGTACTGTCTGATCTGAGAGTTGGAGCCCTGAAGGCTGACAGGGGTATGGAAGGGGCCAGACTCTTGCTGATCTTGATGAATGCGACACAGCTCATGAGCTAGAATTTCTTATCGACGTTTGAAATGGCGACCGTGATGCCATATTCATCATATTGTATTTTAGGGCTACAAATAAATCATGTTGGGCAGTTTCAGCGAGTGTTTGGGGCGGTTTTGCCCATCAATGCCGTGATGATCTGGCAGGGATTTCAGCCCCTCTGTATCAGAACAAGCCGTCTTACTCTGATCCAAATTTAGCTGTACCAAGTACCGTTGGCTGACTATAAACTGTCCCGTGGGCCCACGCTGATTCAACGCGCAGCCTCACGCGACCAAAACAACTCGACATATTCACCTCCCGTACTCTCCAGCTGGCTGGAGATACACCGCCGCATCATGCTGTCCATCCTAATTGTCCCCGCGGCCTCGGCTCTGCCGCTAACCTACCGCATGGTCGTCGCTGGCGTCTCGGCCCACGGTTATGACATTCGCGCTCTTCACCTCCCCAGCATCGGCCTGCCGAAAGGTCCCAGGCCGGGAAAGCCGCCTAGCATGTACGACGACGCAGTCTACATCTCGGACCAAGTCACTGAGCTTGCCAATGAGGGACATGATATCCTGCTCATTGCGCACTCTTATGGAGGCGCACCGGCTACAGAGGCCGTAAACGGGCTGAGTAAGGCACAGAGGAAACGGGAAGGCAAGCGTGGTGGGATCGTTGGACTTGGGTATATGGGATGTCTCGTACCTGGGATGGGCGAGCCCGCGTCTTCAGGACCCTGGAGTCCTCTCATGGAAATTGGGGTTCGTTTTCTCTCTCATCGTGAACAGTCGCGGCAATGCTAACGCAGATTGTAGGAGGATGGCTGGTTCTACTACCCCGACGAGAAGACCACAGCCAAGATCTTCTTCTCGGATCTCCCTCTGGACCAAGGCTTATACTGGGCCTCAAAAATGGTGCGACATTCGGCTGCTAGCTTTATCTCTCCCTTGATCTATACTGGCTACAAGGATGTTCCCGTATCATATTTGATTACCGAGGGCGACAAGTCTATTCCACCACGCAAACAGAGGTCTCAGATCAGGATGATAGAGCAGGCGAGTGGTAGGCGAGTTGATGTGACGACGACGACCGCTGGCCACGTCCCGTCTCTAACCGCTCCAAGCGAGGTCATCAACTGGATTCTCGCCGTCGCATCAAAGCTGGATGCGAAGTAATCTCGCACGAAGATTCAATTTGGAGTAGTGGAGATGCAGTTGAGCTATAGAAGTAAGTGAGAGACCAAAAGCTAGATACTAGAGAATAATATGGGAAAAGCATGGACTGATATCGTGTGCAAGGTCCATATAATGCATCAGTGTGAAATTCGGCTACAGCGTATGGCGATGTTTTGGAGGAGGGGAGTGTCACGTTGATTGGCAAAAGAGCCCCCTTGTCCGTCCATCACCTTTCTTTTGTTCACATATCACATGTGGCTGAGTCTAGACTCGGCCAGGCCGTCACCCCCTGCGACGGCCAATCTGCACGAACCCTGACCTCTCTGTCTTTCGTCAAGACGAGAGAGATCGCTACAGACCCGGCCGAGTTGTCTTCTATTAAGACGAGAAGAATGATCAAAAGGGGCCTGACTGCCATGTCTTGTAACAGCCTCTGACCTGTCCGTCTGTTGCGTTAGGATGTTGATTGCCACACTGGTATTCGCAGCATAAGGGAGGATGGCAGCCAATGGGAATGTATACGTCTAGACCCGTAATCAAAACTGCACGCTGCTGCATAATGCTGCTGAAACTGAAACCCCCGGTCTTCATCTGGGCGAGCTGAAAGCAGGTGGCAAACCAATCAACGCGCTTGTTTGGACGCGTCGAGAAATTGGAAGAAGCAAGCAAGTCGGGTCTACGCAAATTTTTAAAATATCATGCCCGACACACTTTTGTCTGGTTCTATCCTATCGTCAACACCAAGCTTCCGGCCGTTTGCATTATCCATCACGCCCCATCTCTAGCGGTTCCCGAACTTGCTTCGTACTGCCCAAGATACCAGACCTCGCTGATGATTCTTTCTTCCTCGATCATGTTGAAAACTGCCAATGCGTTCGTGCCCTACGACGGCCGTGAGGCCTGCGCCTCTCTCCCCCCTGGTCGCGACTACGACAAGTTCAGGGAAATGTACAACGGCCGGATCATCTGTCGTCGGCACGGCTTTAGTACGTGCGAAGCATGCGATGTGGACTATGGCTGGCTAGATGATGTCCTTCCTGCCGACAATTGTGAAGAGAACGAACTCGTTGTAAGCCGTGAGTAATTGCGTTGGCTGGCATCACGGGAAAAGAACGTCTCTTACATGATGTGTATTAGGCACCGGCGTTTCGCTCGATGAGGAATTTTCGAACTTTGATAGGAACGAGGACTTCGCGTCCAGCCTGATTGGGGACCTCGATCACCCGGATGATCCTTTCGCAGAATCCGGGCTTGATCGCATGTCCGAAGCCGGCCGCGATTCTCGTCAAGCTGGGGCTAGATCCCATCCCCAGACCGCGGTCCTGGAGACGAGAAGCGGGACTGGCCGTGTTTTCCCTACAGTCTTCCGTTCCTCCGAGGCCGAACCTCTTGAATTGGTGAAACCTGAATGTCGCTCTGCGCGCAGCGGAGAATCTCGGTAAACTAGCTGCCAACAAAGCGAGAAGAGAACCATTGACTGAGCCTGGAGCTGACTTGGCTTCATTTCAGCTACATCCACCGTGACGACGATTCAACGGCCTTGCTCCTAGTTAGTGGCTCATGTGAGTACAACGGCAAAACTCATGCTAGGGGAGGTTGGGGCGTCGTCTTTGGCCCTGGGAACAACACAGCCAGCGGCCCGGTCGAGCCATGTAACCCGTTCACCGGCCGCTTCATCAAGCCAACCAGCAACCGGGCCAAGCTACGTGCCGTCATCGCGGGGGTTCGCTCGCACGGGTGGGCCGCCGAGGGTTTCAAGAACCTAATCATCGTCACGGACTCGTCGTACGTCGTGGACGTGGCTACAATCCACGCCCGGAATTGGATACAGCGAACGGAATTCAAGGCCAACGAAGACCTGTGGCGACTGCTGCTGGGCGAGGTGGAGCGGCAGGATGAGATGGGAGTGGCCATCCAGCTGTGGCGTTGCAGCGGCGGCCCGAGTACGTATGATCTCGTGGACAAGATTGCCAGCGAGGCCAGCAAGCGTAGCTCGAACCCGAGCAGATGGGCGGCCGGGGAAGGCATGTGAGTGAAGCTTGTTGGCTGGCACCGCTGGGTTGTGGATTTGCTGGGTGCGGCGGTTGTGTAGGCAGCACGTAAGAGAAAGAGAATAAAGTTCAACAGCATTGGAAGCTGCCAGAGCCCGACAACTCGTCTTCAATCCAAGCACTAGTGCCCAAGGCTAGATCACTACAGATGTCTACAGTGACCCGTAAGAACGAGTAGGGCAGCCTGCGGCGGCACTAGACAGAAAGAGAGGAAGTGATCGGAGGAGATAGCAGTCATAGAAATGCTATTAAGATTTTGAAACACAATGGAAGAGAACACAGTGAGGGGTGTAGGCAGCACTCTCATTTAATTCCAGGCTAAGGATGGTGAAAGTTCGCAAGAGTGTAAACATTTTTTGCCTTGTTTTTATTCGTCTTGGCTTCAAGTGGCCTCAGCCTCACATTTTTTTCATGTCCCAGTTCGGTGTATTTAGATTCTTCCTCTGTATTCTAGTCTAGAACTCACCGGATGGCACATAAAGAAAAGCAGTGATGGCCTCAGCTTCAGATTTCATCTTAACCCAATTTTGATCTCTGAATCTGTAAACACCCATCTGCTGGTCGGACAGAAATTCCTAAACATCTGCTTCATGAGCGTCGGCCTCTTCAGTATCATCGGCCTCTTCTGGATGGCCGGCATCCCCGGGTATATTCCTCCTCCCATCGTCATCCCAGTCAGGAGACTCACCACTGGTGTCCCAGTGAGGCCCATTCGGATGCTTCTGACAATAGCTTTCAATCATATTGTTGTGCAAGGCCATCTGATCAAACCCTGGTAGCAATGTGTCCTCCCTGTCCTCAAAGTGAAAAGACAACTGGTAGTCCCACTCCAGCCAATCCCAGTCCGTATGCGTTGATAATATCTCATCCGGTGATCCAACGGAGGTTCCAGGGTCAAAATTGCATTGTATTATACCGGATTCCCGATTACTTGATAAATCCGCCAGCAGCCGTGGGAAATCGTCAAAAAGAAAATGATCCATGATTCTCTGTACGTAGGAGCACCAGCGACCGAACCTTGGAGCCCTGCACACAGTTTCCTGTAAGAGAGCGGATTCTTGAAGCTCTCTCGTGAATATTTCGGACGCTTCCTCAGGAAATGGATCGCCATCCATGAAAAAGGTAAACTGGCCGACTGGCATTCCCATGGAGGTGAGAATACCGGCCTCTGACATCCAAGCTGCTACTACTTGTATGATGGCCCCGAGCGGCAACTCATCAGCCGCGGGTGGGTTATCAAGATGACAGCTGAATAGCATCTGAATGTGCCGTTGCCAGTGAGGTTCATCAATTTGCGAGAGAAATATGTTGCCCCACAGACTGCCACGTCGTATGATGCGTAGGAATGGGTTTTCCTGGCAGAATGGGATTAACCCGAGAGCATGGCACTCAGGAAACGCTACTGATCGATAGTCTTCATCTATCATGATATTTCGAACCAAGCAGCGGGTCTCCGGCATAATGCGGCGAAGGAAATAGATAGCAGTAGCTGCGGCAGAAAAGCGATATTTCCCATTGTCAATGTTACGGCATACCTCGTAGTGATAGTATCTCTTGCCGGGGTGGGTCGGGAGCTCTACCCACGCTGCGCCTTCGAGGATGTCGTCGTCCAATTCATACTCAAGCGGGATATCCCAAGGATTTATTTCAAAGCCAATGAGCTTCTCGACGCGTTGTCTATCATAGCGATGAGGTTTCTTGCCAGCTTGCGGTGACGGTTCATCATGGGGCAGAGAGGCCAGATGGGCGCGTAGAGCGTCGAGACTGGCAAAGTAGCCTCGAGATGGAACCTTGTCTGGGGGATTAGCCTGTAACAAGTGTCCGAGAGAAACAAACCAGACTTACATCAGTCCAGTGCCCACTATGGCCATCGAGCCCTCTTGTTTTTAGCTCTTCAATGGTTGGTACGAGAATCGGGTGTCGGTTAATAACCTCTCCTAACTTCGCGGGGTCCATGGAAGCCGCGCGATCGGTGAAGGCGGATCTCAGCATCGTACGGCGTCGGTCAATCAACATGTGAAAGCACCCAGCTAGTATCCTGAGCTCGTCGGAGTAAGTGGTGTTGAACTTGATAGTATTGAGATGAAACGTCATCCCCCTGGTCTCTTTCGCAATCGCTCTGCAGGTAGCAACCAGGGAGACGTCAATTGGACTGTTGTCGGATTTGCGGAGCTTTTTGGAGGGAAAATCAAAGACGTAGGTGTTGTCAGGGGTCGAGAAGTACGCGATGTATATCTGCTGGCGAATTTCGCCCGGGAGCTGCTGAAGGGGGGATGTTGCGTCCATGGTGGTGAGTTGAATCTCGATTCTGGACACAGACCGATTGGTGCAGGGTGAATGGGGTCAGGTGCAGTGGAGGAAGACTTCTGAGGGGGGAAGGCCTGTATTAATACTCATTCTGTTAGTCCCTGGGTTTACATGCCATCCTGATTAAGCACTGCTACACACACCGCATCCGGTGTGACTCAGTCCGCCAGAACCTTATTGCCCGCCCACGAGTGCCCGGTTTCCCCCACCCCAAGCGGCCAGAAACATTCTCCTCACGTGCAGTGATTTGGAACTAGGTTTTCCTCGTATATGGGGGTATCATATAAAATAGTAAGTGAGAGAGCTATGCAGTTATGCGGCAGCTGCTGAAAAAAAAAGGGAAATTCCCAAACACCAAGAATTGAACAACTTGACACTATACCCAGCATCACAACACATTAAACTTCAGCCTTTTTGCCCGGCTGCGAGGCTTGCGCCCGGCCGTACATAAGGTTCAACACCAACAATGGCTTGTGTCTCGAATACGAGTCTTTCGTCGGCGTGACTCCTTTCATGAACCTTAAAATGCTGCTTTCCATCTATTTGAAGGCCGCCATCCCCGGCCTGGTCCTTTCACAACGCAACAGTTAGCAATTCAGCTCGCCGGGGTTAAAGGGGGCGTATACCAGGTAGCAATACCTTGGCAGGAAGATAAGGCGCGTACCGCTGCGAACATACCTGACGGAACCGCACAGCTCAAGTCCACCTGCACTTGCGAAAGTCCGGATATAAGCACTGGTGATATCTGAATGAAGGGGTAGCCAATACTCACATCGACAATCCGTCTATTCTTGCGACACACAAACGATTAGTTTCATTTGGTTTTGCTGTCAGGATGTGGAAACTCACCCGCAATCGCTGCCTTCGTCGCTCCACTGACCATCAGTTACGTCAAGCTTTGCCTTTGAAGCAGTGGAAAAACTCACTCACAGACAATTCAACTGCTTATCAAAGCTCTGAAGATTAGCTATCCGAAGTGTGGCTATTGATGTAGGAAAGAAGAAAAACAAAAGAAAACTCACCAACACATCGCTACCTTCGCCGCTCTACTCATGATTAGCTATCCAGGCTATAACCATTAAAGCAAAGGAAGAAAACCCACTCGCACATCGCTGCCTTCATCGCTCCACTGACGATTAGGTACGTTAAGCTCTATCTTCGAGGCGGTTGAGAACTCACACACACTCAAGTCCTTGCCAAAGCTCTAACGATTAGTGATTTGAAATGTGGTTATTGAAGCAGCGGGGGAAAATATTAACTCACTCAAACATCCCACCGAGCCTGCGCTTGCCATCAACTGATCATTAGCTTCGCCTCACTTGTTGAAAGCATCTGAAGACCTACTCTCGCCCGATCTGCTCTGAACTTGCTATCACGTTGACCGTTAGCTATCTGCGGCTTCATAAAAGTATAAGGTGATATCACACACACCAACCACAAGTACACTGAATCTCAACATCAGTCATCAGCCAAGTTAGCTTCCTATCACAAAGGCAAGAGGCGCTTACACACACAAACGTCCTAAACAGATAAATATATCAGCAATCTCATCCAAGTTTCATTGATGACAAACTCACTCACTCAAAGGACACATCCTACAAAAGTGTTAGTTACTATACATCTCAAGTGATTGAAACCCTGGATATTCCACACCTACAAGATGCCAAAGCGCAAGCCGCCGGAGGTGCCAGTGCCTGTTGTCAGGGATGGGCAGCTGTGCAACTCGCCAATCTCTAGGTTTCCTAGCATAGATACAAGCAACCACAAGCTTGTAGGTGCTGCCAAGGCCGTAGGGTCATTGGAGATTGAGGTGCTTCAAGACCTTAATCTCAAGCAGCTGGCTAGCCTGTTTAACTTTGGTAGTCATGTTCTTGATAGAACTGACTCCTTTGAAGAGGAGGATTTGGATGATCAGATCGCAATTGTTGAACTGTATTTTGATTAGTAAGGTATATAGTAATGAGATTTTCAAAAAACTTACATGTACTTCCGCTGGCTGACCTTTCTGATCCCAAAGTGCATGTCGATGCAAAATGGCGATCGCAACCGCCGTAACCTCTAGCTGCTTTGATTGCCCAATGTCAGTGACCTGGTACACAAGATATTGACTTAAGGATAGCGGGTACCTGGAAGGCCGAGAAATCAGTCTCTGCATTTAGTTTGAATTTGATGAAAGATGTCGTGTAGAGTGGACTTACTCATTGCGAAGACAGCTGCCGAGGTTGCCTGGGTTGACAGAACGTCTAACAATTAGTGATGATCCAAAGAAAGCTGAGAATTAGGATACGTTAAGCAGAAGAATATATGAACTTACTTACACACAACTGGGGAGGAGAGGAGGAAGGAAGGAAGGAAGGGAGATAGATAGCTAGGCCAGTCAAATACAAGCCCACTTGTCTCTCTCAAACACATGAACGTACACGAACACACACCTGTCCTCGCACCCCCCCCTAAGTGAATCATCTATATTCTGTCTCACTAAATAGTTATATAAGTACATAGGTCCTCCTATTGTAGACATAGAAACCTCTAAGGAAGAGGGACCAGAAAACCCTATAAGAAGGTAAGTTCATTCAACACATTTGCAGACATTACCCAATAGTCACAGAGATTAATCCTCCCTTTCGATCTAGAGCCTCTTCAAGTCTCACGAGGCCGTCAAGATCGTTACTCCCCTTGCCTCCGTCCCCCTAATAGTGGGTCAGTGCGCCTTAGAGAGATCTTGCCCCCTTCGAGTCATCCTCAAGTGATCACTGGTGATGTGTTTTCAGTTTCTTACGTCTGTGCTCCGCCTTGTGCTGCGCATTATGCTGCGCGTTGTGATGCTTGCGTTTGTGGTTCGTATTACCCTTCTTGTCTGGCGGCGGCACGCACTTGAATTGCTCAATCCCGAAATGTTTAACTGCCCACCGCGCGAGGATTCCTGCTTCCTTTGGTTTTCCCAGTAACCCCCCTAGTTGGTCTGAAAGATCATACTGTCGCAACTGGGCCGCCAGGCCCTGCCTTGCACGGTCCAAGTTTGGACACTTCAGAAACAAATGGAGCGCAGTGTGCTTGCCGGTAGCGCATGGACACTGCGCATCAGGGATCTCGTCGTTGGTGATGCGGCGTTTGGAGTGTAAGTAATCGCGGAGTGCGATGCAGCCAGTACGGCACTGTAGAAGAATCGTGCTCTCGGCACGCCGAAGGTCTTTATATAATTTGAAGTTGTTGGGATGCCACTGCGGCCTGAGTAACTGAAAGCCCGGGTGATCAACCCAACCGTCCATGTAGGTACGAAGGCCATTTTCATGCGCGTCAACGTATGCTTTCCACTCTGACTTGGACCTGGCACCCGAGATCCTCGAGACGAAGCGTTTAATGGCTTTCCGGAGCTGGTCTCGGCTAGGAGAGAAGTTCTTTTGTTTCGCTTTCAATTTTGTGAATTCGTTCTCCTCTACCAATCGCCTTAGGCCACGGGCCTCGCAGAATAGGAGATAGAAGGGATGGCTGTCGCGTGCAGCCTTTACCTTCATGAGAGGGAATCTCAAGCGAATCCGCTCGAGCTCATCATACGCAGGAGTATCGATCATTCGCATGCGGTAGATCTTGGCCTGTTGGCCGAGGTAGACTTCCAGACTGGGTATACCCAACTCAGTGAGCAACATTTGACGTGAAGTTCTTTGCATGGCTCCCGATACGATTAATAGGCAGTGGTATTGCAGTCTCTCAAGCTGTGCCATTCGATTCTTGGTCAACCGCCACTTGACTTGGTCCTCGCCCGGCGGTAAGAACCATGCACCGCAGCCGTAGGCGATGACGGAGCGTATTGAGGTCAAATAGAGCTGCCTCATCTGCCATAATGTCTTGCCCCATGTCGGCCCGCTAATACGCTTCATGTAGCCCAGCTTGGTATATACCTTGGTCTTCAGCCGATTGATATGAGGGCCCCAGGTGAGCTCGTCGTCAACGATGACACCGAGGATCCTCGCTTGCGTGACGAGAGCTTCCGATGTTACTCCCTCCATAGCCGGCAATGCGTCAGATACGGGCTTGAGCAACAACGGCGTCGTGGCTGTTTTGTGATGCAAGTTATGCGCCCTTCTGTCTTTCGCATTCCCCCTCCACAGCACCCGCTCGACGCTCCGTAGGTCGAAAGTGCGTTGCCGACGAAAGTGCATGACAATGTACTTGGCTGGGTTGAATGTGACGTCGTTCTTTCTCGCCCATCCCATAATCACATCGGTCACGGTCCGAAACACGTCACAATTGGTCTGGTAGTCAGGGGAAATGGCGACGATGTAGTGATCGTCGGCGTACCCAAAGCTGTAGAACTCCACGTCAGGGCCGTAGGGATGTAAAAGCCCATCATGTGACTCGAGAAGCCCAGCGATGAAGAACAGAAAGAGGATGGGAGAAAGCGGGCTCCCCTGTGGAATGCCGACATGGATTGCATAGCGCTTCGACTCATGGCCGGGAAACCGTAGGTTTGTGGTGCGGTCTGAGAGAAAGGACCAACAAAACAAGACAATCCAGTAGGGAACTCTCTTCTTCAAAAGTGCTTCAAGAAGCTGTTCACAAGGAATCCGGTCGTATGCCCCAGTGATATCAAAGCCTAGGAGGCTGACGACCCTACGCCGCACAAATCTCGGCAGGTGTTCTAACTGGGGGAAGGACCAGCCGCGGTAGACGATATTGACTAGAAACTGGAGAGCGTGGGCCGTGCTTCGGCCTGGAGCCGCATATTGATGTTTCGGCACCAGGTCGTGTTTCACTGCCAACTCTCGTATCTTGTTCGCAATAATCTTTTCAAGTACTTTGCCTACGCACGATAGTAACGCCACTGGTCGCCAGCTCTTTGGTGCGGCATAACTCGACTTCGCGGGCTTGCGTAGCATGATGGTGCATGCGTGCTTGAAACGCTTTGGGTGATATGACAGGGCCAAGCAGGCATTGAACAGATGCTCCAGGTAGGGGAGACACTCTTCCCTGCATATGATCATAGCCTCATTGCCTATGCCATCTGGGAGAGAAGATCGGCCAGTATTGAGGCCCTTGATGATGTCTCGCAGCTCTCCATCCCGTAGGCGCTGGAGGCACTGCAGTTCAAGCCCACGTGACGGGCGAACTGGCCGGCGTATCCGTCGCCGCCTTCGGGGTTGCTTCTCTTGGACGGGATGAGCCTCGGTCCAAATGCTATGCACGAAACACTCTGCCTGTTCCTCGGGCCTCGTAAATCGACGACCGTCGACTTCGAGAGGGGGTACTATGGGTGGGTTGCGAGGCTGGTTCCGTCGGGCGGACTGACGATAATCTCTGTGGACCGTGTTTTTCGGCTTGGCCGCCTTGTCTGTCATTGCTTGGCGGTACCCTTCCGCGCTCACGCGTTGCTGTAGTCTACCGACGTGCTGTCTCACGTTGTGCCAAGCTCCGAGGGTCTGTGGACTTTCGTTCTCCCCATACTCCCGAAGCAGTTGAGCTTCCTTCTCCATCAGCTCCTCGAGTTCAGGGGGCAGCGGAGCTTGGTAATGGCGAGAGGAGCTCCGTCGCCTGGTCTGCGCTTGGCTTTCAACAACTGATGATATCGCGTTCAACACGGCCACTGTGTACTTCTCGATTTGCCCCTGAGTCCGGATGGTAGGGAATCCCAGCGCTTCGAGCGCTTTTCGCATAGCTTCTCGGAACTGGTCTTGGTTGAGAAGTTTCCAGAGGTACTGAACGCCAACCGCCTCAATGGGCTTTATGTTGATGGTCGTTTCAGTGACGCGATGATCAGTCTCAAATCCTCTGACGTTCAATACCTGGCAGGCTCCCTCTCTATCGGGGGCACGATCAAGAAGGGCCTCGCTCAGAAAGATGAGATCGATGGTTGAAGAATGGAGACCGTCCTTCTTTGGGAGGGAGCGTGAGTATGTGATTTTATCACTAGGTGTCAAACACTCCATCCCCGCGCCCTCCATCATCTGTCCCAAGACTAGGGACTTAGCACTTCTCTTTTTTGAACCAGGATGCTCGATGTTGAAATCGCCCACGAAAATCATGTACTCGGACCCCGCGGTGTAGGAGAACAGCTCGTCCAGGTCAAGCCGATCGTGGTGGTTATAGATGTTGTGGATATCGATTATCGCATCTTCAGTGGTAAGGTGAAGCGTTGCGACCAGCTCCCTGTTGACACCATCAGGTGGCCTGCTGATGGCCCAATTCAAGGATGAGATGTACTGAGCAACATAGAATCCCACAAAGCCAAGCTGCACGGGCTCCTTGGGCTCAGTGCCATCATCCTCCTGAACCTGTGTCGTATCAGGCTTCTTTCCGGAGTCCCATGATGGGGGTGGCTTGTCGCTTTCTTCTAGCTCACGATTTGCCCAATAGAACAAATCATAGCCAGGGGTTTGCTTCCACGGAAACTCTTTGGGAAGGTCTTGAAGAGCAATGACATCCCAACATTCAACCATCTCACTCATGTGCCGCAGGAGCGCATTCAACCGAAGGCAACAATGCATTAAGTTGGCCGACGCAATGCGAAGGGAGTGATGAGGAATGCGCTCCAACCGCGCGGTTACATCACCGCCGTTCCCCATCGCTAATTTCAGGGGTCATCACTGTCGTAGCTCCTCTTGTGTCGCACGCATGCCGATGAGTTTTTACTTGTCTTCTTGGGGAAAGTACAAAGCAACTGGCCCGGAGGCCGTGATGGTTGTGAAGCCGGCGATGCACGAGCTGTCTGCAAAGCAAAACGTAGGTGTCGTTACGAAAAAGGCAGCTTCTGGGGAGGAGAAAACAGAAAAGAAAAGTTGGAGAGCACCTCCGTATGTAGGAAAATCAAGGAAAAGGATTATGGGAAATGACTTCGGCGTAAGAGAAAGCAGGAAAAAGATGTTGTAAAATCATTCGTGTTGAAGAAAGATGAGATGCCAGGGGCGGCGAGAGTTTCTGACTGATACAGCTTTGGATATGCTTCGATCCGGGAGGATATGCTCGGTAGATGTGCTGCCAGGCTACATCGGTCTCGGGGATCCGCTTCGAGAAAGAATTTCCAAAACAGTAAGAAATGCGAAAGATGGCGTTTCGCAAGCCACGACGAGAGATTGCAGAAGCAAGTTCAGGTGGTGGCAACAAAGGGAAAACTTTTCGTTTGGCGGCCGCCAGTCACAACGGCTGTAGAGCCTAGACTTGTCGATTTTGCTTTTTCCAATGTCACCTCGGCTGTGTAAGTTCCATTTCGTTATCATGCGTTGTATTCCGTCCAATGACCGGCCCCAGGAAGGTTGGAAAATAAGCAATTATGTTTCAGGATTCTCAACTCGATTAGTGTACTCATGGGCCTAGACTCGACTGGTTCCTCTAGAGGCGTGGAAGGATGTTACAAAGGTGTTCGCGTTCAAATACGAGGGGCTGGCGCGAAGTAATATCCACACTGTATGTAGATCTAAGCGATACAAGGCGTATGCCCGCGAAAGTCTCGTCGTCAACCACAAAGACACACGATCACTAGGTTGCCAGCCAAGCCGACCCGGCTATTCAACACTTACGGTCACTGGGTAATTGACCCTTGATGTCAATTTGTAACGCCAAGCCCTGAGTAACAAATAGTTAGGCTGTTAATCTGTCTCTCAGCTGTTGCGACAGTCAATCTGTAAGAACCTAACGTAGCTGTCTCTCGTCAAGGCGAGCGCACCCTGTGAGCTGACCGTCAACTACGGAAATGTGAACACTGTGTGCTCGACATAGATATGCTAAGCAACCGCAGAAAGATTCTGCCCCGGGCTTTCTAATTGGATATACGGCTTGCTGATACACATGGATAGCCTGCGTCAATGTCTCGGCGTGCATCACTAGTTTCCACCGCCACAACACTCTCAACGCGCTTTCATATCTACTAGCCAGAAGGTTCAGCTCCAAAGGGTCTTGGTTAAAAAAGAAACGACAAAAATCCTACACGCGTCGCGTTTGAGCGCGAAATGTGGCTGTTCGTTCGTGTTTTCGCGAGATGTCGAGTAGCGAGAGGATCGAAGCTTACGAGCTACAAATACGTCGATTATTCCTCCATCATCTGCGTTGAATTTTAGAACATCGCCTTGACCTCTACTTCCCTTCCTAGATCGTCCGAAGTTTCACTTCACATACCAACATAATCATGTCCCCATCCGTCTTGTCCAAGTATCCCCAACTTGAGCTTCTCATCGACAAGTATGATGGGAAACTCCCCTCTAAGTTCGCCATTGATCTTGGACAAGTCCTCTCTGAGGTCGTGCTTGGGATGTCATCCCAAAACACTACCACCGGCTCGGAAAACCCATCCAAGGAACCGTACACTGTCAAGTTGGATCAGATATCACTTCAACTCTGTGTCAAATGGGAAGCAGATCGGACCAAGCTCACACTCCTCGGAAGAGACCTCACTCCATTGAAAAAGGCTGGGTATCCATACGAGCAAATTTGCAAGATCGAAATGAGAGGCAACATGGCGCACCTTACTGTTCGTTCAGAACCTGCACTCTCCAAGATAAGAGCCGATATCCAAGAGCTCACCAGGATCTTGGGAATATCTGTCATTTGTGAAGAAATACCCAAGGATTACCACATCACTATACTTGGGACTCAGGCGGTAAAATTCCAAGGTGCAGGTACCGCTCGGTTGGAGCAACTTAGGAATTGGAGTATAGATAACAACACGACTATAATATTGGCAAAGCGGAGTCAAAACCAGGTCATCTGGAAACTGCACTCTCTCGACGATGCTGTTCGATTTTGCAGAGATGGCTTTGTCAGTATTGACGGCAAACGATATACACCGAAGTAAGTTACGCTGTTCTTAACGCGCATGTACCTAAGGGGCCTGTATCGGCGAGAGGCAAAGATAATTTGCTAACATTCAACCAGACCACATGATATGAGGCAGGATCCTCTGCTTTGCTTCCGATGCGGCCAGCCGGGGCACTGGGAATCCAAATGCAATAACCCATTCAAATGTGCCTATTGCTCCAAGGGCCACGGCTATGTTGGTTGTAAGAAGGAAGGTCCCGCGAAATGTCCCCAATGCAACAGAGCCCACCCAGCTTGGGCCCCGGACTGCCCCAACCCAGAAACACAGGCTATGTTCAAGAGGTGTAAAGAAGTCGTTGCCCCAAGATGGGCAATAATCAACGGGCTATCCGATGGCATGAATATGAAGAGGTCTAAGAAATCGAATTCCAAGGCGAAGATTCATGAAGCAGTCACGAATTCTACCCGGGAAACACAAGAAACAACGACAAGCTCTAGGACCAGGACTGGGACCTCCAGTACTGCCGACGATGCTAGCTCTGTTGTTTCTGAAGTTTCTACATGGCCTTCCAGTGTTTCTGATATCAGTTCGTCCAGAGCCTCTACGCCTACCTCTACGCCGCCCTCCAGCTTTCCCATGATGCATCCAATTTTCGACCTGAAGAGAAAGTGTACGGGTTCTGAAACACCCGAAAGCTCTGCACCCTGCCTTCAAATGCGCCAACCAAAGAGACTCCGTTCACATAAGACCTTTGGGGCGATGGAACACGCCAAAGTCCCTCTCGGCCGAAAGTATCGGCGAGGGAGTGAACTGCCCACTATGCCGACACCCGACACGTCCTCGCCAAAGTCCACACGGGAGTCTCCAATGGAGCCGGAAAGTGTCCAGACACCGCCAACAGCGTCGAAGCGGAGGCCCGGACGCCCTCCTGGATCGAAAAACAAGAAGCGTTTGTATTGAGCCAGCACAGTGCAAACATTTTAGGAAAGCCTCAAGCTCGTGGTTGCCTGGGCAGATGCATGTCAGACATTGTCGGCGCTGCATTCGGCACATTGCTCTGGGGTTGGTGGGAATCTTGAGAATCAGGAGTTATCAGGGGATGCGAGGATAAGTAATTAGAACCATCATGTAGCTTGAACATCATCACTTTTGTACCGTTCTTTTGGGAATCAAGTGTCTATCACGATTTTATCCGTGGAACTCGGCGTATACATTAACAAGTCCAGTCCTATCAGTTTCGTCGTCGCCAGCTTCAGACTCAACCCCACTTGCTCCCTGGCTAAACGCACGACACATAAACCCCAATAGATCAATATCAGATAGCCAAAGCTGGCTATGGAAACTTGCCCCTTACGAAAGCTCTATGTACAAAATAATAAACTTATCATTCCGCATCTAAATTACAATATATCTTGCATCGCAATAAAATACTTCATAACCAACATGTTTCGAGTATTTTGACAACAACATACCGGACTCTCTACGTTCAAAGGTCCCTCCCATAGTTTACAATGCGATATACGTCTGTCAACATCAAATCATTTTCCTTCTCTCCTCTTTTCCCACTCAACGAAAAGCATCTGCCTTAAATCAACTGAAGGACTTCCATCTCCGTGGAGTCTGCGCATCAAGTTCCAATACCCGATGTGGCTGCTCAAGCTCCACAAACCCTCTCAGCTGTTTGAACCCAGACTGGTGACACTCCATTTCCATCAGGGCCGTGGAGTCAAGTTCCGTTCCATTTCTGGGATATCCTCTGTAAGAGCTTGCATTAAAGAACTCGCGGTAGCTCCGCTCTGGGAGATCCTCTCCGCCAGGAGTTTCTTTCGGTACCCATGGGTCAGGCCCTATAAGCTGCTGTTGACGGCGACGGTGAAAGAACCATAACACTCCAATGACCAATGCACCAAATACAAGGCCCCCGATAGTGACGCCAATTATGATCCCAATTATTGACTTCTTTTTGCTAGACCCGCTCTCTGTTTCTGGGCCTGTAATTTTCATTAGCTGCGTGATTTCACATCGCTTTCTTGTTTTATTACGTACCGTCAAGTGGTGTGCTAGTGGAGGAAGTATCTCTAGTGGAAGTAGCACCGGTCGATCTGGACTCACTTGGAGCAACTTCAGTCGGTGCAGATCTAGATCCAGATGTCGCAGACTCGGAATTAACAACTCCGTCCGAGGTGATTTCACGAGAAGCACTCGTACTTGAAGAAGCTTCGGAGGAAGTTGATGGTTGGCTGGAGTGGGACGAACTAAGTGTAGAGGTTTCCACACTACTCTTTTGTGTAGGTTCAGGTACAACTTGAGATGAGCTCTGAGGCTCTGAAGTCTTTGGGACTTCGCTTGTGGAATATTCTGATTTGGTCGGAACGGTACTAGTTGGGGGAGCTTCACTCACTGGAAGAGGTCCAAGCGTACTGAGAGAAGTCTGTGCATCATCTGTAGATGTAGATGTAGATGAAACTTGGAGAATATCTGAAACTAGACTTGAAAGCCCATTCCCCGAGTTCGTGGGGTAATTACTAATTTGAGTTATCATGCCAGTCCTTTAGGCGAGAGCAAAATTGCGTACCGTTTTACGAAGGAACCGGTCGAACCTGTTGATATCAAAGTCGGCGCATCACGATAAGGATTTAGTCCATCCTCAATGTATAGACGATTATCTAGCTTAGCAACTAGTACTATTCAGCTTCAAACTGTTCCAACTATCTTCTTAGACTCGAAAGCATTGTTCTTACCAGAGAGGTAGCCCGGGTGTTGATGTGGAGCCGAGGAAATGAGATGGTTTTCGTGTCGTGCTTGGGTGACTTGTGTCCGCTGCTCTTTTAATCTGGAAGATATGGCTCCTAACAAGAGAGTCTTTATGAGAAAGCCCTGCATCAGAAGATGGAGTTGCATTTCAAGCAGCTTTACGCGCGCGCGTATGGGTTGGCAGACTACCTTTCATTAGCGGTTTGAGAGAAGACGGGTTAAAAGGAAACACAGCAGCAGCAACATGAGACAAGCCATGCGGGTTAGAAGATTTCATGTGGCAAACCGAATATTGAGAAAAGGGGGGACGATCTGCTGACAAAGGATCCTAAGGTTCCGTCATTAGTGTTACATCCGCATACACATTGGCGGCTTTGGCAAACTCGGCTTTGGAGGAATCGCCCATAGTCAGGTCACCCCTGCATAATGGCCCGCGGTTGAGTCAGATTGGGGTCGAAAACGCAACCTCGGGGTTCCTTTCTCTCGATCCTCAGGATTTCATTGTAGCATTTTCTCGCAAAGTCCCATGTTTCAGATTTTAGCCGCCAAGTGAGAACAAATGTATTAATTTTCACGTCGTTAACCTCCACTGTGATAGTGGCGAATTTGATCCATAAGCTCAAGTCCTTGGATATTTGCTTTATGGCAATGGCAATATCCTACCTGTGGCACACCAATTTCACCTGAGATCAAACTTGCAGTCGCTGCTCTGTTTGATCGGCTGATAAGGGGGCCTCCTTTATTGCTAACCTCGGTGTTTATAGCTCTGTGAATAAGTATTCGGACTCTTAAGCTCATGAAGGAACATCAATTCACCCAGGTTGGACCTTTCGCCACACCCATATCCTCCTGAGCAGCCACATGGTGACAGTCACCAGGAGCCAGGGCGAGAGCATGTAACACTAGAATTGAAAGCCACTCCCATCGCACAATCAACCGGTCCGTGCTTCCCAATAAGTAGATCTGCGCTGATACGACTTGCGAATGCAATGCAACCAAGGCAGTCAGCCTTGGTTACCATTATCAGCTTCGGGTAGTGAGTGGTATGAACATTTGAGAAATGGAGAGTTGATATATCATGAGAGAATTAGTGATATAACCAACTGCCGTATGCATGTTCTTCCACGTTCCTAGATCGATCTCGCCACAGAATCGGCGTACTGTAGCGCCTCCCTTCAAAATGAGGTACCTAGAGTTAAGTTGTATTTCAAGTCGTGCCTGCAAGTCAAGATATTTGGATCGTCATTAATTCAGTAGAAGAATCAGAGAGAAGGAGGTTGCCGCAATCGTTTTTGCTCCATGGCCGAAGATCAAGGACCCCACATTCTCAGACGTGGTGGTAGTAGGTTGAGGAGAGTATGTCGTTGTCTCGAAATGCGCCAGTGATCGAGTGGCGGCCGTGCTATACCCCGAGAAGTGACTCATGGACTTTGTACTGAATGTGTTGGTGGCCGAGCGAGACATGTCTGTCGTAGCGTCCAGTGTTGGAGCCGAGTCATAACTCTTCATCGTTAAGGTCAAACGATCTTCGCCTCGAACTCCAAGAACCCACTGACTATTATCCGAGGAGCAAATGTCGTGTTCAACCAGGTAGCCGTTTACGACATGGTAGTATTGATGGCATGGTCGACCCTCGAGGACGTCTCTAACCATAATCTAATAGGAAACAAGAATAGTTAGATACCTTGATAACGTGTGAACGTAAGTGAGCATAGCTGGAGGTCAAATCACTCACCCCATTGCTACTATATGGGCATATCGCGTCGCAGCTATATTGTGGCTCCACCCAGTTCCTATAATCAATGAACAGTCCCTTGCTGCCGAGACAGTCATGTAGACACTGAATGTGAGTAGGCCTGACACCCTCACAACACAGACACGCTTTGAACTGTGACTTGTTGTTGTAAGGACAGTTGTGAATGCTCCTGGCTACTTTGCATTCCTCACATTTCATTGCAACGCTCAGCATGACGTCTTTTGGCGTCACTTTGACCATGCCATCGTTGTTATCCTCTGTATTATTTTCGTCTCGCTCCACATCCAAGAGCTGAAGCCCGTCCTCGGGACTGCCCCGCCTGACATGAAGGGTATACATTCGATTCATGTGCCAGAAGCCGCATTTAAGCATTTGATTGATAGATATCCGTTGCAAGAGGCAGACGGCAAGCCGATCGTTGCTACCACCGGCTAATTCAATGCAGTTTTCGTCATACTGTAAGCCATTCCAGTCAACACCTCCGGGGTTAAAGTCGCAGTCGCAGGAGGCCAGCTGCAGGAGGCACCAAAGAAATATCAGAGCGGATCGCTTCATGATAAACAGTAAATGGTAGTGAAAGGGGAGATCGATAGTCAAGAATCATGATCATGCCATCTCAGCAGACTGCCTTACTAAAATTTCGGGCCTCGGCCTCAATGTTGCGGAAAGCCAATTGAGTTCTTGGATAGCCATCTCAGCGGTATTTAACCTTCATTTTTAAGCATTGCTGATGAAACCCGTAGATGATCTATTCCTTATTGTTTTCCCAAGCCACGCCGTAGTTCGCCACAATACCACCCTTCAGTTCCGCCCGATGCTACTGGGGAGGACGAATCAAATAAGCAGACGTTGCGGGGTTTCTGAGCACACAACCTTGCTGAAATGCCATTTGGGGAACAGCTTACATGGTGTGGTACCGATGAAGACTGTTCGAGTTGATCACTACGTCGCACCGCCCGGACTGACAACACTAGCCAGCCTGCCATGTATCTATGAATAGCGCGAAGATACGTCATTTTAAGGCATTGGCTGGGTGTCTACGCCCTACCAAGTATGTTATCCCTCATGACCACTCCTACACCTTATTCATACGAGCACTGCCATTCTAAGCCCTCGTCTGGTCTAGCCTTTTTTCAGGCTGGTTGTTTTTCTTTTTTATCCATCGGAGTATGTTTTACCTAGGAGGAGAAGTCTTCTCAGGCTAATCTCTTTCACCCCCACTTGGACACTTTGATGTTAATACCCACGGATATCACGATGACTATTGACGCCCACAAGTTCCTTATTGTATTTGCCGTTGCAGCACTCGCAACACTTATCGATTACCTTTTACGTATCCCCCGGTCCAACAAGACACCGCCTGGGAAAGTCAGTTATCGTGTTCAGAATATCCCTGCTGACTGGAGCGAAGATGTTTTGCGGGATGTCCTGGCCAATCATTTCAGGGACTGCGGCAGCATCACTATCAAATCCTATTCTGAAGGCATTGAAGGAAAGTCCAAAGTGTGCACTGTCTTATTTGAACGACTGCCACAGCTGCTACTGGAAGGGTTGAAAGGTAATATAAACTACTATAGCGTGCCGCCCCTTTGCCTGGACCGTGCCTTTCTCGGTCTGAGTGTCCTTTATTCCCCTCCCTCACACGACCATCATGTTGAGTAAGTTGACACCCTCTAGACTTATATTTTTTTGGTCTGTGCCAGAAATTGACGATTATTAGTGTCATACTTGTCCCCGGGCTTGGCGGCCATGCCTTGGGATCCTTCAAAGAGCGGAAAGGAGAACACGTGTGGCCACGAGACTCGCTGCCGGGCGCTCTAGTAGGGAATGGTGGCCACAGCTGTGGCTCTCCCATCGCAAGAATTATTACCTACGGTTACAGTTCTGGTGTCCAGGAAAGCAAGAGCGCACAAAATATCGGGGACATTGCTAAGTCATTCCAATCTAGCCTCATGGAACTGGTCAGAGGCTCTGATCTTCGGCCTATCGTCCTCATAGGTCATAGTATGGGAGGTCTAGTCATAAAAGAGGTGCAATCACTACGCTGTCTTCTACAGTGGAGAAGTAATACTGACATACGGAAAGACGTTGATATCATTATCACGGTCTAATAGCGAGAGGAATACTGTGTTGTTCCAAGCGATACGTGGCATAGCTTTCTTTGGGGTTCCACATACTGGCATGGACTCCGAGAGCATTCGGGCCATGGCTGAAGACGGCCCAAACCGCCCATTGACTGATTCTCTGAGCAGCGAGAACTCCTATCTCCTAAGCCAGCAATTACTTGCATTTAACAAGCTGTTAAAGAGCAACGCTGACCGAAAGATCGAGATCATATACTTCTACGAAACAGAATTGTCTCCTACGGCAAAAAAAGTAAGAAGGTCTGCATTTATTCAAAAGTTAAGTAGCTAATAACCAAGCAGGATAATGATGGAAAGTGGGCCATGAATGGGCCAGAAAAACTGCTTGTTCCACCGGCTTCCGCCTCACTACAGTGGGATGGTGAGCTCAGTAACCCTGTCAAGCGCAGTCATTCTGAGATGGTCAAGTTTGGGCCGTACGATGATGAGTGGCAGAAAGTTTCAGGCCATCTCCGAGACCTTGTCGATCGGGTTCTAAGGCGCCAAGGGGAAGAAGAAGCCAGTATGTTACCAATTACCCGTAGGGCGGCCAACACAGAGAAAGGGACGTTAATCTCAACTCAACTTAATGTAGAAGTGGCTTTGAAGATCCAGCAGGCGGCCGATAGGGCCATGGAGCGTGAGTTGGAAACCCTTCTCAGAGACCCCGAGTATATTATCTGCTAACAATTCTCAGAATGCAGCGAATTACTTGGCCTCAAACCCTCGAACATGGACATCCGGAGTGACGCTCTTGCGCAGGTTCGCCTCCCAGATACGTGTAAATGGTTGCTGAATGATCCAGGATTTCGTGGATGGAAAAATGATTCAGTCGAGCGACATCAAAATCACTTAAAAGTCTTACTATTGAAAGGCAAGCCTGGCTCTGGAAAGTCGGTCGCGATGAAGGCTGCACTCGACAATTGCGTGGAAGACGGCGGTGAGAAATCAAACGCTCGGATCACGCTGTCCTTTTTCTTTGATGCCCGCACAGGGAACCAGCATTCGGAGACTGCCATGTATGGAGCTCTGTTGATACAGCTGATGGCTAGGCTTGATGCCGGAGTGTTGCTCAATCTCAAGCATGACATCATCAAACGCTTGAAATATCTGGACGGTGGTGGTAAAACAGCAGGAGTTCAGGATGCTATTCATCTTGTGCTAGGACATCTCAAATTCCAACGGCTTTTCATATTCCTTGACGCTCTAGACGAGTGTGCAGACTTAAACATTGGGGGGTTAGTCTGCTTTTTCGACCAGATACTGAAAAACACACGAGATGGAATCCTCAGAGTGTGCCTCTCCTCCTGCACGCCAGTCCTCTTCGAGGGCATTCTAGACACAGTTTCGATTAATGTGTCGGAAAAGAACCAGTCGGATATTGACAAGCTCCTGATGGAGAATTTAAGATGGCTAGAGCGCATTCGACCCAAGAACTTCCAGAAAATAGTCACAAGGCTCTCAGCCCGCGCGTCTAATGTCTTTCTATGGGCAGACCTTGTTGTGGAACACATCGGGAAGCAAGATATTGGACGTTGGAGATCAGACCGAGAGCTACTTGGCTACATTGATCACATGCCGGCAAAGCTCACGGATTTGTATCGGCATCTGCTTCATCGGATAAACCAGGATGACCGAACCGAAGCATGTGATTTAATTATGCTAATACAAGTCGCCAAGAAACCACTTACAGTTGACGAGGTCAGGTCGATGCTAGCATGCTCTAAAGGCTCCGGCGAGCAGCCGTTCAATATAGAAGATGTTGACATCGTTGGCCGGATTCAGTCCCTTTCCTGTGGGCTTATCGAGTGTCGGTCTACTCGTTATGCAACAAGCTCTGTCGTCCAGTTCATTCACAGATCTTTCGGTGACTTCCTTGTCAATGATGCTGGACTAAGCCTCGACGGACGGATCGCAACGAACCCTCTAGCAAAGTTCCATCTTCGCATCTTCGGGCTCTGTATGCGCACAATTGGATACAGAATAGAGCCTAGGGATGCAGACAAGTTCCTACCTTATGCTGCGCAGTTCTGGATGACGCACGCCAGGGAGGGTGACGTGAGCATCGAGGAAGACTTCCAACTTCCAAGTGCACTCCATGATTGTGATACTTACGATGCCAAAAGGGTTCTCAAGCTTTTCAAGAAATTCGACTCCTATGATTCTTATAAGCACTTCAGTCGCAGAGAAGAAGTCCCCAATAGCATTTGGCTTGAGTCAGAAGATAGCTTGATAGTGTTTCTGGCGTTCGAAGGCTGCAACAAGCTCGTTTCTCGCCATCTGACAACTTGCCGAAAATGCCAATCACCCAGCGAGCATGGGGTGTCTGATCTCGAAAAAGCGTTCTTCCTGGCGGCGTACCACGGTTTCACGCCCACCGCCGAGGTAATTCTAGATGGTGCTGCCGCTGTCGGGGCGAGCATTGACGTCGACGCGGTGGTCGGCGGCACGACAGCATTGTACGCAGCGTGTCTGAAAGGGAAGACTACAACCGTCGAGTTCCTCCTACAGCATGGGTGTGCCGTTTCCAAAGGCCTGTGCCAACCGTACCAGTTTGCTCTCCACGCCGCAGCTGCTCACGACGACGAGGGCGTCGTTGACGCCATTTTGAAGCACCAACACGGTTGTGGATCTGATATTGGGAGGTTGCTCTCAGCTAAGACTGATGCTGGGTACACGGTGTTCCATCAGGTTATCCTAGAGGGTCGGACCAGGGCTCTTGAGAGACTACTGTATGAGATCAAGGATGAAGTTACGGCCCAAGCGCTGAGGGAAAGGACTAAAGGGAACAGGACGGCATATGAGCTTGCTAAGTGGCTGAAGATGAGCCTTGGAGAGCCTGATGCGCCATGCGTGCCAGCTGATGAGGCTACGCTCAATCATGCGACGGCGGAGTTGGAGATATTTGAGCAAAGGTATCCAGCATTGAAAACAAGTGAAGGGTGAACACCAGTGCTTTTCAAAATAAAACCATTAGTTTTTGATTTATATTCCTATTTACAGGCTCTCAGGTCCCTCGAAAAAGTGACGATCAGTCTCGGTAGAGCTGCATAAAGATTTGAATCTGTAGTATTGCCCAATCTTAAGCTCCTACTTCAGCATCATGTTAGTCCGTAATTGAGCTAACCTCGAGCATGGGTACGCACATTAGACACATATCCATCCCATTGAATGATGTGGTGCCTCACAATGTGGCTTTTTTTGCGACATCCAAATGAAAGGATCATCATTGGGGGGATGACATTTTTTAAACTCCGATTATTCCACTTCTGCTAGCCAGGGAACTTGAGGGAATGGCTCCTCTGTCTGGATGAGCGAAACCTCTTATTGCTTCTTCTCCGCCCTGGAGGGTGAAAAAGTTTTGATGAGTGTCACTGTGACCCAGGCAACGGCCACAATGGTCACAGTGAGGCGGATTTCTTTGACGATTGAGACTGTTGATGGGGGAAAGAGGAAAGAATGAGCATGCTCCAAAGCCCCGGAATGGGACACCGTGAATTGCTCCATCGCACGCGGGATGTGCTGCTGTTCTGATTGTTGATACGCAGTGTGGAATTGATGTAGTGGTCATCATCAATCCTGGCAAGTGAGCCGACAGTGGAAATTAGCTGTGGAACCACGCCACAACCTGTTATCTAATCGTCCCTGAAACTAGACCCTTTCCACATTAGTCTCGAGGCAAATTGTGATCAAGTGGCTACCCTATACTCGCATTCCCTGGAAACTAACACGACTTGTAAATATAAAGGGAACGAAGGGATAAATTAACTAAGAAACGGATTCAAGTTCAAGGCAGGTGCTTCGTGTGTCTAGACTACTGGTTTCGTGTCATCAAGGGACCAAGGAGAACGCCCAGCAGACGAATCTTCGCTCCGAGATGCATTACCAAGTCTCCCAGCCGAGGTCTTTAGCATCATTGCTGGCATCTCTGGCCACCAGCGCCCAATTATCCTGACCTCTATCGCCCATCCAATAGATAAGCGACTCCTCGTCACCTAATCTACTCATAGCCTTTATATGCTTTGAACGAATAGGGTGTTCCATCGGATCCCATCCGACCCTTGCGCCTTCCTCCCATTCGATGGGCATAGGGTCGAATTGGACGAGGCAGACATCGTGGTCTTGATCTGGACCCCACTGGACGTCTGCATCTAGGTACATGAAGAGCCAGCTGCGGTAGTGGGTAAAATACCAGTCACTGGCTTTTTTCACCCAAGGTAAACCCGGAAGTCCCTCACTTGTGATAGCGACACGAGGCTCATCATCATCGCCAGAAGGTAACCCTTCAGCTGGATCATCAACTGTTTCTTCGCTTGCGTCGCGCTTCTTCTTCCAGGCTCGTTCCACCTTGCGGACCTGTTGCCAAATGGTACCTCGAGCAGCCATCTCGCCACGATAATGCGCAACACATTCTTCAGCGGTAGCGCCGGGTAGAAAAAAAAACTCATATCTGAAGGCGCTGGCGCTGAGAAGCATACGGCCCTCCTTCAGACCAGAAGCGAATGCGCAGCCGTCAAAGTCTCGTGGGGTTTCTGGGTTAACCATGTAGAAGATCCAAGCTCGCAAATCAGGTAGATTAGGCATGTCCTCTGAGCCGGACCACGACATGATGGCCGGCTTGCCAGTATGATCATCAAAGGTGACGCTGTTGAATTTGGCCTTGGATGGCCGAGCCTTGGGTTGTTCGGGGCCTCCAAAGCGCTTCCTTGCCGATGGGGCCATTCTGACTAGTAGCACAGCGGAAACCGTCGCCGCGGGCTTGAGCAATTTTAACAGAATTTTAACAGAGAGCTAGCAGGGACGAAGGAGTGAAAAAAGTTGAACTTGATACGGTGAGTTCGATCACGGTAATAAGGTTCAACACGATATCGAGCTCCAGAGGATCATTGTTCTTGGATTTTTCTTCGTACCCCCGGCCCCCTCTTTTCCAAGAGGGGTTTTCACCTCTCTTGGCACCCTCTCTGACTATGGTCGGGATATTGATCTATCAGAGGTTTCGTTACAGGCAATCCAATATAACGTCTATGTCGCATAACGTTCATTTAGCCGGATATGCGCATCTGGTTTCATATCTGACTTGCTGCACAGGCGTCTTATAGCGCACTCACTGAAGGTGCCTTACGTGGGGTGCGGCTTTAAACGTGAGTCAAGGCAAGGGATGTTACAAGCGAAGGAGAGGTTAATTAGATTGGTTTACTAGTACTTGGGTAGTTTCTAGACACTGGTGCGTAAAAACGACTGCATAATAGTCCTTCCAATTTACAACTTAGCAATGTTGGTATAGTGTTGATTAGCACCTATCCTGACCTAGCTATATAGGATGAATTCAACTGGCTTATAGCTGTACCTGTCTGATTTTGGTTATGCTGCTTGGTACTTGTCAGGAGATTGAAGTTTTGCTCAAAAGCGAAATGCTCGTAGAGCTGGGAAAGATGTGATTCTTTCGCCTGTTGGGTACTGTCACTAGATTATTACGCTGAATTAAAGCATCGTTTACAAATGCAGTCTATCTCTGTACTCTGTGGCGTTGCACTATGTTTAGAAGTGCCTTGTTCAATGCTCTTCGAGAGACAACTTTTCGGGCAATTTTCTGCGCCCACACGCCCGAAGGATTGGTTAGACTCGGAGCTCCGATTTTTCGCTATTTCAAAGCTCGAGGTAGGATTTTTGCTTCACAAAGAGGTTTGTCAAATCCATTTGAGGCGGAGTCATGGGCTTTGTTCTGGCAGTGAGGCCACGGTCAATGTGAAGGGGGGGGGCTTAGAAGACTCGGTGGATGATCGTCAGTCATGGCCATGCCAGGAGAGCTCAAATCACTGTGTGGCGATGACGCAATGAATTGTGGCAGGAAAATGAGCAACAAAGGGGTTGCTTGAGATGCTCGTGCGCTGAAGTACTGACTGCAAGTGCACGCGATGTTTTGTTCCGTAGATTGATTGAAGGACAAAGGCTGCCCACAAAAATCAAAATAAATATAAAAAAAGGGAACAATAGTTGTGCCGCAAGGACTGTTTCATTATGCACAAAGGGTAACTTGATTAGCCCTTCCCCAAAAAGAATAGATTACGCCAGCCACCGGAAACCAACCAGGCAATGATGTGAAATTCTGTCACACATAATCTCCGCTGGCAGCTTCCCCCCTCTCCCCCCTTTCTTTCTGATACCCGGAATTTCTCAAATTCAGACATTTCTGAGTCCTTGAGATCTTGCTTGCTGACCTTTTGTTTCACAACGACCTTGCCTTGTGTGGTGGCATGGGAGGAATGGCCGAGTTCCAGGAGACACTGCCAACTCTCTGGCATTTCAAGATCTGGGAGCCCGAGATTGATCCTGAGGACGATTTTAAAGATGACTTACACCACAGCCTCAAAAAGCTATCCAAGCTGGTTGAGTTGGACACTTATGAGGTAAACGCCGAGAAGGGCCGGACTGTCGCAAAGGTAGTAAACGCCCTCATCAATGTTTTTTCAAGAGTCACCTAACAGATGGTCTAATCGCTCATGCATTACCAGGTCCGCCTGCAGAAATCCGAGACTGCCATCCAGCAGAGTATCACACTTGAGGATGGTATCAAACAGCTGTGCGAAGCCATGGTTGATGGTTGTCCACAAAAGAGGCGACAAATAGAATCACTCAGCAAACGATCCTTTCTAGGCATTGAGCCTGCATGCAGAGTCTTCCGAACATACTGGACTGCGTCGTTCTTCAACGCAATTCTGGCACAAGGCCCCCAGCTCATCGACCAGGCTCCCTTCCGCGGTTCAGGTCAAGACAAACCGTACCTAACTCCCACGTAAGTAGTTGGTTCCTTTCCTGATATCATCCAAGCCTGACATGGTTCACTGTAGTGCTCTTGTCTTTGCTGTTGCTGCCCTTGGAGGCAACTTAGACGTCTTCCGAATGTTCCAACAACTTTATAACAAGCCCTCCACGAGTGTTGAAGAAGTGCAGCGCACTATAAAGGAGTCAATGTCCACCGTAGAATCCTGGCTGAACTGGCTTTCTGTGAGTTGGTTGCTGTCGACGAATTATGGCATGAGTAAACTTTTCTGACCGAGAATTTCAATCACAGCAGTCAAAGGCGAACGAGAGCAAAAGCAAAGCGGAAACACAGGACAAGCAGAAACTGGAACATAAAAGAATACGCTATAGAAAGGATCTGAAACAGTTCACTGATACTTTTGATATCTTTCTCGAGAACTACAAACACATCCCGGGTATACATCTCCAGAATCAATCCATTGATCTGATCCCAACTTGTCCTCACGAAGCATCCTGCTAACCCATGATCTTCCATAGCACCATTAACCAACGATGGAGAAGCAGACCTCCGTTACGGTGTCTGGACGTACACCATCTGTAGTAATCTCTGCGACTTGATGACTGTGGCGTCTAAGCTGCTCAGAAACAACAAGATATTGGTTGAAGCGAGGAAACAAGAGTTAACACAAGCAGTCCAATCGGGAATCTTCACTGCTGTGTCTGCTTCCATGGTCTGCTTGAATGCGGCTTCAGTGGCTGTTGCTGATGCTGCCGCCACCACGGGCACCGAACTTGTTGCTGCCGCCGCATCTGCAACCGCTGTCTCTGTCACAGCACCCCCTCTTACCACCTTTTCGTCATAGGGGTCACATCTCTTTTCTCGGCTCTGGTCGCCCTCAACTATTTCAATAAGAGTCAAAAGCTCAACGCAGAATGTAAGAGGCTCAAAGATGGTAAGCCATGTCATTCCAACATATTTCTCGTTCTTTTCACCCAGGACTGACCTGTGCAATGAGCAGTTTTTGAGACGACAGTTTCTTCTTGCACAAGAGCTCTGAACGTGAGTATCATAATGCAGAAACTTCAACATGGCATGACCAAATCATCGTTCTCCTTAACAAACAAAGACTCTCAAGATCGATTGGAGCAGGCTATTATCGAATTCGACCGCATTTCATTAGAGCACAAGAATGAATATTGTTCAGAGACGGAGCTATTGGCGATATATGTCAATTACCAGGCTATTGCGCTGCAAAAGCAACGTAAAAGACTCATCATCTAAGGCAGCTTAGCGTAGCTTTCATTGGTCTCAATGTTTTGTCCCTTATGTCAAGTTTCTTCTTTCTCTCTCCAATTCCATAATTGATGCAAAACTCAGAATGCAAATAAAAAGTTAAGATTTGGTTGATCGCTTGAAATATTGGTATCATCACATTGTATCTCTTGTGATCTGCTCAAGATAGACTACTTCTTTGTCATCCCATCAATTGTGCCTATAGTTAATAGGAGCTTGCCTCCTCTTCTGCCCCTCTCAGGAGAATATTATTATCTATGTTAGCAATTTTAGACTTATCATCTAAATCTCCAGCATCTCGAACTTATTTACTCTCTGGAGGTTTGAAGGTAACTCCACAACCCCGAACTCGGACCAAAAGTAGATGCAGGCACATGTTTATGTTTATTTGGTGATGATGATGCGAGTTCTTCTTTAAGTATATTATTTGCCTCGCTACGGACCTCAAAATTAGAGTGGGAGAACATGTTGTGGGTCAGAATAAGAATTGCCTAAGAACCGTTGGGCCCAGATTTTAGAATTTAGCTGTCAACTCCGATCAGCCGGATCGTCAACGCCTTCGCAGATGTATTAGCTGGATAGAGTGGCGATCTGTTCATCGAAGTGTGTTTGAAGTTTCGCTACCGAGACGACAGGTCTGTAGATGATCAATGCGCTCTTTCGGCATTCTGCCGGCACAACACGACACGTCCGGATCGGGACCTCGCCGACGAGCGACGGCCAGGATCAGAAGGTGGCATCTCTTGTGGCACTTACGCACGGGCAGACGGGAGTCAACGCTTCTTAGGGACAAGCATAAGCTTAGCATACGTGGCTTTCTTATACGGGTTAGCATAGGGATTCAAAGAGAGGATGATCGAGCCTATTAAGTGATAACGTTGCCTGCCCCCTGCTCCTTGGCATGAAGGAAGCGACGATCACTTATTGAAAAGTAGCTCATCCAACGACGTGCTGAGCCTTATTACGTTTTAGAAACAGGTGAATTAGATTCTCGCCCTCCCTTGAATGGCATTGATGATCACAAAAATGAGAAAATACGGGTGTCCATCCGTATGGAGCTCATTCTAGATATTCTGTACCTCGCTGTGTTCACTGTTTTGATCTTATGATGAAGTAACACGACAGTTAGAAGCCATGTTGTGCCATTTCAAGTCGCCCACCCACTTGTCAAGGAATTGGCCAGGTTGTCCACCCCGTCCTTGGGTTGCATATTCGGCAATCTTGGTTGAGGGCCCGGATGTGAACTCAATAGATCTTAGGGTGCGTTACATTATGGGGTGAGGTATGTGATAGTTCATGGAGCATAATACAGGCTTGAGACTAAACCAGCAAAGACGGTTGACCCTATGATAAATTAGTAACCCTGTATGGAACTTCAAGGCGGAAAGATCAAGCTAGGTAACTGCGGAATAAAACACAAAGAGGGAAGAAAATGTAGGATCGACCAGTCTAGGACGGTTGTTCGTCCCCTTTATTCGCTTGCAGTGGTACCAGACAACACCTGATCCAGTATTTCACTGTTGCATGTAAAAGTGACTGTACAATGCCATGGTAGTTTTCATCATCGATCATAATTCAATTCGCATGATATCTCGTAAACTATGAACACCAATCCCTTGTGCGCACAGTTGCAGCAATATCATCTTCCTCCGTTCAGTTCAGACCAATTTACCACTTGTTGCTGTTGATCCAGGTGACGTAGTTGCCAACGCGGGTGTAGACACCTGGGTAGGCGGCCTGAGCACAGCCAACACCCCAAGAGACGAGACCCTGGAGGACAGCAGCGGAGTTGACAATGGGACCACCGCTGTCACCCTGGCAAGAGTCCTTGCCACCAGCGTCCTCAGCAGCGCAGAACATGTTCGTAGTGACATCGTAGCCGAGGCGGGAGTAGTCAGAGCTACACTCGCTTCGCTGGATGACGGGAACAGAGACCTTTCGCAGGTTGGTGGGCAGGCTGGAGCCGCCGGAGCTGGTAGTTCCCCTGTAGCGGTTTGTTAGTGTCTTTTTTTCATTCATTCCCAACGATCTGGAGCGGTACTTACCAGCCAGCAACGGTAAAGATGGTTCCGTCAGCGGGGTCTGAGCCCTGAGTTGGGAGAGTGGCGTATTTGATGTAAGTACCCTCGGAGATGGCGGTGGACAGTCTCCAGAGAGAAATATCGTTGTCCCTGTATGGCAATTAGCTGATAGGTCTTTAGAAAGACTCAAAAGGACTTACAAGGTATCGTAGTCAAATCCGGAGTGGATAAGGATCGACGAAACGCTGACCTGAGTTCCTCCGGAGGAGCGGCTCTGTTGTGTGGTTAGTATATGGCATGGAAGACTTAGAGTCAGCCATCATGAGGGGGTGATTGAACCTCTGATGTCAAACTAGCTTGTTGAAGAGAGGAGAGTAACTTACGTTGCTTCCAGCGCGAACCCTAACGGAAGAGGCACTGGTGCCGTAGGAGCAGTGTCCAGCAGTAGCAACAGTGTTGGCGTTGATCAAGACACCACCGCAGAAGTGCGAGCCGCCCTCAGACAGACTGACAATGTAGGGGAACTCGCCGGTAGAGGCCTCGGTGCCACCGACGATCATGGTGGTAACATCATCGCGGACCTGGCCGGGGAGGACTCTGTCGACGGGGACAGCAGCGACAAGGGGCAGCAGAAGGGCTGCAGCGACAGCGAGAGTTGGTGCCATTGTGGAAGAAAACCTGAAGGGATTGATTGATCTGTGTGTAAGAGGAAGTTGGGTGCTGATGAGTCTTCAAGTCATTTTGGCAGACGATCGTGCTCGTTTATATACTCATGATGCTGTCTATACGGCGGCATCGTCATGCCGGACCTTCCTACTTGGTGGTTTTACAATAGTTCCATAACACTCAGTGTGACTGGGACGATGCATAGCGACAGCTTCAACCGACCAGGGGTTATACCAAGAACTCGAGCGGTCCCTGCCAAGGTGGCTCTTCACCCTTGGCGAAAGCTTGAGTAAGTCTGGGCGGTGATTGGTAAACAGAGACCCCGCATCCCAGATCAATATTATCGAATATTGCTGATCTGCATGTTAGTGCCGGCAGTCTCAGCCATAAAGCAAGCTTAAAAAGAAGAAACAAGCCGTCACAGCACTAGAGTCACTCCTGCCAGCAATGCTCCACGGTCCACTTACAAGTTTGGCCATTAATCTACTCTGCCTACTGTCTAGTCCTGTTCCTTGCGATCTCGGATCTAGCTACCTCCATTCACTAGCAAGCGTGCCTACGTTGTCATCGTTTCATAGGCCCTTCCTGCGGGGCAGAGGGCTCCATGAATCGGAAACGGCAGTTGGAAAGCCAAGGTAGCATTTTGCTTATCTGCGCAGCCACCTACCACATCCAACTTCGCTCAAAGATTAACAAGGCGCCTCTATAGCCCATTGTGAGGGGACGCTGCGGTATCATTGGCCCGTCGCCACCTAATTTCATTGATACGTTTCTTCCTAAATCGGCCACACAGCGTGACCTTCGGTGCGAGGGTAGGCACACACCCTGCATTCGTGATGGCGAATATCTTCCCCCTTTCATATAATACGGGACTTTAGAGAAAAAGTCCAGCCACTTCTGGTATATGGAGGGGCAAGGCGTCTGCCGATCTCTCGGCGTCGTATGATACGGGCTTACTGCTGGCGGGACTCGCCGACGGACACCTCGGTGTTCCGCTAGAGCTGAGCGAGCTGAATGCAAGTAAGACAAGGCGTTCGTCCAAACATGCTCTTGGTGGAGGCGACACTGAGGACGATGCAACGGTAATGGGCTGCCTCCGAGGATCCAAATGGGCTACATGATGAAGTTCCCAACTGTTGTTAGAACTCGAAGAGGCAGTTGGGAAGATTCCAAAAGTGCTATCTTTCAAGCGGAAATAACGCACCTGAGGCATAAACGAACTTCCTATGAGAACCTCTCTGGTTCTAGACTGCGCCGCATGTCGGGCCCAGTAATTTCTGAGACTTTGGGGTCAGTTGGGCTCATGGGCTAGTGGCAGTGAGGCTCGAGACGATGAGATATGGAACCGAGTCTGTGACTTTACACCTGCCATTCATTGAACTTTCGATCAATACACTGAAGCCTCTTCCACAGAACTCGCCATGTTGCATTTCGGCTCCTATATGATCAACGAAGGTAGTTCACAAATCAGTACTCAGTTCTATTATTGATGATGATTTCTCTTTCACATAGCTAGAGTATAACACTCGAGAGAAGTGGTCATGAAGAAATCCTTGAACTGCCCAATCCTTATCTCAAGCTTCAGTGATTTGACTTCAACTTCAATGTCGATTGCGACGCCTCACCTACGTGATATTTCATAGTGAGCTAAGCAATTAAAAGTGGAGTTGAAGAGAATACTTCGATTTATGATCCTGCTTTATAATGGAGATTCCAATAGACTATACTCTATGAACGGAAGTGCAGAGCCAAATGCGAGCAATCACTTCATGCATCGTTTCCCACCGTAGCTCCCAAAATAACGAGATATCCAATTCCAAAATAATACAAATAAGGAAAATAATTCGGAGAAAGTGCCTTCAAAGAGGCGCGTAGTGCTCAACCCGAAACTCTTATAGTTCGATTGAATACAACCCCAAGCTGGTCGACCTCTCTTCATATCAAGTATCGCCCCAGGCCCCTTGCCTATAATTTTGAATCCATTGATTATGAGTTCTAGTGTCCTCTATATCCGGCGTATTGAGAATGGGGGTCTCATCGTAGACGTTAGTTACAAACTTGGGGTGTCTAGAGGACATCAAACCCAAACGGCCAGTGCAGCCGTTAGTCCCCAGCTGTGTTGCCGCCCAGGCATGGCTGCCGCGCATGTTGAAACCCGTCTCGACATCGGACATGAGCATGGTGCCAATGTTCATGGTTGCGAACTTTATGTGCCCTGAGAACAACACTTGAGAAGCGTTCTGGAACAGTTGGTTTCAGCCCGCCATTCGAGGTGAGATTCGTCGAATATGGTAATCATGCGGCTCAGTGAGTCTGGGACGAGTCTGGTCTTCGAATTCAACCGCCGCGATCGACAACCCGCTAGTAGCAACCTCCAAAGATCGTGCTCTCAAATCGCATCCAAGAACTACTTGTACACAGCTGCAACAAGTCTCAGTAACAGCCTGTAACTTAATATCCGGTATTAACTCCAGTCTCACTGGTTCGTTAGATGGTCGCGCAGCCATGATCCATATATGTCAATGGAGTGATTTCGAGAGAGCTATGCGTCGTGTAATTCGATGGGCATGTCTCAACCTCTCGTTGAAGTGCACCGGATCTTCTCTGAGGGGACGCAAAAGATCTCCACCCCACCCATTCTTGTCAAAGACCCTGGTACGTTGTATTGGGAAGTTTGCTTTGGTAGTGAAGCGGGGAGAGAGGCTTTTATCCCTGCCTCACTAGAAAAGTATGCATGGACCGTAAGAGAGGGGTTGAACTTTTTAATCTCGCGATAAATGCCTACACCACATGTGCTCATTGGCACTTGGAACATAGATGGCTTGAGTTTAATGAATCCAAGCTGCTATTTCTTCTGAATGCTGAGTGCAGGTGGCTTTTTGGCATTATCTGTCGGATATATTCGCAAATTTGTTCATTCACCTTGCAAGTTTGCCGCTGGCTCAAGCCATTTGTTCGATGTTTCAAGGTCGGGATAAATCACGATTCCAAAGCCAAGAAGAGATAGAGACAATGTGTGGCAGAAAGAATGGAGGCTTGGAAAGGTGCCAGGAATAGCTGTGAGCTCAAGGTGAGGAGCGAGGCGAAACTATTGCCGGGATGTGACTGAAGAATCCGGAAAAAGACAGGCAGTTCAGTATCCTTGTGGAAGATCCCAAGGACCAGGTTCACGTGTCAGAAGTTAAATGTTCCGTTCGTCGTGATCGCCACCATCGATAGTAGAAAGAAGAGGACCCTGAACAATAAGCTTCCCGGTACTTCGACTGTCATCATCCTTGATTAGACTGACGACGGCGACTAGGTCTCGTGGTTGAACCAGGGGCGGACGGCCCCTAGCCACCGCCGCAAGTACAGCAAAGTTGCAGATGTAGACCAGATGTTGCCCTCAATTAGCGAATTTTTCAGCTTGGCCAACCCTGTCAGGGTTCCTTTGACTCAGCAGAAGATAGATGTCGTCCCAGGTCAGTTTGGCGAGGCCAACCCAAGATTGCACGTCATTGGTGGCTGATCCAGGTTGCTTCTGTAGCGTGGAATGATTTTTGAAAACTGCTGTTTCTAAGAGAAGTTTATCCCCTCGATCATTTAGAGAACAGCGAATGAATCAGACTGAACACACATGTGTATCAGTGGATGAAGCAATAGTCAGTGAAGCTTAGCTTCATCATATATTCGATGTAATGCAATTGATTCAACAAGAAAGCTCCAGTGGATTGGTTAGCCACATGTACGGAGGTCTTAGCCCGGGCTGCCGTGTCACCAGACGTGACAAAAGCCTTGACCTAGGATTACTTTGTTAGTTGCGAAGCTGGACTGAAACCGCACGAGGCCACTTGGGATGGCGTGGCTCTGTATAGTCTGTTGCGACATCCGTAGGCAGAATCCGGAATAAGACTCGGTAAAGAAAGATGCGGTATGGTTCAATGCCTTGCTTCCTCAGTAGACCGAAACGATTTGGCAAGTAGCTGAAGAGCACCATCCACACTTCAAGAAAGCGCTCATTGGCGAGTTGAAATAACTGCGATAGGAGCATAGTCATGCAAGCAGTGTAGGCGAGACGATTGGGCTTCCATTCCGTGGTCTCCTTCTGTGCTTGGTCGTCATCTGGATCGGCTTGCGCTGTGAGCAGTGTATGATTCCAAGTCTACAAATGCTCGACTAAGCGCCCCGGATAGTTTGTTCTGCGGGCAAGAAGTTTCGATCCGCAGAGTGAACAGGCAAACAGGGTAGGTGCCAGGGTCGAATGGATCTGACATTGAAGTTAGTCGTGTCGAATGATTGAAATTTGTTGTTTTGAGTCTCCTCGCTATAGTCGGCCATAACGGAAGGGCTGATCTCGTGGTCTCCCAACCTGCCACGCCTAGTTTTAGTAGACGGGTATGCTAAAAGGCTGAGGGCAAACCGCTTAAAAGGAGAGAATGCAGTGGGTGAGATTCATCCGGCTGCGCTGTTGCGGTTCTCAATGTGTGTTGAACAAAGAAAAGTAGGAATTTATCGCATTCGACCATTTATTGGTAGCAGCGAGCTATTGTACCAGAGAAAAGAAGCGTCAGACCAATTATGCCAGTCGATTGTTGAAAGTGAAGTTACGAGTACTAACTTCTCGTCAGTGCTCTGCCTTCTTCCACAAGGCCATCTCACAATGGTAGATCTAGGGGCAAATCTTCGTCGGATGTCGGCACAAGTCTCATCGCGAGGGAACGTGTCTTCTAAGTAGGCATTAAGCATCTGAACTGGATAAACGTCGATACTTGGTGTGCGAAGATAAGTACAACCACACCGTTGCGCTTACTTCTAAAGCCCTCTTCTCCGTCATCTTTGTGCTTCTGTTCATGTGGCCTCTTCTTCCCCTGCTCATTGTCACGGTGCTTCTGGACGAGCCGATGTAGCGGTTTCCTCTCGACGCTGGTATGTGCAAGGTCGCGATGATACCCTAACCCTCATGAGTCTGATTATTTGTCCGCCAATTTTTTGTGTCATGACCCTGTCGACTCCTTTTTGTTTAAGATCGTCGGTTAATTTATTCTTGTATAAGATCAGCGCACAGCCAAGACTATGCCTGGAACTCCATGGTCCGCATCCTCAAGTTCGACATCGTTATCCAACTGCTTATCGTCCTCTGAAGCTCTGTTCTTTACTCTATCAAGGATGCGTCCCACCATCTCAGATAGCTCCTGGTCGCTCTCCAGATCCTCCTCAACTCTCTTCATACCGTCAATTAAGGCAGGTAGGAAGGCTATCAGTATCTTCTGGTTGGGCAGCTACATGATTTCTCTAGCTGAGAGATGGGTTAGCCCCCACCAATGCAGTGGAGCTCATCAGAGCCTCAACTGCCTCTGGGGGCTTTAATCATGTGCTTTGCTAAGGATGGAAAACCCTTGAACTTCAAAATATTCTTCATCATTGGGTGTGCAGTCCATGTCGATGCCGTTGCCAATTTCCAACGGCGATGGAGATCTTCAATTTTGGCGGCATCTAGCTGTTCACGCTCTAGGAGAAAGTCGGTGCCAAATCCCGTGCTTCGGCCGTACTTCTTGCCAAGAGTCTTGAGATTCTCTGCACTAAGCTGCCATAATGACAATCCCTTGTCGCGGGCTTTTATGCTCTGCCTCTTGATGTCAGCCTCGTTGGCGTCATCGTCTGACAGTAGCGTCAGTGTCCCCTTGGTATTGTACACCTCCCCTCTGACAGTTAAGGCTGTTCTGTACTGGTGCTAGGTCGTAGTCTTGGTGGTATAGCCCTTTTAGGTCTCCAACTTTGGCATACATGTCCTTGGGATGGTCATACATGTTCGTCATGAGGCGGATGTAGGACGACAGGTCGCCGGGGCTTAAGTGCAATGGCGTGGCGGAAACGGGCATGAAGTGGTTTATGTTAACAGGCGCAGTCCCTGGTTGTAACTACTCCCCGTGTTTCGAATGTTGTGACACTCGTCCTAGACGAGTGCGCTCAAAGCATACTTGAATTCTTTGTGTGGGTGTGAGTACGACACCAGGTTGTGCGTGGCTTTCTCCTTGTCCATCACCCAACACATCTGATCTTCCTTGAGCTCGCTGAGCACTACAGACTTGAGGTGCGGTTGGTGAGGCTCTTCCGTGACGTCCCGGCCATTCTTGTCAACATACGTCGTCCTCTCGTGTGGCACAAAATGCAATAGTTGCCAACCACCAATGTATACATAGCCTATTTTTTTTTCTCTTGAGGGTGACACTGAATTCCATTGCCAATCGCATACAAGATGCCAACAGCGAGTTGCGGCAACAGGTATGCGGAAACTTGGCTGAGTGGTCTGGGTGTAGAGCCTTTTATTCACGCTGGTCTCGGGGTCGGACAGGAACAATGAGTAGAGAACTGTGTTGGTCAACCGGCCTTTGTAGACAGGAATATTGCTGCCTATTGACAACCCGCTCAATGTTGTCTAATGTCATCAACGAATCATTTGTTGGACACCTCTGTAGTTGCTGGTGATCTTAATGGCTTTAGCAATGGCATGACCAAAGATAGAACCACCTAGGTAGGCGCTGACATTCGTTCTGTAGCGGAGGGCCGAGGCAGTTAAAGAAACAAATCGCCAAATCGTATGAGGTGGGAGTTTTCAGTTGAACAACCGCATGATTTGAACCCCGCAGCTTGGCCGCATGAAGATTTTTGCCGCCAGCGATAATTGGAATAAGGCAGGCGTGAATTTTCAGCAACAGCCAGTCGTTTCATCGCCTCAAAGAATGTCCGCGAGGAACCCGATCTTTTGGATGTGCGCATAGTCAACGATGACTGCACCAGCGCGGAAGCTGGGCGCGTCATCTACGGTTCGGACGTCAATAGAGGCTCGCTGCATCTCGTGAGAGAGAAACCTCGTCGAGCAGTGCCTTGATCAGGAAAAACTGGGTATTTTCTAAGGTGTAATGATCATCATCAACTTAGGCCCAGTCTCGGGATAGTGGCAATGGATAACCGTGTTCGTGGCAACATTACGTACAAGACGAATGTAGAACGCAAGGGAGATCTCTTGGAACAACGTATCCACGTCGTTGGGAACGAAGGGAAGGCGGAGGAGCAACCGCTCAAGGAATAGAGAATGTTTGAGTTGTCTGAGGGACAGGCACTCAAGCGACCTGACGCTGGACCCGGCTTCTAGGACGTTCACGGCTGTCACCCTCTAAGCGAAGGCTTTGGGGAAATTGGTCAAACGCATCTGTGTTCGTTGGGATCTCCTCTTCATCCTCGTTCTGCTCGTTGGCGGGCTGATAGACGAGGTCCACCAGGTTGGGGTCCCTCCGCCCAAGCCACAGAGCGGTCGCGCGCGTGCTGTCCTTCAGCTTTGCACGCGGGTAGAAGCTCAATCGCGGCCATACACATTATGATGCGATCGAAAGAATCGGCCTGTTTCATGAGTCATGTATCAAGCATGTCTCTGTCTATGGTGGTGATGTATGCTCGGTTGGTCAAGTCCCGATGACTCTTGAGTTTTACGACATTGAGCATGCCACGCTCGCTTCAAATGTGTAGGATCACGTTGATCTCGCTTTTTTCGAGTGTCGATAGATTAGTTTCCATAGAGAGTCTACCCAGAATGACGCGTTGTACTAACTCTCTGCCAGCTTAATGTTTAATCTCCAATCTAGGCTGTGCCCGCGTCTAGGAACGTGATATGTATCGTGTGGGACCGGGCCGAAGCCAATAACGATTTGATGTAGCTGCAGAACGGTGTTATTGGGTTCCAGAGCTTGCTGTTCTTCATCCACCAACAACAGGCTAGCTACCTTCCAAACGGTCGAGCAGAAGCCGAATCCCCTAGATCCCGGTGCTGCAACCGTCTGTGTCGCCACTCGAGGTCTCTCCATTTGTGAGCTGCGACGCTACCATCAAGGAGAGGGATCTTCGTTGTGGTGGTGCGGCGAATCATAATTGCCGTCATGAGATTTCGCATGACACTGGTGGCAAAGGTTGTCTCCCAATGTGCAAGAACCGTTCAAGGAGGTGTTTGCGGTGGCATCGGTAGAAGATCATCAACCTCAATCGTAAGTGAGTCCATCTCAGAACGGTGGGCGTGCTTGGAAAGCGAAAGGTAGGCATTTTCCAAGGCGAAGAAAAACTAGTGGAACAACAAAACGTGCGTGGGATGATGTCCCGATCGCAATTCCTAGTCTATGAGTGGTTGGATCATCAGCCCATCAAGGACATCCTCGGTGGCATATGTTACCACCTGTGCCGCGCCTGTGAGGTTGTGTATAGTTTATCATCCTTGAGGGCGGTGGTCGCCTGATCGGTCTCTTAGGCCGCCATTGGTTGATCAGTGCGCAACTGTCTAGTTGCGTTCCTGGCAGATTGGCCAGACAGCTCGTCTTAAACATAGAGATGCTTCCATAATCAAGCGACATCATGATGCCTTTTCTATGGTTACCAAAGTTAATTTTGGCCTGCTGCTCGTGACGGTGTACCAGTGCCCCGTCAAGCGGTGTGCTGGCATCCCTCACAACTGCTTCGTGACTCAGGATCCGCAGGTTGTGCACGATGTGTCTGCATAATTCAGAGGCTTCATCGTGACAATCTGGGCCGTATGAGCTAAGAGCAAGAAACTACTTGTGGGAATTGCCGATCTCGTGGAAGATGTATGGGCATAACATCCAGATGAGACGACAGGTGTTCTGATAAATCCTTGCGATCTTACCCACTACCTTAGTGTAGAATGGGAGAAATAGAAAGGGTACGTACCAACTGTTTGGATGTACGACTGGAAGGCAAGAGTGCTCTTGAATTGGGTATATGAGGCAATCATATTCGGGTGTGTGGCCTCTGACTTCCAGGTGTACACCACCTTTAGTTCTACTGGGTGCTCCAGCTTTTGCCACTTGTGGAAGACTTCTGACGAGTCTTCCACTGGAACATCCTTGATACTCGGTAACGCGTCAACAGTGGTCACATCAACATCTTCCGAGATGATGCCGGCGAAGAGACCACGCGTGGTCTGTAAGACGCTACCGGCTTCAAAGACCTTCTGTGAACTCCATGGATTGTAGTCCACACGCTCAAGTCTCTCCCCCCATCCAATGTTCGCCCAGACGACGAGTAAGCCAGCTAGGGCGGCCCATGACGAGATGACCGTGTGATGCCTTGACATGAATGCAGGACATGCACTATTCGTCCGAATTCTCGATGGCAACCGACTTGAACGCTTCCCCTGTAGGAACTGTAATACTTATATCCCTAGACCAAGGAAGGGAGACCATGAGCATAGAGAACGCCCTAGGTCATGATGGTCCCATGTGATTTTGATGGGTGACATCACATCCCTCACGAAACTATGCAATAATGTTCCCGTCACCCACACGAGGTGGTTAAAGCTCAGCTCGTTTATGGTGGCATTGTAAATTGGTAGTCTGCGATGCCCATCTCAGCTAACGGTTGTACCTTCAGCGGGCATCGTGTATCGTTTGGCTGAGGAGGTTAGGTCATCAAGATGTGTGGCCGACTGAGGGGCGGAAGAGTTGCGTGAGTCGCTTGTGTGAGTCCAGGCTTAGATAACTGGTAGATAACAATAGCCTGGCATAGAAAGAAGAGCCATGGTGCGGCGTGCCAATCCCACTCGACCTGAGGGACAACCTCCCTGCCGTTGAGAGTGTGATAGAAAGTTGTGAGCTACTAGCTACCGCCGTGGGAGTGTGCTGAGAACCTTGCCGTCGGCCTTAGCAAGAGGAGACAGCTTTGGTGGTTTCTTGGTGTCGATATGAGATGTATGCGGGAAGTTGAACCCGGAACTACATCAGCACACAGTTGAGGTCTGGGACTTAAATAACGCCCCTAGTTCAATGCCTGGTTCATCCTCAATAGCATGCTGGGGCAGCGGAAACTGGCCACGTGGATGTAGCTGTTGGCGAGATCGGCGGTTGAAGAGGGCGATTCAATTTTAGCGAGTATCGCCGAGGGTGGCGGTTGAATATATTGGGATTGAGGGCCAAGAGATGATAGTTTAGTTGTCCAAGCTCACTCTGAAACTCGGTCTGGGGTGATCCGAACAAGTTGTAAGGGAACGAGGAAAAATTCACTTGCATTCTAGAGCGAGGCCTTTCCCTTTCCCTTAGCCTTAGCAGAAGGCTTTGATGGTGTCTTGACAACAGGGAGAGGACGTTCGGACACGAACTCGACCTCGGGTTCTTCCTCGTCAAATTCAAGAAGGTCGTGAGACGACTGGCGAGTGTAGGGTGGAGCGTCCGGGGACTCGTAGTCCTGTCGTGATTACTTGCCAATGGAGCCAGTGAAGGTGCATATCGACCTTCAGGAATACCACCGGACCCACGACCGAGTTCGTACATGGCGGTGCACGATCAACTTTCTGCTTCCTCGCGCTGGAATACGGTGTTGCCACCACCAACTTGAGATCCAATGCTGCCATCAGGTGGCTCTGGTACCCAAGCGGTGGTGGCAGGTTACATAGATCGCAAATTCCCGAAGATCCGGGTTCTTGTTGGATTGCGGCGTATGAGAGCGGCGGACCGCAACACGCGCCTTGGGATCGGGCTTGGCGGGAGGCGTGTGCCGAGCCTCAGTCGCAGCCTCGCGCTTGAAGCCTTCTTCATAACCGGTCCCAGCAGGGGGAGGATGCTCTTGTTCCTTGAAGACATGAATCATTGAATTGCTGGATTGCTGGAACAAATCCAGCCACCTGAACGGGGCAGGCCTGTCAAACTTGGCTGATATATGAAATCCAGAGTTGAACAGTCCCATAGGACAGTGGATAGGCTGAGGGAAGGCTTCTTGTTCCAGCATCCGATTGTAAACGGCTCAGTTCTGTTATTTGCAAGACTTGGTACCCTCCGTAGTGATTAGGGAGAGGATTGCCGTTGCTCTTCAGGGTCATCCGTCTTGAGCTCCAGCGTGGTCGCCAACACATCGTCCACGGCCACCAGCCGACTTTTCTGGATTATATGGTCCGGGATCCTCGCGCTGAACCTCATGAACTCATCAACGTTAGTGGTGGAAAGAGTTGTAGGCTATTAGCCGACTTTTCACAGGCATGATCAAGTTGACGATGGAGGCTATATTCTCCTCCTTACCGGTGGCCTCGGCCATTGATGTCTGCTCGCTGTAGACTTTTTGCGATTTTATTAGTCTTGGAGTGCAAGGACACGGCGCACGGTTGGTCACTGAGGGGCAATCTGTATGGGATATCGGCACATGTTTCCAGAGCCCAGACTGGGGCGGAGGGCAATTCAGCAGTGACATATTTGATGACTCTTTCACCATTCTAGAGTCGGTGACTTGGACTGACGTGTTTTCGTACAGCACGACCTTGTCAACTTTGAGAGGCCAGTAAGTACTCGTCCAACCACATTTCTTCCCATCAGGGCCCTCGGCAGTTTTTCCGACCACGAAAAGGGTATGTGCGATCAACATTGTCGTGCTGATGACACTGTATCCAAACTCTGGATAATCGCGTCCGTGGTTTCACTTGCAAATGCCGGACTTCAACTTTGCAAAGGGCCCTAACAAGAAGCTTCTCGTCGTGACAACCAGCGCAGGACGTCATGGGCGTCACCGCCTTGCAGGAAACGGTTGAGCCTTTGGGTCTTGTGTCCAGTCGATGCGCCCTTCGTTCGTGATGCGAGGAACGGTCTGTATGCTCAATGGATCTGGGTGTCGAATGACAACTGAGCCTTCCCACCAGCAAAGAGATATCCCGCGTAGCCTTCCTCATTTGTGTTCTTTGGCCGTTACTCTACAGATTCACACTCGCAGCCAGCGTATGCATGATACAGATAGTTTGCACATTTCCCGTTGAAAGCATCAAGTAACGAGTAGCGGCTGAAAAAATTGGGAACATGACATGTACCCTATGCTGACCCAAGGCCTTCTGTATATTGCCCGCCGCTGTATGTTTACACCATCCTGGGGTCGAAGACATATGGCAGACACGCCTCAGGGAGATAGTTCCTGACTTTTCGTTGAGAGTGTAGAAAGAATCACTGATGTCTCCGACCTGGTCAATGATGAGTGCTAATCATCATTCTTCCAGGCAGGCATAGGGTCAACTGCACCAAGTCTTGTTCAGCGGAAGTCATCTCGAAAGGTGCTCGAGTAAAAGGGCATCGTGATGTCCAGTGCGGATGAGAACTGGTACAGACCGTAACCTAGGTGCCAGTGGTGCTCGGGTTAAAGACTTTGATCGTCCTCTGCCTGGCCCGGGGGTTTTCCATTGATCACATGGTAGCTGTATTGTATCCAGTAATGTTCAGGGTTGAAACAACGACTTTGTACGGGATTCACTTCCCAGACAAAGGTAGTCACATAGACCAACTTCGGGTTCATCTTTTCAAGGGCTCCATGAAGATCAGCGGAAACTTCAAGTTGGTTGATGTGCTGATTATGACAGATCTTCCACATGATGTTGTGCAGATTTTCGATCTTTGTTGAACTAGAAGGGGTGATTTCTCGGTTAATTTGTAGTTGAGCGTAGACGCAAAGATTGCATGTGAAAGGCTATTTGCCTTGGGGTCTTCTATTAGACATTCGTCTGAACAGTAGGAGGTCTTGATAGATCCCATGTCCTCAATCTAAACCTTCGTGTATCAATTGGATCAGGCAAGGAATAAGGAGGCCGTAATTCGACTATTCGTTCAGAGCGGCCTTGTAGCTTTCTTCAATTAGACCTCGTTTTCTGGCAGGCTGCGGCACTGTACAGTATGACGAGGGGTCGGTCTCATCAGCCTTATGGCGCAGGAAGCCAGGGTCGAAAGTCCATCCGACGAGTCGCACGGATCACAGTCGGTCATCCTGGAGCCGTTGAAAGGTCTTGTGTAGGTCGCAATTAGGTATAAAGCGACCCAGTAGACGCTGATGGCGTTGGCGAGGAGAGAGCAGGTGAGGTAGGCGGTGGTTAAGGGGGAAGCTGTTGATAAGGTACGAGGCTTAATTTCGGTCGAGGAGGAAGTTAGTGATGGGTTGATAGCGTGAGTTATGGTCGAAGAAATCCCTGGTTGTCGCAGAAGGACTGCCCAAGGGTTAGGGTTAGGGTTATCATCTGGGTTAGGTACGTCGGCAAAATCCCCGTCCGTCATCTTTCCAGGTGATCTTCCCGTGCCCGAATTAGCTTTGCCTTTAACCTCCTTCTCGAGCTCGGCGACGCGCTTGTAGGCCTGTGGTCAGATGACTTCGCGTTGCTGGCTTGGGCCAGCGACCATCAGGTCAACTCTACCCATGAAGGCGAGTCTATTCCATCGGCGAGACCAGGTAGTGTATATGATTGTGTAGAAAGGCTCATGTGGGACACAGAAGTAGGCTGTTCAATTTGAAGAGCCGAACAGTCCGTATGTCGATGACAGTCAACAGACATTTTGGAAAATGCAACTATGAGCTCACATTGTGTGCTCAGGGTGAATTGCTTTCAAAAAATCGAAATGCTACAGGTGTAGTTGAGAAGAGACAGAGAGATTGTCTGGGTATTCGGCGAACGTGCTTTATGCCGTTTCAGCCCAGACACCAGTGATCAACGGCCACTCATGTTCGAGTTGAGCGCACATGTCGGACATCTGCACGGGCGGTAGATGAGCGTTCACCAATAGAACCTAGAGTAATACCAGGCCTGTGATGATGTAACGCCCATCTTTCTCGCTCAATATTTGAATGAAAATTCCGATGAGTCTAAAGATGAGGCGGAGGATGATATGACAATATTCAAGTCTGTGACCTGGCGGTGACAAAAGAAGACAATAAAAGGGCAATGATAGAACTATGAGGAGAAGGGCGTGTAATAAATGGGAGAAACCAAGGAGAAACAATATCGATGATAGGGAGGAACGAAAGATATGCGGTGACTAAAAAGAGAAGAAAAGTGCAAGAGAGAAAACAATTTGAACCTCCAAATCATTGCAAAAAGATGTTAGCAGGGGAAACCGGCATCATGAAAGGACATGGCGTTAGCAACAGAATCATGGGTAGACATACCGGGCAGTAGATCACCAGGGAAAATGAAGACATAAGATCGAATATTGAAAGAAAATAAAGAAAGTTTCATGAAATCAAGTAAATTAAAAGCGTTTGGAAGGAGTATTAAGGGTGCGGGATAAAATGGAGGGCCCAAGAGCAATATATGCGTATCAGACCGCCGCCTTTTGTCAGACCTTTGCCCTGGCAGTCTTCTGCCTACACTTCGTCGCTAAAATAGAAATCGAGGCTCAAAATGTCGAGCGAGACACTGGCAAGAGGTGAAAACAAGCATGAGAACGACGTTGCTTGATGAAGCAATCGGGCAAGGCGGTTCAGACAAGCTACACGTAATAGAACGAGGGAACATCTGTCATCCAGGGGAAGGTTGCCACTCCCAAGCACTGCACTACCTCGCTTACCACAGATGACGGAGGCACAATTCTGTCTCACGAGAGGCTTGTGGAGAAAGAGCCCGTTCAGATTGACGCATGTCGTATTTGATTCCCATAAGGCAAACTGCACGGTTGACAAGCTCTTCCCCCCGTTTCGTACCCATACTTAGACGGACTCCAAATTACCTTCGCGGAAAAACATTCAAACCTACAAGGATAGGTATGGCCACGAGACAAACCTAAGTCTTTGCCCAACCAAGCTGCCACGGGCGCGGTTTCCATACGCTGGGAACACATGCCTCTGTGGCGTTGCAACCGAGCGGTCTGTGTAGGCAACGGTATCAGACTCGTAGTACCAATCCCCTAGGTATGCAGCGTACCACTCGGGAAAACCATCATGGTCATTTGCCCGACGGGGTGTTTCTGAAATGTATTTTACGGGCCTACCACATCGGCTAGACGGGTTGTTTCGTGAACACGTATCAATTGGCGATGGTTTGATACACGGTTATGCAGTTTTTGGAGGACATGGGAACAGCTAGCTCTGGCAACCTGTGCATGTGTTCACAAACTTTGCTCCCGTCCTACAAACAGCGCACGGCTCGGATGGAATCCAAAGTGAGCAGAAAATCTTCTCCAAGCAGCAAGATTGCCAGTTTCAGATCTGCCACAAGGGCCCGACGGAATACGATCACCGACCAGTCATGAGCTGTCAGCCCGTCCGAGCTACAACACCAACAAACCCAACTGTTTGGCGGGAGCAGTCAAAATGTAACGTGCCTTCGTGGTCCGCGCACTGACGTTCGAGTTACCTGCCTTTTGAACACCCTCGTTCCAAAGGAATGCTGGACATTAACACGGTCAGCTGACGAGACCTCGCGTCTGCAGGAACTGAAGCCAACATCCGAACACTTCCGAGCTCGGCCGAGACCAGAATCGGACTGCGATGGTTGTATGTCGCGATGTTGGTCGGCGTCCGGGAGCCAGTCCGAAGGCTTGAGGCGAGGGCCCGGCGAAGTTGCTAACGCCGACATACATGACAGATTTCTCTCTCCTGTCACAGGTCTGAGCTAGAGTTGCCCCTCACCCCGCTCCCGCCTACTAGCTGCTCGGCTGATGATCCATCATCGTCCCTCATCACAATGAGTCACTCGTTCGGATCTCCGACTGTGGAGGGAGGATCGGACTTTTGAACGCCTTATCGATCTTAGCAAAGTGAGGGGAGATGGGGCCGCCCAAGCAAAATAATGGACCTTCTTCGGCAAGCTGGAGCCGTGATTAGTGAGTCGTCGTCACCGCAGGCAGCGAAGACGTGCTCTACACATGATCTAGTATCCTTTCCCCAGCAGGGGATTATTATTATTGGTCTCTCCTTTGTAATTATTTGTACCTACTTATACGAAGGCATCCCCTTAGTTTGAAATGCCTCACAAATCATTTCAACATTACCATATTCCATCCCTCCAATAAAACGTAAATACGACATGGCTTCAACCACTCAGTCCAAGGGTCCTGGACCCTATGTTACCCCCAAAGAACAAGACCTCCGGCCCGGTGCGGTCGATGATTACGTCAATTCCCACCTCCAGACGCCAGCCAACAACAAGTACCACAATGCCCTCGAGCACATCCGTGAGAAATCAATTGCGGCAGGCCTCCCTGACATCGCATGCTCTGCCGCCCAAGCGAAATATCTCGCTATCCAGATCAAGATCGCGGGGGCCAAAAACATCCTAGAGCTTGGCACCCTCGGAGGTTTCAGTGCCGCCTGGATGGCCAGCGCGGGGCCGGGCGTCAAAGTGACCACAGTCGAGCTCGAGGAGCACAATGCCAATGTAGCCTCCAAGAACATCGACGAAGCAGGTCTTCAGAACCAGATCGAGATCAAACGGGGCGCAGGTCTCGATGTTCTTCCCAAACTTGTCGCCGAGGTGCAGTCAGGGCAGCGGCCAGAGTTCGACTTCATCTTCATTGATGCGGACAAGCAGAATAATCTCGCCTACTTGAACCTGGCTCTTCCCGCGAGCCGCTCGGGAGCTGTCGTGATTGTTGACAACGTCGTTCGCCAGGGCAAGATTGCTTATCCCGACGAGGCGGCCAAGGATGAGCGTATTTCTGCTACCCGAAACCTGATCGAGACAATCGGCAAGGACGAGCGTCTAGACGCAACCGTCATTCAGACAGTGGGCGAGAAACAATATGACGGTTTCTTGTTTGCAATCAAGAAGTAGGCTACAATTTCTGTTGAGATTGGTTGCATCGTGTGAACCGACTCACTTAATCCGACGGGCCTATATTATCATTGCTTTTGGGTAGAAATACCAATGTCAAGGACTTGGATAAAGGTCCAATAAGAGTCTGAGTAAGAAAATAATTAGGTTCTTTAAATCAAAGCTATTTTGTCATCACGAAAGGGAGGCACAGAGCATGAAGTCATTTTAGCTACTTTCACTTAAATGAGTAACTCGCAATTGCAGACTCGATTTTTGATTCGTCATTGAAATTCATTACTTTTAACATTACTTCATACTAATTCATATCCAATTCCCTCTGCCATCAGGCCGTAAATGTACACTGCGCGGGAGTCTTGGGCTAGGTTCCACGTAACTAGGCCCTTCCTCCCGATAGCAATTGATTAGACTTGGTGGGTATGTGCTCTTCGTGGTCCTGTTGCTGATGCTTCTCCTTGGTCGCCGAGGCGGGATGGGAGGTATAGGCAGACTCGGCAGACTCTTATTGCTGTTGCAGTATATCCTCCTGCTGGTTCGTTGAGTCGGCAAGCTCTTGGAGCTGGTATTCTGAGTCTGGAAGCTCTTATTGCTAGGATTGACCTTGCTCTTGTTATATTCGCTTTGCTGGTAGAAGTTCCTCTTGTTCTTTGTAGCTTTCCTGTAGGCGCGATCCCACAGATTGGTTCCTCGTTTTGACACGACAAGAAAGAAGATTCCAAGGCAGATAATGACTCCCCAGCCGACAACAAGGGGCCTTAAGAACTCTAAGACAGCGGGATCTTCGAGATTGACGTATGTTGTGACGCCAAAATAGGCTATGTCGAACGCGTGACGGAATAACGAGAGCCTTGATACCGTAGCTAGAAGATTAAAAATCTGACAGAAGGTGTTAGAACGAACAGGCAAATTATAGAAACAGCAGAAATGGGCCTTAGAGATACCTTATTCATCTCGGTGTGGCTCGTTCTCAACAGACAACCCGTGGACCCCAGACAGAAACCGAAGAGTAGAATGGAAAGCACAAGATCAAATATCCCCTTAATGTCGACGGAGATATTGTTATACTGGGATATGATGAATCGAACGATGCTCAATATCCCGATAAACACCAGCATAACAGTTGCCCCTATCCGTGGAAATCGAGGACTCAAGAAGCCGGATTGCTCGCCGAGGGCCAAGACGAGCTCGAGATGTGCGTACAGGGTGGTTGCCAAAGCGGGAGGCCCAAACATGTTCTTCGCAGCTTCGACTTGTAGTTGGATCGTTAATAGATTTTCGGCTGCTTTCCCACTGATCCGACCGACTTGGAGTGTCATGCAGCTTTCCATCAGCCAAAGGATGAACCATCTGTCAGGTATATCAGTACACATCATACAATTTCTTGAATTTGCATAGACAAGAGCAGTATCAACCTACATTGTAACAATTGCTGAGGCACCTTTGATCCATGGGATAGGGGCACGAGACTTGGCGCCTCTCTGGTGTAATTTGACGAAGAAGAGGACAGCGAGAGGAGTGCTTCCAGCCAGTGCAATAGCAATGAACCCAATATTGAGGTAGCCAAGCAGAGCGTAACCCAATGATTCTTCCGCCATTGCGAGTCTTTCAACCAATGAGAACCAAACGCCAGGAAACGAATGGATGGCGAGCAGCTCTACGTCTCTAGATTTGCTCAGAGACGCGGGGAATATCTAGCCTTTTCTCCAACGAGGTCTCCCATGCCGGATTATGTCTTAGATAAGTATTGACAGGGGAGCTTACAGGTCACCGTCAGTGGGCTCGACGCCGAAACATGAACACGCATACGAGCGAACTCATACATCTCGCAATAAACGACATGACGGAGATAAAGTGGAAGACGCAGGGGTTAGCCACCTGAAACCATCCCACAACCCCCAACCAGAGTCGAGTCACCTGCATACAGAGGATACCTACTGTAGCATTCTGGCTGGGAGGGTGTTCAAAAATAGGCGCCCTCTAGGATGGTGGGTTACCTCGCCAGGCACGTTTTCGTCCCTTCTTGTAGGTCTATCCAATCATGCCCGTGCAGCCCCCGACCGCTCCCTCGCCCCCTTGTCCTCGAAAGCATCTGAACGATTTCCAGGCCCAAGCTTTGCGCTATGACATGATCGAATCCTTTCCCGCTGCTGCCATGGTCTTTACCCTGTTTCCCCCTGATTCCCACGCGGCGCCTAGGCCATGCCATGGACCACGGCAGGGAGCACGGACTTTTGATATGTAGATATGCAGGCTCTTTCGCTCTCGGCTGGCAGAAGATGGAGGATCCCAAGTCCGACTGACCCATTTGGATTCGTGCGGTCAACGTGTCGTGCTCGATCCTCCAAGAAGCGGCACGGTGAAAAACCGCCCTCCGCGCCTCGTATTCAGTGGTGCTTTCACCTTTTCTGCACTGCAACTGCATACACGCAAAGCCGTCCCGAGGGATCGAGGGTCGGCAGGCAGCACGGCCTCCCGTGGGAAGCAGCAAGGCGATCAGGCCCCCAATGTTCATATGCAATCGATCGTCCGTGAGAGGTCTGCCGCCACCTACAAGAGTGCCGCCCACTGCGCCTCGGGGCCGAAGTCCTTCAAAGCCTGAAGAGGAACGGTGGAGGCAGATAATCCCTCTACGACCCTTTTGGGCTGTCCACGTCGCCACTGTGGGCAATCTCAACCACTATCTGGGACGGAATGCTACGTCGGCTTTCAATGGCTCGTGTGACTCTGCTCGCTATGCCGCCGCCATCCCCTGACCCGTGCTTCCTGCGCCTGATTACCAATATCTGGTTTGTAGGATGTTTTGCACTCGGCTGTCCATCTTGAGCTGCCGAATCAAGAACGACCAAAACGGTGGCTGGCCCTATGAGGGCATATAAAGTCTGCAATTGGCAATGCCCGTCTTTTTGACGAAAATAACTCTTTTATTATTTCGCCATCTATATGTCGCGTAGAATCTATATTTGACATCAATCAACCATTGTTACTTCTCCAAGCAAAAAAGAAACCACATAGCTCCGCATGAATCTTCTTTCGAACAGATGCCACGGCACATCACCTGGCACTTTAGAATCGCCATTTCGCCCTCTCAGACCAGCGACTCATGCCGTAGAAAAATGTGATTGAGGATTCTGCGCGGTAAATCTCGGCTGTCCCCAGAATCCCATCGGCAACATGCATCCTCCATTGAGCGGCGCAAACTGCAATCGCCTCCCCTGCGTCGCCTTGGCCCCCTGCATGTGCAGAAAGGCATATTCGGACTTCGTGAACCACTCAGCCCCCCCGTATTCTCGTATGTTTCATCCAAATCACTTTAGAATACTACAAGTCAAATGCCGTGCCTTAACAGGACATATCGATTCTGTCTTTGATAAACCTGTTTTCAGTGGAGGATTGGACACAGCACACCATCAATCAGCCCGCAGGAACATTGTCGCCGGATAGTCGACCTGAAAAAGGTAGCACTTCGTCCATTGCTTGCTGCACCACTGAGGCAAGTAAATCCTGAGTATCAGATAGAATATTCTATTGGCTGCCCAGCCCCTTGAATACGTGGACCTTTCGTACGTGGAGAATCATAGAGTTGTTCACGCGGCTTTTGGTGGCACTCATCACGAAGGTTCCTTTAAGCCGCTACTACGCGTTAGAGGTGGAACTGACTGGTGGGCATAGTAACCTTATCCACATAGCAGCATGATGGAGAATCAATTGAAACAGCCGGTTCTAAGTCATTAGGTCTGTCACTTGATGCGGGGCTTGGGGGCTATCACATCAGCTAGCATGGGCTCCCATGATAAGTTGTAAGTTTAGTTCTACTGGTGGATTATCCGAGGAGACAAGAGTATCTTGAGACTTCATTTCCTTAGCTACTCAAATTGATACGTAGATTCAAGCAGACATCCGAAGCATAACCAGAGCTAAGACCCTTGAATAGAGATGTTAACGCCTGAAGACCAAGTTAAGAGCGGTCTGTCAATCTTGAATAGTCGGGTCGCAGTGAAAGTGGCAATCCAAGACCATACCTAGTTTCTAGTATGCAAATGAGTTAACAGTCAAGGTTACAAAAGCGCGAACCTGAGTCAGAGGTGCAAGGGGACCATGGTGGCCGAGAGGAATCCAGATGCAAGGGACTGCGAGCTGCAAGGGATGATCCGAGACACATAGGATATCAGGGATAACTTACGGACTATTGTGGTAGCCGAATAAACCAAGGCAAAAATCGTAGACAAATCAGAGACATAGTCATCTGAGGCGAAACCACGATCGCTGAATCAGGACTACGCAGACGGCAATGATGGTCGGGTACTTAGATTCCGCTTGAACCTCCGGCGTTGCGTGTAAAACCCAACCCATTACGATGTTGAGATCGAATTAAAGAGGTAGTTCTTCATGCACAAATATGGTAACGACGGCGTACATATGTCTGCGACGGTAAATCAAACATGAAGGCATCAAGACCTATCCGAACAGTCCAGTCCACGCATAAGAGACCTAGCTTGTTATAGCAACTGAGGACGGGCCAGGGACATACCCTATCTCTCGCATAATACGATATGTCATCACATAGTTCCGAAATCGATCTACTCTCCTCTTGCCGCCCACTCAATCCGTTCGCAAGGAGAGCTGAAAAGTCGAAAGCCGGTTCATCTGCATACCTCTCCACCACCCAATCGAAGATCATCTCCTAGTATTCTTCTCGCCTTACTCGGGACTGTGGAGCTGTTGGTACTCATATCCCTCTTCCGCGTCGGGGGCCGACAACGTAATAGAGAAGTGATTAAGACGCTATCCATTCACAATGGAGTGCTGGTCCCTGAGATGCCGCATTAGTGTTGTTCTCTCCCATGCAAGACGCGGCTCGTTACGGTGTGGCACCAGGGCAGACAAGAATCTTGGGGTTAAGATCGCCCGCCAAGATATATTACTAGAGTCTTAATCACCATTGAGATCCTTGCAACCATCTTCAAATCTTTGAGGACAATAGCAGCTTGTTCCCCACAGCCAACATGCACCAGTGTGTCATCTTCTCGCAATGCAGCCACAATTTCCAAAAAGAAGGTCGTATACGCGAATAACCATATAAATGGCCATCAAAATTGTAGCTACTTAGTGTCTATCGGTGGATCTTGTTTCTGCAGGCCATCTTTTCCATCACAGACTTTCCCTCGACGCAGGTGCCACAAGATTCAGCTTACCAACATGTCTGGCACAATGACGAATCTGCGAGGGGTTTATCCTGGCGTTATTTTCTTATTTTACTGCAGGCCGCCGATCAAATTTCCTTCCTCACATATGTCTCTCTGCGGTGATACCGCCAGTTCAAACTTCAGGGTGCTTTTCCTACAGACGCTTCCCTTTAGCACACACAATAGCTTGCTGTGACATCTTCACATAGCCTAATAATTGTCATGTCAGACAATAAGGACACTCATACGACCACGGAGGCTGCCAGCCAGGCCGACTTGGGCTCCGAGAATCATGACGATGTGGACACTGCTTGGGAATTCTTGAACAGCCACCGTGCTATTACGACAGCAGAGGATACCGATGCCGTGGACATCGATGCCTTGCGGCGTAAGATTGATTGGCATATCGTGCCGCTCATGTTTGCCTGCTATCTCATGCAGTTCTTGGACAAGGTTATCCTGAACGTTCGTATTATTCCGCCCCCACCAAAACCGATATCTGCTAGTGGCGTGCAGACTGACCGGTTTTCATTACCTGACTGTGTACAGTATGCCGCTGTGATGGGACTCAAGCAGGATCTTAACCTTCAGGGTAACGATTTCTCAAACATCGCCACATTCTTGTTCGTCGGGCTTCTGTGCTTCGAGGTAGTTAATGGTACACAATCTCACCCCCGTTGCTTCCGGCCGGATCATGACACCATTCTAACCTAGCCTAGTGTACTTCCTCCAGGCAGTACCGGCGGCCAAGTGGCTAGGGTTCAACGTCACCTTATGGGGGGTTGCTACCGCTTGTGGTGCTGCCGCTTACAACTACCGAACCCTCCTCGTCACTCGTGTGTTCTTGGGCATGTTCGAGGCCACCATCGGTCCCTCCCTCATGCTTATTAGCAGCCAATGGTACACCAAGTCAGAGCAAGCTCTTCGGTTTTCTTTCTGGTACACCGGTCTGGGTATTGGTCAGATCCTTGGTGGTGCCATCTCTTATGGCTTCCAACACATTGCCCCGGGCCAAGCAAGTCTAGAGGGATGGCGGATCATGTTTGTTACCTTGGGTTGCGTTACTGTCACAATTGGTCTCTCTACCGCCTTATTCATCCCTGACACACCTATGCAGGCCGGTTGGCTATCAGACGCTGACAAAGTGGCACTACTAAAACACGTAAGCATTAATCAGACAGGGATTCAAAGCAGGAAGTTCCGGCCGAAGGAAATTCTGGAGGCACTATGCGATCCGCAGTTGTATCTCATGCTGCTTTCAGTCGTTCTGGTTCGTGATTCCTTTCGTAACGTCAGCAGGTTTTTCAGTCTAACCATCTGCCTCGCCAGCTGTCTGTTTCTAGTGGTGTTGTTACCACGTACTCGGCCACCCTGATCGCCAACTTGGGCTATGATTCAAAGCATGCCGCATTGATGAACATGCCCTCTGGGGCTGTTAGCATCTTCTTTACTCTTCTTGTTGGGTTTGGCGTGCGGAAGCAGTCCCATCGTTGGGCGTGGATCATTGGATGTATCATCCCTGCGTATGTGCCCATTCTACGGAGAGTGCCTTTATTCTTTCCTGTAAGCTAATATGCCGCTCTTTAGCATCATTGGTGGCGCTCTGATGTCCTTTTTGCCGGCAACAAATCGAAGCGGAATCCTCGCCGGTCTTTATCTCGTCAATGCTGTGGTAGCACCTCTGGCGATATTCTACAATGTATGTCCGATACCACCCTCCACATCGCGATCAAACCTTACATGGTTCGCTAATTTGTCTCTTTAGTGGACTGCTGCCAACTTCGGAGGTGCCACGAAGCGCGCATTTGCAGCTGCCATCGTAAGTGGCAGCTTTTCACTAGGCAACATTATAGGGCCGCAGACGTTCCAGTCTCGCGATGCGCCGGACTTCCGTCCAGCGAAACTGGCTGTGATGGGCACGCAGGCCGGGTGTGCGGCCACGACGTTTGCCCTCTTCCTCTATTATGCGTGTCAGAACAAGAGACGTGGGAGCCGAGCCGAGCAGAGGGAAAGCGAGTTCCTCTCGCCTGAGGCTTGGTCAACGATGACTGACAGGGAGAACAAGCAGTTCCGATATATCTACTGACTTAGATACTAAAGTTCTGTTACCTACCCTGTAGCAATTCAATCTCACGGTGATCTCCATATGACTGAGGCGATTAATGATCTATATTACCAGTAAAATACAATGAACACTGGAACATAATACAGAGTAGGGAGCAATATTTGCTACTGGCGTGAAGATAGCCTGCAGAGAGGGGAAATTCATTTTGCGAATGACCATTGGAGGTCTCAAACCGGTAATCTCACTTCATGTTACGAAAAGCTTCTCTCCAAATCCTTGACTGGTGATCCGTATTTTTACTAATATGGCCTCACATAATCCTACACACGAGGGCAATTGTATGACATTTTCAGTCGGCTATGTTCTCTCTCATCTAATGTAAGTGCTTTCATCGTATACTTAGACCACCAGCATGCCCATGTTCAGCCCATTACTGGCCCCCACCAGTCATTTCATATCCCAGCAGATCGATCGCTAGTCACGGGCCGTAGACCGGCCCGTACTGTCACTCATTTTCCCGCACTAGTGTAAGAAGTGTTAGCTCGGACTTGTTGGTTGCTAGTCGTTCCAATAAGCCTTGATCCAAGGCATCTCCTGTGCCATCAAAAGTTCCATACGTAATGCCACTTACCTATTGAAATGTCAGCCAGTAGACCCAAAATTACTAATACATGCCTTTTCTTTTCCTTTTCTCTTTTTTGCCTTGTTTTTCAAGTAAGCATGTTAAAAGGCTGGCCAAACAAACGCGAGACTGAGACAATTGCCTCGTATTTACCACTGCATTCCAGCCCCTCCGAAATTACGTATTTACATTAGAGACAGACATCGATACTGTATACATCAGTACATGTGCTGTTACTCCGCGGCTCCAAGATTTATCGCGTGTCCGTTTGCTCAGACAAGCCAATGACCATCATGGAGGATGAACCCATACTGATCATAGGCGCCGGCATCAGCGGCCTCGTCCTAGCGCAGTACTTACGCAAGGAGAAGATATGCTTCCGAATCTTTGAGCGGGATAATGACTTGGCTACCCGCGGAGTAGGCTGGGGCCTGACCCTCAATTGGTCACTCCCCGCCCTCCGCTCACTCCTACCGGAAGATCTGGTCCTCAGGCTGCCCGAGACCTATGTCGACCCTGCCTCCGTCCAGGCTGGCGCTATCTCGACATTCCCGTTCTTTGATCTGAGTACCGGCGAGCGCAAGTTCCAGACCCCAAAGGCTCCTGAATCCCAGCGCATCCGGGTGACTCGTCAGAAGCTGAGGGCGCTTCTCGCTACTGGCATCAACATCGAGGTGAGCTTAGGAATGATGCCCCCCTTTCTCCCATTGCGTATAACCACATACTCGAGTCTTGGTTTCTCTGACTGTCTGGTCAACAGTGGGGAAAGGTATTTTCAAAGTTCGATCAAAATCGGGATTCAGTGACGGCTACATTTGAGGATGGGTCTACTGTCACGGGCCGCTTGCTTGTCGCTTGCGACGGGGCCAACTCTCGAGCACGACTACAGCTATCTCCAACCCAGAGTGAAATGTACCGTATACCAGTTTGTCTCATGGGAATGAAACTACAGCTTGGTCACGAAAAAGCCCAACTGATACGAAACCTCGATCCATTTTTCTTGCAAGGAACAAGTTCTAAGAACGACTCATTCATATACATTAGCTGTTCGTTTGATCCCCCATCGGCTCAAGTTTTCCAGTGAATACTAATTATGTACAGTGCTCGACGCACCCCAAACCAAGGGCGATCCGACTGGACCATACGTCTATCAGATGTGCGTCTCCTGGCCTTACCGCAATGGGTTCCTCGACAGTGAATCCCCAATCGATATACCAAGTTCAAATGCGGAACGAATCCAGTTGTTTCAGCACATCTCATCTACATGGGGAGAGCCATTTCTTACTATCGCTATGGAGGTGGCCACTGATCAAGAGATCAAATCTCTTGAACTGCGTGACTTTCCGCCGCCTCGCGGATTTCGCACAAATGGGCGCGCCGTACTGATGGGCGATTCATTTCATGCGATGGCTATGTGTGAGTTAAAACAAGAAACAGAGGAGAGTTACCCGGTTTCTAACAATTGGCAGACCGAGGGGAGGGTGCAAACCATGCCATTGTCGACGTGCTTGATTTCGTCGCGTCGGTCGGTCCTAAATTAAGCAATGAAGATGCTGGCTATGAGTCTTTAGTCGAGTCTCTCAATGCCTACGAACGTTCTGTCGTTGACCGCGCCCGGCCTGGCGTGCTGGCGTCTCGCCAAGCGTGCCTAGACGCTCACAAGTGGTCACGCATTACGAGTGAGAGTCCACTCCTGACCAGGCGAGAAATGAAGCTCCAGTTTGATGAGGCCAATTTGTCCCGCCCATAATATGACGGGGGATAACAACATTTATTGTCGTCAATGTCGCGCTATGGCGTGTTGTCCCAATCCCACATGGAGGTGTGGTGAGAGCACAGATGGAAATGAACCCATTCTGAGATGTTTTGTGGGTTGTTGATCATTGATGAATGATTTCTTGGTTTAGATGGTCATAGAAGTTAAGCAGTCTAAGGCCTAGAGCTGCATTAACATAAAACTTAACTATGTCTATCATCTGCAACTGTTCTTCGGTAGAGCCTCTGATCCCATAAACCGGCCATGTTATCATGATATTGGCCTAAGAGCTAACGTGAAGCAAAATCTATTTAGATATCCCCTTAGGTACAGCATTCATACTACTCTAAACTCTGGTGTCATGCCAAACTGCCGACCGTTTGAAGTCCGATAGAGGCCAGATGAGGCGAAATAGCCTCACTGTCACACCTGTATAGTGTACAATCATCACTCCAGTGCAGCCAATAGGTTAGTATCCCTCACGTGGGCCCATTTCGAAAAACCAGATTTTGTATCCATTGCCAGCTTGAAAACCATGAACTTGAACCAGGTTGGACGGGCTGTAGGTCATCGACAGGATACCCAGCCGGCCGACTACGTTCAATGATTCTGGACAACGATTCCGTATCCGCGATGCTTGTTTTCATCAAACCCCACGGTGTATACAAGGAAGAAGCACCGGATCCAACTTGCCAACTGAACGGTTGCGAAAAACTCATTCTAACTAGATCTTTGATAATGATCATCCTATCTTCAGCGCTCAACGTTTGGAGAGGCTTGTCCTGATATCTTAAGAGGGTTTTGATAGCAATCGATTGGACGTATTTATTGTCATCATTCAGTCGGCCTAGAAGTGCTTGCTGGACTTTGGATTCGCTGGCGTGGCTGCTAAGCGCCTGAGCCACGCGCCATCGTACCCGAGAGCTTTCGTCGGTCAGTCGGGCCAGGAGAGCTTCCTGAACCTCGGGCTCGCCAGCCTGATTGCCGAGCGCACGAGCGGCATAGTTTCGTACGCTAGATTCCTTATCATTCAGTTGGGTCAATAATGCCTGTTGAACTTTGGGCTCGCCAGACTGGCTCCGCAGTGCATAAACAGCAGCCCATCGAACACCACGGTCTTCGCCATGGAAAAGTCGGGCTAGGAGAGCTTTCTGGACCTCGCACTCGCCAGCCTGACTGCTGAATGCATCAACAATAGCTTTTCGAACGTGAGGGTCTTCGTCATCACAAAGTCGGGTTAAGAGAGCTTTCTGGACCTCGCACTCGCCAGCCTGCCCGCTGAGTGCATCAACAATAGCTTTTCGAACGTGAGGGTCTTCATCATCACAAAGTCGGGTTAGGAGAGCTTTCTGGACCTCACGCTTGCCAGCCTGACTTCTGAGGGCACTAACAGCAAATTGCCGACTATAAGGGTCTATACCATCTAGCCGGGCGAGGAGTTCCTGTTGAACCACGGGCACACCAGAATGGCTGCGCAGATTTCTAGTAGCAAGCCATCCAATATCCTTGTCTTTATCACCTAACGCGAGAAGAAGTACCTGCCGCACTTCAGGATCGACACATCGGCTGTTGAGCGCGATAGCGGCAGCATGTCTAACGGTAGGATCTTCATCACCAAGCCGGGATTGGAGTGCTCGTTGAACCTCAGTGTCGCCCGCTTGGCTGGTGAGCGCAGTGGCAGCAGAGCGTCGAACTCCGACGCTTTTATCACCTAGCAGGGTTAAAAGCGCCTGCTTTACTTCAGGATCGCCAGCTTGGCTTCTCAGAATATCAATGGCAGTCTGTTGAATATCAGGGTCTTTGCCACCAAGACGGACTAAAAGCTCTTCCTGTACTTCGGGGGAGCTGATGTGCATGGTGAGTGCATCAGAAACCACTGCCCTCGTGAGACGATCTTCATCATCCAGCAGAGTCAGGAGTTCCTGCTGGAGGTAATTAGATATGCCCACCCTTGAATTGATGGCTACAGACAAAGAAGATAGCAGGTTGGTATCCGATCTCCCTTGTCGGAGGACATCAACAAGGACATGGTCTGGGAACCCCACCTCGCTTGCCAAGCATGCGTTTGAAGTGAATCTAATCTCGAAAATAATCCATTCTTTCAATCTTCGTTCTAGGTCCCGTCTCGACGCTAAGTCTTTCGAGACCTCGTTCAGACAGTGGATAACAAGTCGTTGATGCGCTGGTCCTAATACATCCCGCGATTGATATTCGTCTATCGCTTGAAAAAATTTGGCTACCTCGTCGCCGTCCCGCTCATCATCCAGCAACCCGGCAACAAAGCGCCAGAAGATGTCATATCTTGGATTGTACTTGTGTTGATCAAGGAAACTCGAGACTTTCTCATATTTCTTGCCTTTGCCGTGTTTTAGATCCACGTAGCAGACGGAATCTTCAGAATTGGATATCCACTGGCGTACGAAATAGCTTGCAGCAAAGAATTCTTGGAAGGTTAGGTGCAAGAAGTGGTAATTGACATCTGCACCCTTCCTATGTGGATCTGACGTTCGTAGAAATGAAAGATGTCGAATGGATTGATCAGGTAATATCCTGTCATTTTCGCCTTTAAAGGCCCCTAAGATAGCATGACGTGTCTTCGGCTCGAACTCGATCATGTCGTTCACCATGCCAGTAAATGCAAGCTTTTCAAGCAGTTCTACCTCATATTTGAAGCAATCCTCTAGCTGTAAAGTCCCCATATGATTTGCAACATATGCTTTTCGTTTCCCTAGACGGACGCTATCCTTGATCATCAATTGTTGTTGGACGTATTTGTAGAAGTTTGTCATACTTTGCAATGTAGGGTTGATGCCTGCGTTGTCACTCCATATATAGCATAAAGCATCGAGAAGGATTGGGATCCGAGCAAGGCCCTGAACAATCGCGAATCTCTTGAGAAAACTTTGTATCTCTTTTATATCCTTTGGGGTTGGTAGCACCATTGCCAGATATTCAACAACTTGTTTGGGTTGAAATCCTACAGTCTCGAGTTCGAGATCAACAGGATTATCAACGTCGAGGGGCAGTTGAGCATGAGGTCGGCATGTAATAATGGCGTTAGCTTGATTGAGCAGCTTAGCCAGCAACTCATGCATAGGTTCATCAGTGTTCCATGTCTCAGTGACTTCGTCGAGGCCATCAAGAATAAACAAGGTCCTGCTTCGGGTACCCAATCCCGATCCAAGTTGGACCTCCGCTCCGAGGCGTTCAGCTAAAATATGACCAAAGCGATGATCGTCTCGAAAGTAATGGTGGTGGAAGAAATCCACCAGAGTGAGGCTATCGCGTGACCAAGTCTTGAGTGTCCGCAATGGTACCCATAGAACCCTATCAAACAGATCGTTCCACAAGCTTCGTCGCTCGAATTCAAAAACGATTTTCTTACAGAGCGTGGTCTTTCCAACACCGGCGCGCCCCCTGATTAAGATTCTTCTCGGCGCTTTCGTGAGACCTTGAGAAGTGTGACGTGAGTCGAACATTTTAGACAGATCGACACAGCGATCTCGGCCAATCTCATGCACTCTGAGTCGGCTGAAGATATCGAAAGGTGAAGTTTCGTTATTGCTAGGTGCTGTATTGTTCTCTGACGTTTGTCTGACTACGGCTAGGTTAATATAGCATTTAGTCATATCTAGGTTCTCGCCAGATAATCTTTGAATTCGAAGCCTTGCGTCGCTGTAATGATGGATACTCAGGAACTGATCTACCTGGACGATTGAAATGTTTTGTTTTTCGCGTGCATATATAGCTTCGTGAAGCTCGAGCATCGCCTTGTCCTTTCCATAGCCGTACATTAATGGCAGATACGCGTCAACAATCCCCAGTAGAGCATAGGCTTGATCCTCGGGTCGTGTGGTGTCCCGGCCGTTCATCCAAGCACATCGATCCATAGTCGCAAACTTCGATAGGGGGCAGCTACCATGGAGAGCTTCGATAGGGATCTTGGTGATATCGTGGATCAGCTGTCCAAGAGACTCCTTGTCGCCGAGATATTCGCTTTTTGAGGTGAAAAATTTAATCTTTGCAGGGGCAAGAAGCTCCTGAAGTGTCCAACCGCGAGTGAACCACTTGCAATTGCGGAACGAAAGTTCCCAGCCTGGCTGGCTCTGATTCTCAGAGACATCCGACAGGTAAACATAACAAGCCTCTGAGTCCCGGTACCACTTGAACATGGAGTTGAGGGATTCACTGAGCTCGGCGCTGCTGGATTTGTCTATACAGCACGTGTCTATCCAGAAGTATTCCAGGCCATCTCGCTGCGCTTGCTCTCCACAGAACCGAATCTTGTCGTAACCGGCTTTGCCTTTGCCTTCTTTATTAATCACATCTTCGAAACTGACTTCTGTGTCCTTGGGACCCCAAGTGTGTGATAGAATCGCATATGGGGGGATCTTTTCTGGGGCGTCAACCAGACAGACATCTCCGTTATTCCATTTGAGGAGCCGCATGGCATCATTCGAGCGAGGGTCAGGTGTTAGGCGGCTTGGATCGCGAGCTAATCCCGGGGAAAGTTTGGCCCCAAGATCTTGTCGTCGCGTCTCACGATAGATAATCTTTTTATGGTGCCACAGCCCTTGGTGATGAGATCAGAGAAGCTGGATTGAAGCGGAGGCAGCTCGCTGCATGATGTGTTCATGGCATCATGCACGTGATCGAATAATCTGCCTTACCTGTCTGCCTGCTGACCACTGTTTTTCTGACGTGTTCTGACGTGAACGAATCAGATTCCGCAGTGCCAATGTACGTATTTTGGGATCTTTTTGGGATTTTTATTGAGCTGCATCCATCGTGCTCTGTATGATTCTGTATGCGACAGAAGAGCAAATCAAGAAGGACCAAAAAGAGATGACAGAACAGAGGACATAGAGAGAAATTGTGGTTGATATTCCCATCCAGCTCGTAAATGGTGCAATTCCCATAACAATTTGAAAGATAATTCAGCTAAATATGAGCAGAATTATGAAGTCCCATGGAGTAACGCGGCAGCATTCGAAATTTACTCTTGATTACTTTGTATGGCGATATGAAGAAGAAACCTCAAATCACATTGCATTGAACAATAATATCTAGAAACCAGACAATAAACTCCCATTCACCAATAATAATACAAAAAGACAAATCAGCTCCGCTCAAATCAATTCTTCTTCGACCTTTGCTCCCTCTTCTTCTTATCTGCCGTATTCTTCCGAGTACGACATTGAAGGCAAGTTCGCAACAGGTGACCCTCTCGACGGGGGTCCGCGAACTGGTCGACCGCTTGGGTCTTGCTGCAGCCGGAGCAGTATGCGTGGCCAGGCTGGACGGGTTCCGTCGGAGATGCACGCGAAGAAGAAGACGTGCTCTCCTTGGAACCCGACCGTGGGCGCTTGGCAGGGCGCTCCTCCGGCTGTCGACCCTCGCCGACACAGCTGGCGCATCTTCGCGAAGGTCTGGACCCTACCTTCGGGAAGCCTTCGACCGGCCGCTGTGCCTTGCAGACAATGCACGGCCTTTCGGCCTGGGACCCAGTGCTGCTCTGGTCCCCCCTTGGTTGCTGAAAAATCAGGTTAGTTGTCTTGTTGTTAAAGAGGGAGTTTGGAATAAGACTTACATGGTAGGGCCTCTTCTTTTGCCGGCACGTGCCGCAACTCATATAGCGGCTCAGCTCGGTTGGGATGCTACCATCCCGAGAGAAGCTCATTACTGGCTGGTCCTTGCGACAGCACGAACAGCGAAAGGTCTGGTCGGAACCAGACCCGGCAAGAGGAGCGACGACGGGAGGGCACGGGTTGACACTCTCACTAGGAGGTCCAACGTTAGCACCCAAGTCCTCGTCTGTGCCGCAAAATAATCGGCCCCAATCCACATCCCTTTCCGATTGAGGGACATATTGATACCCGATGACATTGCTGTCACCAGGATCTAGATTGTCCAAGTAGAATGAAGGGGTGGGCGCGTCGGGAGGAGGCGTGCTTGAGGGGGAGGACAAGACTTCTAGGGAGCTTTCCCTCTGGCGAGAGCCAAGTGATCGCTCCGAAGATTCCCCCTGACAAGGTTGGAGGTGATCTAGGGCGGGATTGGGAGGCTGCTGAGAGAAGTGGCCTTGGGGAAGGGGGTGGGGGAAGGGGGTATTGGTGGCTGGAAGATGTGGGAGGCAAGGATCAAAGGGGCCTCGAAGGCCCGGTGCAGCTGGCCCCATGTCATATTGGGGCAAAATCTCACTTTGGAGGAAACTATTGGGCTGGCTCATGGGCTGGACCATGGGCATAAGGGTTTGTGGGAAGAAGGTGCCATGCGTCATGGCGGGTTGGGGATAGTTAGGGTCCTCCCAAACCTCGGAAGGTTGGGTGGCCATGTTTTTTTGATTGAACCCGCTTTGTTGGGCTTGGGAATTTGGGTGGGAGAGATGGGAGGAAGTCACTCCAGCGTTATCAAGATACCACCCACCTTGGGCTTGGTGGGTAGCCTGCTGTGAGTGTGTGTCGTAGTTATCCATTGCTTTAAAGACTATTGATTAGGATGGGAAAGCTTAGACAAATGTTAGGTGACTGTGACTAGGGGGTAATTACTTTATAATTCCAAAGAGATCTTATGTTTCTTTGGGAGTGTGTGTAAGTTGGGTAGGGCTCTGGGCGATGGGTTCCTATGGTTTTGACAGCGAAGGGTAATCCTTTGGTCACTAAGGAGAAGAGAAACTTAAGTGAAGGACTTAACTGAACAAGGACGCAGATGGTAATGATGGGCTGGAGGAACGAAAAGAGACAGGGCCAGGAGAAACCAGGGATTTAAATAGATTCGCAATCAACAACTGGGAGAAATCTCCTCAATTTTTTCTTCAATTTTTTCTTCAATTTTTCAAATCTAAGTTTGAACGTGGCTCATCCTCTACACTTCAGCTGGGCGTAGGCGAAGGGGCAATATCTTCACAAGTTTTCGAGTCACGATGGTACCTATGTGATATTGCGGGGAGCATGTAGTTTGACTTTCAATAATTACACTATGGAAGAATCCAGGGGAATAGGGTGAACTCTCTGTCCTTCCACCAGTTTCGTTTCTGATTTCACCTCTTTCCCCACGGGGAGCGAAGAGACTGTCATCTTGAAACAGCGGACACCAGCGGCCCTTGTTTCGTCTTTCCTCTCGACAATCAGAATCAGATTTTTAACAATTTTCTGCGTTCCGGAGGGACGAAGAAGATGGAAGATCCTTGGACGACAACTTCCCTCGACCACGGCATCTGTTAGCAAGGGCGTGAGTGGCAACCATGACAAGTCTATCCATTGCCCTTGAAAAAACTTGACAAAGGTTCCGAGAAAAATGGGGCCGAAAATGGCAGCCTAGCTATAATGTGCTCATGAGGCTATAGCAAACTCTCTTGTAAACCTGCTTAAGGGGGTATCGTCGGGGAGTGTCTTGGTTCTCGTTGCGGGTTCTTGGCTGTCGTGGGGGTGTGGAGGTCTGTGCGTTCAAATTAAGTTCTGCCCTGGCCGTGCTGTTGCCATTTCGCGTTGTGTTTGCGGGGGTTGTTACGCTAGTGGTGTCTGCAAAGCTTCTTTTGACCTCCCTCAAGACGAAAGTCAGCAAGGGTGGGAAGCAGTGACACCGACTAGGTTTACCACGGGCTATTTTTTTCTCCCGGCTTCCGAGTGTACACGTCTAGTCTCGGTCTTGTTAATATGACGGTCGAAAATCTCGGGAGAATTTTGTTGTCACGAGAGTATCAAAGCGTGAATGCATGACACTAGGCGCCCACTCCACCCCTAGACCGACATAGGAACTCTTCGAGAGATGTCTTGAGCATTTCTCCTGAACTCTCACGTTCGCAGTTGCCTAAGTGGCAAGAGGCACCCCTTCGTGTGGATCGACACTGTCTACGTACCTTCTAATTTACAAGTATTGAAGTTGGTCGAATAGTAATTGATACCCCATGGGGTCCGCAGACACGCCCAGGCCCGCCAATCCGTAGCCTTGAATTCACACAAATCAGTTTTCGAAGGCAGGAGAGACTATTTCCAGATTTCTGTGCGAGAGAAAGACGAAGAAGAGAAAATCCCCAGCTTGATACAATCAAATGAGTGACTGTCGCTGTATTTTCTTTTACGGAAACGTTGTATTACTCATGAACACTTCTCTTTTAACATTTCTCTTTTGCCAACTGACATTGAAAAGAAATTTCAGTTTCTTTTAGATTCTATGAAACTTAATACCAGCGATGAGAGTTTGTTAGAGAGCGGAGAACGGGCTTCATCTCTGGCTTTCTCGAGTATGAGCGACCCTCCCAGGCATCCACACCATCGATCCTTGCCCTCCTTGCTCCGTCCATGGTGAGTTCGGACTATGCACGACGAATTTTTCACCTTTGAGCTCCTGCCCATGCGCGGGAGAGTTCACATTGGACACACCCCGGAAGACACCCCTTAGCGTAGGTTTAGAAGGGATGTCAAGACAATACCCAGATACAGAGGCAGGTACATCCATACATAGCATTCATTCTTGCTTTCTGATTCGAAAAGAAACTTCGAGTGACACATGAGATGCATTAGGCACTGCTTAGCTCAATTGATACCTGAAAGAGAAAAAAAAAAAAAAAAAAAAGGGTGCTTAGGCGGGTAATCAAGCGCACTGCCACTTTCTCCAACCTTGCTGATCCCCCGCAAGTTGGAGATGGAGCATGGCTTCCCATTCCCTTTACAAGAAATCAACTGTTGGATCGATTACCTGAAAGAAATCCCAAATTCATAGTCGTGAAATAGCTTTGCAGGCAACAAGTCGGACGACAATATCAAGCTGCATACTGCACCACGCGGATGAGCATGTGCCTAAGACTCCGTCTCCAGGCAACTATGCACCGAGTAATTCCCCGAAATAAACGCTTTATGACTACATTACACGCCCTCTCACCCCATGGGGGACAAGAGAATCCTCTAGAATTCGTTGTGGGCTCAGCTGCTAAATCTAAGCTAGAAGCCTCCTTCAAGAATCCACGCATTGCTCCGTAGCTCGGCGCCCATCCGCAGCTGAGCGCCTCTGAAACTTAGAGAAGGGAGTCATCCTTGAACTTAATCCAAGAACTAGGGGTGTGGAAAAGAAGTTTTTGCAATCAGATACTAAACCTTCGGGTTTCGGAGTCTTCTTGACACGCAAAGCGGAACTCACCTGGATGAAAACATGGTTTTAGACAAAGTGGCCGTGGCTTATTATAGCTCAGAAGTCTCTGAAACCTACAAAATTTCGTCATTTTTTATCTTTCAATGAAAAGTTTGACATCCGAGAAGGAACTTGTTGCAATCATCTGCTGAGTCCCAATCGCCTATAAATATCTCCTGTCACTCCTCCTAGTTTGCCTTCTTCTATTCATCCCAGTCATCATCCTCGTTTCTACTCGTGTTCTAGGTAGTATTTAAGTGTAAAGTGTCGTGTCATTGCCCATCTTCAAAACTGACCTTGTCTCTCAGAGTTAGTCATCCATACCTCTACACCACTTACACACGACCCTTCATAGACCACGCTCTTTAGACTTTCAAGGTAATTCTAAGGCCCATCTCATTACACTTCCATGTCTGATTTGAGAAACTTACGTCAACACATCAGTAGCCATGGAGTCACAAGGACCAATTCTCCCGGTATTCGCTGGGAATTCTTCGACACGATTCTTCTCTTTTCCCCAGCCTTGCACGAAGCATTGTCGATCAGTGCTTCCTCGCGGTAGATTATGCCTGTACTGTCTTGGTACGACTACAACACCCCCTCCCATCAAAGTTCAAAGCTAACCCATGTGCCTTTGGCTGAGTAGGATCGGCTATCGAAGCCTTAGGACCAAGAACCGCGACTTGGCCAGTGGGCATGGCACAGGGCACTGTTGTCCAGCTGCCCATGGCATGGGACACGCGTGTCCAACCGAATTCCGGGCTACGTGGTGAGTACATCTGGTTCATCCCAAATTCAGTCACGTCACAAAATGTCACCGTCCCCATCACAGCCGGCCACTCTGCCCCTTCGCAAGACCCTTTGCTTCCTGACACTAACCATGAGAATTTCCTAGACCCTGCTCACGACTCCTTTGTGGGAGCCCTGGAGCCAATGGTTCCTGGCCCACAATTCGGGTTGACTGAGCGCTTGGAGGCACCGTCCACCTCGTTTTTGGATTTCCCTGGGGTCATGGCTCCAATGGAAGGCGGTGGGGTTGGGCAGGTACCTGAGACTCCGTCTCCAGGTACCTCCAGCACTCCCTCCTTCGACGAGGAAGTCTCGCTCTGGTGCCCGGCTCTAATGGAAGGAGCTGTGGGTGAACAGGTACCTGAGACTCCGTCTCCAGGTACCTCCAGCACTTCCACCAGAGAGAAGAAGTGCTCGTCTTGCCGCAAGTGGGCACCAGAGCGAGACTTCCTCGCCCGAGGAGGGAGACTCGCCGCCACATGCAATCGTTGCCGGGCAAACAAGCGGCAGTACCACGTAAGTCTCGCAACCCTCACTCAGAAACACAGCGGCTAACAGTAGGCAGAAGGGGAAGCCTAACCCGGGTGGCACTCCCCCCACCACCCAACGGTGCACGGCGTGTCATGAAGAAGCTCCCATCGGGGACTTCGACGCGACGGCCACGTGCTCGCGGAAATGCAGCCGCTGCCGTGGGGAGGGTCGTCCCGTGGCTCCTACTCTGGAGAGAAGCTCACGTCCGCCGAGTAAATGCTCGCGAATGCCAACGGTACCGGGCAAGACTCGATGCTCCGGGTGCGGTAAGGCTCAGGACGACAGGCTTTTCTTCAATTATGAGTATGACCCTCCCCGCAAGCGCAACACATGTGTTCCTTGCCGTCAACGGAAGCGCGAGGCAGACCTAAGAAAGAGGGAGAGTCGTGAGGCGGTGGAGTAGGAAGAAGATGGGGGAGGGAAGGGGAGCTACTACTTGTTTTTTTTTATTGTTTTTTTATTGTTTCTTTTTATTGTTCCATTATTTTATGTTGGTCAATCCGTATTTCCATAGGCGAAGAATGCCTAATACCTTATGTCGAAGCTTAAAAATAAAACGCATGTGAAAGGTTGAGCTATATAATACCAACCTGTAGGGGGGGGTTTTGTCACTTTAGTCTATTGTTAAGCGCGATTCCTCTCTCCCTTCCCCTGTATTCGCCCAGGGTTATTCTCCCTTATACAGAATGTCTTCAGCTAATTTCCCACTATCTCCAAATTGCATCTTCTCCCTAAGTAAATCTTTAAATTTATCCAGTGCTGGAGCAGTTTCTGGGGCTTGAACCAACTGCTGAAGCTGAACAAACCCATCCCTATCCGTATGGAACAACTGAAATTCGCCGTGGCTCCAGCTGCGAAGGAGGTCGTGCTCGGTGCCATCAAGAACGGCTTCGTTCAAAACAGTGCTGGTATCAAGTTTCCATTGTACAACCGCCTGGACAGGATCTGTGCTGTCTGTCCAGACCGTGCTCCATGACCTAAGACATTTGGATGACTTCTTGTCTTTAGCCATGGCAAGACGCACAGTAAAATGGATCTCAGTCGGTAAAGCTCTTGACTGTGTTAAAAGATTGGCTCGCGAGCTTTGGCCCAAGATATACCAATACCAGCTCGGAAAAGTTGCAATGCCTGCACGCGTTAGTAACGCTTCTTCTTGTAGGACGTGGCGAATAGGGGTAAAGTAATACCTGAATGTGGCCGTGCTGAGAGTGTCCGCGTCTCCTTGAATGTTCGGAATACTTTATTTACTTTAAAGTCCCATTCTAGAAACTTGTGCTTCAGGTGCCGGACAATCTCGTGCTTTATGAACTTGACTCTGACTTTGTCACGTAGCATGCCGACCATCCAAAGGAATGTCATCATACCCAGAGCAGCGTCACCGTTCCCCCCAACATCACTATGTGATCCGAGAAACCAGCACTGGTGGATACGCGCCTTATTCTGGGCAGCCTCTTGCCATAATATAGGCCGAAAGGTTCGACGACTCTCATCCAACGCCAGCGCCTGAAAGGCATTTTGCACACATTTGGGCACTTCTTTGCCGACAAATGAGAGTTGTCGTGGTGGGATTTGAATTCCGATGCCAAGGGAGCTAACAGTATCCCAAACAGCACAAGCGTTGATTTCGATTGAGTGAAGCAAGCCCTCCTCCTGGAGAGCCTCCTTCTCAGCCTGGAACTTCGCTGCGACGCCAGGCATTTCTCGATGCGACCAGAGGGTGAAGAGGCCACGAAGATAGTAGAGATGCTCTTTCTTCAGAAGACCAGCGTCGCTAATGAAGGCAGCAAGGCATTGGACAGCGAAAGCGCCCCGCGAATACCCAACCAGGACGGTCTCGTCCCAGCCTCTGTCAAAGTTGTAGTTGTGAGATAAGAAGCTGTATGCGTTGCGTATCTTGGCCGATATTCCTGGGGTTTCTTAGCTTTCCGTTAATAGATAGACAGGGAGAACTCTCACCTTTTCCAGTTGCTCCGTCAAAAAGGCGCGCCGGCCAGCTTGTCCCGTTGCCCACACCGCTATCATAGTATACAATTTGCAGACAGCCCTCATCGTCAATAGGGCTCAGGCACCGGGCCAAGGTAGCAACATTGGTCAGAGGCCTCGTCTTATTGACACCATCCTGCCGTGTGCCGTCGCAAAGAACAAAAAGCCTCTTTTGAATCTGCTCTGCCCTATGGGCGCCTGAATTAACTTCGTGTGTTTCCATCGTTGCGAGTTCCTCGGCGTTTGGTAGCGGGGTAAGCTAAGTTGGATTCTTCTGGTGCCACCTCAAAATGCTGCAGAGATGCAAGACAATACTTAGTAAGTTAAAGTCCGTTCTGGGTTGGTGTCACCCATTTCTACCCAACGCGTCGTTGTGGCCTAAGGGGCATGCACGCCACATGCAACCTCGAAGGTACATGTACATAGCCTGCCATCTGACGAACCTCCGGATTAGGAGAGCACATACTATTCCACCAGCTTCCTTGGTAATTATTCCTGGTCGTGTTGGAATCACTTCCGCTCATACCCCAAATCTTGTATTTAAGAATATTTTGAAAGGAGCCAGGCCATCTTTTAGCTCGAGGAGGCCTTACATCGTCACTAGACCTGAAGTGGCCAAAGGTAAACGGCTTTCGGGAATGTCAGTCAGATATGATATTGACCGGTTAAAATGATGTGGATAGTAGCATAGGCGTTAATGGTCCTATTACCACTTCCACCGTCACCTTACGTCACGTCGGAATGGCTTTGATCCAAGAATCGGGCAGAACACACACACACAATCGGTCTGTAATCATACGGTTGATGCGCCCCAGTCCCATAATGTCAGAGTCGTATTATGGCTGTTTATGCACTTGGTCATGTGTACTTCTTGACCAATCCCAGCAGCTTGCCCCGTAATGTCAGAGTCGTATTATGGCTGTATATGCACTTGATCATGTGTACTTCTTGACCAATTCCAGCGGCTTGCTGGTGGATTACTTTTCTTTTAGATCTATATTGGCTAGAGGCTTTACCCTCCAACAACAATCAAATTAAATATTAAGGCTATTGGTCTAATCTATTCGATTGATGTACCATTTCCCTGAAAATTATCGCCATCACCAGTCTTCATCGCCAGTCGTCAAACATGGCTCGCGATATAGATCTTCGAGACAAAATATCTTGCATAGAGGAGAGCTTGAGTTTTGTACCCCACGACATGCTCAAGAGCCTTATAACACAAGAAAACGTGGAGGAAGTACTCAAGAATACAAATCCTAAGGCACATGAATTGGACACTTGGTCAGCTGCATATAGGGGCAAATTAGCTTCATTTGTCATCAAAGATGCGAACGCAATCTTTGCGATCCTTCTTATGATGAAAAGGCCGCGTCGTATTGAGGAATTCTTTGAGAATAGATTAAAGAATGAGATCCTCCCAATTTCAGTCATTGGAAAGGAACGGCCCCCGAAAGTACAGTCGAGAAACATGCATATGACCATGGCCGAGGACAGGCTCAGAAACACGTTTTTATCCAGTGTCTGGGAGCCGAGTGACATCCGCGAGTTCATCATCAAGCAGTGGATTTTCCTGTCCCCAGTTCTCAAACAGAGCGAGTTTGAGTTTGAGTTTAAGTTTGATTTCGAGATGACCTTACCATGGACTCCTTGCTATAGTCCAGTTGAGCCCATCCGAGGAGTGTACGCACAGGTTGAGAAAAGAGCCGTCCCGATTTCCCATTTCAATCTCACATGGGGTCAGGTACGTTAAGATGACCATCGACCTTTTAGACAGCTTATCCCTGTCAATCTCTTTATCTCATCTAACACCCTTGTTGTAATTAGCCCCCTCCACTTGATCATAACGAAAAACAGCATCTCATCGCGGTGAAGAAACTGACTGGTGGCCGCCAAGAAAAAAATGCCAAAAAGGAGGCCGACGCACTCAAATTACTGCGTACTATTCAGAGCGAGCACGTCATCAAAGGAATTATCTATTTCAAAAAACAGACAATGAAAGATAGCTCCCAGGTGAGCCACAGCTTCGTTTTTCCTTGGGCCGATAAAGGAAACCTCTAGACTTTTTGGCACTTAGAGTTCAAGGGGGAAAAGCCTGAATTGGGCAAGGACTTTCTCGTTTGGGCTGTTGGCCAGCTGTTCGGGCTGATGGATGCCATTCGAATGATGCATGATCTGGGACTTCGCCACGGGGACTTGAAGCCTGAGAATATCCTTTGCTTCCCAGACAGCTCCCAGCCTGGAGCAATTCCGGTTCGGTTGGTCATCACCGATGTCGGACTGTCCAAGGCACATGAAAAATCGACCTCTGAGCGGAAAGAGCAGCTCCGAGAAGCCACAACAACAACGGTTTCCACTACCCGATACCAACCTCCTGAATTAAAGATGCAGCGCACCGAGGATCACGTCTTGCCGCGATGCTTTGATGTATGGTCCGCTGGATGCATTTTCATGGAGTTTCTTGTTTGGATGTTGTACGGGAAAAAGGAACTCCTAACCTTCACTAGAAAGACAGAGTCAGTAGAGTACTGGGAGAAAGATGACAAATGCTTCAAGGTACGAAAGGTGGTATGCGAACAGCTCCATGCCATGACCCAAGACGAAAACTGCACCAATGATCCTGCCCTTGTAGGGCTCGCTGATCTTATTAAGAACAACTTTCTCATCATCGATGTCTGGAGCCTAGTACACGGAAGAGATAAGAACATAGTTTCACGAGTCAGTTTGACTAGAAATAAGTCATCCGCGTCGACGAAGCTAATGAAGACATCAAAAAAGTTGACGAAGAGGATAGCTAGGGTGTTGACGAATAAGCAGCGCAACTGCAGCGATACTCTCCAAGAAAGATACAGAGACACTTCAGAGCAAGCAACAGAGAATATTAGGAAAATCAAGACTGAGATCCTAAGCAGAACCAACGGAGTAGATTAGCCCTGCGCAAGGGGAGTATAGGGTAGCGTTTCATTCCATTTTCCGACATTGGTAATAAAATCGATAAAAGCCATATTAACTGAAAAGAAAAGAAATATTGCCGATATTAGTGCACATAGAGCGGAAGGGACTGAGGTTGGGTGCTCACCCGCGTAACATCACCCCATCAGTGCACTAAAATATTACTGCAGCTCTTCCCACTTGGTTTTACCAACTACATGGCCTCTACATGTCTTTGAAGGCGAAACGACTGTTTTAGTCGCCCTTTAAGCGAATATGCGGAGGAGAGTTCGAGTATAAAGTAAACACAGTAATGAAAGTTCCCAGACCCGACCTCTCAACACAATGAATTTTAAAGAGAATCTAAGATGAGTGTGTGGTAGAACTTAAGTAAATCTTTGCAATTCTCAAGAAAAAGCTACCAGTCACAGTTCGTCTGCTATGAACATGACTGATGAATGCATATACCACTCCCGTTCTCTGAGCGCGTGATAATTCCACACATGTTCCAAAAAGCGAATGCAGCATTCGACATCACACACACTGCTGTCTCTCATATCCTCCTCAAACATATTGGTAGTCAAAGCATCATAAGGACTGATTTTTACTCCGACTGCATAGGCTGCCTATCAATCTCTGGAAGGAACTCCATAGACGCCAACCTCGCTGTTTCTTTGGTTCTGTTCGTTGCTGCTGGTATCCACGAGGTGTGCAATATGCCGGATAATTGAGGCACTTGTCATAATAGCGCTGGAACGTCTCAACTAGCTCATCTGTTCTAGCCCTTTCAGTCTGATTCCGATTTAGCAAGCTTGTTTTAATAAAAATCAGCAATTCGTCGAAGAACTCGCTGCATTCCCTATGTCGGTGGAGCATATCAATTTGCTAGCAACATATCAGCCATAAACTATACTCTAGAGTGTGTTCATTCTTTTCAACAATTGAAAGAGTGCTCACCTCATATACCGCTGGCTTGACGCTGACTTCCTTGGTATGCCTATCGCGCTGAAAAAATCTATCTTCCCACATCTCTCCTCGCTCGTACTCTCCCTCTAAAGTACTTCTCCTGGTAGCAAATTCCTCCACCCCATCCCACCCCTGGGCATACCACGTCACAAACTGCAGTAAAACGCAACCAAGAGACCAACAATCGTAACGCTGCGAAATTCTCTCCTCTGGCGTAGAGTCGCACTCTGGCGCGCAATACGTATGTGTCAGGCCCCTAATACTGTTAGGCTGGATCTTAGATACAGATCCCTTGGTGCGAAAGTCAACAAAGCCGAAGTCAGAAATCTTGAGCATTCCAGCTGGCCGGGCCGTCTCATCTGTGGTTATGTTAGAATCCGTAAGGCCGTGACATTCGGATTCTTCATCGTCTCTAAACCACAGGATGTTCTCAGGCTTGATGTCGCCATGTCTTCCATTTGTGCGCTTGTCACCTTGGTTCTTAGGCGGGGGGTTGTGAATCAAATGCAAGCCCTGGGCTAGTCCTAGAAGCTCTCGAGCCATCCAACGGGCAAGGCCGCATCCCCGAGGCAGGCTTCCAACCTCTGGGAACTTGACTCTCCAAAACTCCTCCAAATTGGCGTCGGCCCAGGGGAATACCAAGTAGAATTTGCGCTGGTATTCAAAACTGCATAACAGGCGAATAAGGCGCTGCTGATATTTCTGCCCATAAAAGCGCTTGAGCTTGTCGATTTCGTTCTCTGCCATGTCGCGATCGGACGCTTCGTCGATGACTTTTAGGGCAAACGGAGTCTCAAAACAATCTACTTGCTATGAGTTTCAACGAAAGGTTAGAGATTGGAGGACAAACTTAACACAACAATTGTAGCCAAGCGGACAGGATGCAGGCAGCTTTTTACGTACCTGTACACTTGGGAGAGAACAGTTTCTATGGGCCGGGTGGATATAGACCTTTATCACCATGGAGAGTTTACTGTAGTAGAGGATATCGCCGGTGTCACCACTGGGCTTAGTGATTGGCAATATCTCGAACTTCAAGAATCTCCGGTGTTCGGCCTCAGCCGCTGAGGAGTTGCTGTGTAGGCAGTTAATGTTAAAGTGAGGAGCAATCACCCGCCATTGGTAACGATTGTAAAAATCATTTATCTCCATCCGGCTCCATTCATCACCGTGAGCTTTCAAACTCTCGACGACACGAGACTCGGGTACCTCGTTCAGTGACTTGCACAGTAGGACCATATTGTTTTTGGGGTCTCTCAGAAACGGTAGGTGGGCATCATGAATCCCCTCCTTCATCAAAGTATAGATGATCTTGCTCTGACGTTGCATGACTAAGATAATAAAAAGCTTGCGCCGAGTGAGCAAAATGTTTGATACGTCTTCGGGAGATATTCCGTCGAGTTCTGCTTGGATATTTTCCGTATCAACAATATCCTCTATCGCGGTTGCGGGTAGAAAGGAAGGTTGGAAGGTATCGTCGAGTATGACGCAATCTTGCAATCTGTTGTAGATTTGGTCGACCAGCGGTTCTCGTTTCATCACATCACCTTTGCCCACCTCTCCATTAGAATGGGAGATACTTGTTGTTGTAGTCAAAGGAGAAACGATGGAAGCGCTAGTATATTCGGACCTGAAAGAAGAAACTTCCCCATCAATCATCGGCGACTGTGTTGAAGACGCTGAAATGGGGCTTCTATCACGGAAGCCACCCAAGGCTGTTGAAGGATGAAGGCCAGTCGTTGAGACTGGAATGGGCAAAGATAACGAGCGGACGATTTGAGGCACATTCTTGAGGCTTTTAGCGATCTATGCGGAAACAAGTCAAAGATAAACAAGAGGGGGGAAAATGAACACGCAAGGCTGGGCAAGCGGGTGGACGTACGTTAACTCTATCGCCCGGTTCCTCGTCAGAGGCGCCGCTGAGGCCTGGAGCCTTCCCATGCAACTCTTGCCCACCGACTGCGTAGTTAGACTTTAGTTTATTCATGGGTAGTGCAGAATCAAGCTTGAAGATTTGTTCAAAAGGGACGAGGGAACGGGGAAACGCGGCGGTAAACGTCTAGTGCTATAGCTGTGCCCATCCCCCAAGCCTGGTTTCTTTCAAGACTCCCAATCTCCAATTAATAGACTACCCACCAACTGGCATCTCATGATAGAAAACGTTTCGAGGTCGCGTCCTCACGGGTTGGCCGAAGCGCACCAATATTGCAAGTGTCACGCGAACGCCATCATTGTAACCCAACGAACGCTACTACCAAAAATATGCCACACATTTGTGAGTCTGCTGATTTTCGTCGCAGCCTTACGCTGCGTTATTGTGCAATTATTACTAAAAGACATATTTTAGGGAGAGGCGGATCCGCAACGCGGCTGAGTGATGTCGCGGCTGAGGGATGTGGGTAGGGTGGAGAGCCAACAATCCGTGATAGCCTCGCCGATTATTTTACGCACAAGATCATGTTCTGCTCTGTTCTCACAGTCTGATTGGAAACAGAAGAGGCTCTTAGGTATCCATGGCTGCCATACCCCGTCGAAATCAACCATACACAACACGCAAACGGAAAGATGGTGTGAGTGAATTTCCTTCCTGCCTTCCTCATTCAAAATGAGAGCACCATAGTAACATCCCAAGCCCCCGAATTAAACTTAGTAAGATTACCCTTGGAAGAGGATATGGCTGACCAAAGAGTAGGAAATATCGACACTAGCATCAAGCTAATGCCGCCACAACGTACCATCCAACTCCTCACGGTGTCAGACACTGATCAACTGACTATGCAAGTCGGCTCAACTGAGCAGTTATATTGTTGATTATGATAGCTGAATCTGTCTGACCACCCTCTGGCGTAATGTGGTATCATCATGGGAATACAGCTTCAAGAGACGGCAAGGCTGAGATTGGGGGTCCCAGCTGCGATATACCCAACCACACTTAACTAGATTACGCAAACACATCATCCAATATTCTTCCTTCTTGCGTCGTGTGCCACCTTCTATTACGCGATTCTGATTTATAAACATGTATAGAAGATAACGCTTAGATATGAGTGCTTTTGGGTGCCCGTCATCTGATAAATGCTCACCCCCTCATAACTCCTTTCCTCAACCGTTACACTTCCTCCTCCATTTTCCACCCATATTCTCCCTTCCCTCCAACCCCTTCAACACTTCCACCGATATAAACTCCTCTCTACGCACATCACATATTGCGAGCTTGTTCGTTCAATTGGGTGCATTAGTCGAAATATAGGCTAATAGTCCTACGTTGACACACAATTTTAATTACCTATATCTTTTTCGACTCTGCTTCATCATGCCCACTGCAATGCCCGCTGCGCCAGAAAAGCCATTCAAAGACAAGGTCTCGGTAACTAAACCCGATAAAATGGAGGATGAGGGCCATGAAAGCCACCCTCGCAAACCTGAGCAGCCCACGCAGAAGCTGCCAGGTAAGGTTGTTCGAAGCCCGGACGCTCTGGCAAAAGCCGTACAGAGTCTCATTGGCGAGCAAGAGACTTTCAAGATCGAAGTCAGTTACATATCCAACAAATGATGGCAGAAAAAGATCTTACTATGCTAACACTTAATTTATCACTGCGCTCAAAAACAGATGCAGCATGGCTCGTACATTATTACTTCGTCTGTTAAATTTGAGCTTGTATGTTAATTCTTCAGCCTATAATTCCATCTTTGATCTATTTTAACATTAGCTTGAATATAGAAAGAACTTTTGGATTGCATTACTGTCAAATAATGGCTACTGAAGATTTGATTCATATTAGCTTCAAAGATTGGGGTCATTAAATTGATATAGTTGATTTCGTAATTCATAATCTCGATGATACTATGTGATATGCCCAAGATGTAGAAAGATCTTACCACACCGGAATCGGAAGGATAAAGTCGTAGGGAACACTGCAGCTTGTTTACGGCGATAAATCCGCCCCGCCACTTGGACCGTCATCCGATTCATCCAGGGAAGTTTAGTAATAGGGATGAATCTACAGTTTTAAGGATTCAGGATCTCGTTGGAGCGCCCAAACTACCAACAGATCTGTATTCTGCTCAATCTCGGCCGCACACGCATTCAACCAATGCCAGTGCGCCTCAAACTCATGAAAATGGGTTTGCCAAACCATCAACCGCAAGAGGAGAAGCCCTCCAGCATGGGGGTCGTAAGTTTCCCCTATGGGTGTCCCAGTGCGGCGGTGCCGCTCAGCCTCATCCTCTATCTGCCCCCAGACGCGCCTGAACTTGCCATGGAAATCACGCAAAGCGGCCACATCTTCAGGGACAAGGGTGTCCGCCGGCTCGTCGTCAAGAAGACTGCACTGAGGAATCTCCTCCAGAAGCTGCTTCAGCTCCTCGCCATGGACTGATTTCTGCATTCTATACCTGCTGAAGCTGTTTGGTGGGAGATGAAGCCGGAGGGCCATCTCTTTCGTCTGGTCCTCTAACAAACCCTTGAACTGGTTCATGAGGGCCTGGGCCAGGGACTCACGTCCATACTCCTTTTCAAAACAATGATTACATAGAATCGGCCCCGTGATCTTCACCGAGGTACCGTCCTGTGATTTTCCGTACTCGTCTTCGGCTCGTGACCACGGGTAGTTCACCCGATTTCCCGCGAATCTAAACGACCGCAACTCCTGCCACTTCTCGCACTGAGGGCAGCGTTTTACATACATGGTCCATTCTTCATCGGTCTTATTGAATCGGCATGGTCTGATTATGCGAGGTGGAAACGGCGGGCGTTTGCTGATGAGGACGTCGGCCAGTTGCGGAAACCAACGATCCAAACACGACTCGTATCGAACACGGCGACTTCTGTGCAAGTCCCAGCCGCGGTCCTTATACTGGCACTCCATACACCTTCGCTTCCAACGGGCATGTCCAGAGAAGCGCCGCTCATAGTCGCTGACCTGCAACAAACCGTGCTTACCGATCTTGTCATCTTTGATCCTCTCCAGCCTGGCCGCCTTGCTCCAGTCTGTCCCATGCAGCGACGGCACCCATGAGGAGGTACCAACAGTCGTGCCCCATTCTTCATATGGCTTGCGGGTTGCCAGACCCAGAATCGAGTGGTTGTTGAAGCGAGTATGGGGTAGGAGTTTCAGGCATGACGTGCAGGCCCAGCGATGCGCGTCCCAGTCTTCTAGTATCCAATCTGCGTAGCATCCTCTGAGAAAGAAGTCTATCGAGACGATCTCAGGTCCTTTGTTCTCTGGTTGGCACTCGATGATGAGCAGTCTCTCGGCAAAGTGTTTCCTTTGGGGGCTGATGACGCGCCGGAAGTGGCGGCTGGATTGGCTGAGGGATATGAGGCCGATGGGGTCTAGTGAGCGTATGATATCCTGCTGCAGTTCAAGCGGCAGTGAGTCCTGGAATATGCAGGCTGGTGCTTCGACAGTGATGGCAGACATGACTGCTCGTTTGAATGAGAGGGGGATCTTTTGAGGTTGAGGCGATCGACATATGACGATCCATGGCAAACATATATGTGGGGGGTTCGCGTTGGAGTCCCGTCCATCTACCGAGAACGGGCGCAGATTGGTCCACAAGGTGGCACCAGCAGGGTCTTAGGGGCATTTAGGTCTCTCACCGGTCGAACATGGGTGGCCCAATGCTAACGGAGTCTGGCATTTCATGCATGAAATGAAGGTCGATATGATGCCACTCTTGTAGTAATGGAGAAGGTAGTATTGGGGTTCTCATCGGCCCCGTTTCAATCCTTTTGATTCTAAAATATGGAGACAAATATGAGAAATCGATTATGTACGAGAGATGAATTTGGATTTTCACCATCGATTGTGAGATGACCAAAGCCCCCAGTCGAATAAGGTTCGCTAGAGCCACGGAAACAGCACGCATACTGACTGTGCAAAATATATTGATATTCCGCTATTCGAACTAATACCAAGATAGAATGGCATTCATCTTTTACCCCAACCCCCCTTGTGAGGTACTTCCAGATGTGATCTAGATATTCGCCCTTGTGCTTCGTCTTGCCATATTGAAGGCCGAACTTTAGCAGCGATGGCATTCAGATCTACAGATGCGAACTCTCCATCGGATCCCCAGAGAGTAAAACGGCGGATTTGGGACCTACGCCGCCATCAAGCAGAGTTCGGCTCCCTAACCCCCGATAGCAAAGCGATTGCAGTACGAGGGCTCTCCTTCAATGATATCTTCATCTGATTCACATTCCAGTTTCTCCACTCGACTGCAGGCAGGCACTGGTGGTGCTTGCCGGGCCATGAAAAGCTAATCCTGGGTGCACTGGGTCCCCATCGATAGCCTTCACTGTTGATATCTTTTTCTATCCGTGACAAGTCAGATCATAGTCCGAGCAATCATCACATCTCCTCTGAACAATATAGTAGAGCGCGCCCGTTTAAAATGCAAGATGATAATAGGCTTATATCCTGTTTTGTGAAATTAGATAAATCTATGCGAGAAACAGGTCACCCTCTTAAATCAATCTTGTTCTCTCCTTGCAGCGTCTGGAATGCATCAGCCTACATATCTCATTATAGGGGATAGATAAAGAATTTGTTTTCCAGGTCAGTCAAATCCAAGAGCGAAATATCGACCTTGACCTTGGTTGTCTCTCCGTTTTCATGCTGTTGTTCAATGTAGCCTTCTCCGTAATTTCCCTGACTCGCTTGCTCAGCAATCCATTCCTTTCGCTCCTCGTTTCGTCTGTTCAGGATCCACCGGATCAGAATTAGGATCAGTGGAGTCATGACAAAACTCAAGATGGTCTGGACAATCCAGGTAGCGTAGTATCGCGGGCCTCCAGACTTCCACATTTGAGGGGAGATGATATTGGAAATACCATAAGCGGCCATGAAAAGGGCATTTCGAGTAAGCTTCTTGGTGTGTCCAGCGCAACTGGAAGAGGTCCATGCAAATGAGATGATATATGTCATGCCCCAAGTGTTGGTAGCCAGCAAAAGACACGCCAGGAGTGGGATTGTCTTATCCCAAGATAGGGCAACCATGCCAATGCTACCGGCAATGGCGGGCAGACACCACAGCGTTGACCAGTAAGCGTTGTATCCCGGGAAGGCTCTCAATAGGATGGATGCAACGATACACACGATGACAGCGAAACCGCCCGCTGCTACCCACACGAGTGTCGAGCCCAGGTTCGACACACCTAGATCAAGATAGAGCAAACTAAGTTGGAAAGCCAAGTTGTTGGCAAGCATCAAGAGGAATGTAGCTAGCGTGAACAGCCAAGAGATCGGGTCGCACAAAGCCTCGATAAATTGATACTTCTTGAACTTCTTTTGCTCAATAGAGCTCTTGGTTGCTTCGTGGACTCTCCGAATAGTGTGAACTTTCTCCTCTACTGTTAAGAAATTCGCCGTGGCAGGATTGCTAGGATACGCAAACCACGTAACCACGGCCAGCAGAACGGAAAGACCTCCTGTAATAATCATGAAGAACTTCCATGGGCTGACGGAGCTCTGACTCCAGAGCAGACCATACGCGATCAGGCCAGTGATGATTGGTGATCCAACGCAAGACGTCCAGAAGAGAGGCTGGATGGCATACAACTCCTTCGGAGGAAAGAACATGGACATCGTGATCTCAAGGGCCGGAACCATCGGTGCTTCGGCCATGGCAAGGAAGAACCGAAGGGGAATGAGCCCGCCATAGCTCGAAGCAACGCAGTGTAGGAAAACGAGAACACCCCAGATGAAGATTGTGCCGGTCACATAAACCCGAAGCGGTAAATGCTGGATGAGAAAGTGGCCAGGGATCTGACCGACGACGTATCCTAGAATCATTTGTAAGTCAGCCAATAGAGCAGAAAGGTGGATGCTAATTTCTACGAACCAACATAGAAAATCGTGTTCAAATTATTATATTCAGAGTTCCCGATCTTAGTGTCTTCAAGTAAACCAAGAAGTGCAGCTTGGCCCAAGGTCGATTTATCCACCTGCAGGTAGTATTCTAGTCAGCGGCTATCTCCCATTGGAAGGATGTACGTCTTCATCACTCACGAAAAGCATAAAGTTGATAACAGTCGCTAGGAGAACAACACGCAGATACAGCTTTCTCTTCAAAGTCGTAAATTTCTCTGGGGTTAGTTCTCCGACCGTTGCGCCATGCTCCTTGACCAAGTCATGTGTTTCATCGGCTGCATTAACAAGAACAACTCTTCCCTCTCGGAGAGAGTCCTCTCGCGCCGGATTCTCGGAGGAGGTCGATGAGATATCTTTCTCACCCATTGTGGTGACGCTGGATGATTTTTCGCTCAAGTCAAATAAAATCAATTATCTTTAATTGGGATCTTACTCGAGTCTAGGAATATCGTCATGCAAGATCATCGATCTAAATAACCCACAATCTACTATCCGCTGCGCTGGAACAATGAGCCAGATCGGTGTTTACAATCCCTCAATCAGATTGCATCATCTACTTTACCCAAAACGAGAATTATTATTCCGTATTTCCTTTGATCCCGATCTTATCGTGAGAATATAGCCTTGCTAGTGCCGGGGACTGTTGACACAAACCCTGGACTGACCGGGGTCCACGGGGACTCCGCCGGCGATTGCGTGATATCTGCTCAAGATTGGTAGTTCACGCTTACAAGATCTGATTGCTATGTAAATGATAGGCTGAGGATATGAGCCCTTCCAGCCCGTACAGTTCATTAACCCATGTTGGAACAAATTGCGTATACTCTCAGTCACGAGCCAGACTTCCACCATAACAATCGCAAACATGAGCCACACCATCAATAACCAAGGCGAAAAGCTGGAGGTTGCCATTGCTGGTGGCGGCATTGCGGGTCTTATTACCGCCATCGCCTTGTTAAAGCACCCAGGGGTTAATGTACGAATCTATGAGCGAGCAAAGGAGTTCAAGGAAATCGGTGCCAGTATCGGCCTTGGTCCTAATGGTCTGAGATCCTTGGAAGCTCTGGGAGTTGAGAACGCCCTTACCGGGAATGTTTGCACCAGGCAGAAGTCAGACTGGCCTATGATCTTCCGACACTGGAAAACCGGAGAAGTCTTGGCTACAGACGTACACTATACTGTCAAGACGAAGAAGCATTTCACGGCTCGGTACCATCGGGCTCACTTGCACCAAGCCTTGTTAGAGAATCTTCCTAAAGGCATTGTCCAATTGAACAAGAAGACTATTAATGTGCATGCCGATCCGGACCGAGGCGTGACACTATTCTTTGAAGACGGTTCAAGCGCGCGGGCTGATATCTGTATTGGTGCTGACGGAATTCACTCGGTATGGCAACAGGAGTCTTTTGATCTTTGCTTGTCCATCTTTGTGCTTACTTGTGAACATAGAATGTGCGGAAGACCTTTGTCCCTGACCATGCTCTTCGATGGACTGGTTGGGTAGCGATGCGAGCTACTTTCGAGGCATCACGCCTTGGAGATCTCGAGTTTCCTGAAGATGCAGTTCATTGGGTATGCTGCCTCACAATGACTTCTATGGCACAATCGTAGCTAACATGTTGTAGATTGGCCATGACCGAAACTTTTTCCACTCTCATCTTGGTAGGTGTTCCTTTGTTCTGCCTTCTTCATAGATGGTATCACTGATACCCATTTCGCAGGAAAGGGTCTCTTCACAACTGTCGGCGGATTCCATGTCGACCCTAATGACCCAAACGCACATGGCCGTGACGCAAATTGGGATGATCTTGGCAGCTTGGAAGAGTTTCAAGAATATTACAAGGTATTTCTTTATTATTTCAACCTTCAACCTCTGATTCTGACGGACTTCATCAGGATTGGAATCCTACCGTACGTGCATTTATAGAAGCATGCCCTTCTATCCGCCTCTTCCCCAACTACGCCGGCGGTCCCCTGAAGACCTGGTCTTTCAAAAACCGTGTCACTCTAGTTGGCGATGCAGCGCATACTCACGGGGGTGCTTTTGCAGCTGGTGGATCTCTTGCCATCAACGATGCACGTGCCCTTGGCCTCGCCCTCAACCATGTGTGGCCAGCCTCTTCGTACAAGGGAGAGAAGCCGACAGCCGAGCAGATTGCCAATATATTCCAAGTATATGAGGATACGCGAAAGCCTCACATTGATAAGATTCTCGGTGTGGTGCACAAGGCCATCGCCGGCCAGAGGGCGTCGGTCGAGAAGGGTAAAGTTGAGACCGACGAGGAGCTGAGGCAGAGAGTTGCGAGCAGGATGGACCCTTGGTGGATCAGTGAACACGATGTTGAGGAGGCATTTCAGAAGGCTATCAATGGTGGAAAAGGGCCTGAGACTGACGGGTCACGCCCACGACTTTGATGTGGACAATTTTTTAATTCTGATCATCCAGTCTGTTTCTAAAGAACATGAAGGGCAAAAAAATGAACCACGCTCAGAAATACATTAGTCTGTGACGGCTATCGCCATACATGCCTCCCCACGTGAATATTAGTCTTTAAAAATTCCTCAGACACCAATTGCAATCTAATTTCTCGCCTTATCTCCGTAACGCCCGCTTGGTAGATATTTTCGGGTCTGCAATGATGGGACGGACTGATACGATGGCGAGCGACGGCGACATTATGGATCCCGACACAGCTAATGGGCTGAACTGAGCACGCAATCGCCCCTGGCCCCAGATAACCGAACGGGCCAGGACAGAAAAGTGGCAGGGAGACGAGTCATTTCTGTGCCAGGAAGTATCTCCAGTGACCCCCGGTATCTCCAACAACTGGAATTCACACAGTCTCAGATTATAACTGGGATTTTAAGGCAGCGTCTCACTTGGAATTAATACAATATGCCGGAAGAAGTACATACAGGTAACAAGCTTCATCGCCAAGTCCAACGATCTCCTCACTTACAGACAATAGGCTTTTATTTCACGTCCAAGACCCATCGGGACACATACCCAGCCATTGATCCGAACGAGCGGGATTTCACTGGCAGATATGTGTTCATCACCGGCGCTTCCAAGGGAATTGGGGAGCAAACAGCTCTATCGTACGCATCCGCGGGAGCCGCAGGGATTGGTCTTGGAGCCCGCTCTGGCCTGTCTGCCTTGATACCTAAGATCGAAGCCGCTGCGGTGGCGGCTGGCAAACCTGTGCCAAAAGTTGTTCCAGTCGCCTTAGATGTCACAGACGAGGCAAGCGTCAGTGCCGCGGCAAAAATTATCTCGGAGTCCTTTCCACGGCTGGATGTCCTGGTCAACAACGCCGGCTACCTGGAGATCAGGAGCAAGATCAAGGATAGCGACCCAGAGGAGTGGTGGAAGACATGGACTGTGAACGTGAAAGGACCATATCTCGTCTCCCGGGCCTTCCTACCCTTTATTATTGAGAAAGGTGGCGACAAGATTATTGTAAATCTGAGCAGCATCGCCGCCCATCTTACTGCACCAGGCGGATCCGCATATCAAACCAGCAAACTTGCTGTGCAGAGATTTACCGAGTTCCTGGACGTAGACCATGGGCCTGATGGGATTCTCACCTTCGGAATCCATCCAGGAGGTATACTGACGGATATGGGCAAGCGATTGCCGGCGTCACGACATGCTGCACTTACGGAGACTCCCAAGTTGCCTGCTGACACCATTGTCTTTCTTACTGAGACTCGTCGTGAATGGCTTGCTGGACGATATCTTTCGGCTACATGGGATGTTGAAGAGCTGCTGTCTAAGGAGGAAGAAGTAGTTACCGGTGATAAACTGAAGGTGAGGATGCGGGTTTAATGATGAGGATTCCAAATAGACCACAGATTCAGTATAGAATATTCGATAGCAATAAACCCTCCATTCTCTTGCATATTCTACCATCATTCCTATCTTTCAGAAGAGCCAAGATCATCATGGCGCTTTCGAATAGACGCCCAATGCTTGTCCTTGGCTATCAAAATTTCAATGTCACTCTGGACCCAGTCATCTTCAAAGACTGGTGAACTGTAGCCACCAGATCCTTCCGCTGGAGCTCCGGCGAAATTAGCCAGCCAGCCATAGTACTCATGAAAGTCTGGCTTGATCTCATGGAACAATTCAGTGGGTCCTTTGTATTGTAGCCTTTTCACTTCCCAATCGTGCTGCTCTTTGGATGTAGGGAGCTCCTCTGTTCTCCCAGCAAAGTAGCGACTGACAGCTATTGCTTGATATTCGTAGACACGGAAACTGATTGCTGCTCGCACCTGCAAGAGGTTAGCTTTGGTCCCGGTTGATACTTAGCTGCTCTCCTACCTGTCCAATTACTACCAGTGAAGGGTCTTCCATGTTGAACACGTGCTGATAGAAGCCTTTCAATCTGTTTTGTGAGGTCACAGCCTCAAAAGGTAGGAATGGGTAAGATAGCTTATATCCCGTTGCGAATATGACCTTGTCAAAACCTTGCAATGTTGTTCCATCTTCAAAATGAAGAGTTCCTGTTGCCTCGCTCGAGATTCTCTTAATGGGAGGTTTTGTAACCACATTCGGCAAGCGAAACGCATTCTTCAAGAATTCAACTTCAGTCCTCATAGAGATATGAAGTGGTGCCTGGACGATGTCGTGCAGGTCTTCGGATAGATCAGCGGCAGAAACCCCGCTGCCGACAACGATTACTTTCTAGGATAATGCATAAGTCGCAATTTTCGTACCGTTAGACCAGGAATGAAGATAGGAAATGGCCGTGTGATGCTCAAGCAACTCTCACCTTTCCAATGTAGCTTTCTTGCGACCTCCAGGACTTGGAGTGCTCAAACTTGTCGGGATATTCTTTCGAGGTTTCTTCAAGGCCTTCGATGTGTGGAACATGGGCAACATTGAAGTACCCCGAAGCCACCACGACTGCATCAAAGACTTCCTGCCACCAGTAGTCACGGGGTTGCGCGTCAGATCCATGCCTAACATTTCTCTTCCTTAATGTAAGCAGCCATCCACTACCGCTGTTAGGCTTCTCAATCTTCTCTACACCCGTCCCAAGCTCGAGGAGATGAAGATACGGCTCAAAAAGATCCTCAAGATACTTCAAGACAGCTCGACGCGGTCGCGTGGAATTGTTCTGTCCATATTTTCGAATTGATGAAACAGAGTTAGAAATGGGAAGCGGAGTGTGGGTGTATGCCATAGTTCGGGAGCCTGCATTGGTGTCAAGAGCCTCATAAGCCGACCCACGAAGACCGAGTCTCTCCGGCAAGGGGTCAGCAAGCAGTGGAGCATTTGGCGTTAGATTTGGTGGGATATCAGGGACACCCTCAGCTTCGGTACTGGTTGGTTGAAATGTGTCCGGTTCCGCATCGTAGGCCCTACGTATCATGAGATTCATTACCATGAAGGGGAAGATAGGAGCATAATATACATACCACAGCCCACCCACGCACTCCCTTCGCTCAAAAACCCGGATATAGTCGAATACTCGCTCATCCTCCAAAGCCTTGACAGCTGCAAGCCCGGATGGACCTGCGCCGATAACAGCAACTCGCTTATACCTGGGTACCATCTTTGACTGGTTTTGAAAAGTGCGTGTCGGTTGACTTAGAACTAGGATACAATCGAGGGCAACTTTATTTGTATCTACTGCAAGCTATTCCACATTCAACCGTCGGCGTCCATGACAGGAGCATGATCAACATTTTGAACAGTCTTTTTTCTCCATATGTGAAAAGTCACATCGTAGTGACTTCTTCTCGGCGAGACTGGTCTCCTATCTTGCTGAGTCGCGATAGGCGACTACATCGGCGTCTACGTGGGTCCAGCCTCATAGTCCCCGATGACACCACCATGCCGGCATCCGCAGGAAAATGAGTCACCTCAAATCAGATGTTGTGCACAATAAGGAGAACACGATATCGGGGAGGATCTCGTAAGAAGATATACTCGGCAGTCAAATGTAATTCTCACGTATGGACACCTCACTTGTAGTGGCAGAACGGCAATTCCATTTCCAATATCAAGGCTTCTAAGTCTATTAATAGGATATCAGAATCTCAAATAATCTGCGAAACTGTTTCATCCGGTGCCCAGTGAAAGAAATCCAGCCACGGAAGATCATTGATCTGAGGCTCAGTCACCGGCGGGCTCACATCAACCCCACTGTCCCGTGGAGATCCGGTCTTGTCCTTAGCCTGCCTTGCGCGCGTAGTCAGTGCCTCAAGAGCCATCGGTTTGATCTTCCGGAGTGTAATTTGTGCCAGCGCCCAGGTTGGACTCAGGGTCTTCAGAACACCAGCGATGAGGGAGACGCTATCCCTGCACTGCTCCTGGAATCTTGCCGGCCGTACCCAGCATGCTGACAACTGGACAATCACTCCAAAGACTATCCCGCATATGAAGAAAGGGGTGTGCTTATGGACAGGTACTCGTAGGGCAGCCAAATTGCTCATATGCTTTGAAGCCTCGATGGCCTTGATACCGTGCATGGTTCTAGACGACAGCGGCAGGACATGAGTTTGGCGAATAATGTCCGATGCGGCGGGTATAGCTGCCACCAAATCACTTCTCGGGAAGTGTAGATTAATAATCGTGAATTGTATAATCATGTGTGCTTGAAACAGCATTTCATCAACCGCACCAGATGATGCACTAGCTGCTTCTGCTGCACCTTGTCCAAGGTGATGCGGCCAGGCGGCGAGCGCATTGTCGATGGCTTGCACTTGGTCTTCATGAACCTCGTGGGTCCATGAGATGGCCAAAGAGCGTGACAGAATCCGCACCGCCTCTATGCGGTAGCACGACGACGAGAACTGAAGTTCTTCATCCATATATATCCGAGCATCGAAATCGGCCAGTGTGAAAATGTTGGCTTGTGTTCCACCTTCCATGTAGATGGAGTCATCGCAAGGAAGGGGGACATCAATATGAACTCCATGGCATCGAGAGCCAGTTCCACGCTGGAGGGCCGCCATGAAGCCATCTGTCACATATAATTCCCACCAGGTCCTTCGCAAGCTTTCTTCCTCGATCTCGTCAATTCCCAGTATGGATTCGGAGAAGGCTTTCTTGTGCAAGCCCAGCTTCAGAGCCACGGAAACAGCCTGGCCTAATGTGAGGACTGATTCTTTTATCTCGTTGCGTGCATGCAAAGCGACTGAGAATAATAGAAGGCCTTGTACAAGATGGTATGTGTGGCTAGCTTTTCCAAAGGCTTCCTCCAACGCTTTGCCTGCTAGGCTACGCAGTTGATCCCCCGAGGCCATGCTAGAGAAGTGGCCTCCAATAAAATGCACCACCAGCTTCAGGTAATCGGGATAGTCTTGTGAACTGTAGCTACCTCGCGGTACAAGAATTGGGTGGGCAGCATGAAAATTAGCATGGAAGAGATTAATAAGGGCATCGTCATCCTCGATAGTTGTAGCAGCGTCGTCGTAGGCACTGGGAAGATCCACAGGGGTGGTAGTAGTCGCAGGCACGGACGATCTTTCTTGGCCTTGCGTATAAGAGGGACCAGGAGTTTGTCCGATAGACTCTATAAGCCTGCTACCGACAGATTCTCTGAGAGATTCGCCTGCTGGGACTCTTCCGTAGTCGGCAGTTAGTTTCCAATGGACTCGGCGTTCGTCCTCCGGTGGAGCATGAGGAGCGCGGCGCTTTAGACCCCTTCGAGATGGAATATAATGGCACTGGAGACCTGAAGATCTACACCGGCGGCATATTGGCACACCCGCATCACATTTCACATGTTTTCTCCGACATTCCGTACACGCAAGTGGAGCCGGGCGATCTGTCGTTTCGAGGCCGTCTAGAGACTCCTCTGTGGGTGATCTCAGGGCGTTGTCACCACTCTCGGGCTGGGCCGAGAACTGCATGATAGGTAGTTATGATTCGTTTGAAACTCAACAAAGCCGGGAGATGATAGAGAGCCAAAATATCTCGCTTCAATGCTGAACATCGCAACCACCATGTAGAATGGCGCAATCCCGCTAATCCCGCAACAGACAAAGCCAGACCCACACAACGAGCCATGAACAGACATCAAGATAACGCAGCTGCATTATTGAACTGACATGGTAGGCATTAGCTTGCAGATCGGGACCTTAGAGTATACGGACTTGATAGAGATTCCCACGTTGCTGGGTATCGATACCACCCTTGTCCCCTCACCTATCAGAGTCCAACAGGTCAAGTCTCAACTAGCTTCCAGAGAGCGTAGCCGCCTACTAAGTCTCGCCGTCGTTGAAAAGCGAGTCGTAAGTCTGAGAATCACTTGAGTTATCGCTTGTGATATCATCTACAGTTCCGTTCATGTAGAGCGTTAAGACAACTAGTAGTTGAGGTGTTGGTGTGTCTCCTTCTCTCCCAAATGCACAGGTGGGCCGCAAAGAAATGTCAGAGTCAAGTAAGCAATATTACGCTGAGTTCTTTTGAAAGCTATCTGATACCACACAACACCAACTCCCTTCCTAAAGCTATTCATGATCATTAAATTTGGTAAAGATTCAAGAGCCAGCTAGATAAAAATCGAGATCGTTCAGGTCTGGTGTAGCTTGCATTTTGTTGTGACAACACGTGTCTGCCAGACAGCTCAGAGCAAAAGGCAAGAAGCCCAGGTTTATTATACTGAATTGAATGTGATGCCGGAATAATGAATAGTGAGGTAATTAATCGTGCGGGAGGGCCGCTGAAGCTATATTAGAGTCGATAGTAGTATTTACGTAGGATGAACGACCTTATATCTAGGTGCCCTTATAGCGCTATTCATCCTATATAGTATATCTAAAGCCCTTAGTATATTAAGATAAGTAAATCGAGGAGGAATAATAGGCTTAGCGATAGTATGTTTCACTATCCCGTACCGTGATCAAATAGCAGTGGTTGGGCAAAGGCCTTCGGCCTCGCCTTTATCATATCTCCGTGATCTAGCAGGCGATGCCACGAGTTCGGTGGGGTCACAAAGGTAAAGAATGTCACTCGAATGTCACTTCTGCTTCCCTTATGGCTTTTTTCTCCCCCCTCCTTAATGAAATTCGCTTGTTGGTCCATGAGGACAGCCCATGTATAGCCCATTTATGAGTAGAAGCAAGCGGGCCTGCCGAGTAGGATATTCTTCACGAAGATAGCCTGGCAGGCGGCGCCTCAAACTCGGCGTTGCCAAAGGCTACTTATCTCCGTCACATAAAAGTAGAATTGGCGAATTCAGTAGACATATAAAAAGGGGACATGAGACAGAGGAATCTCCCCAGCATAGATACTTTACGAAATACAGTCATGCTTACTACTAAGCCCACTCTGGTCCTAGTTACCGGTGCCAACCAAGGCATCGGCTTCGAAGTCGTCAAGAAGTTGATTCTTGAACACAAAGACTATCATATTCTCATGGCCGGACGGAGAAAGGACGCCATTGGAGATGCTGCTCGGCAGCTCAAAGAAAAAGAGCCAAACGCCGTTGTTGAGCCGCTAGTTCTCGACCTAGCCTCAGATGAATCCATTGCAGCGGCCGTGCACTATATCAACGAAAAGTACGGTTATCTCGACGTTCTAATCAACAATGCGGGTGTTGGGGGCAGCTCCGCTCGTGGCCCTTGGCCTCGAACCGAATGGCAAGAAGTTTTCAACACCAACGTTTTCGGCACTTCAGTTCTCACAGAGTCGCTTATCCCGCTTTTAGCAAAGTCAGATAAAACAAAACGCATCGTCTTCGTCACTTCAGAACTCGGCAGTGTTGAGTGGAAGTTCAAACCATCAAATGAGTTTGCCCTCCCTTACAAGGTCTACGCTGCTAGCAAGACTGCCTTGAACATGCTGGCTGTAAACATGGCGATGCAATACTCACGGGATTCGACTTGGAAGATCAACTTGGCATGTCCAGGGCACTGCGCGACGCGCTTCACCGGCTACGAAGGTACTGATACACCGGCAAATGGGGCAATAAATATCTGCCGTCTTGCTACGCTGGAAGCGGATGGAGAAACCGGCACGATGTCTAATAGATTTGGAACCATTCCATGGTAGCAAATGCAGAGAGGCGACAAAAAGAGATTGTATGGTATCCTATCAGGACGTTAAAATGCAGGACAGGATACTTTAGACGTTTTATTAAAAATCCAGTAGGTAGGGAAATATGGAAGCCAGGAATAAAAGATAGCTTTTTTGTTGATCAGAGATTCCCAAGGGAGCATAGACGTAGGACTTGGCAGAGTTCGTTAGAAGTACCCCATTCTTTGGCGTTCCATCCTTATCTCTTAGAAGGTCAGTAAGCTAAGGCAATTATAGCTTGTACATGACCAGGGTTTTATTATTCTGATAGTCCCTGGTTAATAAATGTACTCAGCGGTTCTCTGCGATTCGTTATGTATCGCGACCCTGGCCTTTTTTTTAGACAACTACCCGGGACCTTGGCCCTACCCAACAACACATCGCTTAAAAAATTCTGTTTAACGTTCATAACATTGTGTTATGGGATCTTTGGTGGCATCGCTTTAATTGAGCATGATTTCCCACACCGCAGACAGGAAAAATTACTTGACGAAGCACCCGCATTGGGGAGAAGCGTTGGCACTGATTTAAGCATTGAAGGTCAAAATGAGAACCATAACGATTGAAAAGGCAAAAATAGGTAGAGGGTCCAATTTCTTTAGATTTGCACTTTTGATAACGTAACCGTTAAGCAAGAAGATATTATAGAGTTAGAATTATAGATATCTACTGACGCAGCAATTTTGTGAATGACAATTACAGGTAATCGAGCATGATTTGGGTGCTCAGAATATAAAGTATTATTTGAGACACCTGAGCATGAAACATCCGATATGGTGTAACGGTTAGCACACTACGCTTTCAGGACAACTGTGAGCGCCGTGGAGATCGGGGTTCGATTCCCCGTATCGGAGAATGGATAATTCTTTTTTTTCTCTCTGCGGTGTTGCTCGATTTATTTTTGGCTCGGTCTAACGGCTTCGCTTGCACTACGCGAATAAACCGGCTGGATCCCCAGACTTCACCATACCGTTTTCAAAATATGAAGTCCACTTATCAATCTGATAATCAGCGCGGTTCTTCTGCTACCCCATCAATCCTCGTTTTATTGGCAGGCTGGGAGGCAATGATTGGACCAGCTCCGCCTCCAATGCAACTCCACTTGAGCGGTTAATCTCTCAACCTTTGTCAACCACGTAACCCAAGGTCTAAGCCCTGGCCTTTGTTCCCGGCTCTCCATCTGATAACCCATCTGTTTGCAAGTCCACTTTTTAGTCCAGAGCTCTAGTCACTTGAAACGTGTCTCCTCTCACCACCGGCGTCAAATATCGTCGGTTTGAAGCAATGCGTTGGTTCGAGGACATTCCCACCGAGCTGCGGCTGCAAGTGTACCGCCTCCTCTGCGAGTCAACAACCGTTGTCATCCACAGCAAATGCCATTGTAGGGGAAGGAACGGGAAATACAAACCTCTGCGCGGGGCTGTCGCATTTCTGTGCTCCTCCAAGGCCGCGCTGGCCGACTTCGGCCCTGTCTTTCGGGACGAGGCCATCTTCATGCTGCACACGCAGGACTACAACCCGCCTGACCCTCTCTGGGTCGCCCGTGGCTTGCATTCCCGGTTCTTCAATGCTGTCGAGGAGCGCGAGCTGTCGGAGTTCTTCGTGCAGGGCCATATGCGTCTGTGGATAGATCATAGAGATAAGGATTTGCTGGCCCCTCGGTCCATATTCAATGTCCCTTCCGCGCGCTTCACCGTGACAGATCCCCTGGGCCAAGCGCAGACAAGCTTGAAGCAGATTCATGGTATGCTCTCCGACCGATCCTCGCATGCTTCCTCAACTCAAATTCATTTTTTGTAGAAACGCAAAAGCTCTTTAGTCTCATCCAATACTGCCGTGGCCGTGTCGAGATGCTAGAGTTCTGGTGGCACCATGCCTCTTCCAAAAGAAACGATCCAGTACGAGATGAACCCATGCTTTCCAGTTGACGGAGATGTCCAAAAAACCAGAGCATATTCTAATAGCTGTTAATTGCAGGTCGTCCCATGGCACGTGTGCGTTGATAGCAAGTCAAATTTTGTTATCAAAGGCCCAAATACGACGGGATTCCGGTCTCTACAAAACCAGTTTCTCAAACTGTTGAAACAATCTCTTATCAGTGGCATCACGGAAAATATCAAATTTACATTTGTCCAGATGTAGGGGATATTGATCTCACGTGAGCGGCGCACTTTACTTCATTACCACTTCTTCAGGTAGTGTGCATCACCACTAAATTGAAACAGGGGAAAACAGAACACTTCAATGCGCGTGGATTTTATTCTTGGTTCTTGCAAGTAGGAGCAACGACTATATCCAAAAACCACGCCCTCAGTCTTTCGATCCATCCACAATCTTTTAGTATACAGTGGTGATTGGGGTCTTGACATAGCTCGTCAAGCTTGTGGTGCCATTCATATTCTGATAAACGGCCTGGACGAAAGACTGGGCGGCATACTTGGCTCCGGCAGGGCTGGTGTGCGTGTGGTCGTTGGGGTAAAGGGCATTGACGGCGCTGTTGCCGAGCTTGCGGTACATGCGGCTGACCGCCTCGTGGTGGTCAACAAAGGTGACTTTGGAGTCAGCAAGCGCGTTCTTAGCCGTCAACTGGTATCCCACAAAGCGGCTAGGGGCTCCGGACCAGACGCCAGTCTCCCACTGGTTGTTGGGCGTCTGGGAGCTGAGGATGACGGTGGCACCCTTGGCCGTCATGAGCTTCGCTGCCTGGATGACGTAGAACACAAAGGTGTACACCGTCTCGCCGGTCTTGTCGGAGATGCATGTCTCTGTGCCGGCGCCGGGGCAGTCGGAGCGGCCGTTGTCATTGCTGGTGGGACTGCCTCCGTCGTTGTGGCCGAACTCGATGACGACGATGTCGCCAGACTTGACTAGGTCGGCGACGGCCTGGAACCGGCCCTCGTTCCAGTAGGAGCGGGCAGAGCGTCCGCCGATGGCCTTGTTGACGGTGGAAACTGTCAGGAGGTCGCCGATGTAGCTGCCCCAGCCGTCGGTGGCTCCATCGTTGGCGCCTTTGGCGGCCATCGTGCTGTCACCGCAGAAGTAGACGGTGGGTGCTCGGGTCACCAGATTGACATTGTCGGAAGCAGGGGCGGCTGCCACCTGGACTGCGCCGAGGGCCAAGGCGGCGAGGGATGCAACTGTGAACTTCATGACGGGTAGCGTGGGTTTGAGACTGAAAGCGTTCCGGACTTCAGACGATGCAATGCTGTCGATCTGGCTGGATGAGTTTGGGAGACCGCCAAACACAGGGATGTGCACTGTTCTTAACTACCTCTCCGAGTGTGCTCCACGGAGCTTAACCTACGGGGCGTGCTATAAATGAAAGGCATTATATTCCCTTTCGGCAACGAGGAGTTGGCTCCGTCGGGCAGGTCGCCTAATAATGGGGTCGTTTCCGGCTTTGGTCCCATCCCAAGGGCCGTACAGTTGTATTTTCCACCAGTGAGTTAAATGAGGGAAATGCCCAAGGCTTCTGGTTCGTTTCATCGCGGTAATGACTGCCGAAATACACAGATTCGGCTGGTCAGGACCCAGAGTGTCATCTTGTGCCCCACTGCCTCATTCTCTTTCGGCGCTGCTGCCTCCGAGGTCGTATTCCTCTACTTGGGTCACGCACTGTTAGTACGTATGAATTTGTAGAGCTTCTGGAATACAGCCGCGGCTTTCATTCCTGTCGTCTTGCCTACTTTGGGTTGGGATCAGCCGGGTGATGCTCGTTATATGCAAAGTCAAGCTTGGTTGGCAATTTAATCCGATTCGATCGCATTTACCAACCGACCCCGCATTTGCCAACAAGACCTCGCCATTTATTACATTGTTTTCTATTGGTTCCTACTTGTATCGGATAATTTGCCCTGAAATTCTCTTTAAGCGCGCCAAGGCGTAGCCCTGAACAACCCAGCGAAAATTGGTACTACCATTTCATTCTCAAAACATGTTATACTAATATTTCAATATAGTAAAAAGCCCATTTGTGACTCTTCATTTCGGCATTTAGGGCTGTTCTTCTATGTATCCTATATCATCGATCGTTCTATAAAGGTCCTGAAGATGGAACACAGAGTTCATGCGAGATCAGAAAGGAATGAACTGCTAATATTGTGTATTGAGAGGCGTGTGGAACCGGGTGTCTGCATAATAGCCAGCTTGTTGATGCGTCTGTTTGTTGGTTGACCTGCGGCCGGATCTAACTCGGTGCCAATGCAAAGGCTATTATTCTGAATTTGGGCCAAATGTGACGAAAAAGCCTGTTCTCAAGAAAGCTTTGATGTATCATGAAGCCCTTCAGCAAATAGTATTAAAAGGTCCCAAGGAATCAGAGGTTGCGTAGAGCCTTGAAACAATTGAATTACCACTTAGGGTGTATCATCCCCCACGGCCAAGAAAAGGTTGTAGAACTGACCGCATGGGTAAGAATTTCTACACCTCTTAACACAAATCATCTGGGCCCTCAATGTATTCCGTCACACCTAGGCTATGTGTCCCATTGCCTCAAAATAAATGGGAGTTAGTTATTTGAAGGCATCTTAGCTGAGTTGGCAATCACGATTCTATTAGAGTAAATAAATCTCTTTCCAGAGCCGCGAAATGGATTGATTTTTAGGCGCGGTTCCATGCAGCCGCAACCCATCATGTGATCATTTCCCAAGAGAGATCGACATTCAAAGTAAAGCACTCACCTATATTGCGGAACTGACAACCCGAGATGAGGCGAGGTCGCAGCGGTCTCGCTTGAAGAATCACTCTAGATTTTCCCGCACCAATCGTCATTTCTATAACATCCTCATTTGGATGGCATGAAACTCATTGATTCAAGATTATGGTCTGCCTTGATGGATCCTAAAGGCGGCACCAATCAGAACCTGCACAATACATTTGCAGTTAAAATCCATTATCAGCGGAATTATTCGATTGAGATGAGGTAGGTGATAATTATGCCATGTGGAATTTTTCATCAATCCAGATGCAGCCCAGCTGAACTAATCATGATCTTCGGTACACCAACCACGGTGTAAATGATGGAATGGTTGAGGAAGAGCGAGATTATTCCCCTTCACGCTCCAATGAACTGACGATGCCACTTCGTATAGACTAATCAACCCAACTCCATAAGTAGTAGATTATTACAGTTTCACTGTCGTAAGCCAACTTTGGAGAGGTTTATCCTTATGATGCATGGAATAAGCGTGATGTCGGGTCATTCGGTCAGCATTGCTTGATAAGGTATCGAAATTGCACTTGTCCTTCATACCACGTATTGTGCGTGGACGCCTCTTGTTTCATTGAGATAAGACATCCACCCGAATCATACTATTAGGTTTCATTTAAGTCCATGACGAGGCCTTGATGAGGGAATGAAACAAGGTCAAAGGAAAATCAGAACACGCAAACGAGCCAGAACCGAACGCATTGATACAAAAATCCACTTAGCTGCATCACATGGAAGGACCTTTTGTCCACGGCGGACAGATCCGTGGCATGGACTGAGAACGGGCTGTCCGCGGGGGGAGAAAAGCCCGATAAAGGGTCACAAACGTTCCAAAGGGTCCTATTTTAGGCAAATCCGTCTTACTGCTTCATGCTGCCACCTCACACCACCTCACATTCTGACTTGTGGCTGCTTATCTTGGACGTGCCCAACCACCCATCCCGCATGAAATCAGCAGAACGCGTGGCACTAGGACCCTGGCAGGTTTACAAAGTCCCTAAAAGTTCTTAAGCCTATTGCTGCAGCCCCCTGGCCCGAAGGCGATGACGTCTTATTTTTAGCCTTTTGTTGACAGCACCAAAGTTCCAAAAGTGCTAAATGCTACGGTGATTTGCGGCACGGTTCTCTACTGGAGATCGGGGAATTTCGAGATCTTTTGCAACCGGCGGCCAAAACTCAAAAGTTCTTGAAAGTCTACAAGCATGGGTGAGATGGCATTGGCTGCTGGGCGTTGGACCGGAAAGGAGGCTGATCTTGCTGGTTCAGAACGTTTTCAAAAGTTCGAAGCTCAAAAGTTCGAAGTTGGTGTGGGATTGGCTCTGTCCTGAGACATGTCTGCGTATAAATTGATAGCAATTTGATAGATAATAGAGCTTGAATCTGGTTCTATCTAGCCCTCTGTTGGTAGCCAGAGCTAAACTCTGAGATTAGAGCTGTTTTAATTCATGCAACACCGAAATTCAAACCATCCGCAACTCATAGCATCAAATATTGAGAAGGTACGCTTCTCTATATATGGCTTGACCAGAGATTAGCCATGATTCCGATCGCAATTTACGGTACTAATATTTGCCATTAACGCCCTTTAGATGAGCCCCGGCGAAAGCTCTCCTCCGGACGCTGGCCAGGAATCACGGATCTTTGTTGCAGTTCCTCGACACTGGGGCAATAGGGACTATAAGCCCCAACAAGGTGCCAAAAAAGACGGCGATATGATGCAGCGTTGGCTCGAAGAGGCGGCGACTGATCCCCCCTTTAATACAATCGCCATGGTAGCAGTGGCTCAAATTGAGACGCCGTTGGTTCCTAACGAGGCTACCTCTAGTGAGTTGATACAGGCAATGTGTATTTGGTTTTTTTCTAGATGGCCTTTACTCACAGATAATTCCCAGAGCAGAAGTGCTAGCGAGATTGTCCTATATTTCGTTGGCCATGATCGAATATAGTCATTCTGCAGCAGGAAAAGGGGGTTTGTAGACCTGCGTGGTGTTAAATATTTCGGCGGAGCCGAGAATTACACACGGCTCGAAAGCCCATGGACTATTGATGGGTTGGATAAATGAGCGATAGAGGCTCAATGAGAGGATATCAGGTCTAGAGGATCTTAGGTTAGGCTTATTCTATCCAGGGCTAAATTTCGTGAGAATCACTGACGGCGATATGATGGATCGGAAGGTAACGATCTAGACCGAAGAAGTCATCTGGCAGAATATAGAAGAAATGCAAGACAGTTTCTCAGCTCACCGGCCTTTCTGATCTTAGGCATCGCCCACAGAGGTCAGAATGAGGCAGCAATACGGTTGTAGTAACTCCAAGCAGTCTGACATCTTGATCTTGAAGGCCAATTGAAAGTTGTTCAGCCTGTACAAGTTCGCCGAGTGAGCTTGAAGCGTAGGGGGTTTCAATAGTTAGTTGATTATAGAAGATGGACGTGCCTCGTGGAGATCTTCCGAAGACGGAGATGGTATAGGGAATGGTACCACTTGGCCTAGTGGGGCGGCATCGGAAAGCAAACTAATGAAGGAATATGGTCACAAGAGAGGCCGGGAAATAGGGAACCGAGATGCTAAACTAGCGAGTTTCCTGGGGGGGGCGCCTTGGTCTTTTGGGGGTTTCCAACGTCGGTTATCGGCCTAAAGCAGTAATCAGGCAGGCCAAGAATCTAGCCCTCTTCCTTGTCCATTTTACTCCATTCTGTTATCTTCCGAGCTTTATAATTGGAGAAAGCTTAATCAAGAACATGATGGATCAAATCACAGGTGGTTCGCTTTCACTTCAACGCTTGATGAAGAAAAGGTACAGAACCCTTGATATACTAGCTGGCGGCTATATGAGAGGCATGCGTCCCACAGAGACGCCATTGCGTAAGATGCGATTGTCAATCCAGTCTCTACAACTATCTGTAACCTTTCTATTGTATTTACATTCGAAAGAATTAAGTCATGGCGAGCGATCTCGACCCCGACGCAACGCCAAATCCAGAATGTCATATTCTGCCGGCAACGAAATATGTTCCTAACAGCCCTTTGCCACTCTTAATCTATCGGGGTGTTCTTCCAAAGCCTATCACAACAGAATCATGCCAAGAAATGATTGAAAGTCATGGCTGGACAAGACAGGTGGGTTGTGCTTTCATCCTGAACGTATTGAGTTGAAATGGAACGGGAGTTCCTGTACAGAGTTAGGTACTAATTTTGATACGCCCCGGTAGGCCAAAATATGGGGTGCTTACTATCTTCGCCATTTCCACCCCAACAACCACGAATGTTATGGTGAGTAAATAGACCCTCATTCATGATCTGTTTCCAGGTATCCAAGTGCTAAGCTCTCTAAGCGGTCTTGAGTGGTTCATCAAGAACAATATACGGGGTTGGAGAAAGCGACGAGACAGAGGGGCGACAGCCCAGCAGCGGAGCCTCAATAGCCGCCGGTCTACAACTTACTCTATCCGCGGGGGACGTGATAATCCATCCCGCCGGAATAGCTCATGCAAATGTCACCGAGGAGGGCGACTTCAAATACATGGCATTCAACCCCAGCGTAAGGTCCCGCTAATTGTTAGCCAAAGTTAATGAGGATTTCAGCTGATGTAGACTGACATAGGAGAAAACAACCTGGAGAACCGAGCTTGGTCGCAAAGAAATGAATCTAGAAGAGATGATGGCTGAGACTTTGGCAGTACCTGTTCCATCTGATCCCGTCACGGGCGTGGATGGACATTTGACAAGGCTATGGCCATCCGCATTCAGCGATTTTGTTGCCGGGCATTCGAAGTACTTGGTTTAATCGTGACTATCAGTGCACCAAACGTTTGTTTTGATATTGGGGGCCCATTCTTGTTAGTAGCCATGAATGGCACGGGGCGTTGGCTTCCTGGATCAATGAGGGCCTAGACACAATACATTTTATAGTGAGATCGCGAGCGACTCGGTCCGATTCAAGTGGTGGGTGATTGCTGGAAAGAGGCCGTTACCGGAGATGTTTAGTGTCTTTCGTGGGCACTTCATCTGATTCATGCTTCCCCGCGCAGCAACCCAATGTCCAGAATCTTATCGTCTAGCCAGCATGTGACTTAAGTGCCGAGATCCATGTATGCGGGGGCTTGCCAGATAGCCTTGATTCTCCTATCTCGCAACCCCCACTGATTCATGCAAGATATGAGCGATCCGATTCCCGTCCCTCGCTTCCACCAAGATTCATCTTGGACCATTCTCACTGCTTACTGCCTCCACTCTTCCTTGCTTCAATCCGGAATGAAATTCCATTAAGAAATCCCTCCCGCTTTAAACATTTATCAGCTGGCACATTGAGCAATTTCAACCCACCCTCAGAGGCAATGGCTACGCTCCGGATTCGCTTTGCACCATTCCAAAACAAGCACTTGTCCCGACATGAAATCCAAGAAACTGGCCCGGGGTCACAAAGTAAGCGGGCTCGTAGTCATCTGGGCTGTCGAGAGTGCAAGCGACGCCGTGTCAAATGCGACGAGACGTTCCCCGTATGCCTGCGGTGCCAGGGCCGTGGGTCGATATGTCTCTCAAACGCACCCCAACAGCAATGGCAGGTCGAAGTTCCATGGCTGAAGCAAACGCAGAACTGCAGATCATCGCTGTTCACCTCCTTAGCTGATTCCTCAATCAATACTCTGCCTTATATTGATCCCAGACTACTTCTCATGTGGCTCGATAAGACCAGCCATATCATGGGCCCTAATACGGCTGAAAATCCCCTCTCATATCCTATTTTCCAATACATCCACCAGTCGCCAGCCTTAGTCCACATCATTCAAAGTCTTAGTGCAGGGCACGAGCATTTCTTCGAGGCGTCGAAGATCCACCTCAGCCTGGAGCAGCGTTCCCTGGCTATGCTGTCACTAGCCAAGCAGATAGAGACAGGCGAAACCCCCAGCACACTACAATTTCTGACATGTTGGTTACTGGGGATATCGGCCACCTTTATTGACAATGACGTGTTCGACATTGGCAAAGAGCACCTCTTCGCGGCTCGGTCGATGGTTGACTCGATCGTAGCACATCCCGCATCCGCTCCCACCCCATTGGAAAAGTACATCATCGGCGTGTATGTCTATTGGGATCTGACCTGCTGTACACTTCTCGATACAGAAGAGCAGCTTCCATTCATTCAATCGACCGTGGCCATACAACATTATATCTCACAGGTCAGCGTTGAGTCACATCCTATTGTCGGGGGCCATATCCAGCTATTCTTACTCCTTGCCAACCTCGGCCGCCATTGTAAGGCGGTCACGGAAACTGGCTGTAATAATCCGATCCTGGAAGCCTCATTTGAAAGCTCGCTGAAGAACTGGCCAATATCAGACGTTGACACAATGTGGGAAAAAACTGTAGGCGCTTTTGTCAAACATGGGCTTGTCATACTCTACCGTTTATGCGGCTATCCCAGTAATACCGGTCCACCCGATGGGCATGCCCCGGATGCAGAGGAAGAACCAGAAGTATCCCACCTTTGCATTGCTGGAATAGCAATCGAGGCTGTCAGAACCCTTCTAGAAATTCCGGTTACGTCTACATTCATCTGCTTACAGCCTATTCCACTGCTAAGTGCCGGCTCTGAACTCTCGAAAGATGAATCGGATCTCCGGCGTCAAGTCGTAGTGCGGTTGGAGGCCATATATTCGTCTAACCGGTTACCTTGCAGTCTCTGGACTATCCAGCTTTTAACAGAACTTTGGGAGCTACATGACGCTGGACTAAATCTCTCCTGGCTGGATTTGATGAATATGAAAAACTGGAGACTAAGGGTTGGATAAATTTGCCTATTTGCGTGGATATTGAGTAACCAATTTGTATGATACATGTTCTATTTCAAAGCCTGCAAATTTTTGGTCAAAGTCACCTTCATTCATAGAAGACCTCCCCACCATATCTACTTTGTGAAGGTGATGTCCATTTGAGTCTCAACTGGTAATAAAACTTGGTATATCAGCGAAATGAATTGGAGTGTCTATTGTTTAGCTCATGACTTCATCTTTATCAAGGCCTCTAATGTCTACATAATGGCATTAAATCAACACGACATTATTTGAAGACTTGAATCGTACGGACTAAGGTCAAGTACAATCATTTGCCATTGCAAATTGAGATACAGAGACCATCAAGACTAATCAGATCAGGCTCTGTTGCGAGAAGCTAGCAATATCCACACTTCGCGTAATGGCCCAAATAGGAAGTCATGTTTTCTCCACCCCTTGCCACGACAACCCCGACTTCGGACAATATACCAAAGCCGAATATTAAACTTAGATCTTACAGTGGATTATCTTATTCCAGTGCCCATCAATCAGGATAAGCTCCAAACGCAGCTTGATCTGTCATACTGTAGGCGAACACCTTACATTCCGTTGGGCTCTTGAAACTAACATGAAGCAACGCATAAGGATCTTGGATTGGCCCAAGAAAAAAATTGACATAGAGATAAAGACTTAGCCCTATTCACGCCATGCTAGTTTTACGACTGGTGTTGAAATCTCATCGAGCCTGTATATTATTAAACTCATCTCAAATCGCGTGAGAAAAGAGTTGTTTGGTTACCTATTTAGGTGGACAACCGAGGTATGGTCTGCATCTGTCACATGACCCTTAATTCCTATTTCAGCTGGCTTGCGAGACCGATCTACCGACCTTTTGCAACTTATCTCAACCATGGTTGCACTATGTAAAATCTATACCTTCTTCTCTCTTCAATGAAATGTATCGTCCAAAGCCCAGTCGAATATGTATTGTGGGCCGATGTCGTGTATGCTGGGTTAGTGGACGTTCAAATGAAGAGAACATAAGCAGAGCCAAGCAAATACCCCCTAGGAGTAACCATGTCTGTGTTTGATCTTCCTTTCTCTAGATTAAAAGTCAATTCTAAGGCGAGATTAGGTAGAATAACTATGTCTGGTTTATCATCATCAGGCTGGCTCTTATTAAGAGAACCATGGATATCTGAATCACCTCGCAAATATACCCTCCGCAGATGCAACTTTTTATTGAAACACATTAAATGTATGGCAACTATCTTGAACGAAATTCTGTTCAGTTTTGCTTCTCATATTTCTAGCCAGCTTCAGATCCGGGATAAGAAACGCGTTCCTTTCGAAGAAACCGCTTGATTTCCTCATCTAACTGGAATCGCTCCCGGCTAGACCACGACCACATCATCTCCCCGCTATAAATCGGGTTGTGGCCTGAAAGAGAACAAATGTGGATATTCTCATCACCACATATTCTTGGGAGGCTACTTGCCACTGACCACGAGAGAATTCATGATAAAATGTCCGTCCCCTTCACAACATGTTGCACTGATGCATATCCCGATAACTCTCCCATTATTCAACAAACTACTGAGTCACTGAATCCGTTACCATGACTCTAATCGAGGATTCATTCTTAAATGTCCCCATCGATCAGGACCGGCCGATCAAAGTTATATGTATTGGCGCGGGATTCTCTGGGATATTGTGTGGAATCCGACTCCCTCAAAAAGTATCCAATCTTGATCTTACGATATATGAGAAGAATGAAGACTTTGGAGGCACCTGGCTAGAGAACAAGTATGGACTACCCCTTTATCTCCGTGTCCAGATCCCGGAACTCAACACTGACAACTCTTAGATATCCTGGTGTCGGCTGCGATTCGTTATCAAAATTCTCTATTCTGGAGCGAATGTATTGCTTACACGCCCTGAAACATAGATGTCCCATCTCACAGCTACCAGTACACCTTCGCCGGAAACCCCAACTGGTCCAAATTCTACTCATCTGGCACAGAGATCCTGGCTTACCTCCAAGATACCGCTTGGCGATATGACGTGCAAAAATATGCCCGCTTCCAACATGTCTTCAAAGGGGCAACGTGGAATGACTCAACTCACAAGTGGACTGTCAAGATTTATAGCTTGAAATCTGGAGAGGTGAGTCAAGATTACTGGAAAACCAATTGATGAAGATGTTTTGCAGAACCGTACTAAGAATGTCACATTCAGACCTTTGAGGACTCTGCAGACGTTCTAATTAGAGGAACAGGGCTCTTGAACAAGTGGAAGTGGCCAAGTATAGAAGGTCTCCACACATTCAAAGGCGATCTTATGCATACTGCAAACTTCGATCCATCTTTCGACTGGGGTGGTAAAAGAGTGGCATTGGTTGGAGCTGGATCCACGGGTATCCAGATCTTACCGCACATCCAGCCCCGAGCGAAGAAGATTTTCCACTACATGAGAGGGAAGACCTGGATTAGTCCTGTCGGATATGGTGCCGAAATGGGCGGTGGTGGCAACTTTGGTATGCTTCATTCTCCAACGTGGCGGTACTTATGGCGGAAGAACCCTAACATATTGTGTAGAGTACAGCAATGAGCAACGGCAGCAGTTCGCGCAGAGTCCCGCATCCTATCTAGCATACCGCCACAAGCTAGAAGAGGTTATGAATAAAAGTCAACTCGTCAGCTTTCGGGGAACAGATATCCAAAAGCGCTTCTGGGTCGAGGCCGAGAAATTTATGAAAGAGAAGCTGGAGAAAAAACCGGAGATCTACCAGTCTCTGCTCCCATCATTTCCACCAGGATGTCGGCGGTTGACACCTGGACCAGGCTATCTTGAGGCTCTTCTCCGGGATAATGTCCAATTTATCGGAAGTGGAGTGGCTAAAGTCGACGAAAAGGGAATCCTAGACCAGCTGGGAAATTATCACGAGGTTGATGCCATTATCTGTGCTACCGGTTTCGACTAGTGAGTACAGAAGACTTACCCCCTTTTTGCTAACATCAAGCACGGGGAAGCTGATAATGTCACAGCACGTTCAACAATGAAGAGACGCCCATTATAGGCCGTAATGGGATTTCGCTTGATGACATGTACAACCCATACCCGCAGGCATATATGGGTGTTGCGGTTCCAAACATGCCAAATCACTTCATGTTTCTTGGACCAGCCAGCGCTCCGGCCTCTGGCAGCTTCATCCCGACCCTCGAGCTTGTTATGGACTACATCATCAAATGTGTAAAGAAGCTTCAAGAAGAGTCTTATAGCTATATGGAACCTACGTAAGTTTTAGAACCCTGGGAAACCAATATCCGTACAATATTCTGACCGAGAAATGCAGGATCGAAGCACTAGATGCCTTTAATGCACAAGCAGACAAATATTTCAGCAGAACTGTCTATACTTACAAGGTTTGAGCAAACCCCGATCTATCTCGCGTTTTCTCGTTCTGACCCCAGCTGACATTATCTTCTTGAAACAGTGCAGCTCATTCTTCAAAGGTGACAAGGATGAGGGCCGTGTGACAACAGTCTGGCCTGGCTCCGCAACTCACTACATGAAAGCTGTAAACAACCCCCGTTGGGAGGATTTCCGTTATGGGTTAGTACCTGAAGCTGGGGGCAACCCAATGGCCTGGCTTGGTAATGGGATGACCATGGCGCAACAAAATGGAGAGAAGACTTCTTCATTTCTTGACGAAGTTGACATCCCCCCAGCCATCCACCATTACCCGGTCTTTGCCAATAGCCTCGCCAAGGACGTTTCAGCCAAGACTCACACTAAGGGTACCAACAGTGTTATTGAATCAGCTATATCCTCTCTGCCTGCGTGATGAGGGCATTCATCTCTGATGCCAAGTTCTATTGGTCCGCGGGAAGAGCCAAGAGAGGTGTCTGCTACTTTCATAGTCTTCATTTATTCATTTCGAATCGCCCAAAGGGAGTGATACAACCTATATCCCATAAAACAAACCCCAAACTACTCTACTTAATCGACTTGAAACTCTATCCTAAAACCTTCTATTGACTCGCCCATCTCTAGTGACAACTCATGAGTAATATCCCAAGTTATACCCTTTATATCTAACCATATTGGATATTCATATCATTGAAGGGTTTATTGTGATAGGGCCTATACCGCCATGCCACCACGCCAGATCTGGCCACTACGAGCAGTTATTATGTCCCTGGCTACGTTCCTTGCTGCAGACTTATCCGGTTCGTTGTTCGGGCTCAATCCACCCCTGCTACTACAGGTGTTGAGTTTAGCTTATTGTTCGATTCTTTGGTTGCATTCAGAACCGGACAGGCTTAAAAAGGATGGAAAAGGCATTGGAATTTATTTTATGCACCCTGACTTTAAGCTAGAAAGATCAGTTCCCATCTTCGATTCTTGAAACTATCCCACACCTCCTCTGGCGTGTAGGTCACAAGGCGACGTCGGTACGAGAGCCCATTGTCGTCCTGGTCCACGAGAAGCAGGTTCACCGTCACCTGGCCTCCATGTGACATGCGAACCCTCTCGGTGCCAATGACAATAAACTTGCCTTGACCATTTGGTTTAAAAGACTCGTCGTTCTCCCAGGCGCCGCAATGACTGACATCGCCATGTGACAAAGAGATTAGGGGACAGCGGTGAAAGCCGTTCCAACCTTCGTACTTCATGTCGAGGACTGCCGTGCTCGTCCAAAAGCACAGTGCCGACGGAACCTGTTTACTCAAAAGTACACTCTCGGGAATGTTGGCTCTCTTGACTGACTGCCTGGAATAGTCCAAAGACGGATGCGTCAGCCCCCTGGGATAACCGATGGTGTCGAACATGTCGTTGTGTGTCATGTAGTCCTTTTTGGTAAAGTCTCTCTCCGGTCCGGCATAGGGGACACCATCGACGAGCGCTTCTGGAACGCCTCCGTCCAAGATGCGGTAGAACTTCAAGCCAAGTCTGCCGCCCAATACTGCTCTGTTCACCGACGGCATGGGGGTAGCTCCGTGCCAGCCTAGCCATGACCAAGTCGGAAAGGGAGCAGAACGGACCTGCTTTCCTGGGCCAATGTACTTTGCCTCGCAGCCTCTCCTAGTGTTTCGTGAAACGTGCGAAGACCAAGAGAGTGCCATTTCTAGATGACCCCTAGGCATGCCCCAGAAGTAACCCTCTTCGTCATCGCGACGAAGCACGTCGAGAATGGCTTCCACGGCGCCCAGGCGGTCGGTCTCTGATGTCAGCTCTCGCTTGGCGTACGCATCGAGAACATCTTTATACAGATCCATCCAGTTCTCCTCTCTCGAATCAGTGAGTCTGCCGATGATTTCGGAGCCAGAGTAGTGCCGATAAATGTTCTTGCCTGGCAGATTCTCCCAGCAACTGTCCTCACAAAACGAACTCTTCTTGCACTGCCAGTATGCCTGGCCCTCGCCAATAATCAGGCAACGCGGTGACAAGAGGCCCTCTTGAAAAGTCCAGCCCCTAGTGTTCCAGGTGCTTCCATGTAGATAGCCCTCCCAGCGTTGATGTGGCAGGTCCAATGCCTCTACCAGCCAAAAGTCTTTCATCTGATGTACCTGCTGCATGCGCCGTGGGATGCTGACACCAGGCATGCCCATGGCGACTTTGTCGTTGGCCGCGTTGACGAAAGTGAGGACTGAATGGGCGTAGATGGTGCCCATCATTGGCAGAAACTCGAGCTTGTCCATGTCATCGTCTTGGATGATGCACAGGCTATCGATCCATATATAGCGCTCACCCAGCGCCCGAACGAGCGTCATCGCATCAACTATTCCGGCTGGCAGCATGTCATCGCGCAAGGCGCCCGGTAGCTGGTATTCCTCCAAGTTGGATGTCTTCAGGGCATGCTGCTGGGGACCTCCCCAGCAGTAGCTCAACGCCGTCCATGTCACCTCGTCGGGCGCAGTTTGGATGACACGCCTCTCCAACACATCGACAAATCGAAGATGTGATGCCCGAGTGGTCATGAATGTTTGATCACAAGTGCCTCCATGATCGCGGATACAGCTGTCTTTCCAATTCTTCAATAACTGCAGGTCAATCTTTGCTGGTCGAATGCGACCTGCGTACGGCTCCTTGGACGTCCACTCGACTGAGTCGTTGCGCGGGACAAGCAAACCTCCATCCGCCGTGGCAAACGAGAGATTCTGTGGTTTGTGCAGACACTTGGAGAATGAGACGCTGCTCTTCTCGGGGCCTGTCCAGGGCGCCGAATACGAGAGCCAGATGCGCTCGATGACTGGGTGGCCCTCCACAGCCCGGGAATCCTTGTACACTGAGATGGACTGCCAGTTGATTTCTATCTTGGCGAGCTGGGTGTCTGGTGATGAGACATCCGCTGCAATGTCGCTCATCCAGGTGTTCGAGGCAAGCAAGACTATCCATCCGCAATGCCAGCACGTCGCAGAGCGCGAAAAGGCTTCGGCCAGTGGCGCAGAAAAGTAGCATCGATCCTCCAACTTGTCGCCCGCTGCTCTGACGCCAAAGACGGTGTCGTAGCACTTGACTACAGGTTTGCAGTTCTCGCAGACGCGATCCTCGCCACCAGCCTACCACCCTGACGTTATTGATTGCCTCTTTCAAGCTGGGCGCAAGTTCTTACCCTCTTGATACACTCTTCATAGAGCGACATGTCTGCTCAGCTGTGTCGGGAGAACGACTGGATTTTCGTATTATTTACGAGGCAAACATGGCCATTTTCAAATACAACAGACACGTATGAGCGGGGAGGGCAATCATTTCAAGGCGTTACCCCACTACCAAGACTCAGCCGCTTTGCAAAGGGGCTTATTTACACATCAGTTACTGGACGACGTCGTGCTCGAGGCCTAGTTACATAAGAATATTAGCCTCAATTAGCGAATTTTCCTCTATACCCAGAGATAAGAATTAAAAAACCATCCAAGATAACAAGCTCAAAATTCGCTTCCTGAGTGTTCCTAAGTAAGTTAAATTTAGGCTTTGTTATCTGAAGTAAACTTCTGTCTCTATAAGTTAATTGTTCGAAGCAGATACCCCGCCTAGAATAATCAAGTTGCATCATATATACTCTGTACTATTGATCCATTTCCTAGAGATATATCCCTGCTTCGAGACTCGGCTTCAGCAATGTGATTATCTTGGTGGTGGAGACAAAACTGCCAATGACATCAGGCTTTCCAATGGAATATCGGCAGAAGCCCCTGTCTATTGCTAGGGAGATTCGATTATCTTACGGTGTACCGCCCGTTGCCAACGGCTTGAGGCCTACTAGGCTTGAATCAGGTAGTGCGTCAATGCGTGAATATGGGGAGTGGAGCCGAGGCGTCGCAAATTCAAAAAACGTTAGCAAGCCAGCTGCTTGATTCAGGGGTTGGGACACTTTTATGGCCAAATTCTTGGAGTCCATCGTGCAAGGATATAGACTGGGTCTATCGCCATCTTTCACACCGACATTTTGTTGGAAAAGCAAGAACTGCAGAGTGATAGGTACCTTTGCGGAAAATCCACCTTATCATGCGTGTTCTAGTCTTGTTCTGGGTTGTTCTGGGTTGTGCAATTCTAGAGTCCAGGGGTAGACTCTTGAGTCCAGGGGTAGACAAGGTCTTATAAATATCGTCGGGTATTCCCGCTCCCCTGGATGTCCTAGTTGAAGCTTTTTTCACATTGAAAACCGCACCTGAGCAATATCGCCCTACGGAAATCTTTGAAACTTTTGGCCCTCCATGAGTGATGAACCGTTCAAAGTTGCCATTGTTGGCGGAGGTTATACTGGCCTAGCTACTGCCTTGCATCTAGAGATACTAGGAATAGACTGGGTTCTCATCGAAGCCCATGATGTGATTGCCCCTCAGCTGGGCGCTTCCGTTGGTTTGGCCCCAAATGGGATGGCGATTATTGATCAACTTGGGTGCCTAGAAGATGTGGAAAAGAGGTCTACCGCCTGCAGGTCGGCGCAGATGCGGAATGGCGAGGGCAAAATTATGTACTCATTTGCCGTCGATCCTATTCGCCAAATACATGGCTACGACCTGACCTTTACTGAGCGTCGCATCGTGCTTGAGGTTTTATATGACCATATCAAATCTAAGGATAAGATTTTTACGGGTCAGAAAGTACAGAGCATAGAGCACGCTAAGGACGGCGTGGAGATCTATACCCAAGAGGGGCGTACCTTTACTGCCGACCTTGTGGTTGGTGCTGATGGAATACACAGCCATGTCCGAGGACAGATGTGGAAGGCAGCATGGAACGACGGCTCGACGGCGTTTAGTAAGCAGGTTGGTCAAGGTAAACAATGGCTATTTCATGCTGGGATATTTTGTCTTTTATCTTTTATATATCTGCTGACTTTGTGATAACAGACGTCGAGACGGAGTACGGATGTGTCTTCGGTTTATCTAACCGGACAAATGACCTCAAAGAAGGCCAAATTTACCAGGTGCATACCTTCGACCGCATGTTGGGGTTGGTAATGGGACAAAATGACGACATCTACTGGTTTCACTTCTTCAGAGCTCCAAAAAAGCACACGGGCATGGATTTGCCGCGATACACGGAGAAGGATGTGGAACGGTTGCTGGCCGAAGATGGGCACCGCATTGTGAAAGACGGGACGACATTCAACGACATTTTCAATAACAGGAAGACTCATGTTATCACTCCTTTGCCCACACATACTTTCCAGAGATGGCACTATAAGCGTATAATATGTCTAGGAGATGCTGTTGCCAAGGTGAGTGCTGGCTTTATAAAAAAAGATGCACAGATCTGAAGTCTGTCCCGAACACTAAAGTTTTCTAGTTTCAACCTATACAAGGTCAGGGTGGTTGCATGGCCCTTGAATCGACGGCCGCTTTTGTAGACCAGCTCTACAATGCTCTCGAGGCCAACAATATGCAGAAGCTCTCAGCGGAGCAGGTTGAGTCTGTATTCACTAAGGCCGCTGAGGTCAGGTTGGCGCGTACAAAAAAGCTTGTGGGTGAAGGTCTTACTTTCATGAGATTCGCGTCATGGTCCAACTGGATATTTCGGTTCATTGACTCTTATATCGTGGGGCTCATTCCTCACAAGTGGTTAGCAAGCCTTATGTTTGCCGGGAGTACTGGGGCGTACAAGTCCACCACCTTGCCCGCTCCGAGCCCCGTCTACGAGCGTTCGAAAGATAAGAAAGTCTGATTTTAGTGGAAGCTGCTTTATTAACATCCGAAATGGCCATGGAGGGATAAAATGAGGTTATTTGATATTTTCTATATAAAATGATTAACTTTCACTCTTGGGTGCTTGCTATACAAATTGCTGGGGGTGAGTTTCACCGCCGGGTAAGAGTTAACTTCTGTATTAATAATTAGGCTATAATAGGAATATAGGACGAAAAAGGAAGTCTCTGCCTCTGAGATAAAGCTATATACGAACTATACGTGGAAGTTATCAAGGCGTAAATTAAGGCAATGGTAGAAATATTATCTTGAAACTACCAAAGTCTAAGTGAAAGTCCATTCTTATCGATGATCAACTTGAGGAAGCGTGTCTTAGACTTTTTTAGTATCTTCTAGACTAAAGAGTCTCCAGCCGTAAAGAATTCCGCATCCGTCAGGGTAAAATCTATTAATATTATTATAAAAGTAACACTATAAGTTTCAATTAATAAGGAGTTGTCTATACTCCTCCCTAGACTGGTAGGAAATCATTAGTTGAGTTTAATTATAGCATTAAAGAAGCGATTCTATCATGTTTGATTAAGCTGTAAGAGAGTCAAGGGTAGGACAAATACGAGTTAACAACCCTACCTAGTCACAAATCTTCCCAAACAGTATTAGTTCCTCTTCCACCGGCTCCACCCCCGCCTTTTACTTGATAAATACAGAGTATATCACAAATTGACCGCATGCCCCGTTTGTTGATGGGCTATTATCCGGGGTTGATTCCATTGCTGACTCGAGATCGAGCTCTCCCCAGCTTTTAGTACTTTCACGGGGCCAAGTCAATCACGCATCCTCATCACCTCAATCGCGCGGCCTCGCGCTCATCCACGATACTAAGCAGGCTGGCGCAGCCCACGTATTTGCATCATGGCATGCAAGTCCTGTCGCTCAAAAAAGATCAAGTGCGACCGGACGCGGCCGATATGCCAGAATTGCAGGCTGAGATCCATTGCCTGCACCTACGCTGGGGAGAGGCGGACCAAGGAGTGGATGCAGCCCAACGTTGACTCTAGAAGGTTTTCCACTATTCGCACCTCCGAAAACCAACAACTGAATGAGGGAGGCACTCGAAGAGACCATACCACCAACTTCCCTCAATCTGCATCTCCCATGCCCAACCAGCGGCGGGTGTCGTGCACATCCAGCCTCTCGGCTCAAAGGGGCGCGCGCGAAACGCAACAAGAGCAGGACGTCGACATGTTGCAGCCCCAACCTCCGTGGTCCCAGATAAGATCTGATCCGATGACGTGCAATTTCGACCAGATTCCCGGCGGCATGGGCGTTACGGACTCCCACACGCTAATCAATATCAATGCTGGTGAAGACGAAACCCTTCTTGATAGGATCTTAGAGGGCAAGGACGGGGAGTGTACCAAGGACCGGCACCCTGCGCTGTGGATGCGGTCAACCGATGGAGACGAGTATACAGGCCCGTCGTCCGGCATCTCTACCATCTCTGACCTCGGGTTGAACTGGGTGCGGCATAATGTGCCAGACTCGCAAGTTCTCTGCGAAACCATCCAGGACATACGAAACGGCGTGCTCAGTCACCTGCGGCAACCCAAATGCGTCCCACAAGTTCTGCCACTGGTCGTATCGACCCCTTGCAGTCTTAAAGTCAAGGAGACTCCTGACTCGGAGGTCATAAAATACGTTGAAGCGTATTTTGACACCGTCCAGGTCATCTTCCCAGTCCTGGACAGGGATAAATTCTTCTCCCAGTTGGCAACATATGGAACTAGACAAAGCATATCAGAGAACCCATCATGGCAGGCCCTGTTGAGTGCTGTGCTAGCATCCGGCTGTCGAGCTGCACTATCAGCTGAAACAGCCGAGGCCTTCAAGAAGTCGGGACAGGAGGCTTGGGGTTACTTCCAAAACGCGCTATCTTTTGAATCTTGTATCATGCATGGATCCACAGATCTCATGGCAGTTCAGGCCATTGCCATTATGACCATCTTTGCTCAAGGGCTATCAAGCCCACAGCGACTAGAGTACACCTTGAGCTCTAACGCAGCGCGGCTAGCACAGAGCGTGGCGTTGAATCGTCACCCGCCTCCAGATTGGGGTCTTAGTGAAGAGGAGCAGAGGGACCGTAATCGGGTCTTCTGGGTTATATATTGCCTCGATAGGACCATATCCTTACGCTGTGGTCGCCCTGCAGTGATTTCCGACGACGACATCAGCTGCTGCTTCCCGCGAGGCGTTCTCGTCATCCAACACGGGGATCTCGAGCCTCTCGGAGCTCCTGATGTCGACTTTTTTCTCTGTGCGACTAAACTAGCACGCATTGCGGGGAAAGTGTCACGAAAGCTTTACTCGGCATCTGCATTATACACATCGTCTTCTAGCCTGCTTCCCATGATGAATAATCTCTTGAAAGAATTGCATGCATGGCTTAACCTACTCCCTTCTTCAATACGACCTGGACAGCCCCCGAATCGGATGAATAAAACCTTTGGCCTATCACGAGAGCAGATAATTGTGCTTCATCTGAGTTACTACTACCTCCTGTGCTCTATTTACCGTAGATTTACTCCGATTTTTACCCAACACAGCAATAATTTGCAGCCCCTGGTCAACAGCCAAATGCATAGCTCCCACATCGAGGCCGCAAGATCAATGGTACTGCTTACGAAGCATCTCGACATTGAGAGCTTCACCCCTGCGTGGTACGTGATTTAGATCTAATGGGAGATATCCATGCATCTGGAAAGCCACTGGATAATCTTTTCTCTCTCTCGCTAACATGCCCCTTATCCCAATAGGCTCGTGTTTTATTACCCTTTCACCGCCCTCACCACCATTTTTGTCCACATCGTATGCAACCCGCCCGACGACACAACTCAGAGTGACATAGCTCTCATGGAGACCGTTGTTGGCTTTTTCGGGAGACTTGAATATGTCACTTCAGGCGAAGCTGCGTTTACAAAAACGACAGAATTCGTCCGGCAAGCACGCAACATACACAGCAGATACTCCAATGACAGGGCCCAGGCCAGCTTGTGTGAAGCTATTCAGGTCCAAGACAACAATCTATTAATAGAAGTGGCCGGACCACTCCAGTCTTGCATCAACATTACTGACGACAGGCAGATTCAGATTGGTCACAGGTTTGCGGAAAGTCACGATGTTCAGATATCTGGGACAGAAAATGGCCAGATACTTGGGGCAACTCCCCCGCTTACGGCCCCCCTCGAACAAGAAGAGAACTCGGACACGCAGAGTGCGCATCCGGAAATTCACCCACATGACCAGTCACTTTACTCTGACCTGGCTAGCCTCTTGGCACCGCCAGCTGGTGACGCTGCACAAGTGAGCTGGCTTAGGGATTGGGTCTCAGCCGTCTAGGTTCACCGGCGAGAAGCGGCTTGGAGTTCCACTTTTTGGCCCATGGGGAGCGGGCGAGGGCGGAGTAGGCGTAGCTGTGTTATTTATTCCCCTGGACGGCAAATAAGACTGCAACGAATAATCGATCCGACGAATTGTGGGTTTAATTTGCTTCTTCTTAAGCCGAGAAGTTTCTCTTGTAATCTTGAGATATAACTAGGTCTATTCAATCTGGAGAGCAAGATGTACATTGTCTTCCTTTTAGGTAATATTAGGCAACTGTTCTTGATTTCTGTAGATACGCCTTCCCAATTTGACTTTCACTTGCGTATTGATTAGATAATTTATCAGGATTCAGTGCGTTGATTTCAACATTTACATCGCGTTCACCGTTTAGTGTTGATGTACGTGGAGGTCAAGAGGACGACAAAGACGTGGGTGCGCCTACAGGCTTCGCGCTTCGTAGGAGCTTACTGTTATGAGCAATGTTACTACGATCTGTGAGCCTGGCTCTTTAGTCTCATGAGAAATTACTATGAATATTTAACGAGCCCCTGTTTCCTAGTCACTCTGGTCTTTGCGTCACTAGGCTGGAGTGTGAAGCCTGTAGCCGAGCCCGCCCGAACCCGAGCCCGAACCCGTGGGAGCTCTACAATATCTCCACACAGCCAAGCCGTTCAGCCAGCTTCACCTCATGACCGCCCCCCAGTCTTCCTAGGGCGGGGTTCACATGCTCGCTAGATCTGGCATTGGCCTTGGCCCGATCTCGATGCGGGTCTTGAGAGTACTCTCTTCAGCCCCTGCCTGTAACGCCAAGATCATCTCCTCGGCGTCAAAATCTGTGCCGATTGGATTCTCCGCGAATTCATCACTCATCATGAAGTTCGTGGCCTCTTCCACGCTGTTGAAATTATCGACTTGCGTCTCGATCATATTGCCGTCGAGGTCCTTGTAGTAGATGCTGGTTGTCGGGCCATGGTTGACGCACCAGATCGGCTTGATGCCCCGCTTCTTTCGGTGCCGGTAGGCCAGGAGCAAGTCATCCAGAGACTTAAAGGAGAATGCGATATGCTCTAAGCCACAGGTTCTGGGATTCTTCGGCTCCGTGCCTGGAATCCCGAGGAGTGCGATTCTGTGATGTTCTTCATCGTAGGTGATGAAAGTAACTGCGTCGTTACCATATGTGACTGTGCCGCCTAGGAAGCTGGTATAGAAATCAACCATGTTCTTAAGATTGGATGTTCGTAGGACCACATGAGCTAAGGCTGAAGGGCTTAGCACCTTGGTAGCAGGGGCATCAAAGTTTGGCTTTGCGGTAGCAGACATGTTGGGCTCAATGTAGAATTTTGGGTAGAGTGTGGAGGTCAGTCTGAGCGGTCTTATCTTTTGCGATATAGACGCCGCTGGCTGGTCTCATAGATTTTTGTATATCTGGCTTTCGACTGGGTGGGATATCTTATGGTCATATCTCCCGACTCACATCGCGCCGAAGCCGACCCCATGTAGAGCGGCGACGGAGATAGAGGGGTGTGACCGACATAATTGGGCAGAGTCACTTGGCCACTGCCGTCGGCTAAGGCGATCTTCGGTTGATGAAGTAAGCGCACGCTCTCAAAGGCGCATTGATGACCTCTGCACTATCCGTTAGTGGAAGAAGACTAATGTCGCTCAGATTTATCGTTTTTCCACTCCTTCTCACCCTCCCTGTTTCTCTCCGTATTCTCTCATCGCTTCTTTTGTTACCTCTGTAACTCTTTCCACCAGGATCTCATCCCAGCTATGAGCTACGTCACAGAAAACACTACCTGGCTTTCAAATGACATCACTCAGGATGTCAAAGACCTTGTTGCTAAATTTTATGAACTTGCAGACTCCAAGTCAGCCGACGCCGGTCATTTGATGGCGACCGATATCTTCTCAAAGGAAGCAGTCCTGATCGGGCCTCAGGCAACCTTTCGTGGCTTTGAAGGTACCCATTGATTTTACTATAGTTATCTAGTATTTGAAGACCTCTAAGCTGATTCAAGAGAAGAAATCTCAAATTGCCGAGCAGATGCCTGGAAAGCAGTTTCGGCAAGGAGACATGTGGTAAAAAAGGTATTCTTTGGGGTCGATACTTCACAGGAGTTGATCATTCTTGGAGCAATACATTTGGATTTGGTCAACGGCAATATCCTCGATTCTCCATTTTCTTGCCATATTAAACTCGTCACCTATCAGCAAGCGGTACCCAAGGTTCGTATCGCATTCATGGAAGTTTATCCAGTACGCATATCACACCCCTTCGCTCCATCTTAAATTTCTCTGCCCGGTCAAAGCTGACACCTGTAAAAATCAGGGGACCCAGCGTCCGAATTAAAGTCTTCAACGAAAGGGAGCTAAATGTTATACTGAAGAGCCGAGCATACTGAACATTGGAGTCTACTTAGAGATTCATTGAAATAGACTAGTTCCTACTCTGGAAGATATTGAAATGTTTGTCCTCGGCCGGCATTGCCATAGGTCGGATCAAATCATTAGCTGGCATCTTTTATAATTGTTGTACTTTATACTCAAACTTTCACAGCAGTACTGCGGCTGGTTTGTCTTATATAGGTGAGTTAGAGATATGTTGAAATTTCTTCCTAACAATTACGAAGTGCGATGTTCGGTGCAGAGGCGAATCGGCAAATCCACTGACATGTCTGTGGGTCTATTTCAAAGCCAATCCTAGAAGCTCTGGTTTCTCAAGCCACATGGCCACTTCCTGCGCACATCGAGCTATCGTAGCACCATCAAGCACTCGGTGGTCGGCGCTCCAGCTAAGGAGTGCTTTCTTCTTCTTGACGACCTGCTCGATTCCATTCTCGTCGACTTCAAAAGCGGGAACGTCTTCCACTTTCCCAATACCTACAATAGCTGTCATTGGAGACAAGATGACTGGTGCAACGACATTGCCACCAATGCTTCCAATGTTACTAACGGTGAAGGAGGCACCCTTCATCTCGCCTGGGCTGAGTTTACCGGCTCTAGCCAAATATGCTAGGCGTGAGGCTTCTGATGCTATCGTAAGAACCGAGTGATTCTGAATGCCGTGAAGTACTGGCACCAAGAGACCATTCGGAGTGTCGACTGCCAGACCGAAATTATGCGACTTTTTGATAAGCAGAGCCGGGAGACCGTCAGAGGACTCGCTCACGTCCAGTAACGAGTTGACGACGGGGTACTTATTGAGCGCCTGTGAAAGAGCTTTTAGAATAATTGGAAGGAACGTCAGCTTGACGGCTGTGCCTGTCTCATCAGTCAGTCGTGAAGCCAGCGTTTTATCTTCTTTATATCGCTTGATCACGTCAGCCAAAGCAGTCATGTCCACCGTATGAGAATACAAAAAGTGCGGAACCGAGAGCGATGCGGTCATGGACTTGAACATGTGGCTCGGTATGGGTGACAACTTCAATCTTCTGTCTGCTTCTGGCGCGCTTCTCGATGTGGTTGATATCTCCTTGTTACGCTGAGGCCGGCCAGTTTGCAGTTCCACCACATGCCTGGTAATGTCATGCTTCAGAACGCGGCCATCTTTGCCGCTTCCCTGCACATCTGAGATGCTCAGTCCATACTCGCGAAGAAGCCGTCGGACGGCCGGGGTGGTTAACACGGAAGCATAATTCGCCCTAGGCCGGTTTTGTCGAGAACCGGTGCTGATCGAGTCTGTCTGCTGTGCCGAGTTTTTATCAGCGAGGCCCTGGCCTTCTCTTTGAGGATCTGGACGTGTGCAATCTATATCATTGTCATGGTTCTGGTTGGATGGTGTGGGAACTGGCGGAGTGTTATCGAGTTCACCATCTCCAGCTACATCGATGTCTAGGAGAGGCTGTCGGAAGTCAGCTCATTTATCCCTCGCGCCCTCTTTCCACCCTGTCAAGACAACCTACTGAGCCTACTTTGGCCATTTCACCTTCTCTATAGTGTAAGCTTTTAATTTCGCCATCGAATCGTGAAGTAATCTGTCACATTGGCAGACTGTAAGCTCGGGGAATGGGCCTGGAAATGATGAGATAAAAAGAGACATTACCTCGACAGATGCTTTATCCGATTGTACTTCGCAGATTGGGTCAAATTGCTGTACAAGGTCACCCTTCTTAACAGCCCATGATACAATTTGACATTCGGTTATGCCTACGTCGGTGAGGCAATGATGTTAAAATCAACCCGCCATAGGAGATGCTAAGATACCACTACATACCTTCACCAATGTCGGCAAGCAAGTAAGGCTTAATGGCTCTTAGTTTCGACGTGCCGGCAAAGAATCGAAATTGGGTTTTGCTGTAGCTTTGCAAAATGCCTGCCGGGCGGGTCATGCGCCGAAACGGCGTGGACACGACTCTGGACAACATCTGTATCACTCGTTGACGAAGGAATATGGAGAATTTCTTTCATGATCATCAGTTTGGTAAATACAATCCCGCCAGCTTCTAAACACTTCTTAAACCATGGGATTCAATGCCCGCGGTCACTCGGTGATCTGCCTACCGAGGTGGTTGCCGAGGTAAAGTCCAGCGTCGGGGCTGCCATTGTGCAGTCTCCGGTTAACCACCAATTTTGCGGCCTACCGAATGATATCATTAGTTAATCTACCCTTGAATATCCTCCATAGAAGAATCGAAGCTAGTTTCTGACCCGGGGAGTCATTGGCTTACTTCCCTCTTGCCTTCCAAACCCTACAAATCACCGGTCTTGGAGAAATTGTGATGTATTTTCTGCTAGCAACGAGGAGTCTCAAGTGCCGTTGTGTTTGTAGGCCAAAAGCTATCCATGGCATCCTTCAAAGACTTTACACGTCGGGGATGGTCTCCCACGAGGCCTTACTGTGAGTAGTACATCGAGATCCAGATGGAGCGGATGATGGAATATCGGAAAACTGAGCTCGACCTTGATAGCACGCGCTTCCCAGGGGCTGTCGATAGCCCTTTCAGCTCCAAAATGGATTGGGTTGTGCCAGATGAGATGGCATGAATTTCGACTTACCGGGTGCTAAATCAAGTGAATAAAATTGAGGATCCGGCTCAAATATCTGCGCCAATCCCCCCGGAGGACATCATCAAATGGTATAAGAACATGGTCATCGGTTTGAAGCCCCTTTCTTACGCTGATAACGGGGCTGAGCCAGGTACTGACAAACCGTAGTCAATATCATGGACACCATCATGTCCGATGCCCAAAGGCACGGTCGAGTTAGCTTTTACATGGTAAGCTATCGGCCATCTTCCTTGTTAATAAGCATCCAACACTAAATTCAACTAGGCATCACACGGAGAGGAAGGACTGATGGTTGGATCGGCCGCTGCCTTGGGACCGGGCGATGTCATCACCTGCCAGTATCGTGAGCACGGCGTCTTTCTCCAGCGAGGATTCGAGCTCAAGGACTTCATGAGCCAACTAGCTGCCAACGCGAATGATCCAGGAAAAGGTAGGAATATGCCAAACCACTATACAGGTAGAAATAAAGTCGGCGCTGTAAGTTCGATCTCTTTCCAGGAAAAGCCTTTCCGGACTAACCGCTGCAGCATTCCGTCGCGTCCACTCTTGGAACCCAGATTCCTCACGCTGTCGGAGCTGGGTATGCGATGAAGATGAAAGACCGGGTAGACCCGAGTAGGCCCCCTCGCGTGGCAGTCGCCTACTTTGGCGAAGGCGCTGCCAGCGAGGGCGATTTCCATGGTGCTCTCAATATGGCAGCCATGATGAAAAGCCCAGTCATCTTCATCTGTCGCAACAATGGCTACGCAATCTCGACTCCGGCATCAGAACAATACAAAGGTGATGGGATCGCGAGTCGAGGAGCCGGATACGGGATAGAGAGTCTCCGAGTTGACGGCAGTGACGTATTTGCCGTCTACGAAGCAACTAAAGCAGCCAGGCAAAAGGCCCTTGAGAATGGAGGCCGCCCAATTCTTCTTGAGCTAATGAGCTATCGAATGTCCCATCACAGCACTAGTGATGATAGCTCCGCATACCGCAGTGCGGATGAGGTTGCAATATGGAAGGGGTCATCTCAGCGAGACTCGATTCTGCGTCTACGAGAGTGGTTGGAGCACGAGGGACTCTGGAATACTGAGCAGGATAAAGAGTTCAGAAGGCAAACTCGCCGGGATGTCGTTTCGGCATTGGCTGCAGCCGAGAAAGAGAAGAAGCCACATCTTCGCTCCATATTCACTGACGTTTACGCAGAACTTACTGAGGAGGCAAGTGCGCAGCGGGACGAACTGAAGAGAATTATGACGAAGTACCCTGCTGAGTATGACATCGATGACCATGTAGATGGAATATTTGGCTTGTAGTCTATCGCAGAGCTAGCGTAGGAACAGACAAATTATTTTAATCTCAGTACCTTCTAGCACGTGAATTGATAAAGATCTATCCCAGTAGAGATAACGAAAGTTTTCGCCATTAGCCAGAGGCTGCGTATCATCTGGCCTGTATCATTAACGGACTCACGAATGTCCTCATATAGCTCAGGTACGTTATTAATACTTGGTGGCCCATCTACAAGGCAAACTACGATACATATTCTAGTAATCTATTCTGGATATTGGTAACAACCGAGATTTCTCCAGTTGGTGTCAACCACTGCGTGAGATTCAATACAGGCGAGGGCGTTAGATCCTGGGTGGCCTGGGTCAATGGCTCGAAGAGTTCAATACCCTTTCTCCTAAAATTCCTAATGAAACAGAATATCAGAATCAATATCCAATTAGTAGTCCTGACAGCCATAGCGACTAAGTTTAGAAGATAACCCGCGCAGTGTAAAAGACCATAATCTGGAATACCGAGACACTCGTTGGTATTTAACTAAAAATAACAATCAAAACATCGTCGAAGGTCAAAATGACTCTAGCATAAAAAAATCAATCTTGGGCTGTGTCTGGCATCCATGTGCTAAAAGCCATGCCCTCAGGAACCTTCTTCCACTGCAATGTGTCCGGGTCTAAAAACTGTTTGCATTCTTCAACTGAATCCCTGATGATCTGAGCCTTCTCAGCAGAGCGAGGTTTGATAATAGCAGGGTAATCGGAAGGCTGGACCGTGATCCCTCCAACCAAGTCTTCGATGTCGTATTGAACTGGAGCTCCTTTGGCGTCCACTGGTCGTTCGAAATTGAATGCCCACATTAGTCGGGAAATCCCCAAAAAGAGAGATCGTTCGGCAATATGAATCCCTTGACAGAGGCGGCGGCCTGTCCCAAACACAAAGTTATCTCGGTTCTTTGTATTCCCAACAGCAGATTGGTACAAAGAAGTATCATCGCCTTTGAAGCGTTCAGGTTTGAAGACTCTGGGATTCTCAGATCGCTCTGGGTCCATGTGAATTGCCCTGGAATATATCGTTAGTGTCTGATGGCTAAACAGAGTCTGCTACTTCCTTACCAAACATTGTTTACAACGGTCGCACCCTGTGGTATGACATAGCCATTGTACGTATCTTCCTTAATGGCGGCATGAGGTACCCCGAGAATGACGGTAGGCATCCAGCGAAGACTCTCCTTTATGCAGCAACGAATGTAAGGGAGACTGTCGTAGTCATCTATCGTAGGAAGGCGGCTAGGACCCACGACTCGATCAATCTCTTCTTGGGCCCTTCGCTGGACTTCAGGCCAAACGAGAGCGGCCTGAATGAAACCATACAAAGTCGATGCAGTCGTATCTGAACCCGCTTCTAGTAGTGAGCCACTGATGTATCCCGCAGCATCATCGCTGAATCCTTCTTGCGACTGAACTCTGTAGATGTCGTTACAGAAACAAGGCTGCAAGTTTCGGTTAATAAGGAGTTATCCAATGCCATGATGCCTCCGTATAGCTTTAATTATACATACCAAGCCTTTGCCACTGTCAAGTGCCTTCTTCGACCTCATCCAATGGCCAACGTAGTTCTTTCTTTCAATCTCAAAAAGCTTCTTTGCGTAACTAACGTTCGGCGTCATGAAATCCGGTAGTTTTTGAAGAACAGGGAAAAGGTCTGCTATCTGGGCACTGGAGCTCCCTGCAAGCTTCCCCCAATTTTCGAAGCTCTGCCCGTGTTAGCGGATCATTAAGTGAAAAGAATAAGTGTCTCACCTCAAACAATTGCAAGAGATTTGGGTCCCTGTTATTGACGCAGCGGTAACCGAAAATCATTTGGGTAGAAAGTGAGTATGTGAATCGTCGAATATGTGGCAAAAAGTCAGCCGGAGTATCAAGAAGACCTTCCAGAAGGAATTTGTTTTCGAGGTCTTGATAAGGGACGTAGGTCACTGCAGCCTTGATATTCATTATGTTGTGTATCATTCGGTGGATCATCCGCCAGTTATCGCCATATCTCTATATCGTTGAAAGTAAGTATATCATCCGTCCATGCTATCGAGGCACTTACCATGACAACAAGTCGAAGATTTCCGCTGGCAATCTTTTGTCCAATGAACATGTCAGGCCTGTCTGAATAGTTCCCACTCTTCTTTACCAGCACATCTGAAATTGCATCATCTGAAGAGAGTACGATCATGACTTTTGTTCCAAGAACCAGGGAATAGATGGGTCTATCAGAGCGAGATGTTAGTGTTATGCTCCGAACCGTGGCTGTGCGGCAATTACCCGTATTTTTTGGCCCATTTTTGCAGTTGAACATGTGGTCGAAAAATGGGCATCTATTTAAATTAGCGAAACCCAAGTCTAGATAGGGAGAGGTCAAACGAACAAGATGTAAGTTTCCCAAAAGCGGCAGTGTTGGCGGACCCGGCGGTAGATTCGAGGCCCTGGATCCAACCCTCCCCATTTTGAACAGACAAAACAACACCGAAAGAGAGAATACAAGGGTGACGATGAGATCGTGAGCCATTTTTCCGTTGAATTATATCAATGACCCAAAGCTAAGTTGAGTTTTTCTGCGAGTCTAGAGTTATTCCTCAGTGTTAGGCTTGATAGTAAATCCAGACGATTGGTTTAAGTACTTGTACGCACTACCTAGCAACCTGATGGCTGATTCATACCCTTTGGTTGATTCAGAAGTATAACGGTATGCCCAAAAGAGCTAGTTATTCCAACTGCGGAAAGCAGATGCGGGGAAGCTGGATGTTTACAAACACTGCTCGTATTATTCGCGGCGAATGGGGCTGATCTGAAGCCGGTCTGGGGTAGCGGCACCAGTACTGTCTCAGAAGACCCAGCTAGATGAACCTGCGGTCTTAAAAGCTTAGAATAACAGGCTAGACCCGGGTTGCGAAGCCGAGCCCGGGCCGGCTAAGCAGCATACAGTTCCGGGAGGAAGAGCGAGCCCCCCCCTCCAACCGACGGGGTTACCGCTTTTGACTTGCCTATTACAAACGTACATGCAGGTCACATGCTTTCATGTGAGGGTGTGTGACATTTCAGAAATATTTGGTTGTGATTGAGCCCCGAGTGTACGACCCCCAGACAGGGATTAGATTATCCAGGCTTATTAACCATGGTTAATAACTAATTGGACTTCATTGACCGGGCTTATCTTTGGTTAGAGCTGCTAGAAAGGGCGTCTAGGTACCCGCGGCAACCACATGCTTGCCTCATATGCTTGAAAGGAAGCGTAATTGGTGCATGTGGTAAATGGGCTTAGCTTGTAAAGAAAAGATTTGGATCCTCCTGCATCGACTTCATTCAAACTAGGAGTCACAGTCTTCTAAAAATCATAATGCTACCAGTGAGAGGTTCCTTGGGGATGTCTAGTTGCTTCCCAGCACGACAAATATCTAGATATACGACCCCCGCCAGCGCCCAATCCAAGCGCCGTTTGAACTTACCGGTCAACTTTGAAACAACGCCGTTACTTCACCATACGAATAATTCATTTGCTAATATTCCAGGACTGTCCAAAGCTGGGCCTTCATCACGACTAAATCTCTGTCAATCGATCAACTCTGCTTTATTCTCGGCAATGAGATCTTCAGACGAGGTACTGTGCTTCGGACAAGATGTCGCTTTCGGTGGAGTTTTCCGATGCACCGCAGGCCTTCTAGACCAGTTCGGCCGAGATAGAGTATTCAACTCGCCCATAACCGAACAAGGGATGGTCGGTGTGGCGATTGGGGCTGCTGCAGAAGGTATGAAGCCGGTAGTCGAGATTCAGTTTGCAGACTATGTGTTCCCAGCCTTCGATCAGATCGTAAACGAAGCCGCCAAGATTCGTTATCGTGAAGGGACAAGCGGCGCGAACCTAGGAGGCCTTGTGATTCGCATGCCCTGCGGTGGTGTTGGTCACGGCGCATTGTATGTAACATCGATATCAAAAACTTCTAGGAGAGCTGTGTAGCCAGCTAAAACGAGTCATTTCAGGTATCACACCCAGTCTCCCGAGTCTCTATTCAGTCACATACCAGGCTTTCGAGTTGTTATGCCCAGGTCTCCAACGCAAGCAAAGGGCCTCCTCCTCTCCAGTATCCTCCAGTCCAAGGATCCGGTTATTTTCATGGAACCTAAAATTCTATACCGAGCTGCGACCGAGGAAGTCCCGATAGAGGATTATACTCTGCCACTCGACAAGGCCGAAATCCTCAGCCAAGGTAGCGACTTGACTATTATCTCCTACGGTCGTCCTCTCTACACATGTCAGGTTGCCATTGAGGCAGCCAAACAGGACATGCCAGGGTTGAGTGTTGAGCTTATCGACCTTCGTTCTATATATCCTTGGGACAGACAAACCGTCTTGGACAGTGTTCGTAAAACGGGACGAGCTATGATTGTCCATGAAAGTATGGTCAACTTCGGCGTCGGAGCTGAAATCGCGGCGACAATACAGGAAACCTCACTATACCATCTACTAGCACGGGTGCGAAGGCTAGGAGGCTGGACCACACACACGGGGTTGACGTATGAGAAGTACATCTTCCCTGATATTACTAGTAAGTCCCCGTGCCAAAAATCTTATTCTTCCGTAGTACGCAGCTCAGTGATTGATTCTCTCACAGGGGTCTATGATGGGATACTTGAGATTATGCAAGATGAATAATTGCCCATATCTCTGGCTTGCCTTTTTGGATCAATACATAACGAGCTCAAACATCCTTCAGAAAGATTTCTCATTGAATATTAAAATTATCCGGAATTCGATAGCAGCTAGATGTATTGATTTTTCGTGACTCGACCGTTCTAGGCCCCCCACCCAGGGGCAGGTGTTAGAAGAGAGAAATGGGATGAAGTAATAAATTTCTATCATATCTTTCGGGCGTATGATACATAGGTTCTTCTCAAATTATCAATATGTTACCACGAAGCTTCGCATCATAATGTTTCGTCACCCTCAAAGATTATGACTAGTTATATTAGATTCGCATGACTCCCTACTCTCGGCCGAAGGCTACTGTAGGTGGATATATAGAACGCCAGTAGAAACACCTCGTTGCTCAGCTTTGGTTTGGAAGAAAATAAAACATGCCAGCAGCTCATGGGATTATGGAATACGTCTCCATGAGTCAGCACCGGTGTATTTAGCTTTACGCTGCTCTTCGGCATCTCAAGATGTGAGTCAGGCAGAAGCCCCCCTGCACGGATGCTTCTGCCCAGTCCGTCCCCGAACCCGAACCCGAAGCTACCCCTACCTCCTGACGTCCAGCAGTAGACTAATAGTTGACAGGCGTAGTCTTCTGCAGCATGCGTAATTCTACCACATTCCAACGCAGGCTTGTAATTACTCCGATTCATAGAAGTATCAATCATCAGGGTAGTTGGGAGTAACTACAGGCCCAAGCCACAATTCGCTAATTTATACCATGATCCAATTTACCAGTCTCTTCCGCTTCCGAGGTGAGGATGGCGGTATTCATTATGGCGAAGCCGGCGCATCTCTCAATCATACTAGAGATAGTCTTACTGGTCGGCTCGTCCGCATTTTCCAAGGAGGGATTCCTTGGGATGAGGGATTCAAGTTAAGTGAGAGCCGCCGCAAAGTGGTAGAGGTAACGTCTCTGTTCTTGCACGTGAAGCAGCCGAGATCAAAGTTGACGTTGTGGAACTCCAAGGTACTCTGCCCCCTACCACACACACCCATATTCATTTGTATCGGCCTGAACTACAAACAGCACGCAAGCGAGGCTGGGGTAAGCTGGCCATCTCGACTAAAGTATGCCTTACTAGTGCAATCTAACAGACGCAGATGAGCTACGGAGAATACCCCGTAGTCTTCACAAAGCCTCCTGGTAGGCTCTTGTTTCTTTCTAAGTAGACTTAGAAATCTAATAGCTTGCTATAGATGCGCTCGCAGGACCCTTCGAAAGTATCCTCATCCCAGCCATTTGTCATTCTATGGACTACGAGGTAAAAGGAGCAATTATGTTTCATATTCCGTTTGAGGGTCGATCCGCTGACATTAGTGCTCCCCGAGGCCGAACTATGCCTGGTGATAGGCAAAGACTGTAAAGACTTCAAGGCCGATAATGACATTTCGGAGTACATTCTTGGTTACACCGTGGGCAATGATCTATCATCCCGGTATTGGCAGAACCCCGAGCGTTGTGGTGGTCAGCATGGAAGTGCCAAGTCATTTGACAAGTTTGCACCCATTGGTCCCGTCATCACCTCTACCAAGACTATTCCAAACCTAGCAACTCTTCAACTAGAATGCTTTGTCAATGGGGACAAGAGGCAGTCTAGCAAGCTGGATGACCTCATCTTTGACGCACCGGCCATTCTGGCACATTTGACCAGGGGAACAACACTTCGGAAGGGTACGGTTATCATGACAGGAACCCCCAGCGGCGTGGCAGCTTTTATGAAACCACCCGCGTGGCTGCAGGACGGGGACGTGGTCGAAGTACGCCTTGACCATGTTGGGTCAATTAAAAACAAAATATCGTTAGAGACTGCGGCTTAACTTCAATGGCACATAATGATTCGACTGTGGTTGACAGGAGGTATGTTAGACAGCTAGGGAATCAATATTTCAGAATCAGAGTCAAGAAAAGCGTCTATCACTGAAAGTCTCCTTATGAGGCATGCATCAACCTAACAATCATTCCAATATGAGTATTTGAGCAATTAATGGATATATGTGAATCTGCGGGTGATAGCAATGTTGGTAACCCCAGAGGCTGCATTTGTATCGATGATGCCTAGCGTTCCTCTACACCAAGTAGGCAGACGAGGGTGGGCGGAGATTCTGGATAAGGAAGGGAAATGAATTAAACTCAGGAGGTTACAGCAACAAACGAATGTTCGCAATACATTAAGTGCTGTTGGAAACTTAGATTAAAAACGAATGGACACTCCAAAGTAAAGAGGGGGATGTTTAAGAAAGACAGAAATCCATCAGCACCATTGATCTAGCTAAACAAATACTAGCATGTTCAAATTTCCCGAATCGGTGCAGCCACCAACCATAAAGCATCATAGCCCAAGGAGCCGTTTGCCTAGCTGATTCTATAAGTCTTGTAATATGATACCTGGTGTTTTCATCATTGAAGTTTATTCTGTTGGCTTTCTATCTCAGCCATGATCATGGAAGGCCCGTTGACTTGCGAAGCCATTTCCACGCCCGGGGTGAGTTGCTCAAGGGGCCCGGATACTTCTGTAAACAACGGCAACTGAGTCCATTCGGCTCGACCAGTAACGATCCGGAGGATTTCGTGAGCGTCTTCGATAGAATCAAGCTTGTCGGATCTCCAGGCAACATGCTGGTCGGGACGAATGAGCACGAGATCCTTTTCATAAAGCTTTCCAGCATACTCCTCCTTGGACAAATCCACCAGCACGAGGGGCAATGAGGATTCTGTCGCTGCATTCACTAGGTGATGTTGACCGACATCACCTACAATGAAAACCAAAAGCGTCCAATTTTTACCAAACTCATCAAAAATGGCAGTTCCATCCGAGAGAAACAGGTGGGGTGGCCGGCCTCCAGGCCATGTCGTAGGTGTGTAGTGACGAGGGATGAATGGTGGCTCGTCGCCATCACTCTTGCTGACCATAATAAGAGGAGATGAGTATCGATAACCCATCTCAATGCCTAAATCCTTGTTCTCTCCATCATTGATCTGGTAGTACTCGTGTAGCTTCTGACGCAAAGTGCGACCTTCATCGGTTTCAGAGTCCAGCCGGCGAGGGTCGCCACTTCCTATCATCTCCTGGAGTTGGCTGTGAACTTGGAAGTGAATTCCTGAGCGTTCGACGTTTCGAAGAGCGACAGGCTTTCGTTCCAACTCGTATGATCGGAGCAATCCGTCGCCTCCGTGCCCATTGATAACCGAGGCGAGTTTCCAACCTAGATCGAAGGCGTCGCCGATTCCCATATTCATTCCATAACCTCCAGTGGGGATATTCTGGTGCGCCGAGTCTCCCGCAAGGAAGATTCGCAGCGACGGGCTGCTCCAGTGACGTGTGACCGCAATAGTTGGTCGCCAAATAGATCGGACCAATATCTCGTCAACCGTAATTTTGTACGGTCCATGGACGCCACCAAGTGCGCGGTAAATGGCATCATGGGAATCAATCTTCTCAGGCTCTGCATCCAGAGGCAAAAACAGATGGATGGTCCATGTATCCTTCTCGTCTTGGGATATTATGGCTGCTTCAAATCCTCCGGACTCGCCGAGGAAAAACATATGCCAAAATCGCCCTTGCTTGTGAAGGTGGGCCAAATCGCGGGATTTGAAGTGCACCAAAAGGGCACATGATGGGCTACAGGCGTTTAGTTAGATTCCGTTGATTGCGAAGAGGGGTTATAAACATTGACTCACATTGGGCCTCCATCCACAGGGGTTGAGAGACAGCTGCGAACTCTACTGGACCCCCCGTCGCATCCTGCCATGTACTCAGACCTCCAATGTGATTCTTCCCCAGTTTTGATATTTGTGACCACAGCTTCTACCAAGTTGTTCTTCTCCTCGACAGACTCAACCTTATACCCGTAATTCAGGTCAATCAAAGGATCCTTGTCGCAAATGGCTTTGAGCCATTTCTCAAATATCGCTTGGGATACCCGTTGCCACGGCTCCTGGGGCTGAGTACCGTCGTTCGTTTGTCGAATCTGCTCCCGGAATTTGGTTACTCCAGGCAATGCCCAGCTAGTAATGGGTGTGTCTGCAGAAAGACCGCTTGAGATCAAGACGTCCTGGTCAATTTCAGCTGCTACACCTTGCCTCCGCAGGTCTTCCTCCAAGCCAAGTTTCCGGAAAATCTCCATTGATCTTCCGTTAGTAAGGTCCATCTTAGGCCACTTTGTTGTGGACTCGTTGCGTTCAAACAACACAGAATTAACACCATGGAAGGAAAGAACACGTGCCAGCAGGAGACCGATTGGCCCTCCGCCTGCGATTACCACGTATCCCGAAGGCAGATGGTGTGTGAGGGGTTCGGAAGGTCTTTGTGAAAAAGACATGGCGATAATCAGGGCTCCAGGTTACAACTCGAAGATGACTGACTTGGAAGCGGCAGTGGGAAGTCAAGACGTTAATTATGACTTTCAAGGACTATACAGCCCCGAAATTGCGAACTAAATCACGCTTATCGCCCTTCCGTACTAAACGTTTTATGGACCTCTAGACGGAACACTCTTAATGAACGAGCTTTAGGCTCAACATCGGTCGTTGCCGAAGTGTGTTGTGGCATCGTACAATCAGAAGTGCCCATTTTCTCAATGCTACTTCCAATCGCATAACTATCCGGGCATAATGACATGACATCTCCTTCAGCCCCAGCCCGAGCCCGAGTGTGTGGAGACCACCGGCGACACCGAATGGGGCCGAACCCGATAGCATTCATTTTGCGGGAAACATTTTCCACGGCAATCACCCTCCATCGCGCACTTTTGATGCCGAGAGACTGGAACCAGTTTCTTCGTCTCATGAAATTCCATGTAGTGTCTTGGTATACCATACGAAATGGTGTATCCAGGTAGTGGCGCAGATTTGCGACCAATACTAAACTGTTATTATGAGGTAGGTGCTAGACACAATACTCCTAGAGCATAAAACGAGGATACGAGTCAACTGAAGAATTAAATTCTACCTTACTTATAGTGATCATCCATTGCTATATCCCCTCGGATACTGTTTGTGGAATCTCCAAGAATCCTTAGGCATGTCCCTTACAGAGACGGCGAGCCCTCCCGGAGTTGCAGCAAGATGGTTTACCTTCGTCGCATCTCATGCGGCGCTTCTTATAAGTGGTTCAACCAGTTCTGAACTTACATGTGCTTGTGCGAGAGCGCCTTGCCTTGCCAGAGTCATAAGGAGGGCCATCAAGAATGACAAGCCCTAAGTCCTGTTTCGCCCAGGGCATGGCCCGAATACTCCGGCTATCAACGTGACCCCGGTGAGTTTTCTGAAAGACCCTACAGCTAGCTCCATACATCTCGGAGAGGCTGCTGGCTTCGAAATCGTCAGCGATAGTCACCCACTGAAGGGTCGAGTGATAACCTGAAACATCAACAATCGCCGATGAAGATTTTAACCTATTACCGTACGTAAGAGAAATGTATATAAACTTCAACAGCAATGAAAGATGCCAGAGCCCAATATCTCAACACAATGAAGACGAAACCTATCACTGTAAATACCCCGATGGGCTTTTAGACCACCCTCAACGAGGTCGGTTGCTACCCTGTAGCTACGTCTTGTTGAAGTAAACTGCAAACAATCTCGTTTCCAATCTCTCCTGCCGCTCCAATGACGACCACAACGTGGGAAGATGCCATTTTACAAGTATTATAGGGACGTGTATTACGGTTGGCCCAGCTGTGACAGCAAGACTGCTGGTATTGTACTCAGGAAGAACGTCATCATGTTATTGGCGGGAACTAGACCCCCTGTTGACCCCGGATTTAGAAATCCCACGATCTACCAACTAAGTAAGAGGGACTTTTTATGTGACTCCATAGCTCCCGGACTGGGGGGCTTACTCTCCCAATACCATAGAGTCTAACTTCTATCTCCTCACAAGGGACACTCATTGCCTAGCGGTGAGAGATTACTAACACCTTTTCACACTTGGACATATTTCCTTTCTTAGAGGGCTATCTAATCATAAAACGACAACTGGCCATCTCTTAACACCCCGAAATAGTAAAATAGCAAGCATCGTTATGCTTCAAGATAATAAGCCCTCTCTAAACAGCCTTACATACTGGCCTGAGAACCATAGGGCTTACCGGATTCACCATGAGCGCCGTTCTCGACCCGCCTGATGCGCTCCCTGAGCTGAGCCTTTTGGCGACGACGCCAGAGCAAGGCAGCAGCACCAATGACCAGTCCTACACCAGCCACACTGCCGACTACGATACCTGCAATCGCCCCACCGCTGAGCTGAGAACCACCGGAGGAGCCAGAATCAGAGGATGAGGATTGATCCTCTGAGCTTCCTGATGAAGTTGGCTTATGGATACTAGTAGCACTAGGGTTGGCAGTAACACCACCCTTCTTCTTATCATCTTGTCCGGGCTCAGTAGCATTGAAACAGGGGATTCGGAATTTGAAATCGGCCGCATTTACAAAGGTGATGTCGGAGCAAGCGTAAAAGGTCTGGTTATGGGGCGCATCCCAGTCGGCACGGTAGATAATCTGGAACGTCGCCTTGTCACCAGCCTTGACCGATGAGGAAATTCCGGTAAGGTTCACGCAGGTGTGGCCTGGGTTAAGATCAGAGATCTCCTTCGTCTGAAGGAGGGTGCTGAAATCATCGTTGGATTTTGGAGCTATATTTGACAACATATCTTAGTTTGACAGACCTCAAAGCTTTACCAAACTTGAAAGGGTTGGTAGGCTCATATAGTATATAAGGAATGGAATACTCACCATCAGAGTAAGAGATACTAATCCTTGCATCATAATAGTCGTCTTGGGCGACCAGTGCAACCGCGCCACCCGCTGAAAATGAAGAGTTAGTTCTGAAGTGAAAGTATATAACGAAGTAGCCACTTACTGATGGGGAAATTAGTTCGGTTGCCAACTGATTCGTGTGATCCGCAGGGAGGCTGGTTGTCAATGTCCCCAGACCATACCCTGTCAGGAGGCCACATAAAAGCAGCCGGTCCCATCTTGCCATCGGTTACACTGGCCCCCGAGAATTCCTCTTGCGAGTCTCCGAAAGCAAAGGCCACTAGACCCAGGGAGACTAGGTTCCTCATCATCGTAGGGAAGTACATGTTGATAGCGCAAGGGACAATGATGGTGAAACTGAGGAAATCAAGAGGAAAGGATCAGAGGGACAAAAGTAAACGAAGCAAAGCTAAAACATAACATATATTAATACTTACCAAAGGGTGTGAATTCTATCACGCTATGCGTGATTTACTTGCTTGAGCGAACCTTGGCATTCCTAAAAAGTCCAGCTATATACTACTGTAGTCTGGCTGTTAGCTTCACATCTTTACATCGCCTGGTTTCATAGGATAAAAGTAATCAGATGATCTGATAAGATTGGATCCCTTACAAATGGAACTCTAACGGATAGGAGTGGATACCATAAGGTCTTGGTCGGGAAAACTCTCCACCAAGTTGCCTCCCTTTCTCATCCTGTGCCTTGTTTTGTCAAAATCTAGAGCCTTGGCTATCAATGCTTGCTGGCTCCTTTACGCCACGTCGAATGGATGCGTCGTCAACAGTCCCACCCAGCAGTTTGCTCCGGGCCGATTGTCCGTTTACGTGATAAGTTCGGAGATAATCCTTGCAAGCCAAGGTAGTATCGGCGCAAGCGTGGTTCGTATTTTATCCTAGACGGGCAGTATTGGTTGGATCGAGACCTGGCGGATACGCGCTAGAGGATTCTATCAGATGATCTGATAAGATCCTGTTCTACTATTGGTCTTCCGCGGGCTCCGAAGGGCGATTCTCACTCATCGAGCTCGTCTCTTCTGGACCGTAATCCTTATACAAGGAAGAAATTAAGGCGGCGACTCGATGTGACAGGATGCTACCGGGAGATTGCAACCCGAATCACTTTGGCGAGGAACGTAGCTTCGGAGAAAGTACATATACGCCACTTCGCCTTGCCAAATTTTAAGATATTCAGCCACAGCTCCCACCATTTATACTCATTTCATACTTCTTTTGAAATCTCGCTTGTCTCTCGATTTTGCCAAAATGTACAAGTCAGTCACCATTCAACTCCTGTTATCCTCGGCGATGCTCGTGACTGCATTGCAGCCTCGCTTTGAGTATCCCGAGGAGGTCCCTGCTCTTGAAAGGCGCCAAGAGCCAGGCACACCCCGCTACCAGTGCCATGAGGATTGCGGTATGGCCCTTCCTGGCCCCATCCTTGGGCCAGACCAACCAAATTGCGGAGCCACATGCTAACAAACCTACTCTTTATGTTACATTAGGCCTTCTCATAACCCTTGGCCGTCAAGATGGTTACTGCAAGAACTCCGAGTGGAACGAGCGTTACGGGCGCTGCATGATATGTGCCAACACCTTTGGTATCTGGGAGTACTATGGAAATAGTGTTACTAAAGCTGCTAAGGGCTGTGGCCTCTCCCCTACCCCTAGCCCCTCTGGCACGACGGCTTCTAGTACGAGCGCTGCCGCCGGACAGACTTCGACTTCCAACGCCCCTGGACAGACCTCAGCCATCAAGACTAGCTCAGCTGCTCAAACTACTGGACAGAGCGGTTCTGCTGTGACGTCCAATGCTGCTTCTACTGCGGGACAGATCAGTAATGCCAGTACTCTATCAACCGTTTCGACTCGTGCTAGTACTCCTGGTGTATCCTCCGGGTCTTCTTCAATTCCAGTCACGACCCCTCGCCCTAGCGGAAGCTCTGTACGTATTCGGAAGGTGTTAGTCTTGCTTTCCAGTTCTTTGCTAATGCATTTTGTAGGCTGCTACGCCGTCACCCCCCGTGCAGAGTGCTGCTGCAGACCATGTCCACTTCGCCACACCCCTTATGGCCGCTGTCGTGATTGCCCTGGCTGGCCTTTACTAGCGGACTTGTATTAATTTTACTTGAGTCTCTAAGACATAGATGGTCTGAATTTAGTGATGGGAATTTATGCGAATCCACTGAAGATATGTTATGAAACTTGCACCTTCTCTAAGACATATCTACCTGCTGCCTTGATGGATAAATAAGGGCCCTGCTCACCTGCTCAGAAGCGACAGACTCGGAAATAAAGATAAATTTGCCTTAGGAAGGCTCGCTTAAGCCTACAAGCTAAGTAACTCGCGAAAATTCTCACATAGGCAATATATGTTCCAATAGTAATAACTCTATAAATCTAAATATAGGCCGCTATATATCGAATTGTGAACACTCCGGGGTAGTGATCCGCGGAACCCGAGAGGTCCCTGAAGTATACTTTAACAGTAAAAACAATATTCCGAAGAAGCCGAGGCTACGCCCCCGCCCTAGTCCCTATCCTATAGACACTATAGGGCGATGAAACAAATTGGACGGTTTTCGGCTTCCTACATCTATACCCCTCTGTTATCTTATCCCGAAACTAACTGCTTTGTGAGTTGCGGGCAGGCAGGGTTTAGCCAGTCGTTTTTACTGCTAATGTATCCCTATTCTTATTAATTAAGACCAGCTACTCGGGAAAGACTCAGGTTGCATAATACTATTACGGATCATTCAATCCTAGTAGCTGGTCCCAACACCTTTTACATTTATTCAGTTTGCAGTCTGCAATATGCTCGCGGTACGTGAGCACAGCAGCTGCAGATCTTAGTCATATCGCCAGCTCTGTCTTGATTAGTATCGCTAACAAGTAGATTGTGGATTTACGCATAGTGTGTCGGTTGCAGAACCTGGAAGGTATCACTCCTAGCCTCCCTCCCTGCCTCCCTCCCTGCCTCCCTCCCTTCACTGTACCTTTGTGATCGTCGATACTGGAAAATCAGCCTGCTGATACAATGCCAGATACGATGCGACCGCACCAAGCCGGCCTGCGATGGATGCCGCGCCCGCGCACAGAAATGTATCTATCCTGAGCGCAGGAAGAGAATGACCACAGGAGGCACTCCAGGCACTGGAATGGGCGAATCAGTTCTTAATGGCCTTTTCGAGAGACTTTCTCGGGTCGAACAACGTTGTCTGCGACTCGATTTGACCTCAGGGGCGTTGACGTCCTCGCCTACCTCGGAGCCCCTCTTGGAATATCATGCATCACTTCACAGTGATAACGACTCCAGGTTCAGTATTCCAAAACCTTTGGACTCACTAGTTGATCCGGCTGTGTGTCTCCAGCAAGCACTTCAAGAGGATCTTCAACTTAAACAGCATCATAGTACTGCTCGGCCATCGTCCTCCCCCGAGCAGGATATTCCTTGCGAGCTCGCAAGAGCCCGCATTCAAAGTGCGCCCGGAACTTCTACCGTTGTATATGACCAACTCACTAAATGACCTGAGATTTTTTTCAAATTCTATCATATCGAGACATTTTCGAGGTGTATTAACATCAAGCTCATATACCTGATCCCCGACATCGTTAACATGTCAGAGGTTACCATCGACCCAGCAACCCTCGTCCTTTATCACAGCATTCTCTATCATGGATCCTTAATGCTTCTAGAAGGGTCTACAGGTCTTAAACACGTGGGCCTAACGCAACAGATTTACGGTTGTTGTCTAGCCATGTTTCCATTATGGAAAGATCGTATTTCAGGTACCAATACTAACCTGGTCACCGCTATTCTCCTCGTATGCATTCTTTCTCACGCCTCCCCATGTAGCCTGTGTTACTGGCTGATCAAGTAATATTTACTGGTTTAGATGAGAGCCTCATTCCAACAGAGCGATTTCGATTTCAGCTGGGATACATATAGCATCGTGTACCAGTGCATTATACAGCTGAACCTACACAATATTGATCAAGGTCGTTCATCTGATGATCGACTCGGTATTGACCCACTTGATCGGCAAGTCGATGGACAGGCGCCTATAGCAGCCTATATAACCAAGTAAGCAGAGGCTGTGTATGATGCATCATGTGCTTCGAATGACAGCGAATAACACAGGCTCAAGGCAGAACGGATACTCGGTTGAAAATGAAGCGAATGAATGAATGAAATTTATTATGCCCGGGAGGACTAAGCCTTATGGGGCTATAATACTAAACTATTTGCCTTTCGGTACAAACAGTGCAGTCCGATTAACCAACCGGTCCAACAAAACCACACCAGTTAGTCCTATTTAGGAAACCCCCTTGCCATTGACATGGATGGTTGACCTTCCTTGTCTCTTTTCCAAGCCTCGCATCCCAACGACCCGGCCAAATGGTCTAGGGGCAAGTCTCCCCGCTTCTAATAAGCTTACTGGACGTGTAAGTGCTTAATAAGTTAGTTGCTGATACATGTCGTAGTAACATATGTGAATACCAAACTCAAGCACGACAGGGACCGAAATCCTCTTCCCCAAGTAAGCAAGGTATATGTCATTATGTGTGAATTAGTATCTATCTCTGGGAACGAAAGGTGGCTGGACGGCATTTGACGCAGCTTCGTGTGGGTTGTCTGTCTGAGTATATCGCTCCAGCAACGCCTTTGTGACAGACGCAGCCGTCGCAGCCGCAAAGGCCTGCCAGCTCTTGTTCTTGTGACTGTCGGCATAGTCACAGACACCCTTGGCGACAATGCAGGGAATCTCATCGAGGACACCGGCACCCTCCATCTCAAATGCCAGGATTCCATGTTCCTCGGCGATTTTATCACGTACTTCTCCCGATTTGATCACCATATCGCCCGATCCGACGCGGCCCACGAATATGAGAGGGGCCTGTGCCTCTTTGGTGCGCCCATCGCTCTCCAGTTGCCGCTTCTCTGTGATTCGTTGCCTTGGCACGATGCGGTCGGCGTGACAGCCAAGATGACTGCACGTCATCTTACTGGATTCATCGCAAACAGGGTCCGAGGCTTTGAAGCAAGCAGCGCAGACACATTCTTCTTTCGTAGAGTAATGTTTATGCCTGAAGCTTGCCTCGAAGAGATTATCATTGTCGGCTCCAGGATACTCATAATTCGCTCGGCGGCGACGTCCGCCTCGTGAGTTTCCCTGAAGCTCTTCAAGGAAGAAAGCTGCGCGTTGCTCGATTCGTTCGCGTATCAGGTCGGTTTCTAACAGACTCACCAGATTCCGAATATTCCTGGTTGGTCTTCCAACTGCGTCTTCGAGGGTATCTTTCATCGCAAAGCGATCAGGATAGAGCCTGCCATGGTCGTATTGCAAAACAGTCTTGCTTATTACAACATCACCGAGGAGTAACTCTTCGTCAGTCCCTGGTCTGGGAACCCCACCACAGATCCCGGTCAGCATCACGAGTCTCAGCCCTGGAAAGCTCCCTCGAAGGCTTGCAGCTGAGCCCGCAGCGCTAATCTTTCCCATGTTCGGAAGCAGAGCCAATACGACGTTGAATTTCCCAATGCGCCCAGTCGTGTATGTGTTCTCGTCCCCAACCGCCCTTCCGTACACGTCGCCTTCTTCATCCCAGAATTGATCCACCAGAAGCGAAACGGCATTGAATTCAATCGGCAGGGCACAAACGACTGCAATCTCAAAATCCTTCCGACGGGTTGGACGGCAAGTAATAGTGGGCACAATCATCTGGTCCGATGCCTGGATCTTGATGCCGTGGGTAAACGATTCGGTGACTCCTCTCATCGCAAGTGTAGACACCCCGGAGAACGGCGATCCATGCATCTCGTCCGTGCGCTCTCTCTTGCAAATGGAGGCTTTCGAGAATACCCGTTTCGCCCTCCTTCGGCTCCCAGTCCAAGAGCTGGGCAGTTGACGGTGATCCTGACTTTCGGCCGGTGGAGGTGACTCTGATCGCCGTCGTTTGAGATCCGACCTAGGCGTGGCCTCAGAAAGCCCCTGTTCCAGCTTTTGAACAATTTCCTTGTAAATCTTCTTCCGGATTTTCGAGTCTGCGTCCTTGCGTCCACGCTCACGAGAGCCCAACGCCTCGGCGATCTTCTGATGAGCAAGAAGACAGCCTCTGATCGCTTGGAGATATGATTCGCCTACATCTCCTTGAATTTCATCCACGAGATCTAGGAGCTTTAGCCACGCGTCTCGATTCCGCGTATAATCTCGGTCTATATCAAGTTTTATTATCTGACCGCAGTCCATCTCAATGAGCAATTTGGCGAAAGAAAGTAACGCGGGATGTGGATGGCCCATTTTAAAATTGTACGATTCACTTGGGGCCGGAAGCTGTGAACGGAACGCCAGATAGGGGATTTCTCTCTTCTCTGCCTGATTTGCCGAATCTAAGAAGTAGATCTTCTTGGAGTTAAAGTCGGCATCGAAGAAGTCCATGAGGCAAAAACCGAGTTTGACGGCAAGTGCTCGTTTCTCTCTGGTGCTGAATTTTGTTTGCGAGGATCCAACCATCACTGCATTGATGTTTCGCGAACGGGGCTCGAAAGCTCCATCGACTATTAGTTGATTCAGGGACTCTTTAGAGGACGGATCCGTTGCGGAAGTGGAATCTGCCCAGGCACCGAAAAGCCCGTACTCCTCAATGCATAGAAATAACTCTTTTCCTCGGCCAATCTGTTCCTGGAGGCCGGTGCAGATATTGGGGATTGATTGGATTGACATTTCCTTTCTAAGAGACACGTTAGTTCAGGCAAAGCCTCAGTATCATTTCGACGAGAAACGTACAGGATGACGGAGCCACAGCGCACTTCCTGTAATAACCTTGAATCTGGACATCTCGATAACACGAGCTCTAAACTCGGCAACTCCAAGTTCTCGTCGGGGTCTTCAAAAAGCTTTAGTAACACCTCATGCTGGGTGTCACATCTAAAGTGCCTGAACACGCCATCAAGAACGAATGTCGCTCTGTTACGTATCCTAGCCTTCTTCCATTTTCTTTTCTGCTCTCTCTTGGCTGAGTTGTTCAAGGTTGCGGCCTGGGCGGGAGGGGCGTACAGACGGCGGAATGCGCCGTTGCATTCATTAATGACGCGAAGACAATTGGCAAGGTCGCTACCACGAGGCAAACTGAAAATCGATTTGTTGCATCCATAAACCAGGTCTAATACTCCGGAGGTCGACTGCATATGGTGGATTAATTTTCGCAGGCGGGGGTAGGCCAATGTCTGATCTTCCGCGCCATGAGGGGGTTTCTGGGTATATTGATCTGATACCAGACCTTCTAACAATAAGCATAGGCATTTGAGCTTTCCCTGGCACTGCTCGAACTCTGCAAGTTCAAGGTTCCGAGGGAAGTCTTTAAATGTGAATGCATGGCGGAGTTCGAAATCGATGAATTCGACGTCTGAAGACACCCGTTCGTGGGTCTCGGGCGGCCCTGGTTGAAACTCGCCTTTTCTCAGATCAAATAGACGGCCCAACTCACGGATTAGGCGGAACTCATCAGACTGGATGAGATATGGCATCTTGCAACGGGCGCTTCTCACCTGGGAGATGCTGCTGGCGGAGCCTGACCAACTCTTTGAACCTACGAAGGTGGTAAGCAATGAGGCTGATCGAGGTGGGGGGTTACTAAGATGGATCCTGATCATCTGATGCAGCGTTCATATGCATGTTACAGTAAACGGTCCGAAAATAATCCGCTGTCAGCTTTCCCCTCTTGGTAGAACCAAGGTTCAGCCCAACGGCCTCAGATATCCTACCCATTCCACGGTGTTGCTGGCTACAACCACCGCAGCTGGTAGCATGGAGTTGCAGACTGATCCCGATGATCTACTTTACGACCTAGCATCAGAATGCGAGGATCTCCTAGATCAAAAATCAAAAGAACTTTCTAGGATCGATTCAAAATCCGCCATTCTTGGGCTCTGTGATGAATTCCAGCAGCGATTTGCCATGTGGGCCGAGCACCTCGGCGTGTTTGCTCGGAGGAGTCAATGCCTGGACACCAGACTGCGGAATCATCCAGACCTTCGAGAGCTCACATACCGGTTGTTAGATATCCTTCGCCGATATTTGCATCAATGGAAATGCGACGGCAGTATTCAACTCAGAGAGGACCAAGGGTTGAAGACAACCCTGAAGGCCGTCGACGATGCTTTATCTCGCCTAAGCCAGCTGGGCGTGACAATCCGGCGGTCCAGTTCTTCAAAAGCCAATAGAAGAGTTGAAAGATTCGCTGCAGAGTTGGAACTAAGGCCTTTTGCATCCTTGTGCGAATGGGCTGTGGAGGCCTTGTATCCCCTCGCTCACCCCTCTCTGAAAGACCACCTCAGCAAGTCGATGGTGGATCGATACTCGAGAATCCTTTACAACAAATCTCGCCACCAAAAGCTCAAGACCCGTCGCGAGCCCCGAGAGCTGCCAGTCGAGCTTCCAACAATTCAGGAAACCGCCACTGAAGAGATACAATTAAACAATCCTGTTGTCCAGCCCACAAGACCCCATAAGCCCCCAGTTACTGTCGACAACGTCAAGCCACCGACCATACTATCCCAGTCTGATTTATCCAGTGTCGACCCTCAACGGATAGGGAAGCAGAATAGACCTCCCGACGAGGTATCGACCAAGTTTCACAAGACACCCTCCGTCCAAGTGAACCAGTGCAACTACCCGCGGAGACCGGCCGCAAGTAATGTCTTCACTTGTGAGTGGTGCTCAGAGGTTCTAAATAAGAAGAGCCTCTCGGAGAACGAATGGCAGTATGTAACACTTGTCAGGTGGAGGAATAAATCCACTGTCGATTTTGATGTGCTAACAGCGGGTAGTCGACACATACATCGAGATCTAAAGCCTTATGTTTGTGTCTCAGAGGAATGCACACAAGGACATCCTTCCTACCCGACTTTCGATGAATGGTTCGCGCATATGAAACTGCACGACAGAGGGTGGCAGAAACGAGTTTATTTGACGGATAGCTGGTTCTGTGCGCTCTGCGAATCCGACCAGGACGCGTACAATGACTCGCAGCTCCTGTATTCACATTTAGAAAAGTGCCATAGTGATGGCTTCACAAGAGCACAGCTTCAGGCCTTTTCGCGGCAGAGCAAGACAAAGCAGCACAGAGCATGGAATGATTGCCTTCTTTGTTCTTTCGCAATCGATGGGCAGAGCCCAGGGGCTGATACCGGTTCGGATAAGAGAAGGAAAGGATTGGCCAAAAAAGATGGCACAAAAAGTCTCAGGAAGAATCTTGAGATGATGAATCCAGAGCCTCACAGCTCAGGTATCGACTCTTCTGACACATCTTCGGACTCGGAGGATCATGTTTCTCTTCGAAGAAAGCCACAACGAACAGAAGAACGTTCGAAAACTGTAGCCCGACACATCGCGTCGCACCTGCAAGTGCTGATGCTATTGACCATCCGTTTTGCAGGACTTCAGGATGATGACGGAGGCTTGGACGATGATATCAACAGTAAGTCTGCTGAGATAAACGAAGAAAGCAGCTCTCCAGGACCTGATGACTCTTATGAGAGCTTATCTGATAGCTCTTTGCGCAAAGAAGCTATCGTGATAGACGCGGACGAGCTGAGAAACAGTGAAGACATTATGGATCTTGACTACATCGCAGTAGAGGACGATTCATTAGTTCCCGACATGGACATAACTCTCGACGACGTCCCCAGGCAGTACGACAACCTCTCCGCCAAAACCAAAGCCGAGTTTGTCAACAATGTCAAGACAGCCTTTGAAGGCACCCCAGCCGAGCGATTCTTCAAGAATAACCCCAAGTTCATTGAGGAGCTAGCCGTGAAGGCTGCCTTCTTGGCTGATGACATAACCACCTCAATCTGTAATAAGGACCTGCTCCCCAAGATCGCCCAGGTCACTATGCACCAGAACGTAATCTATTGTGGTATGTGAAGATTCTATAAACAAGAGGGAATTGACTAGCTTCGCTGATATGAGCCGTTCAATTAGACGATAGCTCCTCCATGAAGCGCGAAGGCCGCTGGGACTCGCAGAACCAGCTGATCAACCGCATCGCCCGTATCACCACGCGGATCCTGCCCGAGGGCGAGGGCATCTATATGCGCTATATTAACCAGGAGATCCCTAACTCTGATAGCCTCAAGTTCGAAGAGCTCCTCGACATCGTGAAGCCGCTGACCTGGGGCGGCGATACGCCCATTGGCACCAACCTCAAGAGCAAGATCCTGCAGCCGCTCGTGTACAGCAAGCTGCCGAACGACCTCAAGAGGCCGCTGCTGGTGTCTGTCATTACCGACGGCATGCCGGAGCCGGAGCCCAAGGACACGTTTGTGGATGCGATCGCTGAGTGTGGCGATAAGCTCGAAGCGGCTGGCCTTCCTCGCGAGAGTACGTTTGTCAAAGCTTGTCCTCGTTTGAACGGATTCTTACCGGTGCTACCGTCTAGGTGTCAAGTTCATGATTGGTCAAGTCGGTTCCGCCACTGCCGCAACTAAGTTCCTCCAGGACGTCGGCAAGGAGCCCAGGATTCAAGACGTTGTATTCGTGGCCTCTGGTAAGCGATGGATGCTTTGTCTCTTGGAGATTAACCCCGCTAACAACACGACTTCAGAAAAGCTGGATGTCATAACCTCAGGGCTGGAAAATGATTGGAAGATGGATGAATGGGTACGTATTTGGAAGATGGATGAATGGGTACGTATTTACATGTTCTATTGACTGCCGAGGCCTTGCATCCTGAAGCTAACAGTTACCTCTACAGCTCATTGAGATGCTCTATGCGCCTATCATGAAGGGTGAGGGCAAGAAGAAACAGTAAAGAGCTATTCTGCTGTGACAACGTAACAATTGAGTGAATCGGATGAAATTATGACTTGGATGCTGGCATAACGGTACCCATTAGGCAACAAATACGCATAATCAGAGTGAATCTGTGAGAAGAAGATAGTGATTGAGAGCCCAGTCCAAGTCGTTGGCGTACGGATCCTTGTAGTGCCCGGCCCTGCCATTGACCGGAACAAAGCAAGATTGGACTTGAGCACCTCCTGTGCCCTACGCCCGTACGATCTGTCCTCGGTGAGCTTCGTGTAGTGGTGCATGGCAATGGCCGTCAGCGTGCTCCAATAGTGCGGGAAGACGTCTCCCCACATGCGGTCCTTGCCGAACCAGTAGCCGTCCCAGTGGCGGATGGCGACATCCTGCAGGTGGTAGTCGGGCTGTTGTCCGCCAAAGAGGAGGAGGAGATCGAAGTGCTCCTTTGCTGTCTCGAGCCAGCGGTCCTCGCCAGTGACACCTGCCAAGTCCTGGAGGAAGATGGCTGCTGGTGCCACGATGGACTGCTCAAAGTTGACCTCGTGAGCGGGGTAATCTGTACTGGTCTCGAGGATGTTTTCTCCGTGTGAAGTGAAGAGCGAGAGGGCCTTCTCTATCCGCCGTACCGACTTAATCAATTAGTTAGAACAAAGGGGCGTTGGAATCATCGAATTCTGAGGCGATAATGATGCCTCTGCATGCAGTTAACAGAAGTCTTTCTAAAGGGCATAGCTTCCACGGCGCGGCTGGCCATGAGTCCGTAAACACCTCATACGTCATTGTGCGCTGTGGTTCTGACTGGTTGTGATAGTCAGTTTCCGAGTTCCAGCAGGTGGGCGCAGTCGACAGAGGCAGCTTGGCTATCGTGTGAATCTCGGTGCAGATTCCATGCCGGAATATAGAATTGACTCCATAGACCATGTAGACAATCAGCGCCGTGCGACGGATACATTCTGCCAAGATCCACGAATCCCACCCTTCGGACTCATCAAGCTCGGCTCGAGAGCGTGTAAGAAGCTTCAATGCTAGCCCCAGAATGATGACTTGCTGCTGCTCAGCGAGAACTCGATGTTCAAGGCCACCATGGAATAGCCGCATCATTTGGTACAGAAGTAACGCCTGGAGTCGAGCAAGCTCATTGAATAGCACCGCGTCTCCCTCGGGATTGTTAAGAATTTCAACAACCTCTGCATCCATGATCTTGAACAATGTCGCGCGATTGCTATCATTGATGAGACTGCAAGCCGAACACATTCCGAAAGCTGCTCTAATCGGCTGTGGCATTGACTTTTGATACAGCTGCGGATGGATGAACAATGTCTGTGCTTGCTGAGAAAACTCATATGGATAGGTTTTTAGTTGGCTCAACACCCATTGCCAGCTCTCATTGCTTCCTTCTATAGGTTGAACCTCACCGAGGGGGCCGACCAGATGAAGGTCCAGCTGAGTTGTTGACATACCCAGCAGAATAGATTGGCTTGGGGAATGTGAGGCCCTAGTTCCACAGAATGTCTCGTACTGATCGGAATGAAAAGTAGAGGCTCTGCCAGCTTCGAAAGACGCCTGAGGCATCGTACTACTCATCATATCCAGGAACGTTGTAAATGATATATCAGAGGCCGCAGGTGAACAGCCAGCAGTAATGAAATCGTCGGACCATGTTGATAAGTCCGACGTTGCCGTTGCGTCGGATGGGTTCACGCTCGATGCATACGCATAACGGCAGCGCTTCTTGGTCCGCCGGCACGTTCCACAAGCGGGACGGCCAAAATCACACTTCCGACGGCTTCTGAAACAGGCATCACAAGACTTCCGTCGCAACGACATGGCTATAGACTGTTGAAGAGCCAGTTGAACGCGTTGTATGGAGTCATGCCTATGGTCAGGCGTTTGGCGGTAGGTTTGTAATCTCACTCTAGCTGATGAGAGCGTGAATGAGGAACTAACTTGTTGCCAGCTTGCTTACTACACCCATGAATCATGATCAGACCCAGAGGTCCACCATAATTGGCTGAGCAACCCATCCATTGAAACGGCTTACCCCACCCCATGTCGTAGTCAGCTGTCTATGTGGCCGCTAAAGTAACGCTTTCATCCGTTACAATCGTATAAACCATCATGAAGCTGGCAGCTGTTTATGTTTTGCTATACGGGATAGGCCTCGCTGCCTGTTCCTTTAGTCTGGATATTGTTGGAGGGCAGAGCAGTCTCTCACCGACGACCTCGGACGCTTGCCGCTCGGCTTTTCTCGCGCCGATTGATTGCGAGGAGACGCTCCTCCAGCTAGCCTCGTCTGGACTCTTCCTGTTCAGCGAACGGGATCCCCTGGAGCTCACATGCACAGACACCTGCAAGGCGGCGCTCGATAAGTATGTTAAAAACGTCAAAAGCGCCTGCACAGCCCCTGGAGATCGAGCGTTGCTCAAGGATAAGGCGGTTGGTGTTCCTCAACCGCCTGTTGAGGTAGTGGGCGAGATATTTCGGTACATCTTTGCGTGGGGATGTGCAAAAGACGGGTATGTTTTGCTGGCTTCCCGAGTTTACTTGAAGCTGCCTATCCATTTCCGATTTACTTTTAGCAGGAAAGCACACTAATATTCATGAGGGACAATAGCAAGAAATGGTGTTATAAAACGTATGGATATGGACACCCGTACTACGCCAAGTCGGATTTTCCTTGCACGGCAGTATGTCCAGTCAAGGCCATGGAAGCAGCCCACGAATATCCAGGCTCGGACTTTCTGTTCAAGAGCCACAGGCTCAGCATGCAGTCACCTTGGTGGAGAAATCTGTATGCTGATGGATGGAAAACAGCACTTAAATGCCGTGGCGGGGGGCTGTCCTCGGTTGACGACAGCGGAGCACAGATTGCTATTGGCAGCTCGCCGGTTAATACGCGCGGGTCTTAATGGAAACCTTCTGAACCCATCAACGAAATGATAACTGGTTGCACCAAGCTCATGCATTGTGAGAGGCTAAGGGTGAGCGTTCAGGAGCAAGTATTCCCAGTTTCTCTAGCACCGGATGGAGGGCGAATATAGTGGCCAGGGATTACCATCGGGTGAATAACAACCATCTAGCCGGCATAAAGGGAAAACTGAATCTTCTTTGAACAGTGAATAGTTACGTATAATAGTGAAAAGAACATCGATGATTATAATAATTACGATCAACCACCTCAATGTAGACCAAGGCCAGCTATGTTATGCCTCTCTTCATCCCTCTATAGTACCACCATGCAATGGAAGGAAAAGAGGAAGTCCGTCCGTGTGATTAAATACAGATGGGGAGTAAATAAGGCAAAAAGAAAAAGGCAGACTCCCCCGGACAGGATTGAACTGTCGATCTTCCGATTGCATGCATGTTAACAGTCGGACGCCTTAGCCAGCTGGGCCACAGGGGAATGTTTCAGTGGGTGTGCCCACTCGAGCTGGATGGCGAGCGGCCGAAAAGCAGGGTTTATGAAGTTTACCATGAAATTTTTACATCAGCACGATAGATTCTGAGACAGAATGAGGCCAAGGAGAGAATCATAAACAGAGTGCAGCCTAAAGCACGACTATTTCCGCCCCCTCATGCACCTTTGGTGGGGTTGAACCTGGGCTGTCACAGATGTGTGAGGGGCCAAGATACTCCATACTCCAGGCAGCAAATATCCATATCACTAAGCCTAGCAGTGCTAGAACCAATCAAGAGGGAGAGTCTTGGCCTGCTTACGGGCACCGCCTGCCCCAGATTCTTCCATCTCACCTCTGCTCACTCACGTTTCATGAATACGGCACAGCCGGCAAGTGTGGCGGAGTTCGACAGAGTCAAATAAGACTGTTATTCATGCCCCTTCACATCCCAGCTCTGTTTAGCAATCATCGTCAATCATAAACAATGACAGTCATCGTCAAGTCAGAAAAACAACCTGCGCAGTCGAGCGTTGCTCCCGCCCAGGGGCTCCAGGTCCTTGCTGCAACATTTGGTGGTGTGAACGTCACAGAGAAAATCAGGGAGCTGATCCAGGACGATGACTCCATGACATTCAGGATGAACCAGATGGTTCACTACCTCGCTCCCGACCCCCTGCCGAATTGGGTGAAAACACTGACGATACTCTATCGCTTCGACGACGGGCCGCTATCTCTTTTCAACGCCACAGAGCAGCACTCCAGAACCGTTCAAATCTCGCGAGTGACCGCCCCGATAATGGCCATCCAACAATCAGAAGATGGTTTGAAACAGGGACCCTTTGCGGATGTTGAGATATTGGCTGTGGTTTATGGCAAGAAGAGGATCCAGACGCCGTCCGTCCTGGCTGATTTGGCAAGGTTCTTTACTCATGAAGAGCAACGCAGCCAGATACGCATGGTCAATTCATTCTTCAAGGAGGATACTTGGCCGAACACCTGGAAGTCATGGACCATATTTTTCAAGTTTACCGACTCCAAGAGAATACAATGTGTGACGGGGCTGGAGAATGGCGCTTTAGAGCTACCTTGGTCTAGGCGTGACTGATGGGAGGATGGAGCATTATTGAAAGCTCAGTTCAATGATTATTTGCACTTTTTCATCTCAAGTATCGAGGAAAGGCAAGCAAAATGCACTGGAAATTACGTAGATAGCCAGCCTTCCGCGTGCATAACATAAGGATTGCCTCTTATTAAAGTAAGAATGAATAAATGATTTCAAACCCTTGGGCCTAAAGGACAAAGATTGCTAGGGGTCGCTGGAGAATGGCTAGGTAGTTTGAGGAGAGGGATAGCCCTAACCAGGGCGATCACAAACCGTGAGCGAGGATGATATTATGACACCTAGCAAAACAATTCGTCAAGAAGAAAAAAACTTATCTAAGCCGGGCATTGTGCACACTGAAGTACCCAAGACTTGGGATCCATCAACCAATATCTAGTTTCTTGTTTTCGAGAACTCAGGGAAGAGATTTTCTCCTTCTAAGCAGATGGAAACCATGCATGACCAAGCAAATTCTTCTCTAACTTGAAAACTGCTGAGTCTGGGCCAACTTCACATTAGCTTTCTCGTGCATATGCCGAGATTGTCAGTGATCAGATGCCGGGGGATTTCTTGTTGAATTCAAGCGGCTGATCCCTGGCAAAGGCGCCCTCTGCCTTGGGACGCAACATAATATGTGGTGAAACTTCCATAAGGCCGTTCTTACCCTCAACCTGCTTTCGATTTTTCATCAACGGAGGCGACATCAAATCAATATCTGCCTGCCTATAGTGCAAACTTCTGAAGTGGATACCATCCAACAGGGTCTGTTCTCTAGCCGTGTTGCTATCCTTATCTTGATACGTATCATACCCTCGGCTGGAGGATTGCTGCGCGTTGTCAAGATCAGAATGACTCAAATGTTTCATATCAGCCAGTTTAGAGACACCAAGCCCTAGAATAGGTGGTGCGGGATGCGAGAATCGGGTACTGGGTTGTACTGACTTGCGCTCTTCCGCCTTTTCACGTCCTGAGAAGGGCCTTGGAGGCGGCGTTGGTGTTGGAACCGACTCGTCTATCGAACCTCTGGTATCTGCTTCCATGCCAAACGTATGCTGAGCAGGGCTGAGGTTGTCACGAAGGGAAAGCCCACGGGCCTGTAGTGTTCTTAGATCTTCATGGCTGAGGCTTGACTGACCCAAGTTCCTTGTTGCCAGTTCAGTAAGCATTTCGATGCAATGCGCCTCCCTTCCCGCGGTGCAATCTCGTGATATCGTATAGTGTGCACCAATCTGGTTCCCCTTGGAGCGAAAATGATTTTCATGATTCTCTTTTGTAGCAACTTCATCTTTGCCTTCATCTTTGTCTTTGTCTGACCCAGGAGCTTCGCTCACAGCATAAACCCTCTCTCGGAGCTCCCCGTCCACGTATACCATGCTGGCGTCACGTCTCGGGTTTGACATACTTATATGTGTTTTCCTTTTGTAACTGCGTTAACCGGAGACTTTTCAAGATTCCAGCGTGTTTTACTACTTGAGTAGCTCTGGCGTTGGGAGGACGATTAAACCGTTGAGATAAATTTGGTCCACTCTCGTAGATGAGATATCTTCTCTCGCATTCGTCATTCAAACGCCAACTCGAGTAGGTATTTATAATCCGTTGCTCGATGGCTTTAGGTTTTACGCCGATGAAGCCACAACAGACTCGTTACAGGAAGGTCCGTTCTTTGTGGAAAGTATGCCTAGATAGTGTTTTCGATATGCTTCGAGCGTGTTCTGGAACGTCGCTAGATCCATGAACAAGTTGTTCCGTATCAAGAACACAGCTGGTTGGTTGACGGGACGTAGGCGAGAGGGATGCATTGCAGGGCTGCGGCGGAGTTTGCAACGGAATGAGCCCGAGATTCGCTGTAAACCTAACCCAGAGCCGTGTCAGATCCTGTGATTAGAACATACACATGGACTCTTACTTCATTGGACGCTTACTATAAAGCATTCATTAACCATGGTGCACATCTTTGGGCTATTTTGCAGATAACAATATCAATGGTTGCTCCCACAAAGAAAAGCTCCATTCTTCTCTGTTTGACCACAATTGGGCTTTGTGCAACTGATTGCAGGTGGCCAGCTTATTCGAATCGGCGTTTTTGCTTTAACCACGTTGGTTTTTGCTCGTCTCAATCTCAGTGGCTACGGTCCTCTCTTCGCCTAAGCTGTCATAGGTAAACCTGTCTTCCTCGTGGTCTGCCATGTCGAAATTCGTATTCGCCAATCTGGACATTAAAACCATAACCTCCCTGACCGCCTGCCGGTGGGCGTCAATATTAAACTTCCCACCCTGGCTGCTGATAAACCAAGTTTTGACAAGACATCAAATCTGGCGCCCATGTCTTTTCTCCCCTGTATTTCAAAACTGGGCTGCCGCGGGATTGTTTCCGAACCGAGACAGGTCTCATATGAAGCCGGATATCCTACCCTAGAGCTCGGGGCAGGCAGACATCAGCGAGAATCACGGTTCTCCAGCGGGAAGCGTAATCGCAGTTCAAGAGTTTGAGAACTACTTTCTATGATAATCTCAGTACGATCCGCAGATCTGAGGTTTTTTCCTTGTGATGTTTCTTGTTGAACCGGTTGGGCTCGAGCCAGCACCACTGTCAAGTGCTGTAGCGATCGGACGGCACTTGCAGAGGGCAGCTGCCGGCCCCTGAGACAACTAACCACGCTACCAAAAGCAAGGGACGATGTGCAGGAGATCTCAGCCACGCCCCTGACCTGCTGGCCAATCAGCGGCAACCATCACCCCATTTTCAGCCTCAGCTCCAGCCACGGTCTCACAGTCGATGCCAAAACCCTGCTTCTCACCAAAGGAATGTCTCGGATTTGTTTGCCTTGAAGGGCGTCAGATCAGGTCAGGTCCGGTGTCCAGGTCAGCAGACAACAGCCAGTCAACCAAGTTTAGAACGCCCGTAGTGGGCTCGATCTGCGACTAAATCATCCCGTCGGTCCACCGCCCCAAATTCCAGCTCCTCGTCGAACGCGCCGCCACCACCTCCTCCACGATGCAGCGGCATCCTGCCTCAGTGGACATCTTCTCCGCCTCCATCTACACTTATACCGGCAGCCCTCGTCCATCCACGCGCGAAGGCTTCGATGCGCCTCCGCCCCTGACTCAGTCCCAATCCTCCAGCGCTGTACCTACCCTCTCATCATCGTCCACCACCACCACCTCGTCGTCGACCACCGTCACGACCAAGGAGAGCGGACTTTCGGCCAAAGATCGCAAGTCATCTTTCTCCCGCAAAGCCGCTGCGCCCTTTTCTGGCTCGCGCCGTAGGGGCTCCTCCGCCGGCGGCACCACCACCTCGAATGCTTTTGTTACCGATGCCGCCGCCCCTCCCGCACTGCCAGACTACGCTCTCGCAGCCGCCGCCAAGGTCATTACCCGCGATCGCGACCACGACTACCACATCACCAGCCCGACCAGCCCCGACAACTCCGTCAAGATGCTGAGTCGCAGCACCACAACCTCCTCGACCGCTGCCCAGATGACGCCGCCGTTCCCGCCTCCCACGCCATCGAGTTCCGGGAATGGCGGAGCATTCTGGCAGCCGAGCGACTCGAGTGTCCTCTTCCAGCAGATCACTGATCTGGCTCACAAGCGCATCACCACATTGGACTATCTGCGCAAAGCGTAAGACTCCCAGCCCACTCTTCCCCTGGCGGAGGTCCATTTGGCCACATCATAGGCTCGGCTCGCTGACCCCTCTCCTTATCTACAGACACGAAGGCCGCGTTTACTGGTTCAACACATACCTCTTCGACAAGTCAGACTTGAATCGAATGCCATGCTTCGATAACCGCAAACTAGCCCGCAAAGCCACCAACTACCTCCTCCTCGGTATATCCCTCCCCGTCGTCGTCGACCTCAACTCGAGCACCCCCATCGAGCTCCTCCGCAGCCTAAGCACATTGTTGTCCGAGTTCGACTCCTTCCAGCAGCTCCGCAGCGAGTCCTCGACCGCGGCCATCACGCGCGCGCGCCTCCCCAACATGTTCCGACGCCCCGGTGGCAAGTCTCGCCGCTCCACCTCGGCCACAGACACCCTCGAGGACGCCTTCTCCGCCGCTGGCAGCGTCAATTCTGCCGGCGCAAACGACGGGGGGATGGCCTCGAGCGCGCCGTCGGTCATCAACTTTGCCGCCTCAGAGTCCGACCTCCTCCCCGGCGAGGAGTACGTGCACCTGCTCACGCCCTCGCTCCCATTTGAGCCCGACTACTTCGAGACGTTTGCCACGCTCTGCGATACACTCATCGACTGCTACTCGCGTCTTCTTGCGCTGATACCCACTGCCCGAGAATGCTCTGCCGCCGTGGCCGAGCTCTTCACCAAGGCGGATGCCCGGGTCAGGAAGATCATCGTCCAGGGCATCATTAAGGAGTTTGAGGATAGCAGCAGGGCCAATGTGCGGGCAGAAGTGGGTAACGTGGGCAAGGTCGTCCTCAGCGGCCTGATGGGTTAACCCGTCCTCCATTTCCGTTCCCTTCGATATGACGACAAGCGTAGCAGTTCTTATGAGACCGAGAAGCACCACCGACGGCGTTTCCTTTACACATCGCATAGCATTTTCATGGACACTGGGAGAAGGTTGAAATTCTGTTTGCTGTTTTTTTTTTGCCGTGTCGCAGAGGAGAATTATGAGGCCGAGGATGAGGGGGAGTTACAACGGAGTGAACTTATGCAATGTTTGGATCTTGGCGTTATGATTTGGGCAGTGGGTGGTGACACAAGATACATTTGGGCGGCGAAACGGGGAAAGCATACATGTTACAGCCATGTCATTGATTCTATGGGCATCTTGGGAAAACAACGACCTTTGGGAATGGGGGCGCATGTGAAACGGGGTCATTTTTACCAAGTATCATCAGCATGCCGGGCGGCCAGAGTCGGGAGAAGCGAAGGCTTTTTGAGGCTTGACACTGCCATTATATATCATCAGCGGCCCAGGCCAACTGCTTTAGTCGCGTGAATATAGCGTTACAATATATATATACAAAGATGTTACAGTTATACAGCTGCATTTCCCAGCACAGCTTGTACACGGTTCGTTGGTCCAGACCGTAGTCGTTTTATTTTTTCGCCGCCTTTGCCTCCTCGTCTAGTGTTAGAAGCTCTATATCTCGCCCAACAAGCCATTCCTTGGCTGCCGTCATCACCTTGTCCAGCGTCTCGCCACCCTCGAGAACATCCGGCAGGTTGTGCACGTCGAAACCAGCCCGGTGGTCCGTACACCGGTCCTGGTTGTAGTTGTACGTCCTGATCTTCTCGCCACGGTGGATCTGCGCAGTCGTCAGCACCGAGTTGCGCAGCCGCGCCGCCTCGGCCTCTCGCTGCTCTCGCCGCCCGTCGGCCACGCGCGACCGCAGCAGCTTCCACGCCTCCTGCCGGTTCCGCTGCTGCGAGCGGTGGTCCTGCATGGACACGACCTCCCCCGTGGGGATGTGGGTGATGCGGATGGCCGACTCGGTCTTGTTGACGTGCTGGCCGCCTGCGCCCCGGGCCCGCATCGTCTCGATGCGGCAGTCCTGCGGGTTGATGTAGAAGTCGCTCTCTGGATCGTCCGGGTTGGCCAGGTCCCCGCCGCCGGCGCCGCCCTCGGGGAACAAGGGCAGGACCCAGATGGCGCTGACGCTGGTGTGGACTCGGCCCTTGCTCTCAGTGCTGGGGATGCGCTGGACGCGGTGCATGCCGGCCTCGCTGCGGAAGATGTCGTAGGCGCCCGGGTCGAGGACCTCGAGGACGGCTTCCTGGAGGGGCAGCTCGTTGGCGCTGGAGGACTTGTCGCCCGCGGAGTCGGCGGTCTCGTACTTGAGGACGTTGGCGCGGTAGCCCCGGCGCAGGCAGAGGGCCTTGTACATCTGGAATAGGGTGTCGGTGAAGTACCTGCTCTCGGTGCCGCCGGGTCCGGGGCGGAACTCGATCATGCAGGGAAAGTCGGCGAAGGCGTCTCGGGGGGTGAGACTGGCACCCAGATCTCGGGCGAGGGCGTTGAGGCTGGCCCGCTCGGCTTCGAGTTCCTCGCGGGCTATGGAGGCTAGCTCGGCATCGTCCTGCGACTTGGGCTCGGTCTCGATGAGGGAGGAGAGTTCCTCGACGGAGGCTTTGGCTTTTTCGAAGGCTTGGAGGGCGGTGGCGACGCGTGACAGCTCGCCGGCTCGCTTGGCCTTGGCTGGGTCGAAGGAGGAGCTGAGGGTGGACTGGAGGGAGTTGTGTTCTTCGACTAGGGCATGTGCTCGTTGGAGGAGGGCGGGGGTGAGAAACAATTGGTTCGAGCTGGAGGATGCGTCTATCCGGTCGGTATTTGTTAGCGATTGATTGATGCCAACTCGAAGACATGCCTGGTCTAGGTCATCGCTTTGGAAAATGAGGGGAGGGAGGACAATTCATACCAGATGAGATGGCGCGCACAACTTGATGGACTGGGCCACGCCTCAGTGCCCTGATGCAACTCCTGCATACCCATGGCGCAGGGCTCATGGTCAATTGAGCAGTGTTGATAGCTGCTGCCCAACCTTACAGTGAGGGAAAGCGAATGCAGCCTCAGCACACAAAAAGATGCAGTGTTGGATGAAGCCAAGATCCAGATTTTACGATAACAAATTGCCAAATGGAGTAACATCGGGTGAGTGTCTAGTGGGACCTGTCAGAAGCTCCCGCCTGTAATAAAGCCGCGATAAACCGCCACCACCCATCCCATGATGGCTTCCAGAATCTCGAAGTAACATATAGTAGAGTAGGCCAAATAGGTACAAAACAGACAAAATAAAACTGGAATTAAATATGAGTACCTATGCATAATTACGCAAATATCCTATCTTTTTCCTGAAATTATTGATCAAGGCAGTGATCTCTTGTGATCAGCTGACAAGCGTCTTCGAAGTTGGACTACGATATGGAACAATCCATAGCTTCTTTCTATGCCGCTTCCGACATCGCCTGGATCCGATGGCCTCATACGGTTCACATGATCAAAATCTTATCACGAATACGGCCACCTGCCAGACTGAGTTTGATTTTCTGCAGGTCTGGGGACTTGCCCACTGATAGTATCCGCCAGCGTAGTCGGAGATGAGGAAGTACGTAACATATTTGTTTGTCATGGTCACCACTATCGCAGTGGCATTCTATGGGTGAGTTCCACCATCCCCATCGAAATCCTAAAGCGAGATACCATTGCTAATGCATAGGGTTGAGTTTTATTTTGTCCCTAAGTACATATTCCCCTCCATCTGAGTGCTTGAATGAAGGCTCTCTTCATTTGTCGGGGGGTAAGACAAACCATTGAAGCTAAGCCGACTTACACGCTGAACACTCCTCTTTCCACACGCCAAACGTCACAATGCCGGGCTCTACCGTCATATACCCTCCCAAACCAAAATACAGCTTCCTTGACGACTATAGTGAAGGCGCACATCCTCAATTGTTGGAGGCTTTGGTAGCCAGCAATGGCACCCAGGAGACAGGGTACGGAAACGACAGGTACAGCCAGGAGGCCCGCCAACACATCAGGAACCACCTCGGTCGTGATGATGTGGGCATTTTCTTTGTACCTAGTGGCACTTCAGCAAATGCCATCTCCATCGCTGCCTGTTTGCGGCCTCATGAAGCCGTCATCGCTGCCAGCTCAGGCCACATCGTTACCAGAGAGACTGGAGCCGTCGAGGCAACCGGCCATAAAATAATTAATGTCATGCCTGAAAATGGCAAGCTGACGCCCTTGAGCATTAGCCAAGCTCTTGAGGCCAACTGGCATTACCCTCACATGGCAAAGCCGCGCTTGGTGTACATCTCCAACGCGACCGAATTCGGCACCATCTACTCCAGGGCTGAGCTGGCCGCCATCAAGGCCCTTTGTGTTGAGAATGGTCTCCTGCTATTCATGGACGGCGCTCGCATCGGCGCTGCACTGACCTCGCCCAAGAGCGACATGACGCTTCGAGATGTTCTAGACTTGGTGGACATCTTCTGGATCGGCGGTACCAAGAACGGCGCCCTTCTGGGTGAAGCTATTGTTGTGAAGGACCCCAGGCTGGCCGAGGACTTTGAATTCTATATCAAGCAAAGAGGTTCTCTTCTTGCAAAGGGCCGAATAATAGGTATAGAATTCTCTGAGTTGTTTAGGGAGAATTTATACTTTGAGCTGGCCAAGAGGGGCAACACTGCGGCGCAGAAGCTGTCCCGCTCCATCGAGGCTGCGGGATACTCCCTTCTTGTGGACACGGAGACGAACCAAATGTTTGCGATTCTCCCTTTGAAGCTCATAGAGAGGCTGCAGCAGGATTTTATTTTTTACGTGTGGGAAAAGTACGATGTAGATCACGCTGTGATTCGGGTGCTGACCACTTGGTCGACCGACTTCGACCGGGTGGATGAGTTTGCTCGGATTGTGATGGATTGGAAAGCAGAGTAATTAATGACGATTAGCGTTGGATCATTTGGACTTCTCTTGGATATGAAGATATACTGAAATAGTGCGAAATATAAGAGGAAGACGCCTTAGCTTTGAACACCTCCTCTAAATCTAACCGGAACTTGCACTGATATGCTCATTGAGGTTTGGCCTACCAATACTGTCACATGTCGTGACTAGTCAAGGCACGCCGGGGAACACTGCAGTTTCAATTCGTAGAGTTGATGAATATGACCTTCAATGTGATTAAGTCGTTTCGGTGTCAGATTTATCTCAGGAACTCTCCCTTAACAATATGTTGAGCTTTAGTACGTATTTCCTAACGGGGTATTTGAGTTGTGCCAATCTGCTTCAAATCGTTGCCACCCTCCTTGATCGGGATCACTGGCGGTGAACAGTGACTGGACAACCATGTCGTAGTATCCATCAGCCGGTATCTTGCCCTTGCAAACGTTTCCTCCCATGGCCACATTCAGCAGAATGGTCATATCCCTCAACGGTCTAGTCCCTTCCGGAACGTTGTGCTTCATCACCGCCCTGCCATCGACATACCAGACCATTCTTCCCTGTCCAGCCTGCCCGCCAGGTTGGTCCCAGACGAAGTCATACCTCACATTGCGAGCACCCATATCAGGGATGCTGGTTGCCAGAACCCGGTGTTTCTGGGGCTCGTGATGGAAGCCCCAGTGGAGGCAGGACTTGTTCTCGCGATCCCCATTGTACGACTCAGCAATGTCCACCTCGCCGTCCGTCGGCCATGAGAAGGGCTCCTTCGGCAGAAGCCAGAACGCAGGCCAGATGCCTTCGGCGGAGGGAGAGAGAATGACCGCAGTTAAGACACCTCTGTCGTATCCTAGAGTCTCCCTACTTACCAACCGGGCAGACGTGTATCGCTGCTCCGGTGTAGGTGCACCGCTGTTGGCGAGAGCGCGCACGACGAGCCTACCATCTTGCGTACTGTGCGTTTTATCAATTAGCAAATATACTAAACGTGCACAGTGTTCTTCTTGAAAAAGCATATCTTACTGAAAGCTGTTGGCTGGATCAGCGGTATAGTGCTGCAACTCTTGATTGCCCCAACCATCGGGGCCGTTGCCCAGCTTTGCGTCCCACTCTACATTGGTGGGAAGTTCAGGCCTGAATTGAGGCTGCCAGTAGATCTGAGAAGCAGGAATGGGAGGCGGAGGGGGGAAAGGTGGCGCTTGATATTCCTCCTGCTGTGATTGAAGTGGTGCTTGGCCTTGTGGCTGCGCTTGTGATTGTTGCGGCTGCTGGTCGTTCTTTTTCTCGGATGGATCAGCCATTATGGAGTCAAACTCCTGTTTGAGGCTCTTTAAGTGATCTTTCCAGCCCATTTTATAAAGCTATTTCGGATTAAAGCTATTTCGGATTCAAGGTTGATTGCTTGGAGGGTAGAGAAGAATGACGGTCAGGAGTGAATTATCCCCCCCCGCTTGTCGTTCAGGCGGGCACCGACGCATGATATATGAAATCGAACACGCGTCAACGCTCTTGGCGCCGTGACGTAAGCCTGAGATATTCTTTGATTGATCCACGATTTGTTTAAATACATGTGAGTGGTCATTAATTTGAGAGTGGAGTCGGTTAAGTAGAGGTTCCCTCTGTGATGTAATTCATTCAACCTCAAGGTTTATATTTCGCTTTTCTTGTATTCGAAAATTGTAGGGATAATATCGACATTGGATTATTCGTAGTTGTTTCATTTAATAGAAGTTATGACATTGTAAGAAAGTCAAAGAGGATGAAGGGCGGGCTCCTTGATGATTATCAACACTCAATACCAAGGGACAGGGCTTTGTTACTCATGGTATATTGCTGGACCCTGATTTAATCTTTCTATGCGGATTTCTCTCATAGATTTTCGCCCTTTGATTAAGTTGATTGGCCTTGTAAGGAAAAAAAACCCCCCAATCCATGTCTCATTTACTTCAATCTATTCTTTGTTGTAAGAACACGGTAGTAAGGCCTGGTAGAACTCTTTTCTCAACTCTCAAAACTTATGGTGGTCAGAGCATAGATTCAACTGTTCTACCCTATTTCTCCCTTTGGCGGGATGGAGCTTGATAGTGCGTTGCTGTCACGACCAGACAGCATTGAAAACTGCAATATAAAAAGAGTGAATCATCCTACGCTGGGACTCAAATTGCCCTCCCAACCACGACGAATATACGATGAATATCAAGGTCGTTAATATCGGCTGCAATTAAGGACATTTCTAACCCTTAAATTAGTTGAATGTCTCTTAACTCGCATTATATACTCGTAAAAGCTATAAATAAAGAAATGGCCCAGAATAGAAAGGCCTCTGGACTTCCTCTGCTTGCTGAAGAATCTGTCTCGGATTCTTTAATCTCCCCCCTCCGCGGTTTCAAGCAGAATAGTTCCGAGTTCCATCCATTACGGCCGGCCAACTTGCTCGAACTCCATCTGCTGACGACAATGGGCCAAACCCTATCGAGGGCGGCGTTAGCTTCTCGACTGGCAGCGTCAGAGCCAGCAGTCGCCAGCTCACTGCCTAGTGCAAAGAAGCTTGCCTCGAGATCTAAACTTGTTGAAAAATCTGCCTTCAAGTTAGCCACTTGATCAATCATGTTGGATTCCGCCCTGCCAGAGATGAATACGTACTGAATCCATAGGGGCCAGAGCTCCTGTTGAGATAATCGTAGCATTCTTCCGGCATGCCTCTTAGAACGCCGTAATCAGCGCTCAGCTGGTTGGTGAGACTGTATCCGCAAGTGCTGCTGATATAGTCACAGTTCAAGGCCGATTGCGATGGCTTCGTTGCATTCGGAAGAAGCGAATCATAAAAAATATTTACGTTGCTCACAAGTCCCTCCGTGTGTTTCTTGGGTGTTCCGAGCGAGAGCGTGGACAGCTGTGTTACGAGGTTTGGACCATAGTCGGCAGAGACAGGCACGTTTGTCGTGACTGTCAAGGTGAAGCCCCAATCAACTCCATCCGCGGGGTTGAAAAGAATATCATTTATTTGCGAGTCTGAGGCATTGGGGTTTTTCATGGCATCAGAGTAGTCTTGCCGAGCCAGGTTCCATGGGGGAAGCCTGTCTGGGGTTTCACTCGTCCAAGATACCGTGGCGGATGCTGGTACATTAGCGAGCCCCAAGAGGAGAATCATCGTTAAAAGCGCTGCCATAGTTTCAGGACAATCAGTGGCAATATGCGATGCTTTTGCCGTGGGTTCTTTTTTTTTCTTGGATCAATGGAGACAGCCGAGGGATATAACGGAAGTTGCAAATCAGCCCAATGTTTTAAAGTGGTTAGTTTTACAAGGGCTATTGGATGATAGGCGTATTTCTCGTGTCTGCACATTGACTGGGTATGCCTGTCAAGCATGTAGATAAACCAATCCGCCTCACAAAATGATCCTAGTAGGTAGGGAAGAGGGACACATGTATTTGGTAATCCGTAAGCCAGTCTCGATTTGGAGGCCTCAGCCCTGAAGAAATCAAGAACAACGTGTTGATTTATTGTTCCTAGAACTCTTTTAACCTCAATGCAGCCCTATCGGAAGTACTGCTTATCTATAACACTACTTTAGTATTTATCCTTATTGATAGCGAGATGTGAAGTGATATTTCTGGCTTTATTCTTGATATAATGTCATAATTCTTCGTATAATTAATATCATGCCAAGTGAAGCTGTGCCTGGATGGGCAGAGCTGGTAGAAGCAAACCCAAGTCAGCGAGATCGTCCTTTCTGCTCCTGTGTTGGAGAGTAAAGCCCACTCACTTGAGCCCACGGCAGCCAGGTTCCTGCTCACAAAGGTGTTTTCACGTAGAGATACGCACGCCACCCACTCCAAGTTTCTGTATCTGTTCCGCCAATTCGACCGAAGTTGTGTACGCCTTTCTGGCGTGGGGCTTGTCATGTTCACTTCCGTGCTCTCGGTTCCATTCCAAAACCTCCCAGACCATTCCCTGCAGCGTCGTCAAGACGCCGCGATAACCGAGTCCGCCCTCTTCTACCGGTTTCCTTGCCTCTGAATCAGACACGATCAAGTGTGTGCAGATGGAAAACAGTCCCGGTTGTAAGTACTTCAAGTCGCCCCTTATCTGAGGAAGAAAATGTCTCAAGAACGAATAGCGGTACGGCAAAAGGACATACCATTCAATGACGTGTGAGAGTAGGAGAATCAGAATAGGTGGTAGAACGACGACGTGGAAGGAATGGAAGGACAGGAACTTGATAACGTTATAGAGATCGCCATAGGTTATAGGAGGGTTTGGATCTGTGACGACAAAAGGCCGACCGGATTGTGAGCAATTCTTGGTCGTAAGGACAGCTTCGTGATGCAGATGGGCAACCGCCACGTTGGCCCCGTGTACGAAGCTTTGAACAATATGTGGTACCCATCTGTGGAGTTGCAAATTTGTCAGAACTGAGCCAATTTCAAAGGAGCGAAGGAAAGGCTAATGAGCTCACGTTGGCATGATCGACCTGCTGAGAGGACCGCCAACCGTGTTATCCGTTGGATCCCCGTAAACTCCGTTGCCGGGGCGAATACAACCTGTTCTAAACGAGTCGCCATCATTTGTTTCGCAGACCAGACGTTCAGCCAGGGCCTTGGAGGCAGGGTAGTTGCCGAAAAACTCCTCGTGTGGACGTAAAGGTTTATAGAAATCACTCTCGTCGAGCACCTGGGCAAAGTTCTGTGGTGTTGAGACCCAGGGCGATGGAAAGAGCTCTACTGGCTGGATTGCGATGGAAGCGGACGAGGTCGAGCTGAAGATGTCGGCACCAGCCTCGCGCGCTGCCATAAGAACGTTCTTGGTGCCTCTGACGTTGACTGACTCTACAAACTCATATTGGAGCTTAGACCTGGCCGAGGGAATAATGATGGCAGCCGTGTGGAAGACGGTGAGCGGAAGGTGAGCGACTGATTGATCCCACGGCTTGCAGAAGGCAGCTTGAACTGAGCTTAAGGATGTGACGTCTGTATGGATGAAGTCTACTCTTGACGCGGCTTCACTGCGAAGATCATTACGTTCTGTTCTGCGGATATCAATGACGCGAATACCCTCAGGCGGCGTCCCTCTGGCCAGCAGCTGGAGCACGATGTGGCCCCCGACAAGACCTAGAAGAGGAACAATCAGATTAAGAATTCGATCAAGTGTAATCACTCTACTTTGGAACTTCTTACCAGCGCCTCCGGTCACAACGTATCGTCGATTCAGCCTCGGGGGGAGCTGGTCGGCATAGCTGATGGGATTTTCAGCAAGTTCTTTGTAGGTCTGTGAGAGTAGTTTTGGGTCCCATCGTGAACCCGCAAGTATCCGGAACCGAGCTGGTGTTTCCATAAACATTAGATTAATTCGAATAAAATACAGCAGCAGGCAAGAAAAGAGGGCGCCGGCGGCAGTGATTGTCACGGTGGCCGAGTTAGCCAATGAAGGAAACACAAACGCCATCCTCCCGCGCAAATCATGACAATCATACGATAAAAGTAAGAAAAGGGTGAGAGGGTGGGAAACAGTCGAGTTTTATCCGTGCGTGTATGATGAGTTGCCGTGTTCCGTTTCCGGTATTGTAACCCTTCATGCACAGTGGTGCCGAGATTCCCTCCCGCAGCCGCATTGTGGTATGAGTGATCCGGCTGATCCGAAGGGGTACTATATAGCATTCCACGTGTGACCCATACTAACTATCAAATGCATTATGCTTCCGTCGGCATCGGATACCAAGACTAGTTCGTCCGGGCTGTAGAGTAGCTTTATTTAATGGGGTTGGCAGTAATTCTCTATTAAGACTCGCCAGAGAGCATCTCTTAGCTGGATGTGTTCATCGCTCCGGAGCAAGAATCGATGCTCTGCTCTTTGGGTTTCCAGAAATTCTGCAGTCTACTTTTGCTTGTCTGCCCTTTTATCAAGCGCATGGCTATAAACCAAGACGTTTTCTACATAACTTGATCCTCATTTGGTTGCTTCTATTAATGGTATTTGTCTCTACTCTTTCAGCAGGCTTAAACCCCAAGAGTGCCGAGTTTTGAAAAGCGATACTCTATTTTCTATGATCTCTCTTGTTCCCTTACCGGCTTGTTTCGAGCTTCGATGCTACCGATAGAATCCAGTTGACAACATCATCCGGCGCAGTAACAGGCGGGACATGTCCAGCGCTGGTTGTTGTGACATCGACCTTGTTACCGCTTACTTGCTCAATCATCTCGATTTGCGCTCGCTGCTTTCCTGGTGTAATAGAGAGATCCCCTTCAGCTACTAGATATGCCACGGGAACGTCTGCGTAGCCAGGATAAGTCAAGAGAGACGTGAAACTAGCAGCTGAGTGAGTTACGAGCTTCTTTGCCCAAATCAAGCCCTGCTCTAACGGGACATCGGAGAAAACCACTTTCGCTGTTATGGTGTCATTTGGATAGTAAAACCAGCCATCGTCCTGCCATGAGTTAGCTTGAGCCCTTATATCTAATGGGTTTGGGGGCTGCCAACCCCAATTTCCATGAGAGGACTCCAAAGTCCTGTTGAAGCTGGCTTGCCCACTTCCGGCACCAAGGATGTCATATATGCAAGGCCGACGACGCCACCAGGCTTTCCAAGTTTCTGCCTTTCAATCTTGGTAAGCCCTTTGACGGACTCGGTTGCCGGCGTACCCCCATAAGAGTGCGTGACGAGCAAGACATCGTGGCCAGCCTCAGCGAGATCGGTGATATGTCTGGCTATGAAGGCTGCATCGTCATACATATTGGGTGGCTTTCCCGGCCGAGGACCAGTCGCCAAACCTACACTAGGTGTGTGCAGGGCCCGTATGCTGTAACCATGCCGGGAAACCCCAGCAACAACCTTATCATAGGTTGGTGGGAGTGCCGAGGCTGCGGGGATTATCAGGATTGATAACATGCTGAGGATGAACAATTTCGTCTGAAGACTGGTGAGGGGTATGCTGCATATAGGATCCTAATGTAATGGTAAGATTTAAGATGAAGGGGTGGTTTAGAGACGTGGAGGCAGCAAACCAATGTTTTCTGTCAGCACTTGGCATGTCAGAATGGACGCAGGATGAAGATTCCTTGTACAGACCTACCCCAGTTTCAATCATACGATTGCTTATGTAATTTCAATGCCACCAAAGTTGCGAATCTACTGTGTGAATTGGATTGCTATGTATAATATCATCGCCGTCCATGTCATCGCTAATTAGGCTGAGGATGCCCCGTAAACCTATGAGGGCGTTCCCGTTATTGGCAACTAAGTCCGCCGCTTATTGGACTTCAATGCCGCATATTCTTCCTTTGGTTTGATTGAACACGCTTGTCGCTGATGCTTCGAATATGACAGGATGGACAGCAGACTTCTCGTTTTGAACTACCTAAAGGAATGCTTATTCTCTTTGGGTTACAGCTAAGTATGAGATACTAAAATTCTCGTAATTTTCATATCTGTATATAAATTAACATATGACTTAAATAATTGAGAAGGCTCTGACTGAGCTTCAGGGCGTGTATGTCTAGACGAGATCAGCCTCGACTGATGATAGTGTACATATCCTGCCCATTGATTTTGACTAGCCTCTCAGCTCCATATAATAAAGCTAATACCTGTTCTTGGGAATAGATTTCTGTGGCCCTCCGCTGTCAGGTCTGCTCTTTCTATCGGCCGCTATCTAAGCCAGAACGAATCGTTGATCTCAAGCTGATCCGGACGCCATCGACGGAATGGAGAGAATGTAGTGACGAGGCATGGTGCGACAATTCAGGGTGTCCATCTGCTAAGCCAGATAGGTTCAGAGGAGTGGTACTCGTATCAACCACTCCGACGGTGACAATGCGGGTTTTTCTGGTTGATGGAACCTGCATGCAAGTCAGGAGAATCATTTGATTCATCCAATGTCGGAATGTGATAAATGTGACCAGGGATAGTTTGAGCAAGGAACAGCGCTGTAGAAGCGAATACCCTGGGAGTTGGGTTCGATTCTTAGTAAAAACGGATTCGTTTATTGGATGTTTATTTGCTCGTTAATTCATTCATCACTTTCGTTTACAGCCTATTCTCTCCTCAACCGAATCAAGAGCATAATTGGATTCTAAGTTAGCGACATCACTTTGAGGAATCTATTAGTTTTCGAGATTGATTTACCAGGCGCATGCTTGGCAAAGCTTGTCCTATAACCCTGTTGAATTTATGGTGGTGGGATATTCTCCGGCCCAGGATCACTCCTATTTTCACTCTGATGCAAGAAAACGGATGATCCGGGTGACAAGGGCGAATGCGCGACGGAGGTGAAGACCGGTAGCAGAAATCACCCTTCTCCCCCCTCTCGTCGCCGGTGATTTGGTAAAGATATGAGCTGGTGGAGCTTGACTCGCTAAAAAAGCAAAGCCATGTGGTTTTCTAGACCATCTCATTCCCGAGCGAGCTGAAACTTACCGTTGTGGAGGCATTCTTATTTAATAGCTCACCCCTGAATGTACGACAGAGCTGATGCCACACGGAAGCCTTCATTAGTTTCCGGTTTCTTGTCGGGACCACTCAGGTGCAGCTCTGCCATATTATTGCATGGATTATGCGCCTGATCCACCTGTGGGCTGTTTCAATATACATCGTATTATGAAATTCTCCGGGAGTGGGATGGCGATAACGAAGTGCTAACGCTGCCACATCCCGACGAAGTTTTGCAGCTGAAAGTGCCCAACCAAGAAAAACTTAACTTGATAAAGTAGCTTCGACTCTGGAGGTAACATGGGGGCCGGCTGTTGGTAGACAGAGACCCTTGTCAAGTAGGCTGACACGTAAGACTCGCCTTCAGCCTGCCCGATGTTGGGTTGAATAATAACCAGCAGGTTGTGCATCTGCACTGAGAAAAGAATATCACCGTCGGCTCCGTAATATTGTGACAATCTATCACGAATACATGAGTGGTGTGGTCTGCCCTGGCAAACGGTTGGTCCAATACGGGACCGTTCTGCCCAATGCCATCCGTTACGCGCCGGGGCATGAGATGACACAGGCATCGCTCTATGACTCGTGGATCATGACGCAAACAACGCGTGCTCGATCCATGGGAGATCATCGGTGCGAGGGTTGTAAATGCTTCCCAGTGATGGATTCTTCCAGAGAATCCGAGGAGAGGGTGTCCAAACAGTTAATGAAACAATATAACTCCACCAGACGCAGCTAACCCCTGCCGTCACCCTGCAACCCTACTTCGGCCTTACACCCTCCGTGAACTCGTTTTGTAAATAAGCTCTGGGGCCTGGCTCCCCACCGTGTAGTAGCAACCGCCGCGGATAGAATTCCTAATTGGACCGCTACGAACACGACCTACTGTCTGAAGGCCCTTGTCCGGGCTCGCCATGGCCCCATGTGTCGTGTTGCATGAGGTCAAGGGTGTTACAGTAAACGGAAGAAACCTCCCATCTGGGGAAACCGCTGTTCTTCGCAGCTAGGCCCGACCCTCTGGCGCCAGAACCCAGCCGTGGCTTGCATACGGCGGGGGTACCACGCTCTCCTCGAGCTCGGCGGCAGGGAGAAATGTTTCGCAAGGGGTGATACGCGTGCAGATCGTTTAGTCGCATGGTCAAACGTTTCAATGCCTGGGAACCTGCATGGCAGAAGATTAGGGTTAGTATATGATATGGCCTAATTTCCCCCCTCCCGTGACAACTCTAACATGTCCTTCGTCTGCCAGTGCATATTTATCTTCGATAATTCTCCTTTCGTCGATCGTCTTGGCCTCCAATGGTCCTAGAGCTAGTCGGTTGATTCGACACTGGCCTCTTCCGCTCGCTACTCTCGACGTCCCCGGCTCGTTCTTTGGCCATGGAGCTCCGCGCCGAGGACGAACCCATTCACGGGTTTGTGTCGCCTTACAAAGAGCTGAATGCTGGCCTCTGGTCGTTGTTTCTTGGTGCAACAGGCTTTCTGGGGCTGCGGATATGGGTCAAGTGCGGTTATCGAAGCTACAGGTTGTGGTACGACGATTGGATTTTGGTTGGATGCTGGGTATGTGCTTCATCCTCCGAGGATCGGCCATCACTGTTTTCACTTCTGATGGGATCCATCCTTATTCGAATACTGTCGCTAATTGCCGGTTAACATTTAGTTCCTCCTCCTTGCCAACAACGCATTGATTGTGTACCAGTTTGACAACGGCTATGTATTGGAGGACTCGACAATGAAATGGGACGACCGAATGCATATCCTCATCAACATCTCATCCTGCGGCACCCTGATAGGGCAGGCACTAACGAAGACGGCATTTGCGGTGACGCTACTACGAATGGGCAATCGTTACCAAAACTGGTTCTTGTGGTTTTGCATTGCCACAATGAACTCGTGGATGATCGTCAAGGTTATCGTGCAATGGGCCAAGGTCTGCGGGAAGCCCAGCTACGACAATTGGTATCGGTTAGACTTTTGTGTCGGGTCCAAGTTTCGCGATGACTTCAAGGAAGGCGGAA